AATACCCTTCCCCATACCCTTCCCGACCTCAGATCGCCCGTAAATTATTTTTCCTTTAATTTTTATACTATTATCCCTCCTTTTGTAATGAGTTTCATTCTACTATAATTTAATTATGTTTTAAAAGCTATCGGCACTGGTCTACTAGTCGATATAAGCTTCAGAGCGTCAAATAAAAATTATGAAATAATTAGACAACAACAAAATACAAATACAAATATAATTTAAATATGAACACTTTTCTGACTTACTTTCATTTATTTTTATTAACATTAACAACAAAAACGATTATTAAAAGGACTTTTTTAAACTATATTAACGCACGTTTAATAAAAGTATAATATATAAAAGTCAATATCCTCTTCATATAATAAAGGTCTGTATTCTAGAACAATATCATGGATATTAAATTTTAACCTATTTATCTCATAAAGCCTGTATTTCCCAAGAGTCTCGACTTTATTTTCTCAGAAGAACGACACGTGAAGACTTAAATTAAACGTTCACACTGAACAAATTGTTTTTTTAATAAATTTATAAAGGGACAAAAAACATTTATTTGTTGTATACCTATAGCAACGTCCGGTTTCTGTTAGTAAAAAATTACAATGTTAGTATTTATTTAAACAGATTTATCCTTAGACCACTAAAGAGGCTAAAAACTGTTGATCATGACGCAATAGTCCTGATTTCAAGTACAGTCTACGACTACGGTCTACCATTAAAGAAGAAATTGAATGATTCTGCCTAAGAACTGCACTGGAAGAAGAATCAAGAAGTGATAATTTTTAATGGAGACGGAACAAGAAGACAGCTTCTTTGGCTATATTAATTGCAATGTTAATTTTTCTATTGTAAACCCCATGATAGCTGCTTGAAATGAATGTCTTGTTGGTGATTTACCAATTATTTTATATTAAATATTGATTAAAAATTATTACTGTTATTAATTAATATACCAAACTAATATGACCAACACGAGCTCTATATATGAACATTAATTTAAATTTTTAACAGTAGGAATGATATTTAAATTTTAAATTGATAATGTTTTCATTCAGACTTCAATTATTTTTTTCCAACCATCACTAAAGCCTAGAAACATATTCTTTGGGCTCCAAACAAAATCTTTTCTGAGTGTATATTACAACATAAAACATAAGCTCTTTGTGACATTGTATGAAATATTGTTCAAACCAAATAAAAATTAAAAATAAACACAATAAAAATTTGTAATAAATTAAACAATTAATATTTAAAATTGTAATGTTTTGTTTATATGTGAGTAAAGAAATTAAACGAGAAAAAAGATACTGCATCGGCCGGGAATCGAACCCGGGCCGCCCGCGTGGCAGGCGAGCATTCTACCACTGAACCACCGATGCTACGGCATATTAATTGAAATTTATGTCAACTACATAGTTATTGTCTTCATGTTAAAATTGATAATGATGTTAAAAAAAAACAAATCACAAAATTATGTACACAGTAAATTATGTGTGCACTATTATTTACATTTTATTGTTACATAATATTAAACAGACTTTTGATTTTTTTATAAAATGTAATCCCAAGAGAATTGTAAAGTTAAGGATGATATTATACATATTCAATTATATTTCTTTATTTCAAAAATAAAATTGTGTGAACAATATTTGTGCAAATTTAAAACATCCCACAATAAGACAAAATAAATCCATTGAATTTGAATTCTTACATAATAATTATATTTCAGTTTGTAAGAATATATACATAAATATTTCTTTAATAGGTATTCATCAGGAATGGTTTCCGAGGAAAACGTTTCCTTATTACTTAGGTTTATGTTCGTGTAAATATGTGAACAGCATATTCTGCCAACATCACGTAATAAATTAACATCTATAACTTACAATCAACATCATCTAAGCCAATATTAATAACAACGCCGCTTATCATTATCTGCATAGATATATATATATATATATATATATATATATATATATATATATATATATATATTGCAATATGACGGTTAAATTTATAGTTAAATTAATAATAATATATTTCGTTTACAAAGGAAACCATAGCCAAAGAGCATAATTAAATTCATCAAACAATGCTTCTATTGCCACAATCTAGCATCAATCGTCCGAATTCCAACTTGACTTTACAATGATATATAAAATTAAGAAGTTCCTATCCATTATATATAAAAAAACAATAAGTTATTGAAATACTTTCGTAAGAAAAAAAAATATTATCTAGTATTGCCTGCTATAAAAAATTACGACTTGAAAAAAAAAATACTCCTTACTTAATTTATTACAGTTATATATCTATATGTATATATCCATTTGTTTTGTTAAACATATTGTTCATATGGTAATTAGCCAGAAATGCTATAGCTAAAATATATTACAGTGTAATCTTTCCATTGTAATAAAATCGGTGGGACGAATTTCAAACGGGAAACATTTGATTGAGTCGATATTTGAGTTCTGTGCCAACTTGTTGTATGCCGCTTTCCTTAATTTCTAATTGGAAATGGTATTCCAGAACTAAAGTCTTGATTAATGTACTTTTCTTATTAACTTATACATAATTGTTATTTTATTCTATCATTTTACGTACCTCACTCCAGAAGTTATATGCTCAGAACTCTCAAATCATGTTTTGCCTTAATGACCAAAATCTTTTATATTTTTTATATCTTTTATATTTATCTGAGATATCGTAATTTGCTAACATATATGCTTCCTACACTATTATAGGTACAAAGATCTGTTGTTGTTATTTAAGATTATTCGTCTTTTAATGACCTCTAGTGTAGAGAAATGACAACTTAGCTGGTACTAGATTATAACGAGCACGCAATAAATGTGGTACAGCAAAAAACTGAGAGATGTCGTTGTACTGAAGTATTTATTTCAAATAGCTGATTCATTGAAATTGATGTAGGATGATTTATTTTTCTTTACCAGTTAATATTTTACATTAAAGTAATTTTATGATGAAATTAAAAAATATATATACTGGGAAGTATTGTCTGTAAATGTTCTATAATGAAGTTTGTTTTGCATATCTGTGGACAGTTACTTCAAATATTCTGTCAAAATAACTCTCTCGATACTAAATAACTATTGTTTTATAAGTTTTGTGGCCAAATTTGTTTAGTAAACGCATCGAGATAGAGTTATACGCGAAGCCGGTGTTTAAAACATTAAAAGCGGTACCAAAACTCGGGTAGTTAATCGTGTTATCCAAATGTTTCGTGGAGTTATCCGAAAGCATCTAAACGTCAAATTGTTTTTAAACTTGTTTTGCGCGTATTTTTGTTATAAATAGCATTAAGAAAATTTGTTATTAATATAAAGAAGTGTTATATATCGTTTGTATGCTAATAAATTGCATGTGAAGTGTTTAAAATCTAAGTGGCTTGTGATACTAAGGTTAGTTTCGGTTCCCGCTTTTACCATATTTTGAGGTCTCGCCCCCGTTCGCTGGCTCCGGTTCGGTAAGTAATAGCAAGTAAGTTTCCTATTAAAAGACGTCCAAATATTTGTTTACATTACGGTATAAAAGGTTATAAAACCTATGTTTACAAAATGACAACACAAAATTTGTTATTGTGAAAGGTACTCACTCATTGCTATATTGTTGCTGTATTTGTGTTGTTTTAACTAATTATAAGACAAACTTTCATATTTACATGCATCTAGTTTTAATGAGAATCAATAAATTTCTTTGAATTATTGAAAGCAAACATGACTTTTGAAACATAAACATATCATGTAACTTTGAACAACAAAGCAGTTGCTATTGGATTATATTACTGATATAAAAAACTTTGGTTGGAATTATTAGTCATTTTATTGTAGGTAGCAGGTTCGATTCCTGTAAAATTGTACAATACTTTTATAAAAATTGTACATACACGAATTTTCCACATTTCAATACTCAGGTCAACATAGAATAGCCAATTGAACACAACTAAGTTTCTATAAACCCTAGCTATTTCCATTTCTCTAACTGTTTATAATTATTTAAATCACTGAACTATTTTAAACAAATGTTAATTTTGTTTGTCTAGTTATATGATACAAATGATTTTTTTTACACATTCTAAATCTCTATGAGAAAATCATTAAAATCTAAATACTTAATACAATCAATAACTATTATGCGAATTTATTCTTTTATTTTGTACTATATTGATAGCGAGGTATAAAAACTACTGAACTAAAAAATTTTAAGTATCCATTACTAAACGGATTTTAACAAGTAATATTGGAAATAAGTGTTGATAATAAGTATAGTCATGTGATTTAAAAGTGAAATTTCATCAGAATTATAATTGAAATGGATTTAACCAATTCTTTTAAATACTATGTCTCAATTTCATTAAAATAATGGTTTTTCCTATTTATCTTGTGTTTCTATGAGTTATGTGTCGGTAAGTAAATTCTTATTTTAATAATCTGTAAATATTAACACAATAGTATAACTAATAGAATAACTTTATCATCAAAATTATTTTTAACAATACAGCAATAATAATGATTTAGCTTAAATTTTACTTTGTTATAGCTTTGAGCGATTACCTTAATAGTTTGGATGTCTTTTTATAATTTATTCTTCTTCAAACAATCATGGTGCCATTATCTTATCGGATAGAAAACTTTTCTTCAGTTTTATAAATTATTCTACAACATTTTTTATTTTATTTGTTGATATTATGAAAATAAAATTATGTATTTGTTTTATTGAATAAATAAAGCTTACCCCGAAATTTTTGAAATAAAGTTATGCGGGATGGTCGGATTCTTTATTTACCCCTTCCCATCTCCTTTAAATCCTATTAAAATTTTGTTTATATATAACAAATTTGTATGTCAAAGCTATTATGTTCCATATCTATAAGGACTGCTATAGAACATAATACTTTGACAGTACAAATTGAATATAAATAAAGCATTCGAAAGAAAATATGTGTTTTATTAGGTAACAGGAGTTTAATTTTGTGGTTTTTCTCATCAGTGCCAGCGCAGTTTATACCAGGAAGGACGGGGGCCGGTTTACTTTTGCTTAACGGTTTTACATTTTATGTGAAAAACCACCAAGCGCATGGGAAGAAGCAGTGGTACTGTTCCTCTAGAGATGTTCATGGCTGTCGTGCTGATGTCATCACTTATAAAGGATTTGATGGACGTGATTACATCTCAATATTCCGTGGAAGGCATATACATGAACCGCCACGGCTAAGACAATGCCATGACGGCAGATTCATAAGGGAAAAGGATGTTTACAGACAATCACCAAAATGATCACCTTTATATATATTTATATATGTTGTTTTTTTCTAAGTTTGTTTATTCATGTGATGTAAATTTAAATGTACTTAATTAGTTTTATACAGATGTGTCTTTTGTAAGAGTGTTTCTATATGAAGGGACCTGTTGATAGATGGAATAAAAAAGAAAATTTTGACCATATTTTAGAATACAGTATTCATATGTAAAACTATTATTTTACTGTTTTTTGAGGTATTAAAGTTAAAGTTTAGAGATTTTATCTTTTTTTTATTGTTTTCTTTACCTCCCACCCTCATATAGTGCTTTTAATGAATGCTAGTTCTTTTCAGGTATTTACTATCTGCCATCGCATAGAACTGGGAGTATGGTTCTTATCTTCAAGGACAATAAGTATTGGATAAACAACAGGTATCAGAATACTATAAATTGGACGTGCAGGGATCGGAAACGCCTCGGTTGTAACAGCTGCGTGCAGACAACTGTTGAGGGCCGCTACATAAAACATAAAGGGTTTCACAATCACGAGGATAATTACACGAAATATAACTTCAATGATTAATATAGATTTATTTAAGACTTGACATATATTCATGTAGTATTTTAGATATAAGAAACTATTTAAACTTCATACATTATACTTTTGTGACAAAAAAATCTTGCCACTAATCTTATTATTATTTTAATCTTTTAGTATTATTTTGTGACCGTAGCTCTTTTTTTATTTAAGTCACATTAAACTTGTCAGTATTAGTTATCCTGTTTAAATGTTTTTAATTATAATATAATACTCATATAAATTAGTTCATATTTTAAGGTATAGAAAATAATGTATTTTAGTTATTAATTACCATCTATTATAATTTAATCATGTAGAAACGAATTTTATAATTAATAATAAATTCAATTGTATGTTAACACAATGAAATTATTTGACGGTAGTTTATTATGTCATGAAATAAAATTTGTGTCAAAATAAAAGGTAAGTAACGGGGTTTGTTTGCGTGTTTTTTGCACTAAAATCGTAGACGCAATTATGAAACTGGTACACTGTTTTGACAACAGATGGCGCTGTCCTTAATAATTTCATTACATGTGTTTTATCATTAAATACGTTAGCATGTGAACTTAATGGCATTATATTTTTAAATAGACAACAATGATTGATAATATTTAATAAGTTGTGATCAAAATATATCATCTAGTTTTTAAGCATTCCTCTAAAATTGTATTTAGTTATTATTATTTATCATTAAGAGCTAAGCTTTATCATTCCCATATTGCTCAATGTACTCTCGACTTAGATAATAGACTTGTATTGCCTACGTATGAATCCTAGTCAAACGACTATTTAAAATTAATTGTGCCAAATTGTATGTACTTAATTTAATTTTTTTTTATATACGTGTTAATATAGACACTTCTTCAATACATTATAGTTATTTATATTGGATTTCAAGTTTATTTTTATTTGTATCATTTATGATATATAACAAAAATCCCTTTAAATAATCTGAAAATAAATATATATGCGATTTATTGCACAATATATTTTACGACTAAAATGTGAGGTTTGAGGTGCATAAAAACTTTTTGCATGATACTTAATAATTAATGAAAATAAATTTTAAATGTTGGTAACACTGTAGATTATTTCAGTTCTAATGGTCAAGGGACGTACTGGGAAAGATTTGCTCATGCTGAATGGTTATACATATTACCAACATAAGCTGCTGAAAGATGGATACAGATGGAGCTGTACACAAATGGGATCCAGGTCCTGTAGGGGCTTCCTGCATGTGACGAATGATATGCTAGTAATAAGGGCCCAGACCGATCACACCCACCCACCATCAACTTACTTCTTGGAGAACAGGAAAAGACAGAAGAAAGAAAATGTATGTATATAACACTCTATTTAGTTCTAGCAGTCTGTTTGTAATTTATTCAGCATTCAGGCTGAAAAATCTCACAAAAAATATACAAGATATTTGATTGGTATTTATTAATATGATACTTATGTGGAAGTTTGTTTCAGACGAAGAAAAGTGCCTCAGAGAAATTTGTTACGGGAATTTCATTGAGAATAGCCAATATACAGGGACGTGTTGGATTCTGATTGCGTGTTGGTCCATAAATGCTATACCGTTTTCATAAAATTATATTTGTACTTACATATAAAATTATAATCATAGATTTTATTGACATTGTAAAAATCGTTAAATCCATATAAATATATTTTGTAATTGTAACGTGTACTTATTTACCTTGTTTTATTATGCGTTATTTTTAATATAGTATAGTCTTATAAAGGAGGTAGATGTGACGAACAATTTTTGTCGATTCGACACTTGCATGACCAAAAACCAGTGGTAATTTCTATTAAAATTCTAACAATATTACGGTAATTGTCCACAGTTGAGTTTTACCTGCGTCCAAACGGCCGTATCAACCTGCGTTTGAATAATTTTACATTCTACAAACACTTGAAAGCCAGAAGTAATGCACATCGCTGGAGTTGCACCGCCTATGGGTCCAAATGGAAATGCAAGGCCCATCTCATCATCACGGACAAACTGGAAGTTCTCAAAGCCAATGTTTCGCACAGTCATCCGCCCAGCGTGAAGAAAGATATCCGTACGCCTAATAATCCTAACTCTCGTCTGTGGAACGGTTCGGGAAATAAGGAGAACACACGGCAAACCCCCCACCTTCCTGAGCCCCCCTCCCTAACCCCCCTCCACGATTATTTGATAGCCCACAGTGTTTTTAATAATTTCTAAATGTATTTTTATTGCATTTATTGCAGCTATTACTTGGTGTGTATCTAAAACGTTTAATGCATTTCGCTTTATATTGTACCTTTAGTTTTTAATTTCCAATAATCGCATATCCTAGTTAAGATATATCATAATCGAATGATCACAACGATAATTTAATGTATCTTATTCTATTTTTATCATACATATTATTTTAGACTAAAGACTGTATCCAAATATTGTGGTATAAGTTTTATACTTTAATGTTAGTTTTGTAAGTATTAAGTGATGGATCTATTAAGTGAACAGCATCACAAAATATTACCAATGTTTCCAAAAAAAAAACCTTTTTTGGTGAAGTGCCTTTTTGTATTGGTATGCAGGCTGTGGTGGTGACCATTTTAATTATCTAGCTTATAGATTATTTTTTTATAAACAGCGATAGTTTGTTCATTACAGCAGTAATAGCCAAAAAAATTCGTTCGATGGTACTCCTCTCAAAAGAGTAGGTGCTATCATCATATATAATGAAAATCGTAAGCAATTTTGATTCCTAACCAAAAAAATACAATCTTCCTCAATCCCCAAAAAGGCTAAGCTTTATTAAAGCGTATAAACTACTGTATCAGATATCTTTAGCGATATCTTTGTATGATACGATCCTCTATGTTATTTGTCCTGCTACCGTAAAATTATATTTACGTGTCAAGTATTAAGTATTGTGATACAATAACATTAATGTATTAAGACTGTGTGCTTATGTGATAATTGCGTATGTCAATGTAAAAAGATCTCGTCTTATTTTTTACAGGTTTTAATTCATGCATTTATCTGATTGAATATTTTTTTATGATTGTCTGACTAACAGTGCTTCGTCTGTATATTTTTTTTGCATTTATAGGCATTAATAAAGTATTTTATACAACATCAATGTTTTCATCTCACAATCTATTAAATAATATTATTAAAGTTGGGCCTCACTTATTTAAAGCTTTGTAAAGATTCACAAATTACCCAGTATAAGAGAATTTAGAAGAGACTATGTACTCTTTGAAAAGGATGAACGAGTTCCCACCTTATTTTTAACTAAAACAGAATCCTAAATCACTTTTAGGAGTAAGGTTTAAGGAGTGCAGCTATCAGAAGCTCTTAATTACTCTAATTTCCGCACAAAACCCAGGTATTGTTTCCTTACCTTATTAAAATACTAATTGTCTTTACAATTACTATACTCCCGAAGACCACATTATTCGAGACAATTATCATCAATTCGATCTGTTGAAGTAAAAAAAAAATATGAACCTTAAATAATTATTGGACATATGTATATACATATGTATATGTATATTGTTTTCACATAATATTCTATATTCCAGGAGCCCTGATAAAGTATATTAATGGAACACAGCTGTACCTCCTTCAAGGTTACACCTTCAAAAGGAATGCCGTTATAAGGAAAGGAACAGCCACCAGGTGGATTTGTTCGCAGCACAAGAAATGTCCACTTTACGTACATTTGGATAATGAGTTCAGGGTCATTCACCTGCCCCCACTATGTCATACACATGAACCACCAAAATTATTAAAGATAAAAACTGGTGAATATATAAGATTGTAGATTATGATCAGATCCTAAGATTGACAGGAAAAAATTATATTGCAATATATGTCTTCGTAGGAAAAGTGCATAGTATATTTTACATTGTCAAAAAAATAGCATATGTACATGAAAAGATATAATTAATTTAGTAGATTTTGTATAAATTCTAATAATATATAAAAAAATAGTAACCCATAAATCGTGTTTCATTTATCACTGTATATCAGTAATTGCCATGTATAAAACATATTTTGTTTCACCAGGAACGCTAATAGAATTTCCAAGCGGTCGTTCACGGTATCTCTTCAATAACTATACTTTCTGTAAGCACAGTACTGTAAAACGTGGAACCAGATGGATTTGTACTCAACACGTGAAATGTCCAAGCTACATTCATCTTGATAAACATCTCAACGTCGTCTTCATATCACAAATGAACCACAACCACGAGCCCCCGATATTACAAAAGATGAGAAATGGGAAATATGTTAAGTTGTAACTCGTTTAATAGTATCGGTTATTTTGTTACTTTGAATATATAAAAAAAAAGTATAAAGTATATTAAAAAAAGGTGTCTGCATCGGCCGGGAATCGAACCCGGGCCGCCCGCGTGGCAGGCGAGCATTCTACCACTGAACCACCGATGCTACAAAATTTTCTTCCTTAAACTACATAGTTTTACAGTTATGTTTTGATGTTCATTCAAAATTAAAGTGGAAAATACTTCAATAAAATTATAGTCCTTCAAGAGATGACTTAAGAATGTTTCTATAACATATTGAAGCACATATAAGTTTGCTCAGCGTTTTTGTATTAACAAAAGTTATACCAAAAAAAGACTACCACTTAGATCTAGTTATTTTTTTCTCCTAACAATGTAAATAAAATTCAATGTAAAATAAATATTTCTATGTAGGTATACTATAACGATTGTAAAGTGTTTGGTTAAACTATATTCACTTAAAAATTTAAATACTTATTTTAAAATTAAATGAATTATTAATATAAATATTATTTCATGTGTTTGAAATTGTAGTTATGTACATAAATTCCCTGACTCATGAAGAATGTTCCGCGTATAGATGACTTAGATAAGAAACAGTATACATACATATGTGTCAAATAACCAAAAGTGTTAAAAAATTGTATAAAATGATAAATAAACAAAATTTTGCTTTTTAATGAAAACAATGACTTGTTTAATAACTAATTATGTATACTCGTACATTAATTATTATACAGTGAATATAAAAAAATTATTAACTTTTAAATTTTCATTAGTAACATTGATAAGTTTAGAAGAAAATGCTTATTTTTGTAAAGTGATATAAATTATAAATCTTGCAATAGGTAAAAACAGGTATAATTATTATTTTGTACGTATTTGAAATCAATATTATATGTTTCTGTCAAATATTGCGACCCAATAGTCATTAAATTACATAATATGAAAGTGGATCCATTAAAATTCCAAATTTCGGACAATAATCTCAAGGTCATTACAATATAATCTCAAGGTCATTCAATGTCATCCAATGTTAAACTAAGCCACTCAAGATTTACATGGTTCCGTCGTATTACCTATAGTCCGATATAATTATAGTTCTATTTGAAATAATATTAAATAATTATGGAACCAAAATTCAATGGCCTAACTAAAAATCTTTTATAATATTTAGCTTAATAAAATCGTTAATTGAATGTTTAAAATAAGTACACAGTGTATAGGTAGTTATTGCCAAATTATAGTGACATCACTCATTATGTTAATGCTGTCTTATAAAAGGGATATTTTTTAAATAATACACAATAATACCTAATTTGTTATTGTAACTGTGTAATTTAAATAATTGTATAGTTTATATCTATACTAATATTATAAAGCTGAAGAGTTTGTTTGTTTGAAAGCGCTAATCTCCGAAACTACTGGTTCGAATTGAATAATTATTTTTGTGTTGGATAGTCCAGTTATCGAGGAAGGCTGTGGGCTTATATATCATCACGCTACGACCAATAGTAGCAAAGATATAGTGGTAAATGTGTAAAAAACGGGAGAAATTATTTCATCTTTGAAGCCTTCCGTTGCGTGCGTCGTGAAAACGGTTCAAGATACACAAAAAATATGTGCTAAAGAATAATAGCTCTTTTAATTATCTAAAAAACAGTCCGCGACAGTATATGTCTATCTTTTAAGATTAACTCACAAAAACCGTTTTTATGGTACCTAATTTGGTCGAAATAATTTGTTTAAGTTGTATCAACATAATAATATAAATCTTTATTCAAGTTATTATACAAATTGTAATCTATTTATGAACTTCGTCTAAATGAGAATTGAATCTAATTTCCAAATCTAATGAGTTTTTAATCACAGGGTTGCGTGAATTTGACAACGGTAGGATGAGGTACTGCTTCGGTGGTTACACCTTCTATAAACACAAACCCATACTCCGAGGTGACGCGAGTCGATGGTTATGCACCAAACGGCAATGCCCTGTGTATTTACACTTGGATAGCGAACTCAACCTCCTGTATCGACCTTTGAGAGAACATCCACATCCCCCCGTTTGTATTTACAGAAACGCTAGTGGTACTTACACTACAATTAAATACTAATACTTATTTTTCTTAACAATTACTGCCGGCCACAAACGCTAGGGTATACCGGAGAGATCTACCTGTGCAGGTCGCAAAAATTGACCAGAATGTGAGTGAGAATACCTGTGCAGTTTGTTGAACGTTACCATTGTTCGGTGGACTTGCACAGTCATACCTGCATAGATGACTTTTCCGGTAAATCATAGCGTTGTGGGCGGCGTAATACCCGTCTTTAATTGTGATTTCCACTAATTTGTTATTTAAGCACTATTCATGAGATGAATGTGAATGTAATTTATTTTAGATTACGTACTAATTAGTACGCTTATTAATAAGAACTAACTGTTCTAAATATTTCTCTACAATAAAGTAAACCTAGTCAAGTTTAATTGTACGTGAAGCATTAAATATTCCGTATCCTTTGGTACCAAGCCTTAATTTCATAGTACCGTCTGTGTTAGCACCTTTTAATGTAAATATTCTAGTCCATTTCAAAAGTTGTGATCAATGTTATAAGATTCTAACAGAATAAAAAACTGTTTTCTTTGTGTATCGAAGTGTAAATAAATGTATTATGTGTTATAAGACTTTTTTTGAATGTTACGTCAAATTTAGAGGTGAATATTTTATGGTGACCATGCACTTACTATCAGTTTTGGTTTGAGAAACTAGGTATAACTGTTTTCCTTGTTTTAAGTGTAATTTCTTATGCGGCTTCTAACAATGTTGCGTTAAACGTTTAACGCTACCATGAAGGGGGTATGGGAGGGGGGGGGCATAAAAAGAGACAGTGCGAAAGCCTTTATGTGGCGTTCGAATGCATGCACGTACTATACCTATTACAGGCCAACGCACGCGTTAGCAACGAGTAGTCTCAAATATTCCAACGCAAGAGGGAGAGGGAAAAAAATACACAAATGTATAAAGTAAGAGAGAGAAAGAGAGTGATTCGCTAGATTTTAAGCGCATGCATGCTATTCTTGCTATGCAGCGAAATAAACAGTGTGAGCGTCGTGAAATTGGCTGAAATGTGTACATGTTGTGCTATATTCATTTATTTCTAACATTCATTATTTTTTAGTTTTATTTGATAAAACATAAAAGGGTTGTTTTTTTTTTTAAATTTAGTGTATAAGAATTATACAATGGGTGAAAACAATCCCACGGACAATGCAATGGATCTAAGGTTGTGTCAAGGTACGTCTCTTGTGAATCAATTGATTGTTAGGTTTTCTCTTTTGAAATTTCTTTATGACGCATTCACATACATTATTAATACAATTTTATTTTCCAGGGTGTAACGATGAGGCAACCACAAGCACTTGTAATGGTTTAAGAGGTCCACGACGGAAAACTGCTCAATACTACCGTGATTATAGAGCACGGAAGCGAGCGGAGATGGAAAAAGAGTTATTGTATAGAATAAGTGATCCTTCTACGAATGATAATTCTGTTAGGAGGACGAGGAAAACAAACGCCGAATACCAGAGAGAGTACCGAGCACGACTAAAAGCCAAACGTAACAAAATGCTCATTGACTCGCTAGCTGTACGTCCAGCAACTTCGACAGGGGGATTTACTACGAGTCATCAATCAACAGTAGTAGACCAACTAACATCTACTGGGGTAGTACTGGGGTTATAATAGACCAAGTAACAAATGACCCAACAAATAAAGGAGAAGTACCATTGATGAAAAAATATTAACAAAATAGAACTCACACATTTCGTATCTTACTTCAGTAATCATAATCCCATTGTAAATGTAATGGAGTTGAATATTTTATCACACGGAAATGATGCTTAAAAGATGCGATCAATTGTGAATCTAAAACAATGTTAATAAAGTTTGTTTTAAAAAAACAAAATTAATTCATTAATAAAATCCTTTTCTACCCTTTCATTTCATTAACACATTACGATTTTTTTGTATAACAAAGTTGAAAGGATTTATGAATGAACAACTTCATACTCTGTGTTTAATTTGACGATGCAAATTCCTATTATCGGGGTAACATTTGTAAAACCAATTACGTAGTATAAGGATGATAGAAATACTTTCAGAGAAATTATCACTTTTTCACGAATGCCCATATTTTAAGGGGACACAAACTTGTAAGTCTTTATACCTACAGAGTATATGAAACCACGCGTGGATGTTTTCAGAACCCCGTGAAATGGGAAAGAGGCAGGCAACTAATAGTTTTCTTTATAAATTAGTTACTTCACCTTATTTTTTAATATAAAATCTAAATAGATACCCGGATTGAAATTTTAGTTAAAAAAGTAACGTTCTTGGGAGTTAGTCGTCTTTTTTTCGCAAACAGCCAGTTATAAAAATTTTTATTCCTCGAGTCAGCTTTATTCTTGATCGATAATTAAAAATATAGATTAAGAACTAACGTTCTCAAGAATTATTACCCTTACTTATTTTTAAATTATTTATAATTTGTGCTTAGAAATTTATAAAATCAAATCACATTCTCATCTCGTAAGATCCTGTACCTATCATCTCATTACAATAACTTCAAAGCTATCATAAAAACTATAATTATTGTCATTAAAATAATACGATTTACTTTATATTCTCAACCTTTCCTTTATTATATCTCTTTGAATTAAATAATTAACATTATCCATAGGTCTTATAGAGTTCACTAACGGAAAAACCAGATATTACCTGAACGGCCACACATATTATAAGATCGGCTACATTCATAAAGGTATCGCTATGAGATGGCAGTGCACGCGGCGGGCTTGTCCAGTCTACATTCACCTGGATGAAGAGATGAACCTGATTCATCCACCATCAAGAGAACACCACCATCCAACCATCCGTTTACATAAAACACCCGTTGGAACTTACGTAAAAATATAGCACGATGTATGTAAATGGCTGTTTTATTAAACCTACTTACAAATATATAAATATTTTTAGACACGGATTTCGTAAGATAAATTTTGTAACGAAGGGACTTCTTAAAGATAAAATAGAACTTGGATAATATCGACAATGATGTTATCTTTTCCAGTGAACATATTTATGACGACGCGTGGAAAGGAGCGTCTGATTTACAACAACTTTACGTACTACAAGCAAAGTAGAACACGTAATGGTTTCAGATGGGGATGCACCAAAAATAGATGGCACAGATGCAAAGCCTATCTACATTTGTCAGATGATCTAATTATAGTTAGGAGTAACATGCAACACACGCATCCAGCTTTCTTTATAGAGAAAACATGAATTAAATTTATATATGGGAAATATTATATCATCCGTTTTGTTAATAAGTTGTACAGTTGTTACCTTTTTGGTGCTATATTCGTGTTGGCTGTACAGGTTGAATTGTTACTTAGATAGATAGTACATTTTTTTGAAATATTAGTTTTTATAGCCATATAAATTTTGTTATAGTAAATAATGAGTAGATTTTCAAAAGATCAAATGACAATATGTTTCTAGTCTATAATGTAGTTTTCACGTAGTTTTTTGTTATAACTGGGGTCACTTAAAAACATTGATAAAATGAAAATGGTTTAAGTTACTCTACTTAGTGTTCCTTTTATAACTTTATATAATTGCATTATCCTTATTGATCTCGAAGAAAAATATGTTCGGATGTCTTAAGAAAGTTTTTATATAAGTAATATATTTAGGACAATTTATACAAGAAACTATAGTACTACTATGGAAACGAAGTACTATTCATGAAAAAATTATCAACCACTGAGTTCTGGAAACACCTTTTTTGGACTTTTCTCTCTCCATAGATTTTCGATAAAAAGGAAAAATCTTGCCTCTAGAATGCCTCCATAGAAATTTATTTTATTTATTTCAACGAGCCCTAGTCAATTATAGTTTAGAATTTCTGTGATTTTTTTTTATTTATTAATAGAATTACATATGTCACTGTATTAAATGTTATTGTTGATAGTGAATAGCTTTAGTCAGGAAACCTGGTCTTAGAATTTCATAATTATAAGTTCGAAATCACCAACCCGTCTTGAGCAAACGTGGTGATTAATGCTCAAACCTTCTCAATGTGAGAAGAGGCCTTTGCTCAGCAGTGGGCTCTGATAGGCTGATGATGATGATGATGAGTAGCTTTAGGATAATATTTCATTTATTTAAATATATTTTCTATTGTTTTGAAACATTCCGTTAGAGATTTTTAAGTTTGTTTCATACTTTTTGTATTCAATTCTTATATATAAATTTTATATATTGATATCCTTGAAGTAAATGGTTGTTATGTATTTATAATTAAAACGAATCAAAAAGTCAATTATTTTATTCTAATAACGTCATAGTACTATATACTATTCATATGTATAATACAGTAATTTTAATACCGATAATAGTATTATAAAAAAATATATGTTCAAAATTTTTGGTTAGGTAGAGAGAGGAGCTTGGACAGTAGAGGTGGGCGTTTAACGCGCGATAGGTAGAAGCCCCTTAAACTTACACCTGGGTCGCAAGTCCCAGGCACTGTTGAAGCTCCTCTCACTACAACGATGGACCCGACACACGCACGGTGAATCCATTGAATGCTAACAGGTTCCGTCTCGTCAGTCAATACTCGTCAAGTCAAAACATATAAAAAATACATAATATTTTATAAATAGGTATATTACATATACATGATATTTATATAACAATATTATTGTCATCGTATGAAATATGTCTAACTCATTTCTCAATACAATCATATCGAGTGCAAACATGTAAAACTTATGGTTTTCTAGCGACGTACTTCACTCCATCCAAGCTTCACTTCTGCGAGGAATACACATACTTCAGAAGCGGCTTCATCCGCCACAAGGGCTGGAGATTCTGGAGGTACAGCTGTTCCTGTTCCGACAGTAAGAATTGCGAAGCTCACGTGTACATACACAAAGATGACATCATAATAACAGATAGCCAGCACAATCACCATCCTTTAGTTTATTGGAAGACCAAAAAAGGACTTTATTTAGAAGTGCAGTAGATATATAATACTATAAGCTAATTATGTTCATAAAAATATTTGTATAACTCGTAGTTGAAGTTTTTTTGTATATGTTTTTTGTACGTGATATTTTAAGTACAAATGTTTCTAAGTCATTTTGTTATTAGCATTAAATATAGTCTTATAGATCGAGTAATATAAGAACAGTATTTTTATTCGTTTTGTAATAATAATTAAATATAAAGCTGATTTTTTTTTTGTTATTATTTTTTAATGTATAATAAAAATTTATATGAAAACTGTCTTTATAAAATTAATTAATTATGTTGTTTAGTTTTAATATAATCTAGATATACAAAGCAATGCTAACATAATGATAATTTACAGCGAAGTTCATACGACTTAACTCTGGAACTAAGTTGCTTCTGTATAAGAAGTACACGTTTTCCCGCAGCGGCAACTTAAGAGATGGTGGCTCCAGATATGCCTGCTCCAGTTCAAGCAGCAAGAAGTGCAAGGCTTATATCCACGTTAACAAAGACAATATAATAACACTAGCCTTACCAGAGCATAACCACGAACCCTTGAAATATATGGTCACGAATGCAGGCTATGTGCGAATTAATCCTAGATACCCCTATCATTATAACGTCCAAGCAGAAATCTTTGCTGACGATTAAAATTATAATTTTCCATATAAATTTAAAATATATATAAAAAAAACTATTCTTACATCGCTTAAAACATTAGCTTCTACATATAAGAAATTATTTAGTGTTATTATAAAATGTTTATATAGATTAGTTTAAAGATTTAAAATATTATTGTTTTTTAAAAATTGACGTTAAAATTTAATGTGTTAGTAAAACGAAACTTTCTCGCTTCTTAAATGTATACGCGAATGCAAAGTTACATACATAATATTTTTATTTAAACTTAAATTAACTATCTCCTATTATAGTAATTAGATATTTGTTTAATTGAACTGTAGACAAGATGAATACTTTTCATGTAAATTTAATTTTTATGATATATTAGTATATTTTAATATGAGTAATTAGTAATTAAACAGAAATATTACAAATCTTACAGATCAATGTGTACTAACCTTAACATTGTTCGTATTATACAGAAGTTATAATAATCTTCTATATGTATGTATAAAAATGGATTGCTGTTCCTTAGTCTCGCTAAAACTCGAGAACGGCTGAACCCATTTGGCCAATTTTAGTCCTGAAATACTCCTGGAAGTTCAGGGAAGGCTTAAAAGGTGAGAAAAATTGGAATTATTGCCGGGAAAACCCTAAAAACAGCCCGTTTCTATTTCCCATACAAACGATTTTTTGACATTAGACTTGACAACTAACTAATATGTCAAGCATTCTGTTCGATTGAAACAGTAGAAATTTAATAAATACCAATACCGGGTTATTGAAGACGGAATAGAGTTTGCCCGGTCAGCTATACCTATATTACTAATGACGGAATTAACGCGGACGAAGTCGCGGGCAAAAACTAGTTTATAATATAAGTAAATGTTTCAATAGCATTAAATATATATTTACTTCATCCAGATTCTTGTTTCATTCATATCTGATATGTTCATTATCAGTTACAGTCGTTTGGTAAAAGTTTGTTTTCTCATTGACTGGATAGTGCTTGAGTAACTTTATATTATGCTTACTCCTAGTTTGCAACGTCACACTACTTACGAAGAGTTTATAGTTTTTCATTCAAAAATACATTATAAGTATTAACGTAAGTCATTTAATGAGAAACTTGTATTGTGGTTGTGACGATAATGATATATACAGGGTGACTGGTGAATTACTATCAATATTTAAGGAGAATACTCGGTACATGATTCTCATTCGAATTATGTAAAAAAAATAGGTACTTAATTTTTGACCAAATTTCCGTATAAATAGATAAAGTGTGGACACGTTCCAAGTGTTCCAAGTGTGGACGCGTGCGGTGTGTGTGTGTGTGTGTATACCTAATCTGTAGGGTGTTCACACGATGCGTAATTAATTACATAACTTTTGGTTAACTTTACTTAGAAGTTTATTATGTTATATTAATTTTTATTTTGTCATATATGATCGTCAAATATCACGTCCTCAAGTATCGATAATAATTCACCAGTCACCCTGTATATGTAAACAATACAGTACATAGCTTTTAATTAACGTTAAATGTTTCAAATAAAAACACAATGATTTCTATGTTCCTAGAACTATTCTCAAAGTAAATTGAAGATATCTTCAAAATGAATCAATAATACCTTACGAGAGTTGACACTGATTTAATACATTTTTTTCTAAGGATTTATATTATATATACAATGTTTAAATCATATATACATAAGTCAAGATACGAGAGCCTAATGTAAAGGTCAAAATGACTGTAATGTGATATTTCAAAAATCACAGTTTCAATTCAGGGAATATTTAATATTATTTATAATGAGATAATATTTAAAAAATATAATTATATATCTTCATAAACACATATTTTCAATTTATATACTTATTGAATTTATCTCAACTTTATTCTAATTTTGTTGTGTTGTAGCAATTTTAATCCTTAATGATTATTAAATTAGCTACTATTTATTTTTTGTTGATTATTGCTTAAATCTTTTTAAATCCCTATTGTAATGATGTTTAATTAGACATAACGTATGTTTTTATATAATTTTAGGTCAATTCATCGAAACGATAGATGGTGCAAAGTTCTTTCTACTAGATGGTTACACTTTTAGTAGAAACAATATATTCGGGAATGGGACCGTGATTTACGCTTGTCGGAAACGTCTCCCGAAGAAATGTCCAGCATTCGTAACTATATCAAAAGACAGAGTTATTGTGAAAATGAGAAAAGAACACAATCATTAACCCCCAGGATATACCTTCACGAAGACGGGACATTTTGTGAAGACTTGATTGAAAATGACGCGTAGAAACATTTGAAAGAACCCATGAATACATCTATAGACGTGATTATTTTGTTACCTCTTTTACATATGTATCTTTGTTTTCAAATACTAAAATGAAAATGTATCTTCGTTAAATTCATTTATAACGAAGACAGATATTTTGTGATTGTGAAAAAACTATTTTGCTTTTTTTTTATATCAATAAAAATGAATAAAATTAAAAAAAATAGTTTCAGTAATTCCTCTTCAGATTTTAACAGTTAAAAATGAAAATTAAAAATATTTGGGTGTAGTAAGTAAAAAAAGTAATTTTATTTTGCTGTACAAATGATATTATAATATATATGACGGCGCGTCGATTTTGGATTAGTTAAAGGTTAACCTTTTTTTCTTTTTTGACGGTTGGGATCCTCATCCTCATCCTCATGGATACCTCATCCAATCCTCATGGATACCACACGCCCCGGGGGAGGCGTGTGATTATGCCGGACTCCTACCGGCTAAAACCCACCCGGTTACCCTCAGCCGCTATAAGGGGACTACAAGGGGTCGCTTGCGCATTCTACCTCGTAGCCCCGGCGACAGCGACCCGCTCCTAAAGCGGATCTCTCCCTATGTGAGGGCGCTCCGGTAAACTTGAGCGCCCTCCCTCCAGGAGGCCAGTGACAGCAGGGCGGACGGTCCCCCGACCGGTCCACCCTCTGACCTCCTAGGTAGGCGGAAGGAGGTGGGCGTACCTCCTCCTTCTCACCCCGAGGCGGCGGCGGCGCATCTGGTTCGAGTTGGTGTTGGTTTCTCGGACCCGCTCCGCCTCCTCCTTCTGCAACAGGACAACTTCGCAGAAGGAGGTCATGGCCCTCCAGTTCTCCTCGCTCTCGCTTCGACGCCAGGATGCTCGGGAGCGCGAGGTCGGTGCTAACAACCTGCGTGAGGTCGTGACGCTGACGGCTGAAGGCTGGGCACACTTCGAGGGTGTGCCGCGGCGTGTCGTCAGCGTCTCCGCAGTGGTGGCACTCCGTCGTTGGCTCGCGCCGAACGACCCTTTGCAGGTAGTGTCCGAAACAGCCATGTCCGGACAAAACCTGTAACGTATGTTTTTATATAATTTTAGGTCAATTCGTGGAAACAATACATGGTGCAAAGTTCTTTCTACTAGATGGTTACACTTTTAGTAGAAACCAAATATACGGGAATGGGACCGTGAGGTACGCTTGTCGGAAACGTCTCTCGAAGAAATGTCCAGCGTTCGTAAATATGTCAAAAGACAGAGTTATTGTGAAAATGAGAAACGAACACAATCATGAACCCCCAGGATATGTCTTCACGAAGACGGGACATTTTGTGAAGACCTGATTGAAAATTACACTTAGAAACGTTTGAAAAAATCTCAGAAGGGAACTATAAAAGCGATTATTTTGTTACTTTGTTCACATAATATGTATCTTTGTTATCAAGTACTATGAGGAAAATGTATCTTGGTCAAATATTAGAGAATAGGTTTGAAATTGATTATCTTTGAAACTCATTTATAACAAAGTCAGATATTTTGGGTTCGTGAAAAAACTATTTCTCATTTCTTATATCAATAAAAATAAATAAAATTAAAAAAAAATTGTTTCAGTAATTCCTTTTCAGATTTTAACCGGAACGAACAGGCAAAAAAAAATTAAAATTAATAAATATTTTGGTATAGTAAGTACAAAAGCAATTTTATTTTGTTGTACAAATGATATTATAATATATAAGACGGCGCCTGGATTTTGGATTAGTTTAATAAAAACTTCCAATCGTGTGCCAATCGTTACAACGCCCATAATGGATATGAAAAGCCAAGACCGCCATGAGGCGACCTTCTGACGCTCCGACATATAGGTACATATATACAGGGTGACTGGTGAATTACTATCGATACTTGAGGACGCGATATTTGACGATCATATATGACAAAATAAAAATTAATATAACATAAATATTAATAAACTTCTAAGTAAAGTTAACCAAAAGTTATGTAATTAATTACGCATCGTGTGAACACCCTACAGATTAGGTATATACACACACATAGGCGTTATGCGGCGTGGTGTTGTATCAGCATGCCGCCGCACGCGTCCACACTTGGAACACTTGAAACGTATCCACGCTTTATTTATTTATACGGAAATTTTGTCAAAAATTAATTCCCTTTTTTTTTACATAATTCGAATGAGAATCATTTACCGAGTATGCTCCTTAAATATTGATAGTAATTCACCAGTCACCCTGTATATTGCACTTAACACTTTCATTAAATTAAATAGATACGTAGTTAAGAAGTAAATTCTTATAAAATGTTAATAAATCATTCTTGGTATAAATGTACGTTTGTTATTTACTCCTTTGGATACAATTGTGATTCACTATAACTTTTTATTAAATTTAAGTTTGTTTTGTAATTACATTCAACGCGTTTCCCGTTCTTACATCAATAACCTACATTAATACTATAATGTAGATATTTATGAATGAAATACTATTAACCGTATGTAGTGTGAAAGTGCCACATTATTGAACGTGTAGATTTATTTTAAACTTTGTACACTTTTCAAGGACGGATACTATACACAAGCTTTAGATTTTTTCACTGTAATACTTACATAAGACATTAATTATTTTATGTTCATATTGATAATTAAACTCATATTAATCTTCTTGAGCTATTTTTTTAACTATACCCATACAAATGAAATGAAAATCTGAAATAATTATATAATTTCTACTCCTTAGATAAAATGATTCAGCTTTCATCTAGAAAGCGTCTTATGATGATAAATGGTTATACATTAATTAACGTTAAATAAATCAGTGGTGGCCTAGTGGATAAAAGGCCCGCCTTACATGCAAGAGGGCGCGGGTTCGATCCTGGCCCTGGCAAGTACCAATGTGATTTTTCCGAGTCATATATACTTTCTAAGAGTATTTAGACATTACTGATTAATGCATTCCCAAATTTTGTTGTGTTGTAGCAATTTTAATCCTTAATGATTATTATAAATTACTTTTTATTTTTGTTGATTATTGCTTAAATCTTTTTAAATCCCTATTGTAATGATGTTTAATCAGACATTGCGTATGTTTTTATATAATTTTAGGTCAATTCGTGGAATCGATGGATGGTGCAAAGTTCTTTCTACTAGATGGTTACACTTTTAGTAGAAATAGTGTATTCGGCAATGGGACCGTGAGGTACGCTTGTCGGAAACGTCTCTCGAAGAAATGTCCAGCGTTCGTAACTATATCAAAAGACAGAGTTATTGTGAAAATGAGAAATGAACACAATCATGAACCCCCAGGATATGCCTTCACGAAAGCAGGACATTTTGTGAAAACTTGATTGAAAATGACACTTAGAAACATTTGAAAAAATCTCAGAAGGGAACTATAAAAGCGATTATTTTATTACCTTGTTCACATAATATGTATCTTTGTTATCAAGTACTATGACAAAAATGTATCTTCATCGAATATTAGAGAATAGGTTTCAATTTGATAATCTTTGAAACTCATTTATAACAAAGTCAGATATTTTGTGATCGTGAAAAAACTATTTTCCTTTTTTTATATCAATAAAAATAAATAAAATTAAAAAAAATTGTTTCAGTAATTCCTTTTCAGATTTCAACCGGAATTAACAGGCAAATAATAATTAAAATTAAGTATTATTTCGGTAAAGTAAGTAAAAAAAGTAATTTATGAATGAAAAACTATTAACCGTATGTAGTTGTACACCTTTCAAGGACAGATACTATACACAATCTTTAGATTTTTTCACATACATTACATAAATTATTTTATTTTCACATTGATAATTAAATTCATATTAATCTTCTTGAGCTATTTTTTTAACTATACCCATACAAATCAAGTGGAAATCTGAAATAATTATACAATTTCTACTCCTTAGATAAAATGATTCAGCTTTCATCTGGAAAGCGTCTTATGATGATAAATGGTTATACATTCCATTGTACTGGACTCAAGAGAAAATTAGGAGTGCGTTGGCAATGCTCTGGTAAAAATAGGGGATGCAACGCCAATTATTACGTAAACGAAGAGAACGGTAAAATTCTGGCAGTGACAAAAAAACATTCACACGAACCGCCTCGGTACAGAGAAGTTAATGGATTTCATTATAAAATTTAATTCATTGACTATATTTTACTATACTGTTAATACAATTTATTCATTGTTAAAAAATCCATATAAACATGTATCAAAATATTCGTTTTTATTTTGGAATTTACAGCTACATGCTATACGAAACTTGCGAGAAAATGAACGATATATAAAATTTAATACATCCCACTAATATTATAAGTGCGAAAGTAACTCTGTCTGTCTGTCTGTTACGCTTTCACTCCTAAACCACTGAACTGATTTTAATGAAATTTGGTACAGAGATAGAGTTGACCTTGAGAATGAACATTGGATAGTTGTTATCCCAGACTTTTAAAAAGTTCTTTTGGAAATGCGATATAACCGAACCACGCGGGCGGTAAGCTAGTATAAAAATATGGCTTGAAAAAAACTTGTAATCTATGTACACATTTCTATCACAGACGCGTACTTCATAACACTGATAAACGGAACGGTGTTAGTAATGATCGGTGACTATTCCTACCACAAAATAGCTGGAGTTAAGTACTGTGGTGGCATTAGGTGGCAGTGTTCCTCCAGAAAGAGGACCAAGTGCAAAGCTTTCGTGATTATCTCAGAGGACAATGAGACCCTTCAACGTGTACAGGGAGATCACAATCACGAGCCACCAGTTTACAAACAAATTGGAGGACTTTATATGAGAATTTGATTATTATAACTACTCTTATTTTTTTTAAGTCATAAAATATTTGACATCAGTTATACAGTTTGATTATGTTCAGGATTTTTGCTAAGAGACATTTAAATTAATGAAAATAATGTATTGGGATTTTGTTCACAAATGTTGTTAAATATTTTACTTGTTCATAAATTGATAGCAGGTCAATGACCCCTAATAAGATCAATAGACATATGATATCACCCTGACTTCTCATCATAGTTGGTTACACAAATAAGAACTATGTGTAAAAATACCATACTTTTGAAATTAAAAGAATATTTTTTGGATTATGTACCTACGTGTGTTTTTATTATTTTATACCACGTACTCCCAAATATTCGGCTACTTTGTAGCAACTGATCACGGTAAGAAATGAACGCGTAGTAAATCCGAAAAATATCACTTTTATTTCAATTAATATTCGCGAAAGTCTTAGATCTCATTCTATGTACCATAGTTTTATTAAGATATACAGTATATTTAATTTTTTAACAACACTTTATAATTACTAAAAAAAATTACACACTACTAAAAACTCAAAAAATATAGAGATAGGATGAAGTGAGTTTGTTTCTCATGTTATAATAGATTCCTCAATTTATTGCCCTTCGGATAATAGAAATCTGTTACCCATACTAACAAGACATCACCATTATTCGTTAGATTTAAACAAAAAACTTACTCCTCACCTAAAATATAATGTATAAATTAACTTCATATACAATTAATATATCACCATATAACTAACTTATACCCATGAACTAAACAGACATATCACTCACTTAATTCATACCCACAGATGCACAACTCATTCAACTGACCAGCGGTGCGACACTTCTTGTCATTGACAGATATTCCTATCATAAAATCTCTTCATCGAAATACGGAGGTGGCTACCGGTGGCGATGTTCTTCGAAACAGAAGGAAAAGTGTAAGGCTTTTGCTGTAGTTTCAAAAGAAGACGACGCTATCCTCAGGGTATGTGGACATCATAACCACAGTCCACCCATGTACAATCAGACACCATCAGGTTTTATGAGGATTATACGCTAACTCGACTGTACTGATAAAAAATGTTCACATAGATCTGATATCAGTGAAGTTTTATATTAATTTAAATGTGCCATATCTTTATCCAAATATTATTTATTTCCTAGCTAGTATTTTTTTTTATATAAAAGATTTTATGAACCAGAATGTGTTGCTTTTTATTTAAATAATAATTATCATACTTATACGAATTATAATACAGTTATAAATAAAATAAGTTTAAATTTTCAGACACTCATTTTATTAACTTGCCTAATGGGAAGGTTCTTCTTATGGTGGATGGATATACTTTCCATAAGGGGGGTGGGCATATACGATGTTTTGGAGGGGTTAAGTGGCGTTGTTCTGCCTCCAAGAAGAGATGCAATGCCTACGTAGCAATATCTGATAATGACGAAGTAGTGATAAGATACAGCCTCAATCACAACGGTCATGAACGCCCCGTATATAGAATTGACAAAACTGGAACCTATGTTAAAATTTCATAATTCTAATGTTATTCGTTTAAATATGTAATGTATGATTAAAATACATAAGTATATATATGATTTTTCTTAAATTAATGTAATAAATCTCTACGTATGTTGAGTATTATTTTATAGTTATAATTGTATAAAAATGAAAAAAAGATAAGAAACTTAAAGAGATTATATTTTTGTATCTCTAGATTGATCTGACAATGATTTTTTTTTGGATCCATTCAGAAAAAGTAAAGATAAAGCGTGTAAATTGGAACTGAATTAAATAAATGGTTTACAAAAACCTGTTAATTTGAGATGACATAATTTTGATCAAATCGTGTCATAAATGTGCATTAAAATTTCCAGTGTATGTTTTTTTTCATATAAATTCATAGTAGAAGAAATATGATAAAAACAATTTGTTACCAAATAAAGTCACGAATACTTAAAATTGACTTATTAAATGTTTTTTCACCGAATATATATTTTTTCTTTTATTAGGTAGTTTGATCTCTAGCTCTAAAAACGTCTCTTTAGAATTCCACGAAGAATAAAAATTATAATACAGAAAAAAGTTTCCTTTAAAAAAATATAACAGTACCATTGTATATGTAAAACATTAAAATTGAGATATATAAATAATTCTAATCAAATCAAAATTTAATAATACACTGGTCAATATTTTTGACCGTATTTTTATTTTGTAGATATTAAAGAACTCACGTTTGTCACTACCAATTTCCGTGGAGTGAAAGTCTCTAGGCGCAAAGCGGGACGTTGCTCATTCTGTTCGACTGCAAAAAATCGCAAAACAAGATACAATTGTAGATATTGTCAAATATACTTCTGCTTAGAGCACGCCGCGATGATCTGTGACAATTGTTATGTATCAAAATGCTGTTGACTTTTAGTAAAATAAGCAATGTTTTTATGATGCGTATACTGTTTTTCCTTCATCTCATGTTGTGTTTGTTTTTTGTTTTGTTTAAAAAACCTGTAACTGACATGAAAAAAGACTGGTGAAGAATATTTTACCGATTCTAAACCAGAGATACCTCGTTCGACTTGTATTAAAAAAATAAAATCTGCTTCTGTCTAAAAATTCATTTTATATTTTCTCTTTGATTTTTGTTTTAAAAAATTATTTCGATAAGTACGTCAGTAGAATACCATATATGTATTTATTCAATTGTTAAAGAACTACTGTTACATAAATCCATTTTAAATATGATTTTATTTAATTTTATTTCTCATTTTGTGCCGAGTAGATGAGATTTCCTATATTTATTAAATTTAAAATTACATATATGTATAATTTTATTTCAGCTCGTCTAATAACAATGGAGACTGATCGTAAGTGCCTTGTATACCGTGGTTTTACATTTTTCTTCCGTTACAACAACAAGACCGGCCAGCGTTGGGTCTGCAGTAATTTCCCACGCTGTAAATCATATATCTGTACCGACGATGACTTCCACGTAATAGAAGCTAATACAACACATAATCATTCGCAGAAAAAACTATATTTATGTCCGAATGGGAAATATATTAAAGTCTAACATACAATAAATAATTTATTTTGATTATTAAATCATTCGTTTTCTTTATTATTTTTATATAACGTTACCAATAGCAATTAGATTAGAGATTCCTAATAGTTATAATTGTTTTTTTTTTTATTATTAATTAAAGCTCACATGATAACAATGTCTACTGGGAGAAAGTCTTTAGTGTATGGAGGGTACACGTTCTTCTTGAGGAGTATTCGAAGGTCTGGACAGAGGTGGGTTTGCACAAACTTTCCAAGATGCAAGTCATATCTTTGCGTCAACGATTTTCTATTCATACTCCACTGCAGAACAGATCACAACCACGCCATGAAGAAGCTGCAAATTTGCCCCAACGGGACGTATGTTAAGAGAAAGATTAAATGAATCACAGTGTTATATGTTTGTAAATATATATTATGTTTTACTATATATTATGTGCTTTAATATTTTATATCCATAATATTACTTATTATTCAACTCTAACCTAGAGAAATGTATGTCAGTAATAATTTTATATACAATTAATGCAACATAAAATTAATACAAATTTAAGAATTTTACGAATATATATAGCAATTAATTATACTTTATATTGTTTTAACTATCAAATATTTGCAGCACACATGATTACTACCGCTCACGGTAAGAACTGGCTGGTTTACGACGGGTATACATTCTACTTTCGGTACAGGATGAGAGTTGGACAGAAGTGGGTATGCACCAACTTCCCTCGCTGCAAAGCCTTCCTATGCGTCAACGACCATTATGACGTCATCGATTGCGTCATAGACCACTCTCATTTCAAACGCATATTACAACTATGCCCGGACGGTAAATATATTAAGACAAGAGTGAAATTAATTTAATTTACTTATATAATAAGTATGTTGATTCTTCTAAATTTTATTGAATGCTCGTAAATAGAGGTATATATAAATATATATGTATATGAATGTTATAATGTTTCTCATGATAATATAGTGCAATTTTATTTCAAAGGCTTATCTTATATCGTCGTTGTAGTTATTACGTACAAAACAATGATCTCCAATGTGTTTGTATCTTAGGTGTAAGAAAATAGTTTATAATATAAGTGTCTAATTTATTTTATTTAGCATTGTCTCGCTAAAAGGTATCGTTATTGCAAATTTAATTCTAGTTATATGTTATATACCCTCTCACAGAAGATCGGCGTTACGTAGCCTTTTATGGGTGCCTTTCGTCCGATGAGTGAGAGAGCGTGTCGCCCTTTCCCTTTCCTACCTCTTCCCTTTTCCCTCCCTTTCCCACTTCTTTCTCCCCCTCTTTCTTAAAAAAGGGTGGGAACATAACCGCAAAACTATGTTGCGGATGTCCATGGGCGACGGTACTACCTCCATCAAGTAGGCCGTCTGCTCGGTTGTCATCTTTAGCATAAAAAAATATATATTTTTATAATATAACAAATATAACTTTGTTAAAATCTATCGTGAGTTTCCTGATTATTATTGTTTGAGAATTATATCTTTGTCAGTCTTAAAGAACGCGCTCTTGAACGCTCTTGAAATCTGATGAAGCATATACGTGGTTATAAAAACACTAATTTTCCTTAACATAGATAAAATTTTAAATAGAATAGATGTATTTATTCTGTTTGAAGCAAAATATTGTGATGTTTAAATATTTTATGCTCGATGATCATTTTTGTTGCAAAGTTAATATGTAATGTTACGTTTTAAAATTTTATTCCTGCATGTTACCAATGGTTACCAATGTTGTAATATTTTATTAATTATAATAAAGAAATGTAAAATTGTTTTTATTGATAATTTTGCCCTTTCAAAGGCACGTTATAGGTTTCTACCTATTAAATTGGAAGCCTCAGAATGACCTAAACATTACTTGAGAAGAATCAAGAATCAAGAATTAAATATCGTCATCAGCCTATCACAGCCAATTGCAAAGCAAAGGCCTCTTTCTCACATGGAGAAGGTTTGAGCATTAATCACCACGGTTGCTCAAGACGGGTTGGTGATTTCAAACTTATAATTGTGAAACTATAAGTCCAGGTTTCCTCACGATGTTTTCCTTCACCGTATGTCAGTGATGTCTTAATACTAATTAAATATCACTTCATTCATATTATAGGTTATATTTAATGCCTTTAAGTTACAGTGTGGTTAATAAAAATATCGAACAAAAAACATTTGTATTCTTTCAACACTGTCATGGTGGCCTAGTGATTAAAAACCCGCCTCTAATGCTTGAGAGCGCGGGTTCGAAACCTGGGAGGTACCAATGTGATTTTTCCTATTCATATGTACTTTCTGAGAGTATTTAGACAATACTGACAGACGGTGAAGAAAAACATCGTGGGGAAACCTGGACTTATAATTTCTAATTATAAGTTTGAAATCACCAACCCGTCTTGAGTAAGCGTGGTGATTAATGCTCAACTATGCTCCATGTGAGAGGAGGCCTTTGTTCGGTAGTGGGCTCTTACAGGTTAATCGTGCTACCTTCAACACGATGGGTATTACTTATTTGTCTGATACTCAATGAAATAGGCCAGAAATGGGTTTGTACTTTGTACCATGTACTCGAAATGCAACGCGTATGTGTGTGTAAATGGGAAACTTCATCCTCAATGGAACTCCTTATTAAAACCACGACAAGAAAAAGTTACTTTTATGTGCCAAATGATACAAAAAAAATTAGACTTAAATTAATTATCACTATGGTTAAAGATCTTTATTCTCATAAGAACATACATAGGTTCAATTACATGAGATTAAATAATGTTACATATATACATTAATACATGGAATGGCTAGTACTACTTAATATTGTCTAATATATATATTTTAAGTTTATTTTAATGATGATTCAATGAGAGAAAGTTTGAATTCATTATTACTGATATTTGTAGACACATGATCGAGAATAGTTTTTGTTCTTGAAGTTTCACGAGTACAACATTTTTCATCACTTTTATTCAGTATCTCATACCCCGCTTCATGGAGATTGGTTAAGTATTGTTCGATATATTTGTGCTCAATAAATCTAAATTAAAATCACCAAAGACAATTGACGTCTTCCTTCTTTCAATTTGCATTGTATACACCTTCAAAAAATTCGTAAAATCAGTGTTACCTGGTTTGTAATCACCTCCTACATTTAAAGACATTTTTGGTATATATGTATATCCTATGGATATATATACCACTATCTATGCCGTGATTATAGTTTTCATGTAAATTTTCAGTTACGTCGTATTGAATACTGTTATGAATAAAGATCACAACTCCGCCACCTTTACAATTTTGTCTATAATTGTAGATATGTGTATAGTATTTAATTTGTTCTGGGTCGCATCATCTTCTGATGATTATAATTATTACGGAGTGTTGGAGGTCAGTTTAGTTTTTTGGAGCATTATTAATTATAATTATTTTAGGTACACCATTTATGTATTTTATAGCCAGGTCAGATTCACCTGAATCTTCTCTTGCTTTAGTTCAGAACGAAGATACTTCATATAGTTTTTCTGAGCCACTGTTTGATCGGAATAAATTTGTATATTTTGTGACAATTTAGATTTATTTCATAATAGGTATTTAGGTGTATCAACATTTGGAAAGCATACTTTTATCGGCCGGTTTTTATCTGGAATGTATTTACCAAGTCTCATTCATTTTAAAGGAGCAGGACAATTTTCATACAATGTAATAATTTTTAATATTTCTTCATTATCATATTTTTGTCTGATGGTATAATTTCTATTATTTATTTTTGGAATACCCACTATAATAATATTTTTTTCTCTGTCGCAGCGGTCTTTAAACTGTAAAATATGTAATTTCGTTTTCAATATGTTTAATTTTTTCTTGGTTTAATTTATTTTCCTTTTTTATTATTTGTAAATCTTTATTTATATTTTTATATTGCATAGTTAGATCTTCGGAAGCAGATTTGATATTTTTAATTTCATTGTTTATTTCCATCATTTCCTAGCGAATTTGAGCCATGTTTTCATTTTGAGTTTTTGCAAATCCGTCTAATAATTTCATTATGTCAGCACGAAAATCAGCAAAATCTTTTTTATAGTCATATTCGTGACCCCGTTCTTTTCGCTTTCGTGGGTATATGTTTACATTTAATTCGTCTTCATCATAATTAGATAAATTCGATGTGGAACCTTCGGCGCTTCCGCTGCCTCTTGTAAGCTTTCCGCTAGACGGTGACGCTTGTGCACTCATCTTTATGCTAGCTTATCCGTCGAAAGCCGAGAGACAAAGATAAAAAATTGCAACGATTCGAGGCGAGGCACTGCGCTCGGGACGAGTGCATTTAAACATACGTTCAAACTTTGATAGTATTGTTTTGCACTTTATGACTCAGGTAATTAGCACTAAAATCACTTAACACCGTTTATTTTATTTTGCGAGAATATTAGTTGTTTAGAGCTCTGTTGTACACGTCCACGCACTTCCATGTATTCTTCAGTATCACTAACAAATTACTTTAAACATTTAATATTTTCTACTGTTAAATGAAACAAGAAGATATAATTATGTATATTATTTTGTTAATTTATATATACCGTATTTATATTTTATTCTTTTCAGTTAATATTATAACAATGATGAATGGAAAAAAGCTAGCAACATGCCAGGGATACACATTTTACAAGAGGTATTCAAGTAAGAACCGTAGCACATGGTGTTGTACCGTTTTCCCTAAATGTAGCGCCTACCTTAATGTTGACGCCTCAAACACAGTGATCAAGGCCGATTTAAAACACAACCACAGAAAGAGATTACTTTACAAAACTACCAACAATATGCGTGTGTGAAAGGCAGAACTATAGTTTATTCAAAAACTAGTTTTCCCCGTGACTTCGTCTCCGGGTTTGTTATATGGGTATAGCTGACCAGGCGAACTTTATTCCGCTCTTGATGATGTAATAACCAGATTTTGGTGTCTATTAAGATTTTTTTTTTCGATCGAATAAAATTTAACATCCTATGTACGTCTCCTGGTACTAAGCTATGCTCCCACCAATTTTCTACCATATATCTACAGCCGTTGTCCTGTTATAAATGGTGTAACTAACACAACTTTCCTTACTATTACAAATACTTTATCATTTACAAAAAATCTTTCTTCGACAATGATTTTTTATACATAATGTTAAAATAAATAATTCAATAATAAACATTTTATTTAAATATTATATTAAAGATCATTCAATCAAGATTACTAAAAGGTAACTAAAATTTTTCAAGTACTAAATTTATTCTATAAAATAATATGAAAAAATATATCAGAAAATAAATTTAGATTTTAATATAATATGTTGAATAAACTAAACTAAATACATACATATGTTTCAGTACAAATGATAACAACTGTTCACGGTAAACAGTACATGAAGTACCGTGATCATTACTACACACGGACGCCTAATTTAGAGAACCGTTGGCGTTGCATAAATACTCATCACTGTTACGTGAGTTTATACGTGGATCAATACTTCAACATAATCCGTCAGCCAAGAGAACATGATCACCAACCGAAGCTGTTCTATAGAACCCTCAATGGAACTTACAAGTTAGCCAAGAAACGAAGACCCCGCCAACTAAATGCCATTCCATTACTTACGCCAATCACATTCTGCCAAGTTAAATATTAAGATGAAATTTAAAGGATCTCATTAGTGTTTTAACAAAAGAATAGGTTCAAACCTATAAATATTTACATAGTTACCTCATATTAAATTTAACCTAATCAATTATAGGTCAGTCACAAGCGTAAAGTTCAAAATCAGCTTTGTAATAATAAAACTATGTAGTTGAGGTACTAGCCCAATGTATAGTCTTTTAGTCCACAGATATAATGAGCCAGTATAGACGCTTTGTTCTTTATTATCAACTAGCTTTCCGCCCGCGGCTTCACCCAAGAGAACTTTCCAAAAGTCTGGGATAAAAACTATCCTATATTCTTTCTGAAAGTAAACTCTATCTCTGTACCAAATTTCATTAAAATCAGTTCAGTGGTTTAGGCGTGAAAGCATAACAGACAGACAGAGAGAGTTACTTTCGCATTTATAATATTAGTAGGGATGAACTTAGTTGTGGTTTTAGATTTATGCTATATACACAAAGTATTATTTCTCGCTTATTTATTATAAGTCTGTTTTTATTCTTAATTCATTTATACACTTAGCATCAATTTTTTCTTAATTCTTTTTTCTAATAGCTCTCTAAAGATTAAGTATAAAAAATATATTCGTATATACTCAATGTTATCTTTTTATGTAAATTATTTAATAAATTTATTTAAATTTGTTATTTATTAAGTACATCTAAGGTGTTAATTTATATATTTTATGTCCTAAATTCAGTAAAATGTATTGTATTATTTTATTAATAGTAAATATATATTGAAGTAATGTTCCGTTCTATTGCCTTGTGAGATTAACTGAAACATATCGAAGTGTTTTTCTTTTATTATAAAGCATTATTTATATACTTATCAGATTACCAATTGAAGGTGTAATAAATATTAAGTCCTGCAAATTAACTCGAACTAATAAAATATAAAAATTTCTGCGTGGAGTATATATTACGTATATATGTAAAGACATATATACTAATATTCAGATTGGAAAGAACATATAAAAAATGTTGAATTAACAAAAAAAAAATATCGTAATTGTTACTACTTTCTATAAAATGTTTCATCACGAATCAAAAAGTCGAATAAATGACTTTTGCGACGAATTTTTTTTTTTGTATATTATTATTATTATTTTCATCAAATTGAATAAAACAAAACGTCTTTCAGGGAGATTAATCACGCTGAGTAGCGGTAAATCTCAGATGCTGTACAACGGGTATACATACTTCAAGCATTACAAAGTCAGAAACCTGATGCGTTGGAGTTGCACCAACTATCCTAGGTGCAAAGCGTACGTGTTTGCTGATGATGATTTAAACATCGAGACGATAAAAAACGAACACAACCACAAAATTAGACAACTACATAAAACTGTTGATGGGACTTATTTCAAGATATAGAAGACTAGTTTCTGCCTGCTACTTCGTTTGATGAGTTTTCGAATTAGGCTCAAAGGAAAATGTATGCGTGTTAAAACATAAGATACATAATAATCAATCGGCAGCGACATTATTTTTAAATTTTATCAAAATCGGTTACTTCAGCGTGAATGTACGACAAATATCTGTACAGTCTGACAATTTTTCTCATAATATTAATTGTATAATCCGATTTAAAAATTACTTTGTAACCGCGATGTCTGATTTGTCACGGTTATAAAATAATTTGTCCTTGATGAGAATTAAATGAAAACAATTATTGTATGATGTTATATAAAAGTTACTTAATTCCATTTTTTTTTATTTAACGGGTAAACGGCGTTGTATGAAGATATGGTTCAAATTCTCATATTATATCATAAAAAGCGGAATATACATTGAAGAGGAACCTAAAAATTAAAAAAATATTTGCATTTTTCTTCCTATTTTTAAATGGAATGTAAAATCTTCTCAAATATAAAATCAATTTATTTTAAATTCAGTTTTAAGATTGAAGACACAAAGTGCTAATATTTAATACTATTATTATTATTTGAAAAATATCGAGATATTTATTTGTGGAAAATTTTTAAATATTTCGTTTTCCTAGCATTCAATGTGATGACTTCAGAGATAGAACAATTGTTTTATTTTTATTTTACACTCATAGAATGGCCAAGGTATTTTTAGCTTTTTTAGAGCGTTACAATATTTATATATTTTTTATTTTATTATATAAACTTATCAATCAGAAGTAATTCTTATAATAACGGTGCTATTGATTAGTGTCTCAAATGTATTAGTACCGAGATATATAGTATTTAACAATGTATTTGAATTACTCTAAGAATTTTTAAAATTTTTTGGTTCTTTTTTAACTGACAATTACATAATAATACGCCAACAAAGCAGTAAAAATTACTATATATATAACCTGCTATTTATGCCTTTTCAATTATGTTTTAATTAACCAAAAAAATCTATTATGTTAGTTATTTAATAAAGTGGTCCATGTAAATACATATGCCCTTATTTAGATATTTGTTCTTATTTCTATATTTTTCCCGGCGTTGTTAATTGGTTTTCAACAGATAGATAATATTTGTAGGTTCCAAGTTTCACATAAAAAAATTAAATTAATCTTCTTTACATAAATCATAGATATTGTGTATTTGTTAGTTTAATATCTATATTCTAGTTATCAATAATTTATCAGTATTATATACACAAAAAGAAATAAGGAGAATCTAATTTACACTAACTGTCCTGTAAAATGGATTGAAAAATTAATATTATTTTACTCGAAACCCTCATACAATTTTATTTAATACGTATCTTATAATTATTATATATATATATATATATATATATATATATATATATATATATATATATATATATTCATCTCACTCTCACTCACGGTTTAATGGTTTTAATTAAATGGTTTTTATTTAAATCAGTAGTGATTTCTTTTTATAATTGACCAACATTGACAACGAAACAATACAAATACAAAGAATAACATCGTAACCATTTAGGACAAACACTCATCTCATCTGCCCGTGATCATGGTTACTGCAAAGTAACTGAAACGTCGAGAGTATGTAGATAAAATAATAAAAATCGTGTTGTGAATCCGAAAATATTATTTTTATTATAAGGAATACTCGCGAAAATCTCATCACTTAGGACAAAGTCAAGTAACGAAAGCATACATGAGACATAATTAATTCTAAGACTATTTCTGATACATACTTTATGCACATATACTAAACATGATTTGATTTGGAACATATAATCAACAATAAACAAATATAAAATGAAGCTCATAATTATCAGATAATTTTCATCTCGTCTACCCCTGGATACAGTTGCTGTAGAGTAATCGTAAATAAAGTAACGCGTAGTTATCCAAAAAAAGCATAGTTTTGATATGAAAAGATATTAAAAGTATAGTTTTTGCCAGTTTTCTGTACATTATATTTTATTTCAGCATCCCTCATCCAGACTAAAGAAGGTAGAGCGCTGTTGAAATATCAAGATTATTATTACTGTAAGGTGTTTGGGCTAAAGAATAAGTGGAGGTGTATTTCCACGAATATCTGCTACGCGTTTATTCACGTTGATAGCGACTTACACGTTTTGAACATGAAAGGGAATCATTGTCACTTTCCAGCGATTTATAAGAGACTCAGTGATGGAAAATATACCTTAATTAGACGACGTAACGCTCAAAATAGATTTTTATGAGGACTATACTTTCTGTAAATATAGTTATGGTTATATTTCTTATATATTTTTGTTCAGTTCATAGTTGTAGATTGAAAATACATGAAGAAACGTGATCCAAAAAATATTTCGTAATTGGTTTGGTAAATAACGCATATTTATTCAGAGAAAGAGAGAGAGTTATTGAATTTAAATTATCAATTCTATGCACATTGTACACAAATTCTACGTGATGACAAATAAAATATTTACTTAAAAAATATATTTTTTCCTAAATATTACGTATTCGTTATTAAATTTCTTTTTTTTATTTATTAGTACTATTTAACCAATACTTAATTAATATAAGTTAAGGTAAATATAAAAAATATATCTTTATTAATTATTTTTTTTGACATGCGACAGAAAACCAGTAGTAAATGGTGAAGCATACGTTTAATAAATGATGTATGGATGGATTCTAAGTCATCACCTTCTATTCCAGCCCAGCAGATATTAACAAATGATGGGAGGATGTTTCTTAAATACAGAGGATTCTATTACTCTAAAGTAGCCAAGAGTAGGTGCAGATGGCGCTGTGTCTGTACGAAGACTTGCTACGTGGGTCTGACTGTGTACCCAGACCTTACACCCGTACGAGAACCTGGTAAACATCACCACGACCCAACCATGCTTTGCAGGATGAGCAACGGCAGACACATGTTCGTGTCTGATATAAAAAGATACTCAAGATGTCTGGGAGGTTCGAAAATATATCCGTCGTATAATTTATACCCATCGGCCGCTATGTCGGTGTACCCCGGATCTGTCAGCGACAGGGCACACCAGCGACTGGCCGGTCCTGGCAACGACCGGACTTACTCCCTCGGAGTCGTATAATTTATACCCATGTAACATATTCTAGTTTAGATTAGTTTCATATGTATAATAAATTACCAGCATATCTGTCAATCTATTATTTCCGAAATAAATAGATTTTATGATAGAAAATAAGTATTAAAAAAATATCCGATGCTTAACTTAACATACAATTGTACTAATGAGGCCCAAGGTTAGTAAACGAAATTAAATACCCAGATTCAAAATGCATATAGCAATAAAGATATTGTAATTTTAAAATCTCAATGAAAACTTGAACAGAAGCTATAAAACAGTTCTAGTAATATGTTTAATAACTAAAGATTTTGGGGACAGAATCAATTCCAACAGGAAAAATAACCATCTCCAATAAAAATTAATATACTGACGTTTAATTTTATTTTCCTTAAATATATGATTAAAGAAACAACCTTTATGCATGAATATATACGAATTTTATACATACATATAATCAAGAAATCATTTTCAGCTGAACTAAAAGCCATCACATTGGTAAATGGTAGAAATTATTACCTTTACAAAGGCTATACTTACTCTTCAAGATGCAAAACGAAGATGGGAAATCGTTGGAGGTGTACGAATACTTCTGATTGTAAGGCTTACATTGTAATATCAGATGAAGGGTGTTTTGTTAAGGCCTACGGAGAACATGCTCACAAACAGCAGAAGTTCCATATCTTGAGCGACGGCCGATACGTCAAGATTTAAATCAAAGAAGATATGTGACTTAACTATTATATTTCTTATAAAAGACTTAAGAATAATTGCATTTTTCCGAAATAAATAGATTTAATGATTGTTAGTATATTTTTGCGTCGAAATAAGTTTTAAAAAATATCTAATGTTTAACTTAACATACATCAAACTGTAGAGGAAGGGGTGGTAATTTAGAACCCCACTTTGTTTTTTGAGTATTTTAAGAAACTTATTTGACTATCATCACAAGACTGTATCTTTATATTTAAAAACTTATTAGCTTATATATTAGAAACTAATTTATAAAATAAAATCACCCATTATAAGAAATAACTTGCTTTATTGGAAAAATACAAAAAAATGTGTTCGATGCTCTGGTGCTGATATCATGGAACCCGGGTTCTAAATTACAAGTATGGAATTAATTTACTTGCAAAAATCACATACATAATACTCCGTGTCGCATCCTGAGCATTCAATATGTGGTTACAACCTACATGATTGGCACTGAATCCCTTTAGATCGTTGGAGTAATTTTCAGAACAAAAAATGCAACAAACTTCATCTCGGTTTGTGGGCTGGGCGTACACGGCAGCATTTATATAATTGCATATTTCCGAAATAAATATATTTTATGATTGTTAGTAAGTATATTTTTGCTTCAAAATAAATATTTAAAAAATATCGGCTGCTTAACTTTACACACATACAACTGTACTGAAGGTTTGTAAATCAAATTAAATACTCAGCTTGAAAATGCACATAGCAATAAAGGTATTGGAATTTTAAAATCTCAATGAAAACTTTAACAGAAGTTATAACAGTTCTAGTACTCCAAAAATAAATAATTACAAATATGTTTAAATATAAGATTTTGGAGACAGAATCAATTCTAACAGTAATTAACGATAATCATGTCCAATAAAAATTAATATACTGACGTTTAATTTTATTTTCCTTAAATATATGATTAAAGAAACAACCTTTATCCATAATCATGTACGAATTTTATACATACCAATAATCAAGAAATCACTTTCAGCTGAAATAAAAGCCATCACATTGGTAAATGGTAGAAATTATTACCTTTACAAAGGCTATACTTACTCTCCAGGATTCAAGTCAAAGACGGGAAAACGTTGGAGGTGTACGAATACTTCTGATTGTAAGGCTTACATTGTAATATCAGATGAAGGGTTTTTTGTTAAGGCCTACGGAGAACATGCTCACAAACAGCAGAAGTTCCATATCTTGGGCGACGGCCGATACGTCAAGATTTAAATCAAATGAGATATGTGACTTAACTATTTTATATAAGAGACTATCATAATTATAATTCAATATTCTTATTGAAAGATAAATGTATCAATTATAAGGAAGTTTGTAATAAAATGTGCATGTTAAGTTTAGACTGATATGGAATAAACTGTAGCTAAATAAAAGATCGAATGATTTCCATTTTCTTTTTTTTTTCATTTGAAGTACATCACTTGTGGATTGTGAGGTACATATCTAATTGTATCACAGTTTCCTTTGCCAAATCTCAAAGGGGGGATCGGTTGATATTTGCAACGGTTATATTGATACAGCCTTCAAAAATCACGAAGGGAAGACTTTCAATGGCGTTGCACCATGACCCACCTCATCACTGGCAAACGGTGTACTGCGAAATTAATAACTAGGTACCACAAATTATAAAGTTATTGAATTTATCAAACAACACATACACTCAGCCGAAGTTTGGCAAAAAAAAAATGCAGTATTAAGGATTTATTAAAATAAGACTGCTGCTAGAATAAAATACTACATATATTCTTCTTTAGCATTCTAGAATACACCTATTTGTCACATAGATGCCAAATATTGAAGGTACATAGATATATATTAATTAGAATTAATTCGTTATTCTAATTTAATTGTCATTTCTTATTTTATAATAACTTGGGACTAATGGGTAGTTTTTGCAGGCACTTTATTATGGACGAAAAGAGGTGGGAAACATCCTCTACTTCTGCTCTGTGGGTTCACGTACAGCTTTCAAAAACGTAACGCCGATGGCAGAGTGTCGTGGTACTGTTCACGAAGACTGAAAGGCTGTAAAGCGGCTGCCATCAGTTTCGGGAGTCAAGCCTACTCTTACAAAGACCACAATCACCCACCACCAAGAATACCGCAATATCTAAACTGTCAAACGTGAATAACCACAAAATATTTTAATTCATATAATTTTATTTATACGACGTGACGCTACGGTTGTGTCATAAATGAATTTCATTTAGTATAAACTATTTATATATATTGTAATGTTTAAGTAGATAATATCAAATATATAATAATTATCGTTCTATTACATTGTTTTATTGCAATTTATATCTAAAAAAGTTGAAATGCTGTAATAAATGATATTACTATTTAATAACTAAATAAAAATATATAGCGTTTTTTGTTGTTGTACCTCTTTAAACTGTTTTTTATATAAATCAATTTCATTCAAGTTAAAAATTCGCCTAATTTAGATATATAATTTTTATTTTAAAAAGGCTATTATTTTGCCTTAAGTTATATGTATCATATGTTATAAATGTAATATAATATATAATATGTATCATATGTTATAAAAAATATGCAAAAGAGTAAATCGGTATTCGTTTAAGAATAATTCTACATTCGAGAAAAAAAGAATCGGCAATTGAAAAAGAATAATGAATATACATAAATTTCAGTTATATTTAATATTTTAACAATAATCTAGATATATCTAGACAAATATAGTACATAATTTATTAATTCGTATTGTAATTACGAGGATTTTTTATAAATCATGAATATATTAAAATATAGAGATATTTTGACACTTACGGATCGGTCTTAAACGAATACTCAAAGGCAAGTATTTTTTTAAACAACGCTGTCATTATCTGACCCACAATCTGCATCAATACTTTTTAAAATAAAAATATATCTATGTTACTCTGAAACGACTAATAAATTATTATTGTTGATATCATAAATACTCGTATGAAGTAAAAGTGCGATTTAAGTAGCAAATAGTTTAGTTAAAAATTAAATTCACTACAAATTATATACAATTTGATATTGCTATCTTATTTTAGTTTATATTATGTTTAATTTATCTTTATTAAAGTGGTTAAAGCCAATATCATTGTCATAAAGAAAACATAGTTTTAATTATATTGGTATGTATTAAATAAACATAAAACTTTTTTTGTAAAAAGGAAGGAATATGTATTATTTTATAAAAAAAATGAACTTAACCATAAAAATGTCTTTGTACTTCAGACATCCTTTTAAATTGGTGTTACAGCCTACAATATAAGAAATTTCCCAGGCCTAGAAATTCTAAATAACTCAAATAAGAGTTCAGAATAAATATGATAAAATGTACATTTATAAGATAAGATAAGATAAATTATAAGATAAATTTATTTAAGTAGGTATATATATGTTTTTTGTCAACGTATGTAATGCACTCCCCTGGGGTTAATTAGTTTTTTCAAAATATTCGCAAAAGGTATAAAAAAAAAGAATATTAAGTTTTACAGTGGAAAATGATTGTATCAAAAATAAGTATAAGGTAAAGAGGTAATTTCATTAAAAGAACAGGTAAAATATAACTCATGATAACTTCGACAGGGCTTTAATAAAACTGGTATGATTTATGCTTTTAGGGGCTCTGATACCTTCGGGAAAAGGGAAGCATCCGTTGCTGTTGTACAAAAATTATACCTACACGTACAAAGTGCTCTCAGGTACTGGGGTACTCTGGCATTGCTCCAGACGGACCAGGACCGGCTGTAAAGCCTTCATTAAGTCATATCCACACGAGATGTGCAGAATACAGATGGCGTTTGATAGACATTGTCATAAGTGAGGAGGTTGAACTATGGAAATACCAATCATGTTATTTCAGAATTGCACAAAAAAACATTATCACTTTATGTTACGTTACTTTTACATTAATTTCTATTTTATTTTGATTTTGATATTGATTTCTATATAAATAAAATATTTCATATTAATTGATCATATATAATAAATATTTTAGTTAATTAAAACTGTTTATCATTTTATATATCCCTCACTATATCTTATATGTGGAATGTGGATTTCAAGCTGTTAATTTTGTTTCAGGTACAAAATTCCGTACAAAGAAATATAGAAAGATAATGTTCAATGGTTTCGAATATAAGAGAGTTGAAAAGGAGGATGGTAGTGTTTTTTATAAGTGCGTTCAAGTACAGAGAGGTTGTTCGGCTTTCTGCTTGCTAAGTTCTGATGAAACCAAGTTGGAGGTCAAGGGAGGTCATAGCCATCCAGCGGGACACCGCTTCGAAGACGGCACCTGGGTACCAATTTAGAAGCGATCTTCCATATAACTGTAGTCTTCACAAAGGCTGACTTCATTAACATCATTATATTTTGCAATTCGATTAAGTCATATAAAACAATTATCGTTATAATGGAAAATCAACCTAAACTCGGTATTAATTTTATAAACAACTCTATGTGAAATAAAAGAGAAGTTAGATAAAATTAAAATTTTATATCATTGTTTTTTATCCTGCATACTATAAGTCAGACTAACACACTCAATGTGTGTTTCGATAAGGCACTAATATAGCTAACGTAGCTAAATAATTAATTTTGTGACTCCTTAATGCTTTTATACTGATACTAGCAAATTTGCAGTACATATGTTATTTATAATATTATACACAAATTATTATTTTAATGTATCTGAGTACATCCTTTATATGTTAAATGTATATTTGTTTTATTTTATTTTAAATAAAAGTTTGGCAATAATATTTATTAATTGGTCATTCTTCATAAAGTAGTCTTGAATATTTGATCTCCAAAAATCACTTTAATACTCTTCACAGATGAGAAATTAATTCTAAAACATTAGTGAGAAACTCAAATCGACAAGGACATTAAAATCAGTAAAAAAAAGTAACAGTTTTAGTATTTTGATGTTGGACATCCATTTAAGCATTTAAATATATTGAAATAAATAAGTAAATTATGTTACTCTCTGTTAACACGATTTAGTCAGTGGTTAAAATTCCTCTTATTAAATACATTTACAAGAAGAAGCGAGTTATCGGGTTTACACTGATCATCACAATATATCGTAGGAGTAAAGACGAATGAAGAATGGCGCTTGGGTCAAAAACTAAGGTGGTTTGTCCATCAATCATTAGAGCTTAGTAATCTGCGGTTCCTAGTGAATTCATAACCATTACTTGGCCAGTAGCCTTTATTGTATTTTATATTATTTCTTATTATAATTATGTTTTTATTTTGTAAATGTCTTGCTTTGCTAATGCAAAAAAAGCGGCTGAGGATTGATTGATATGACATTTAACAATGTACTATTTTTATGTATTTTTACGAAATAAAATATGAATAGATAAAACAAAATATTTAAAAATATATATATTATTTATTGGTTAATTCTGTATCGTTTTCAGTCTGGTTTCTTCCAAGCAATCGGAAGAAGAATCCTTTGCTGATGTACAACAATTACACTTACAAGAAACAATGGGAGTGCACTTCTGGGAAAGTTATTTGGTACTGTTCGAAGAGGAAGGAAGGTTGTAAGGCGTTCGTACACAGTATGGACGGGGTTTTTACACGTGGGGATCTAACACATATTCATGCAGCCCCGTCGTATATACGAGGCAATGATGGGTCATGGGTGAAGCTATAGCTAGAATTATGGTGAAAAGAAGTTATGGGACCTCCTGTTAATATGACCAAAAATACTATGAAATCTATGCACATGAATTTAATTACACATTTTGTTGTTTTATAATTTTGTTGATTATTTAAATTTTTATTTATATACATTCATATATATAAGTTTCATTTATAATTATTGTGTTATATTGTGAAAATATATGTTTTTTGATAATATACGTATTTCAATTCACATTATAAAAATTATGTTATTTTCATGTTTTACATTCAATTTATTTCATTGCAGTATTTTACAGAACGTCTAGTAGAGGTACTCGGCAACTAGTCGTGAACGGGCATCCTTTCATCTGCAGAAGCTACTGCCTGAACCATATAAAGAAGACCTGGAAATGCGCCAGCAGTTCTGACTGCACCGCAAAAGTCCACACCCTTGAAGATAAGATCGTTATCCTAAATAATGATCACAGCCATCCATTAAACAACTCATATGGTCAACACAAATTCACCTTTTCATAATAATCGGGACTTAGAGGGCAATATTATAATTAAACATCCGTCGTCGGCTAGTGAAAATTGAGATTTTTTTATTTTAATATACTTTATATGCAAAATATTAATGGTATTTTAAAGAGCATAATATTAATTCGCTGCTTTAATCCTTATTAAAAAGCCATTCTTATTCCACAAAAGTAACCTCTTAAAAAATTATTGTAAGGGAATTATGGAACACAAAAAACACCGTTAGGCTTCACAAAAACTAGGGCTTTGTTATAATAGAAACATTAATATTTATACCAAAAAAATAAGAGGTTGACTAATCCTAAAACATTTTACAGACATATATTATTCAACATCCCAACGAGGTGGACTTATATTGCATAAAAATCATTTCACGTTCAATAAAAAAAGCACTGCGGGAAACAAAATTACTTGGTACTGCACTAACTATTACAACACTCCGCCGTGTAGAGCAAAAATAATTACTCTGAACTCGGAAGAACTCACAGAAACAGAAGAACACAACCATGGATAAAACGTTAATTAATATTCAATAAAAATATCTAGAACAAAATTATGTATACCATAATATTCTCAGTAACTTTTCATACAACATGTTGTTCTCAATTAATATTTTGAATAAGTTCGATAGAGGGAGGCTAACATCATTTTAAATTATAATAAACAGAAAATAAACTTTTCAGCAGTACTTTTAGACTCAGTCTGTGCAAAATGAGTGATAAAAGTTTACAGGAATATTACTTAATTACTTTATTTAAGTAAACAAAACAGTCAAAGCTAGTCACTGGTGGCGAAATTTATATTTATATTTGAAATATGAGTCAAATTGATTTGAACAGGAATTATAAATCTATAATAAACTTTTAAAATAATTGTACATTTTATTACTAAATGTATTTATCTTTAAAATATGAAATCTTTACATAGGGAATCACATGAAACAGTGAATATGGTATCATTACTAAAATACTTCTCTTTGCAGTCCAGATTTGCAAAACCGCGAAAGGTGGTCAGGTGTTGGTGCTAAAAGGTCACAGATTTCATCGAGAATACGGAAGAGTTGGAAGGAGTTATTGGAGATGTACAAAAAGGGTGATGCACGGATGTAAAGCAACCATCAGAATTATTAATGGTCATATATATCCATTGGGTATTCATAGCCATGATTAAATTATATATCAATCAACACATATTAAATACAACAGTCAGTGGTGGCCTAGTGGTTAAAAACCCCGCCTCTCATGCATGAGGGCGCGGGTTCGATGCTGGCCCAGGCAAGTACCAATGTGATTTTTCCGAGTCATATGTACTTTCTAAGAGTATTTAGACACCACTGATTAATACATCCCCAAAAGAGGGTTGATGTCAGGCAGGCGGCCGGTCGTAAAAACAATTAGCCAAAAACTATTCACAACATATAAGGCAGACCTGGCTAAAGCTGGGAAATTGCCAGGTAGAAGAAGACTAATATTAAATACAGTATAATCTCTACTTCAGTATTGTCTACGATATTCAATGTAAATATTTCATATTTAAAATTTTATATATCACATATTTAAATAAGATTAACAATATTTTGTCCTGACTCGATGTACACGTTTTTTGTCTTTCAATGAATTGTGGTTAAGATTCTGAATGTACGAGTAAAATATTCAATTGTATAAAACTAATCTTGTAATTAAAATTACAATTACCAATTTACTTTCTACTATTCACATGACTACCTAATATTATTGCTAATAAAGACTAATATTATAATAATTAGTATAAAATAATGTTGTAAAGAATAATTCACATACATTCGCCAGGTTTACCAAAATTTTCAACACGTTTACAGATGTAAAAATAAAAGCAAAGAAACGTGAAGAAATTTTGGAGAAAAAAAAAATAGCAGAAAGAGCGAGATACAAGCGCATTAAGAGCGATCCACTTAAATATGCAAAATTACGAGAAAAATACAGAAAGAAGTATGAGAGTCGGAAAAGAAGAGGAATTGTGAAACTTGTTAAAGATATGACGGAAGAAGAATTAGAAGAAGCCAGAAGAGTTTGGAGAGCTAAAGCAGCTAAATACAGAAAGAAACATAATTAGAAAATAAATATTATTTATTTAATAAACAAACTTATATTAAGAAATGGAATAAACACGGTGTATATATGTGAAATACAAAATTAAAAAAAAATAAGGTTCGCCCCGCACATACAATTAATTATAATTAATGTAATGCACATAAATTGTCTCCATGTATTTAATCTTTTTAAATGAAAAATAGTTTTGAAATAATTATGGAATATTCGTCTGGAATTATGCAAAAGAAAAGGCAAAACATCAAACAGACTTATTTATTTTTGTAAATAATAGCTAGATTGTAACATCAAACAGTCTCATTTATTTTTGTAAATAGTAGCTAGATTGTTTTTGTTACATTTTTGTTTTTTATTAAAAATTCAATCTTTGTTTTTCTTTCAATTAATTATTGCATGTCCGTCACAGTAGTTTAATACTTTTAATGAATCGCTAACTTCTGTTACAACGTTTTAATTTTACTTTCAGAAAAGAATGACGTGAATATAATTACGAATACAGTGGCAGAGATAGTTGGAGATAATGGCTCAGATGATGACGTCATAGAAGTAGTAAGAGACGAAGCTCCTATAGAAATACTATCAGATGGAGAAGAAATGGAGATCCAAAAATCAAAACACATTGACGTATTCACACATACATACAAAGAGTTCAATTTGACCCAACAAGCAACAGACACTGGCAGCGAGGATAAATTATACCGTCAAGAAGAAACATATAAAAAAAGTTGTATTGCTGTCGAAAATAGTCTACATGCTTATCTTGATACAGTTATAGAACTGCCTGTATGTACGACATCAAATGAAGATGCTTCTAAAACTGATGATAAATCAAATCACGACAGCAGTGGAGAAAACTGCTTCGTTAACGTCACCGATGTTGTCAACAGTTCTGACAATGAAGCGGAGAAATTAAAACAGACTGTTAAAGAAGAACTGGAATTAAAACAGGCGTCTGGATTCAGTATAGATATTGCAGTCAAAGAAGTATTAGATCCTGTTGCTAACCTAGCTAGTGATGACAATACAAATAATTGATATATTTTGGTATATTTATATCACACGATTTCCTATAGATGGCGTTTATATTTATAGATATTGTGTTATATATTGGAAAACTATTTTTTAATGTAAATCAACATATTGAAACAGTAGTGCTGATAGTGAGATTGTATTTGCCTTGTTAGTTGTATCAATATAGCTGAGAAAATAGCTTTTAATGTGAACAGCTGTTATATGGATCAAGTAGTAACTTGCTTAATAAAAGAACTAGTTTTTCAAATTCTGGATCATTATTCCCGTTCCAGTATTGTATTGATTTTTATTAAGAATTGTATTTGAAGAATTTTTGTTTTAGTTAAGGCTGATTTTAATAAGAAAATAACAATAATAGTTTTAATATTAAATAGACAAAAATAAAAACGTCTTTAAATCGTCGGGCGTATAAAAGAGAAATAGTTTTTTAAATGATTTCTTTTTAATTTTTTTCCATACTAATTCTCTTATTTCCTTATTTGAAAACTTAGTACACAATACATCGCGTTGCAAAATATAGTTTGTAAAATTTTGGGTAATTTTTTAAGTTAAGTCAATTTATAACGAGTGTATTTCATTATTTTTAAGAATAATAAAGTTTCATTATTGATATAATTTTTTATATAATTTACCTTAATATTTTTTCGCCTTAATAGAAATGGTTTAAAATGCTGCTCAGAATAGGGACAAAATTCGTTATATGCTATTGCATAAAAGTAAAAAAATAAACCAATATTACTAGTGATAAAAATGTATATATTATTTTCTATCAAAAAACCTTTGTTTTGTTCAATAACATGGCTAATTTGATATATTTTTGGTATGTTGTAATAAGTATTAAGATATAATTGATTTCAGATGACGTCGGAGCGAGATTCGCTCTCATGAATGGCAGAAGGGTCCTATTAATAGGAGAGTATCGTTTTATGAGACATTATGAAGGTGGTAACGGCCGCACTCGTTGGAGATGCTGCAAATCTTTCAACAGATGCAAAGCAATCGCGATCACAGATGGCAGATTTATAAGGAAACTAACCAATTTGCACAATCATTAGTATTAAAAGCTATCATAATATTGGTGTAATTTGATCTTTTATCTAATAGAATATGTTTAAACTAAGTTTGCAAGTAATACTATAGTGTTCAAATTTCATCATCATCATCATTATCAGCCTATCAGAGCTCACTGCTGAGCAAAGGCCTCTTTCACACATGAAGAAGGTTTGATCAGTAATCCAATGTATATGAATGATAACCTATAAACTCTTCGTAAGTAGTGTGACGTTGCAAACTAGGAGTAAGCATACTATAAGGTTAGTCAAGCACTATCCAGTCAATGAGAAAACAAACTTTTACCAAACAACTGTAACTGATAATGAATATATCAGATATGAATAAAACAAGAATCTGTATGAAGTAGAAATATATTAGATGCAATTGAAACATTTATTTATATTATAAATTATTATAACTTCTGTATAATACGAACAATGTTAAGGTTAGTAATGTTAAGGTTAGATCTGTAAGAACGGTAATGATTCTGTGTAATTACTACGTGTAGTGTTATTTATATGAAAAGTATTCATCTGGTCAGCAATTTAATTAAACAATTAATATCTATTTACTATAGGAGATAATAGATAGGCCTAGATATATGATAAGATCTGTCCTTAGTAGTTATTCTTACTATTATCAGTTCCTCATTCAATATTAACGTAGATTATTAAAGAGAAACGAGAAACGCGTCGTATGTAGTATTCGTAACTTGTGTTAAGCGTACTCTCTCGTTTTATTTGTTAAGGCAGCTAACTATTTAATTTAAGGTAGTTATTCCTGTATATTTCTATGTTACTTATACTCAGTAGAAAATAATTATCAATGTTTAATTATCATACAAAATAAATGTGATAAAATAGTTATATTTTATTTTAAAACCGATTTATCAAATAAATAAAAGTTGCTTTATGGTTAAGTTCTAAACATGTGGTTTCCTTCCAGTCGAGGTGATTCACGGTGGTGGATATCCAAAACTGATGTATTGTGGGTTCCTGTATAGACCTCATAACGCGTACAGACAAAGGAGATTGCAGCTGTGGTACTGCAAGTATAGGAACACGAGACAATGTCGTGCTATCATAAGGACGATGGATGGTAGGATAGTTAAGAACGAGGAGAGCCTGTTCCATACATGCATTTACCATAGTCGGAGGAAGTAGCATTTCTACGCATACGTTCAACGAAATCACCTTTTTTTTCATTTAATAGCTACTGTTTCAAATTATTCTATGAAATATTTGCTTTGTATCATCTTTTCAACATTTTCTTTTCGATCTAATAATTTTTTTAAATTTAAATTGTATAAAAAATCTGTCGAATTCGACAACTTTGAAGTAGTAAAATGTAGAGAATTAAGTAGTAATACTTAATATTTAATATAAAATTTATATTTTATTTCTTTAATTTTATTAATAAGAATGTTTTTTTTTTCAATCGAAACATGTAACTGTTGTTTGACGATGTTCATTTAATTTTTATTAGTTTTAATAGAATTTATGTATTGTTATTTTGTTATATATATATTAAAAATTATATTTTTGAAGTAAATTATCGAGGATACAAATTTGTGGGTTCGAAAAATTAAGTTAAATTCATAATTCTAGTCCAACTTTAAACAAATAGTGGTTAATTTGAGAGGATTGATTTAGGAAAAATATGTTCTGTGTATAAAAATAATGTAATTTTTAATACGTTTTCAAGCTATTGAATTGTTAATTGACATGTACATAGTTTAAATGTGAATTCTTCTTGAATTTAGCTACACTTTAATTTAAATTATTCTCACTCAATTATTTTCTTCAATAAAACTAATATAAATGACTACGTAGGAGACTTAAAAAAAATATTTCATGCGTTCATAAAATATAATTGTGACATTTTGGAATCATAACATTCATTAATAACTTATTCTATTACAAAAGTTTTCGTTTAAGGCACACACTATTTATACCAAGGCACTTATAGTACAAGAAAAAATATCAACTTACGTCTAACAATAAGTGTTTCAAATGTAAATTTTAAAAAGTTTTACAAATATATCAAAATGATAAAAACTTATCATAATACATTTATAAAAAACATGTATAAATAAACCTTTAGCCTTAATTGCAATTGACAACCCTTACACATTGAATAAACTTAGAGCATGCCATCTCTGTCGCACGTACTGGGAAACACAGCTGTCTCTTTCGATCACACACACAAGCGAAGCGTAGGGTTGTCACGATCTTATTTTATGAGTGATTGTGTTCCAAAAACGATCTCACGATGACACTATTATGTGTAGTGAGACTAGCTCTGCATCCCAGTTGTATCCGTTTATTGCAAGTCCAACGGATTTTCTTCCTGTAGCATTCGTGTTTGATGAACTTATGATCTCCGACATGCACCACCAAGTGGCCACGGTTAGAAAGACCGAAGCGTACTGCAAACGAAACATATGTCAGATATATTAAGAATACATGTATGTAGTAGTTAATATTACGTCTAGTTTTAGTACATTATGTGATCAATGAAATCTAGTTATGGAAACATGTGTCCCATTTCCAGTGACCTGTACCTACATAGTGTATATTGTAAAATTTTATCAGGTTAGATAAATAAAACATTGTCGAAATTTATGTTTTTAATTGTTATATAACACCTTTATTATTATAAAATAATTCAATCGTCGTTAATTCAATGTTTTTGCTAACAGTACTTTCTTTTTCAGCGTTGGTCGGTACGGGCGTGGATTGCTTCGCGTCATACTGTCTTAGCAAGCAAGGGAAGATGGGGATAACATTAGGAGGTTACAGGTTCAGATTTAATGGCTGCGCCAGAAATGGTAAGATCCGTTGGCGCTGTTCCAGAGGTCCGTGGTGCAAGGCAGCCCTCCACACATACAGAGGCAGAATCGTATACATACAAAGCACTCATAACTGTGGCCCAAAACCTCCAACTTAGATCCAATTAATAATTTAATTGGATTATATCTATACTTTATCGTTTCCAACTATATCAATTGCTTTATTGAAGATTTTAATTTATACGAATTCGATTTAAAATAATCGTAAGATATATTTAAGAGGTGTCTAACTAAACTGGTTACACTAATCTTTTTATTAACCCTAACCCACTAACCTCATGTGACTTGTATAACGAGATCACAAAACTTAAATTAAATGTAAATCTTTATATAATATTAAATGTAAATCTATAATAATTCGAATGAACGTATTTTTGTGCACTATGTTACTAACAATAAATCAGACAGTACAAAATAATTTAAAATATAAGTATATTTGATATATTTTCAATATTTTATCAAACAAAAAAACTCATACAGGGTCTATTTATTTAATATAATTTATAGAATATAACAACTTTATCGAGATGAAATAATTTATTATTTATATACCTTAATACGAGTTCGTCGAACTTTACCCTTAACGTTTGCGATTTATAATACGCTCAATGTATTGGTGAATGGAAGAGCAAACTGTAAGTCTATCGTTTGATGACGGATACTCATATTATGGTCTCTGTAAGATAAACAAGCGCTTACCACTAGTTCGAATCGTCACTACATATTTCAAGTATTTTATAAATAAACCCACATTAATACTATCGTATGGGTAATGTAATAAATGGAAAACTAAACGAGAAACGTTGCGTGTGTAGTAAGATGATTCAAACTCAAGGTAAGTGTGAAAATATCGATTGTATACTTAAACCTAGTGGTACTCTTCGTGCCAAAAATATCACTATTATAAGGAAGAATAATATTTGTGTTAAAATTAATATTACAAAACCATAGAAATATCCATGACATTATATATACATGACCTAACAACCAATATAATTGTATTAAATATGTATTTATTTCTTACGTCAATGTATGAAAATAATAATTTCGCGACTAGGATCGAATACAGGGTTTACTCGCTCTGTTAAATTATATTTCAAGTTTTCGCTTTCAATTAAACATTATTTAGTATAAAAATTATTAAGTTACGACAATCTTTTTACATATTGTACGTAAAGCATAATTAAAATCTTGTGGGACATTACCGAGCAATACTAGCAAAGTATTATAAAATAAAATCTACTTTTAGTATATGTATGTTAAAAGAAAACAATGGTTCATTATTATTATAACATTCTTTATATATTTATATAGATTACATTAGTTATCTTATGACAATAGAATAATTTAATTACTCTTGTTAATACAATCGAATTATTTGTTAATAAACAAAATCCCAAATACGAGTTAGAATCGTCGATTTAAACCGTTAATTTGAAAGTATCTTATATAAAGCATACACAGATTTTATCAATGGAATACAGAAAATTATAAGGTTTTCGTAAGAAACACTCACACAGACAATCTTATGTAACAAATATATTAATTTACACGACATACTCACTACAACCGTACATACCTCCCTGATGATGTTTTTAATAGTTCTTTTAAACCATGCGAGTGTTCATCATTGAGCTCTCGTATGATAAGATCTTTGTCTACCTTCACATAAGCCTTACAGTTCCCGCTACCAGTACAAGCCCACCTCATACAATCACCAGATTTATTCTTCTTGTAATAAGTACTTCCATTGTACAGTAAAACAGTCTTCCCGTTAAACATTGTCACGATTTCCGCTGTTGGAAACAATTTATTGAAATATTAATATAAATATATATGTATAATATATAGTAGATTTGTCCGTATAGAATTTATGTTAGAATAAATATTATTATTAAGATATTTGTGAGTGAAATGTTATTGTAAAATTCTATGTTATATGAAATGTTAAATTCCTACACTGTCTACCTCTACACATTATACGTCTCCCGAGGTTGTGTTAATGTAAGTTACCTGCTAATATTGCCAAAATATATGTGTATAGATGTTTGTATGAAATAAAACTAGTCACACTTTAAAATATTATATTTTTATTTATAATCCACAATAAGCCCACTTATATTAAATGTGCTGAATATTGCACATTGATCTTAATAAAAAATTAAATATAAAATAACTACTCAATGTACAATTTCAACGGAAAATACGTCTTATTATTATTAGAATTAAGTTCATATTTGTGCGATCTCAGCACTCTCCATTTCGTACTCGGTGCCCGTTATAATTTGGTCCCCGGATATAACACCGTGCTCGGTTTTCAAGTGTTGCAAGATACACCTAATACTTTTATCCACATCATCGAACTTCATACATTTAAAGTTACAAATTTTACAAGAGAAAAAATGCTCCTCAGTGTTCTCAAACACTTTCCACACCCAATTGTTGTCATCTGGAACCGTATATAACGTTTAAATATATCGAAATTAGACAAAAACAATGTTTATAATATACCACAAAGAAAATAATATATATATCAAAAAACTCTTCAATGAAATTTACTATGAAATATGACAAGAATCCACTCAAATCTATAATTATATTATAAAGCTGAAGAGTTTGTTTGTTTGAACGCGCTAATCTCCGAAACTACTAGTTCGAATTGAATAATTCTTTTTTTGTTGGATAGTCCAGTTATCGAGGAAGGCTGTAGGCTATATAACATCACGCTACGACCAATAGGAGCAAAGATATAGTGGTAAATGTGTAAAAAACGGGACAAATTATCAAATATAAAGCTTATGAATGAAAAACTAACTACCCTTAAAAAGATACAAATGTAACCAGTATAAGCTGACCTGCGGTTTTGTGATGTATCATTTTGAGATGTCTGTTCATGTTGCCGGTCGCGTTACCTCCATGACAGATATTCCTCTTGCACAGCTTACACTGGGCTAGTGTGCTGGTGACGCGCTGGAAATACGACCAGATCCAGCTACGACCGTGCTTGGTGTCTGTGGATGAGCTTGGTTTGTATTCTATGTTTTGTTAACAATTTGACTTAATATATTTTTGTATTATTGTTCCAATTTTATTTATACATTGGTGCCTTTGTAAGATCAGCTTTTGAGAATTTTATTATTGGTACTTCTATGTATACTTTTTTAAAGTGATAATTTTGAATATTAATGTTTTAGTCAATTTTACAAGTGAAGCTAATTAGTAAAAGAGTAACAAAAGATATACAAATTCAAGGACATTCAAATGGATTCTTTAAGTGTTTCACTTTTAAAAGCACTCACAGACGCTACATAATCTCCTTAGAACTATTCAAAAACGAGAGGATACATGAATTATAGCTAGTATATAAACATACCAATAGTTTCATCTAACTCCTTGTCACTATCAATCTCTTTCTTCCAAGTCATATCAAGATTTTCCGATTCCTGTAAATCTTTTTTCTTTTCCACCTCAGATTTATAAACGCCAGGGTGTCTTGTTCGGACGTGGCGGTTCATGTTATTGGTGTTGCAACCCTTTATGGATAGAACCACATTGCAAAGATTGCATCTATATATAATGTTGGTCAACTTATCAAAATATTTCCACACCCAACTCCGCTTACGACTAAACTCTGTAAGTTATCAGAAATATTATCTCATTTATGCAATAATTAAACTTTAGATATAATAATTTAACTTAATTTTTATTTCACTATACTTTAATAATAAGTTATTTAATATTTTGTATCAAAACTTGATATTTCACATTTCATTATCATAACAAGTAATGATCAGATCAAAAAAGAACAAATGAAAATATACTTAAGTAAACATTATAAAGTATGAAGATTTAAAATTCTGTTTACAAATCAGTTCAAAAGTTCTGTTGTTTCAAAAAAGTACCTCATATGTGATTATATACAACCTACATATATTTATAACTTATGTATTACTCACCATAACTCTTTTTTAATTTCTTTTTCCTAGGCACTAGCACATACTGCATGTTGCTAATCAAATCTTTATCTGTTTTTTCTTCACACTTAACAATTTCATCGGCCTCACACACTTCCTCCAATATAACCGGCTGAGACTTCCCATCGTCGTCCTTCAACATGTTAAACTGTAAGAACTCTATTTGAAAACCCACAGTTGATTCTGGATTGCTCTTATGGAGATCGTAAACTTCTCTGTGCATGCACTTTATATGCTTCAGTAGTTCCGGAGACTTTTCATCGCATTTAATGCTCTCCTCGCATATATTACAACGGTACTCATCATCATTCTTAACAAAATATATTGATATCCATTCCTGATAGTTTTCTGTAATATTAAAATTATTGTTTGTCATAATTAGTTATTCATTATAAGTGAAAACTATTCTAGCATAAATTAACTAAATAATAAGGATCAAATAAAACATCTGATTAAGTTTAATTTATTTTAATAGATAAATTCTTAAACTATGTTACAATAATTTGGTTGAAATAAAAGAAAATAGTGTTTTTTATTCTTTATTTATGATTCAGTTTCTTATTATAATTTGTCAGTTGTCACAATGTTTTTATTGCCACCTAGTGTATTGTTATTAAGAGTATTATTATGCTGCAGTTCAATAGAACTTTTGTCATAGTTTTAATATTAACTTTATAATAAATATCAGTCACCCAATGTTTAATATTTCACACAAACAAGCCTCTCTAGGAGAATTAGAGATATTGACTGAGTTCTAAAAACGTTTTAGTGGACTTTACAGTACTTTATTTACTGTAAATTTCAGTATTATGTAGAGATTGTTTTATGACATTTAATCAGTAAACATTGGTTTCTTGTGATTATGGAAGTCTCTCACCACCTGCACGCCATATGTCTGCATATTGATAACAGATATACAACCCGTTTTCTGCCGATATGAGCAATACCACTGCTCCGCTCCGCACTGTAATCTACTTTTAAAAACATAAGTGTAGCCTTTGTACAGCAAAAGATGACCTTTCTTCGTCGGAACACATTGCACTAACTCGTCACCTGCAATATTTGACCACAATCTATAAAATTCTGCAATTCAACTTATGTTTTAAACACTCACAAACTTTCGTAAACCAAAACACGACTTTGTTAGAAATTTTTATTTGACAACCAAACAAGTCGTTTCTCTTATGTTATCCATTACACTGAGTCATTTTTACTACATATAAACATTAGGCAAATTAAATACTAGGAACTGTAGCACGGTAAAGTCATTATATTTGTAACAAATTTATTAAAAACAATTAATGATGATCCAAATCCTAAGACTACTGTCACACTGACAGTAGTGACGTTTGTAAATTTATCATATATTTCACCTTTGCAACTACTATAACTATTCCTCTAGTAAATATTAATAATACAAGGGTTAGAATATGCACGATTAATATTCAATTATGAACAAAATACATTACGTTTGTTATTTCCGAGATACGTTCCAATTCACGTCTGTAAATTGGAACGTAACTATGTATTCATGTTGTGTATTAAATTTTTTTCAATTTAAATTTATGAAAAATTAATGATATAAGAATAAAGAAAAGAGAAATTTATTTGGTATTAAATAATTCTTATAGGTATGTGTGTTAAAAGAGGAGAATGAAGTCGATAACCTCATTTAATTGATTAACTATTATACGCACCAACAGATGGCGGTAGTAGTAACTAAACTAAGGTTTTATTCGTTGTAGTGCGTGTTAGTCAATTATATAAAAAGAATATCTATTTAATTTTGAGCCCTAAATAACAATTCATTAAGTTTTTTTTCAATTGTACATTATTTTATAGCTGTGACATCCTATGTTAAATAAGTATTACCGAAGACACTACGATCCAAAATTAAATGACCATTTCGGACCATGATTTACTTTGAACATTATAGTGATATACTTTTTATTGAAATGTATAGAAGAATGACAACTGTCCTCTAATGTCATATTATTATATATGTAATTCAATTAAACTTGTATATAATCAATTAACAATTTAAGCATATATTTTCAAGGTCTTTTATTAAAGAATAAAGAAAGACATTTATTTCAATAAAATCATATTTTTAGAGTAGCCAATCAATCGCGTCACAGTGAAAAGCTTTGATGCTTATCATTTTAATAGGCTGTGTTATCTATAAGCGTCGGATGACGTATATTTTAAGACACAAATAATGATAAAATATGCACTCATGTTATACTAATTTACTGTTCTTCGACCTTGATCCACCATAGTATGTACTATGTACCTGGGTATTTCTTATCAAATGTCGAATTTTCAGGTATATTGCAAATAAAAGGTTTTGTAGATATAAAGTAATTTTTTTTGCAGAAATGTAAAATGTAGCTCTAAAAGGTTCATTATTAAGACATAGTCTTCCATATTTTTGTCCACAGTAGATATAAAATGAGTTAAAAATAAAAATGAAATGAGGGAATGAGTAAAAGAGTGAGGGAATGATTTTTATGTTTATTATATAGAAACAAGTAATAATGTTATGAAATTATGTAACTTTTAATATATTTAACAGCACTTTTCTTGTTCTAAGCAAATTTAACTTAAAACTTTGTACTTCTAGTTAAAGAAAACAAACAAAAATTATTCCAAAAAATAAATAACAGAAGGTAAAAAAATATAATTAATCCTAATATGCTTATTCCTAATACCACATTATTTTAGACTTTGTACTTAACATTTCTCTTAAACGTGAAAATATTTTCATGTTTTATTTTGTTTTCCTATTATTACTATTAATCTGTATGAGTATTTATGAATCACCTGTAATTTTTGGTAATTTAAATAATAGATAATTTAATCGATATTAATCGTAAAGTTCATCTAACTCTGTAATGACGTAATTCCTCTCTTAATTAACTTTGGTTTTTTAATTTTTTTTATAACGTCTTCCCAGCTATATAATTGTTCGTCTTTAATCGCAGGCCATTTCCAAAACTTCAGTCCCCGCTTCATGCATCTTACCATTAAATCATTTTCAAAAACAGAAAGAACCTCTCCGGGATAACTTGACTTGTCCAGGACATAATCTACAATGTCAGCAATCTGATGGCTACCACAGTTATCAGTAGGTTCTTAAATGTGTGAAGAAGACGGTAGTGACACTTGGTGATTCTCATAGTCTATATTCATCGTATCAATATCTATTGACTTTTGAGCCCTAAATATCTTTTCTTGTATTTTTCGCTTAACTGCATTCGTTACTTCTTTCTTCAACTTGATAATCCGTGCAAACAAAATAGCTCGTCGCCTTCGCATCTGACGTCTATTACGAGCAGCTACATCTTCCCTACATTGCTGCAAAACTAGTGTCGGACTTGTTGGAGGTGTCGTCGTCATCGTTGTCATCAGCCTATAAGAGTCCACTGCTGAGCAAAGGCCTCTTTCTCACATGGAGAAGGTTTGAGCATTAATCACCACGCTTGCTCAAAACGGGTTGGTGATTTCAAACTTATAATTGTGAAACTATAAGTCCAGGTTTCCTCACGATGTTTTCCTTCACCGTACGTCAGCGATGTCTAAATACTCTCAGAAAGTACATATGACTCCGAAAAATCACATCGGTACTTGCCAGATTTGAACCCGCGCCCTCGGCAACGAGAGGCGGGCCCTTTAACAACTAGGCCACCACTGAGTTGGTTGGAGGTGTATCGTCAAGAATTCTATGTAAAGTTTTGCGTGCTGTTGTAGCTCTATTGTCCCTATATACTTTACTATGTTTTTCCAAAGATTCCGCATTATTTTTCATTTTTTCTCGCCTTTTTCTCTCATACTCTTTCTTTTTTAATTTCTTTTCTGCATCACTCAACTTTTTTTTGTCGTGCCATTTTTCTTCTATATAAAATACCTATAAAGAATGTAATGCAGTGAAAGACAAATTGAAGGAAATATATGAAAAATCTAAAAGAATATTGTTGAAATCATTCCCTCATACAACCGTCATTCCCTCACTCCTTAATGCAGTGAGGGAATGATCGTGAGGGAATGACGAATTTTAACTAAAATAACAAAAACACCGGCACATAAGATCAATTTGTTTTAAAGGTTTTGAATTATAATTTGACTCCCAAAAAAGCATAAACATTACTAAACATAAATAAGTATAGTTAAGTAACTTTTACATTTATGCCACGTGAGGTAATGATTGCATTTAAATTAATTCTTAACTATTTTCAACGAAATATTTTTTTGTACAAACTCACCTATTGTTGAGCAGAAATCGCCATTTTGAAACGTTAGGGAGTATTGAGAGCTTAATAAAACTTATGGTTTTGTCCAATAATCATGTTCGATGCGATCAGAAATCGATAATCCGTAAAACGATGAGGGAATGATTTTATTTGGAGGGACATAATTTAAAACAGTATTTTATCTATATGTATTCATTGTAGTGCAATTAAAATTCATATAAACACTAACACTGTCGTTCTAATATGTTCACAATATTTGAATCATAACAATATTGTTTCATTTGTGACAAACAGACTTTTTAGTAAAGGGTTTTGGAGTAAGGGACATGATGAGGGAATGATTTTCGGAGTTGCTGCTGCTTATATATATTTTTTTATTTATAATTTCACGTTTTCTTTATCAGCGACAGTAGTATAGGATAGCATAAATTGAAATGAAAAAATAATAACCATAATTAAATCATCTGACTTAGCAGCAAAGGCTCAGGACTACAATTTCGACATTTTTTGAGAAATACCCACCTAAGTTTAATACGACTTAGAATATTTTTTATAATGTTTATAATTCCTATTACTTAAACCAACGATTATTATTAATCCTCATTTATGTTATGAACAATAAGTTCTTTGTTATTAATTTATAGGTAACATATTTGTAAAATTGTACATACATATTTATCAAATATTTCTATTTTCTGTCCGAATTTGAATTTAGAATAATAAGTATGTCAGATTACATTCATGTATTGGTTTCTTAACTCTATAGTTTATACTTATAGTTTGTACTCTGTAAGTTATTTTTATTGTATTTATATAATAAAATACTTAGTGTAATGTCAAGGAGTTTGTTTTACAGAATTATATGCCTTTTTATTTTATTAATTTCTTTTATATTTATGACCCTCAAAAAACTAAGGAAATAAAAAAATAGAAGAGATTTATCAAAGAATTGTTTCGTAGACTATTGGTTTCCTTAAGTTTAAAAAAGTCTGTTTCAAAGGAAAAAGCTAAACCGTTGTTTCTTTATTTTCCTCGCGGTAATAACTGACGAGTGGAAAATAACGCGATTAAAAGCCTTGTTCATTTATATAATAATTAATAAGGATATATTTTTATTTAAAATTCCATTCGTTATTAAATTATTTGTGAGATAAAAAAAATTATCACTGAAACAAATGCAAGTAACCTACTTTTAACTAAATTATCTCAGAATTAATGGAACCTCCATATGGGAACGACGAGTAGGGGATGTAAAAAGTTTTTTTATATTGATTTTATTTATAGTTAAATATTTGAGTTATAATGTAGACCAGGTTTATATTTATATTAGCATTACACTTGCGCAGATACGGACTTACACAAGTATGCTGTAATGTGTACTGGAAGAGAACTATGCAAATTTCCGACTTGCACAAGTTCTTAAAAAGTACCAAATTTCAGTTCCCAACTGTGCAATATTGCTTTTGACCAAATTTAATAAACCTATGTTTTAGCCTAAACGTGAACGTTCTTTTCGCGCCAAAACTAACAAGACTACCGTGAGGCATGGAATTCGCGCTATAATAGAATTTAAAAATATATGTAGGAATGAGCCATGTTTTTAGCAAATAAAAGTAAAGAATATCACGAACACATGATTCGGTGTCTATTATGAATTTTCAATTTTAACGATAAAATTAAGCCATTCCATAATCACAAATTTATGACATTTGTGCAACCATGTGTTACCTTCGACATACGTGTATTTGTGCAGATCTAGACTTACTCATGTATATTGTAATGTGTGGCCGGCATTACGCACTATTTACCTGACTACCAGAACACATCAGTATTATGTATGAACATGTATATTGACTTCCGGTATGTTAATGGCTGAATGAAACAATGTTGTAGTATATGTGAATAATACTTATTAATATATTTAATTTAATATAATTAATTTATCTATTCTTCCGCCGCCAATCGTTTCAAGAAAGAATTCTTTCATTAATAACCTTGTACTCCCGATAACCATCAATGAATGCCTTTCTCGGCTTGTTAGGAATTTTGTAATTACATATTTGGCTTAAAAAATTTGCTCCATATGGTTTATGTTGTTACAAGAAAGGTTTAATTACTTAGATCAGAACGTTCTTTAAGAAAAAAAAAAATTAACCACAATTATTCATTAAAAATAATTAACTTTAGTTTGAAAATATTTAAACGTTAAAAAATTTCTAAAGTTCAAAAATTTTATAAGGTTCATACACCTCTTTACTGAGGAGTATCCAAACAACTCAAGAAAAATGTTAAAATAGTTGATTATTTCAAATGTCTTATTTATGTTGACTTAGTCTAATAATTGATTTCATCTTACCCAATCTATACATATAATTTACTAGTGTGCTATATAAATTATCTTAGAATTCCGACCATTTTGCCTCTTGTTAGCTTTTTCTGGGGAATTCAATGTAAAAAATCGTTTATTGTGGTTATTAAAAATATCTCATCTTATTATGAGAATAATAATGTGTGCACTTTGATAGAAAAGGAGGAGATACCCTTTAACAATTTTAGTGCTTAGTATAAAAGTGTTTAAATAAAAAGTCACGAAATAGTTCTCTTCTTTTTGTTATTAATTTTTCAATATTAATTTTTATTAGGTCAACTTCCTACTAAACAATTTAGCTACAATTTCTTGAAACCTAATTTATAAACCGCGCAACCATTTTGTAAATAAGATCTGTGCATGTCATAGAAAAATGAACGTCATTCAAAAATATGACAAATTGATTGCGATATTTTTTATTACGATAATCAGCTGTTTGAATATAATTTTTTCCTATTAATATTCTAAACATTCTATATGATTTATACACTTGTCTGATAAGATAAAAATGGTCTAGATTCAAGAAGAAAATCGTACCAACGCTCATGACAATCAAAATTTTGACTGAAAGGCAATTAAACTCTCTGATCTCGTGTCAGATTATATTTTAATAGAAAACATTAATACTTCTAACAAAACAAACCTTCTTAAACATGTATCAGATTATAATTTCCATCTTATCATAATTAAATCATATTGAAAGAAATTCTTTACAATCAATGACGATTAGACGATTTATTAATAAAACGATTCGTCTGGACATCTGAACTTGTATCTTGAGGTTAAACGATAGAATGATTTTAGATTTTATCATATTATAATAAGGCTGACTATCGAATGGATTTCTGAATCACCAAAGAAGCCCTTGTTACCACCAGTTCACGCGATGTTTAACCTTAAATTGTTGGTACAAGGTAAACATTCAAATGCAAACCACAAATAAAACCAATTGCTTTGTCGTCTCCTTAAACAATGATTTCTTTATTTCGATCTCAGTCATGACCAGAGATAAGATTTTTTTTTCATAATATATTATAATGACAGGGAAATGTTATACTTTTAAAGTAAAATTGTTATATTAGATCTTATGACTATACATTAACAGTTTATTTACATCACTTTGGATTATTCAATACTTTGGATGCACAATATATCCTATGTTACCTAAACATTGGCAGTACATTTTAAGAATCACTAAATCCTTATAAGTTAACACCAGGTATTATAATGACTTTTAATATTAAGATTTACATAATATTTTTTTCCGATTTTTCGTATACTATAATTATTTTGATTAAATTTTAGTAGCATTTGTTTTTTTTTTGTTCATTAAATGCTTATAATTTGTTCACTTACAATGTACAACATGTAATTCATATGAAATACTTTGAGACTGACAAAATTAGCACAGAAAGCTAAAAATACACTTGTTTTGGTTATATATTAATTCTTATATATTAATAGAAAATTCACTAAAACTACACATATATATGTTTCAACAGTGAATGTGGAAATACTAATTGATCATTTGATATATTATTCTTTTTCCTTTGGGACGTTTTTAGCATCTCGAAGTGGCGGTAGACTATATGACTTTCCATCGGGCGTCATCCAACAAGTTGGTGGGTCGTGGTTATGTTTTCCGATTGTTTCTGTGACCCTTCCGGCATTATTTATTCTCAACTTTGCCGGGCAACATCGGCTGAAAAAGTACCAGCAATACCAAAGCTGACTGCCGTATGCTTTCTTGTACATCAATCTGAATGTGTGGTTTTGGTACATAAACAGTTTTGAATTCCCCCTCGTGTTTATAAATATACCTGAAAAAATATATATTGACTTAGCTTTTGGTTGATATTATGAGCTCTTAAGCTTACTAACATATAAAGGAAGGAAAATAAAACAGATGTTGTTTCAATATATTTAATTTTTTAACACTACACATCCAACTATTATTACAATGATCTATTTACGAATTATAATAAAAGTTAATTAATTAATAAGGTTATTCTTTTATTGATTTTTCATAAAATAAAATAAGGTTTATATTTGGAAAAGAAATTTATGAGATAAAATTACACAGATCTCATATATAGTCGAGGTATAAATTAAGATTTATAAGGAAAAAGCTTTATTAAAAGACAATTTGCAACAGAAATTTTAACTTATAAACACGCTATCATTTTTTGAAGACATTTTCAATTATAGTCATTTTTGTAATGTCCTTAAAGCACAACACTAGAATTTAAAACAGAACACAATTTCAAACATCATTATGATAATTAGTTACATTTAGTCTTTCGAGTTTCATGTAACCAAAATAAAAAAGCGCAAATAGAAACAGAATTGAAACTTCTCATTAGATTGTCATATTGACATTTTTATTCTCGTATTACGTTCCGTATGCTTTTTACAATTATTTTTTTATAATCACAATAAGTGTAATCGTATGCTTTAATTATTATAATAATATAAAAGATTAAATATAAAGTCAGTATAACATGTTAAAACTAATTTCGATTTTATAAATAAGTAAAAAGTTTTACACATTAGCAACACTACAATTCGATAGTGACGTCACAGCTTGCGTGCTTGTTGAATCTTAGTGTTTGTATATTTTTGTTCAGAAGTCAACGTAAATACACAAACGAAATCCATCAAAATGTGAAAGATAACAAATATTGTTATATCTTAAATATTATCTGACGTGTTTTATGCCCTTCATAGTGTGTGATAAGTGAAATACATAATAAAAATAAGTTATTAAAAGTGATAAGTAGGTTGATAGTGAATAACAAGTTACGATAATAACATCCTAAATAAGAAACTTCACTGAATTGTATAATAATATTAATTATGTAATTGATGATATACAAGTTTGAAATAAATATTAAACTATAACAAAATTGTTTTATTTGTATACGTTAATGATATTTGGTTGTGACATGTTAATAAATTTAAGAAAAAGAAATTGAATAATCTATATCATTTGCTAATACAAATCTTTTATTTCAGAAGCAAACTTTATACCGACAAGAAAAGGTAGTATGCTATTAGTACACAATGGATTTGCTTTCCGTTTAAAAAATAAACTGGCTTATGGGAAGAAGCAGTGGTATTGCACTTCAAGAACGAAGACAGGCTGTCAAGTTGATGTTACTACTATATTCCAGGATGCTAAAATTGTTGTGAACAGAGTCAGGAATAAACACAATCATCCTGCACCGGGATTTTACCGTCGGAATGATGGTTCATTTAAGGTTGTATGAATATAGCATTTTAACAACTGGCTTGTATAGATATTATAGTAAAATAATGATTAAAAAGTTATGGTAATTGGTTCTTAATAAAAGTAATATTATTTAAGTCGGATAACTCTAAAATTCATAATAACATATTCTATTAGGTGAGTTACTGACTGATTCACCGAATTGCTCAAGACAAACTTACTAAGACTGATTTTTATCCTCTACCTCAATGTAATACCTGATATTTTCGATTTATTTATTGTTTATGTTTTTTACAGTTTTATAAGAGATTTAGAAATAATTATTTACTTTTGTATTGTAAGTAATCTTACCGTCTAAGGATAAGACCTGAATCAAATCTTATATTTGATTGTTTTTGATAAAGGGAAGCTATGTATCATGTATTTCATACTTTATTTAATTCTGTAATTTACATTTAGTAATGATTTTTATTGCAGTACATTGTTTATGTCTAAGATATGACTGATTTTGTATAAATGAAGACTGAATAGTGTAATCTACCTCATTTTGTTTTGACATAAATAAAGACTGTATTTTAACTAATATTTCTTAGATATTTAAGAACCTAATATAATAATTAAGAATCTTTATTTGCATTTTTAATATTTACCTTTCTTTATAAATAACAATATCCCTAATTGAGATTTCAATTGAAATGACATTAATAATATATTGTACACAGGTAAAATGCAGTTGTTTTTAAATTTTGTCTATTGCATAGTAATACTATTTCTTTTACATATTTTTTGTTATAGAAATCTTAATTAGCTTGCATTTATTGTTGGTTGTTACATCAATATTTAAGAAAGACTATTATATGTGTTTATTTAAGAAAGACTATTATATGTATGTGTTATACTTATTTACTGTAAGGCAAAATAATATTCTCAAAATTCTTTCATAATAAGTATGGAAGTACTAGAATATTTTGACTCAAATACCTACTGGTGTTAATTACCACAGCTCTTATCTGCGACGGTGTACAAATACGTTTTGTGTAAAATATTGTTTCTTATAATCTATACTTACATGTATATATACATATTATATATAATTCATTTTTCATAAAATTTTATTCATTATTAACTCCCTTGCCTCTCTATAAAATTGCCGTTACGTATTTCTTACTAAGTTTTAAAATTTTAAATTAAAAATGATTATCATTTTGACATTAGAAAAATAATGAACAAGATTAATGCTACAGACTTGGATCAGAAAATTAGCACCAGCCAGCAACTTATTTAAAACTTAATTTCCCACAACTTATCATTCTTACTTTTTCTATCTTATTGGATACTAGATCATAACCAAATTAAGTAATTCTATTAACACCCGGAATACTTTCATGATGTCTGGATTATTTATATAATAAATGCGAAGGTAACTCTGTCTGTCTGTTACGTTTTCACGCCTAAACCACTGAACTGATTTTAATGAAATTTGTTACAGAGATAGAGTTGATCTTGAGAAAGAACATAGGATAGTATTTATACCAGACTTTTGAAAGGTTCTCTTGGAAACGCGATATAACCGAACTTCATGCGGGCGAAGCTGCGGGCGGAAAGCTAGTATATAATAAAGTTGCGTTAGTTACACTATTTATAACTCAAAAAAGACTGTAGGGATATGGTTTAAAATTTGTGGGGTGGTAGCTTAGAACCTGGAGAGGGACATAAGATATTTAATTCAGTTTGATCAAACAGAAAACTTAATAAATTCCGATATCTGGTTATGTACAGCCTCTAGAGCGGAATAGAAGTCACCCGGTCAGCTATACCTATATTACTAATTCCGAAATTAACGCGGACGAAGTCACGGGCAAAAACTAGTGTAAATACAAAAACATACATAACAAACATTATATTCATGCTGTATATAAGGCAGGTACTAAAACCACCATAATATGTATTATTTTACTTAGCTAAATCGTTTTTAAAAAACTTATTAGGATCACGACTATTTAATGTTTCTAGGGTTTTGTCACGATTTTCTTATGGAAGAATTTTTGATCTAAATTCATATACATACCTAATTATGTTATTTTTACATGAAAAAATAAATAAGACAGAACCATGGAAGGACAATTTATTAAATTGAAATAAACATTAAAAACTAGATTCAAAGACAAAAATCAAAGTTATTTATTACAATTAACTAATCCTCAGATCAAAATAATTCTCAAGCCTCAGTTTGGAGTTGTTGATGTTAATATATTGGGAAAATTATATCATTTTAAATCAATAATATATATGTATACTGCACTATGTGATTTGGTGATAGGTTCCATCACGGGATACGACATATTCTGGTGCATTATGATTATGCCGATCATTATATTTTCTTACATTGAGATCATCTTTGCCGGTGATGACGTAAGCTTTACATTTCTTCGTCCTGTGTGACGGACAGCGCCATCTATATCCATCTTTACAAGTGAATCCAGAGGCATGCGAGTATGTAAAGTTTCGATATAAAAGTAACGGTCGCCCACGTCTCGAGTTGATTATCTTAACTGTAAACATACAACTTTATAAAGATAGACTTTCTTTGTTAATTTATATCAGTTATATAGGATAAATTTAAACAAAGCTTTCCGTTTATAATATATTTTCATATTTCTATGCATCTTTTAGTTAACAAATCATATATATTTTTGTACATGTCAATTCGATTCAATAAAATATAGGATCTTTTTATTGTTTGACATTCATAAAAAAAAATACAATTGTAGTTCTTATGCGAAGTATTGCAATACAAGGAACATAAGTTGAAGATCGATAACAAAAAATAAAGAATATGTGTGTAAATAAAAACATAATAAATTACAATATTTCTACAGATCTGCTATAACAATTGTTATATAATTTGCCTGTGTCACATTCTTCGTACTAGCATATTTAAGGGGTATTTGGCGTTACTTGAAGTCGGGGTGTGGTCGTGGAAGCCAGTGGCCGCCAAGATTTTGTTATCATCCGTGGTGAGTAGATATGCCTTGCAGTTCTTCACTCTTGAACAATACCATCTCCAGCCATACTTGAGTGGGTATGGAAATTTTGCGTATGTGTAATTTCTGTACATTAAAAGTGGCCGACCGCGTTTTGACATCACTTCGTAAGCTGTCGACAATTGACATATTATATTACACTTGGTATGAATGATAATGAAAAATATAATAATTATTGGGATAGGAAATTACTGCTATTATCGACCTGGTTAGCTACCGCTGCAGTAAAGAAAAATTCTGCTGTTTAAAATGATGACACGAAATACAAAGTAGGTGAGCAATTTTTATGACCTTTAAATATTATTATTAAGGAATATTAGTTTCAGTAACGACTATTGGATATAACAATACATATTTCATGAATACTAATTACCCAGTGATGGCAGTATCATTATTGCCATGTTAGTAAATTAACAATATTAAAATTCTTTTTATAAATTACACAATTTTCTTGGACTATATTTTCAAGCCAGTTGAAAATTAAAAAATATTATAATTATTACGTTTTTTAATGACAAAAATTTACAAAATCAAGTACAAATAACCTAGTGATGATGACAGAATTTAGAATTATGAATAAAAGGAAAAGAGATGATTAACCCATCCAACATTGACAAATTAAAGATTTCTCTTTTGAAAACAATATATGAAGTGTTACTTATATATTTTGCATAGTAACACAGTCGAAGCCGATATACAAAATCGATTAATTAATAAAATACATAAAAAATAATACAAACTAATTAAGTCTATGTTAAATGAACCGGCCGCAATTCATTTTTCCTGGACCGATTCTCAAAATTAAATACATATTGGTGCAAATCGATTCCTTTCTGATTTAGTCGGATTCAAATACAATAGGTTCCCGTAAAGCTTCCAAAATGTGGGAAGGATTTAGATAATATTTTGGTGGATCGTGTTCATGTTCTTCGAAGGCAGATGTTATAAGATTGTCGGAGTCAGTGAAAACACAGGCGCGACAGTTTTTCAGAGTAGAGCACACCCATCTTGTTTTCAGCCCAGTGTCATATTGCTTTCTGTAAGTGTATTGACGAAACAGAAGCATCTCTTTGCCTTTTCTCGAAGTTATTACTACAGCTGTATCTGAAAATGAAATATTAAAATCTTTTAGTAGAAAACAATTAACTTTTAGAAATAAATACAGTACTAGAGTTTAATTATAATGCTTTACTCACTACTTAAATCTGGATCAACGCTCTCTGCTATGGAACCCCAGCGTTGATGGTCGTGGAACTTGGAAGTCATTATGATCTCGTCTTGGTCATTCAAATAAACAAACGCTGAACAGTTCTTACTGGTGCAATTCCAGCGAGTACCATTCTTAGATCTGTACGCTTTACGATATCTATAACCGTCATATTGTAACACGGTCCTCCCTTTACTTGTTTCTAGGAACATCGCAATACCCTCGTTGGCATCGTCTTCTAGATATTCAGCTGTGAATGTTTCGCTTTCATCTGCAAGAAATTGTGTGGAATAAAAACCAAAACAGGAATGTCTTTTTGGTGGTTAGTTATAGTGACGGGTACAAAATAAAACACTACTATCATAAGAGAATAAAATTTAATACAACAACTTTTGCCTTAATACAATATGATATCAATTCCACATATCCGCTGTACAGAACAGCTAAAAAGTAAAAAAAATTCTCCATTATTACTAATACGTAAAACAGAACGGCTGTCCTGGCCTTCTTAAAAACTAAACTTACATATAAGAAAATTTTATTTTAGTATAATTAATGTAACATTAAGAATATATATATCTAAATTATTCTGCCTTGCAAGAGACGGCACAATATGGGCTCGTGATTGTGCTTGTTCACCATTAATACTAATTCAAATTTGTCATTAACGTGGGCGTATACGTCGCATTTCCCTCGACTTGGCTCATTACAACACCATCTACTGGTAGCGCCGTTCACACACACCTCTTTTCTAAAGGTGTGGCCACCGATTATAAGAAACGTGTTCCCAGTCGACAGAGTCACCGCCGTAACTGGAAAGATAATTATAATGAAATTTGTATCGAAAAAATCGGGTTAACGAAAACATCGGGCGAGGGAATTCTTTATGTAAATGACAAGACACGATAGAGTAATCTTTATTAACAGAAAATAATGCTTGGAAGTGAAACTTTGTAATGTGGAAATGAAAATAGGAAAGAGGAACAATTGGTTTTTAATGAACTCATTTTTTTTTTCTTTAAGACAGGCTTTAAAAACATTGCTTACAATTCACAATTTATCTCATGTTTCAATTATCATTTTCGAGTGGAGAAATATTCAAATCTATAAAATTTAGACAAGGATCATGATGACTAAAGTGACATACAAAATTGAAATAAAAATAATGTTTTCGGATTTATAACGCGTCTTAATTATATGTTCTATATACTTCGGATGTTTCGGTTACTTCACAGCAACCGTGATCATGTCTGCCGGTCTCGATGTTTGCAGAATGCGCTAACTGTGATACACAGCCCTGCTGTGTATGTCACGGGCATGTAAAAAATCCCCCTTTGGTTGTTGTATCATTTGTTACTTGGTCTACCATAACCCTGGGGTTAGTACTGGTACTAACCCAGTAGATGTTTTTTGGTCTACTACTGTTGATTGATGAGTCGTAGTAAATCCCCCTGTCGAAGTTGCTGGACGTACAGCTAGCGAATCATTGAGCATTTTGTTACGTTTGGCTTTTAGTCGTGCTCGGTACTCTCTCTGGTATTCGGCGTTTGTTTTCCTCGTCCTCTTAAAAGAATTATCATTCGTAGAAGGATCACTTATTCTATACAATAACTCTTTTTCCATCTCCGCTCGCTTCCGTGCTCTGTAATTACGGTAGTATTGAGCAGTTTTCCGTCGTGGACCTCTTAAACCGATAGGAGTGCTTGTGGTTGCTTCATCATCATGCCCTGGAAAATACAATGGTATTATTATGTACATATGTGAATACGTTATAAAGAAAATTTTAAAAAAAGAAAACCTTACAATCAATTGATAATCACAAGAGACGTACCATGACATAACTTTAGATCCATCGCATTGTCCGTGGGACTTTTTCCACCTATTTTGTACAATTCTCATCCACTAAATTTGAAAATAAAAAACATCCCTATAAATTATATATGCATCAAATGAAAATAAGAAAATAATTGACAAAATATACAAATTTTAGCAAATTTCATGACGGTTACATTGTTTTCTTCGCTGCATAGTGAGAATACCATGCGCATGTACTTGGAATGTACGGACTCACTCTCTTTCTCTCTTCTTCTTTCTACATTTTGTCTCTCTCGAAAGAAAGATACACAAACGGCGGGAGAGATATCTTTTGCGTTTGAATATTGGACGCTACTCGTTGCTAGTTAGCAGCTAGTTGCTAGTTACTCGCGCTCGCCTATAATAGATGTAGTACGCAATGGGTTCGAGCGCCAGGTATTCCCTATAGATCTCTTTTTTATCCCCCCCCTTGGACCTTTAACGCAACATTTCTTTGTACACCTCTGTGGAAGTCGCATCAAAAGTTTCAGTCCATAAATTAATATTTTTTACATGTATGTCTTAAAAATTACAAAGATCATTTTTACATATACGATTACAAATCACAAACTTATCTAAGTTCTATTTGGACTAAGTGAAAAATTATTATAATTTTACATATTCTCCTTCTTTTGTTATGATGTACCGAGGTGGGGCGTGGTTGTGTTCGTTGAAATTACCAACTGCCCTCAAATCATTACTCATGTGCAGATGTTTCCTACACCTCTTTGATCCGCGGTCTGTACATAACCAGGATGTTAGGTTAAATTTGCGCAAACTCTTCGGTCGACTAAACGTATATCCTGCATAGTGAAGCAATTGCTTTCCAGATATCAACGTAATGATTTCACCTGAAATGTCACGTTTTCATTACTTTACTAGATAAATTAATTATCACATAATTTGAGATTGTGAATTTTAAGCTCGATGGTTTTCATTAATATGTTAACCGAAATATTTTATATAAAAGAAACGATTTCAAAATTATAGATATATTTTATTTTTAAATTATTAAAGTCTGATAAATTAGTCTTCTTCTTTACTTTTCTTTGTAATATAGTAAAAATTGCTAACAGAATATTATAGTACCTCTTTTAAAATTAAAAATTACGCTTTTCTTTGAGTCTCGATTGTAATTAATTTGCTTTTATGTTAATAATACTTTAAAACATGAGATAAAAAGTTCACATATTGTTTAAAAATGAAACGAAAAGCGGGCTATTTAGCACAGATTTTAGATGTACTAACTACGTCTCTTATAAAGGCTATTTTAGAATTTTGTACAGTACTAACATCACTTAGTGTTTGAAAACGATTTAAGAATAATATCATTTCCAATTCCATGTGAATTCCCAAAGAGGGTTGATGTCAGGCAGACGGCCGGTCTTAAGAATATAAATACATATATTACTATCATGAATTAATAAGCCAAACGGAAATCTGAGAATCACTTGTGAATTTATTTTGTAAATATATTTATAATTGAATAAATAATGTTATTCTTAAAAACCTTATATAAGTGTAAATCTTTCATGAAAATAATCTTAGAATAAATTAATAATATTTATGTATATCAAAACCTAATTATTACGAAGAAAATTCATGATTATCACTAAATAAAAAAATATATGCAATTTGTTACGTATGAAGATTATATTATATACAAGCTCCCTTTAAAATAATAAAGTTAAAAAAGAGCATTAAATTGCGAGTGAGTACAGCCCGCTAGGCGTGATCTCATATACAGGGGGTTCATGTAGATGTTTATGAGATATACATACGAGTTCATAATCATCATTAACGTGTAAGCAGACGGAACAGTTCCACTTGAGTCTACCGGAACAGTACCAACGCTCGCCTCCTGACATAGGAGATGGATTCGTGAAGACGTAGCCATCCAGCATAAGAAGCGTCGCACCGTTGACTGCTGTTACCACTTTGACTGGAATTAGTAAGCTTATTAGTTAATATGTGGGTAGTTGGGATACAAAAGTTTACAGTATGAGGGTAGTTGGAATTCAATAGTGACACATCACCCACTGTTGTTAAAAGGTTAAAATAGTATGAAATCAAACTAGTTTAAAATTATATTTATTTAATATCTAAATATAATTAAAATAAACACAATATTGAAGACTAAAATATGATTAGAGAATAGAAAAATATAAATGAGATTATAATTAATTATACTAGCTTTTTTGTAAACCTAAAAACTAAATTTTTAATTGTATTTTTAGTATAATCCATATATTAACCCGTTTTATGGTTTACCTTAAGAAATGGCAGTGTTACTGTGTTAATTTTTTCCCTTTATTTATTAAATTCACACTTACAAGAAACAAGTACTAAAATTATTACATTTATATAAAGAAAAAATATACCTATATTTAATTAAAATATTATCTAGTAGAAAAAATATTTTGTGATATATTAAAACAGATTATTTTTAAAAAAACCGCACGATTTTTATCTAATGTCTTATTAATTAATACGTATTATTAGTGTTATGCACTAAATATATAAAATACCAAACTGTCAAATATTTTATTCTATTTAAATGCAAAAAAATTAATTAAAAAATTCCTAAAACTAACCTTATATAACAAGCCTACGAATTACATGTAAAGTTTAAAGAGCATACAAAACTAATAAAAAATCGTTTTACAATAAAATGTAGCCCAGCATATGACTTTTATTCAAAAAAAATTAAAGTGTCTTAATGTTACAAGGTCATAAAGTATACATGCTTCGGTTTAGTCTCAAGATCGGGTCTAGCATGTGTGTGTTCGCCTTTCGTCACAACTACATTCAGATTTGCGTCCGTAGTCAACATGACGCGACACTCGTCCGACTTAGCCGCACACTTCCAAACGATGCCCTTCTTTGATTTCGAGCTCCTCGTAAATTTGAATCCCCGATACAGTAAAACGTACTTTCCCTTTTTATCGCCCTTAATCAAAACCGGATCTGGAATTATGTGGTGTTTATAGATTCATTGGGGCGTTACGGAATTGGTTTGTTTAGGAAATTAAGATAGAGAAAAGGTAAATATACTTAAATAATCAAATTGGTTTCTTTTTGTTATTATTCTTTATTTAAAAAACATATATTACATAATGCACATATTTTTAAATACTTAAAACGTCATAATACTCTCCATTCAAGAGCTTCAGAACATGTAGGTACATAATTACATATTTAAAAAAAACCTTTTTTATATTTTTTCCTTTATTTATTATGAAACCTTATATATTCTCCGTTGCCACGAACATAAAACCTGGGTGGTTCGTGGCTATGTTGTCCTTTAACCACTGATACAACACCCTCTTTTGATAGATAGACCTTGGCACTGCATTTTTTGGAAGTACGAGACGAACAAGCGTACAACGCCCCGGCTCTATTCGAGTTATTAATGGCGTACGTGTATTTGTTGTATAAAAGTACCCTTGTGCCCCTCGATGATTTAATAAATTCGAATTCTGTAAGAAAAAATCATATATGAATCACACGTTACATGCAATTTTAGTCGAAGATTTTTTTGGCCTACCTTAATTGTGTTTGTCATTGGGTTTTTGAATGAATAAAACATAGTTTTTTAATTATTTTTTATTGATACATAATTTATTTAGTATATTCTCCTTTACTGTTAAGAAATATTGATGGAGGTTCGTGAGTGTGGTATGGATTTAAGACTGTAATAGCCCCTTCGTTGGTGACGAAGACTCTAGAAGCACATTTCTTGGATATTCTTGATGAACACATGTATGATACCCCGGCTCTGCTTGTATTATTCCTTGCGTATGTATAATTATTGTATAGCAATATTCGGGTTCCTCTTGAGGATTTAATAAATACAAATTCTGAAAAAGTTATTACTATTGATAGAAGTGTTGTAGAAGTTTTTTAATATTATAACATAATTCTCCAGCGTTACTTAAAAGTCTATTTTGTATACATATATTTAAGTTTACACTCATTAGACGGTACATTAACAATTTTATTGTAATCATAAAAAAAACACCTAATTATCATCAATATCACACTTATAGGTATATAGAAAAGGGATAGGGATACAGATTTTTTTCTCTAGTGCTTAATTTTTTATATACTTAATATTTTATGGTCGTCTTGTAGATAGCTCAGGAAGAGTTTAATTATTGTAATATGAATATATGTGTATATTATTTGATCTTTAAAACTTCACAAAACGGCATTTCAGACAAATATTAGATTAAATTTTATTTTAACAATTTTTTTAATAGAACATATATATTGCGAAGACCGCTCAAGGATCTAAATTTACATAATTTAATGAGAATTTTTTTATTAAATGAAAGTCAGAGTCTATTGAGAACATATATTGTGTGAAGATTTCTTAAGTTACATTCAGCTTTCTTACAACAGTATTGATGCTATATATTATTGAGAAAATATTGAATCACGTCATCTCTAAACCTTTTACTCTTTAACATTTGTAAAATATCACCTTTTCTTTCAAATAAGTGTATAAAATTACAAATAATAATCCATATGACGTTCTTAATTTCGATTCGTAAACGCTGTATGGATAAAATGAATAAAAATAGATAACTAGATCTAAGTTTATTGGTATCGGTATATTTTTGTTATATAAAGGTGTACTATTTATATAAACGAACATAATTACCGTGTTCATTTATATAAAACAGTGGTGGTTCGTGTGTATGTTCCGAGTTAACTACAGTCAGAACACCCTTAGATGATAATCTTAAGAGAGCGTTGCATTTCTTTGAGGAACGAGACGAGCAAGTCCAACCGTACTTACTGTTCCTAGCATACGGATACTTTTCAAAAACTAGCAATCTTTTCCCTCTTCTTGACCTTATAAAGTGTATTTCTGGAATATTTCCTATTATTATTACAGTTCTATAATAACTGTTATATAAAGTAAAAAAGAAAGAACAACATGTATAACGAGATATAGTTTATTTTATTCGAGTATAACAAATATTTTAAAATTCAATATATTCAACATCTGGTATATTCACATCAGGGGGAGGATGATTGTGTTTTGTATTAAGGACGCTCAATTGTTTCTTATTGTCGTCTGTTGTGACGTTGGCCTTGCAGCCTTTTTTATGGTGACTGGAACAAGTCCAGTACGCGCCGTTCTTTTTCAAATTTCTCATCGAATAAGTATAACCCTGATAATATAGAAGACCGTGACATTTTTTGGATTTTTTTCTGGACGGAATAATAAGAGCGTCTGAAAGGAATTATAATTAAATCCATACATACTTTTATCCTTCGTTTCGTTTACCTTCGTACCTACGTTTAAATTCATTACCATATTTGTCATTTTCACAAATCATGAAGGTAAGTTCCCATATAATAAATTGAGATTATTAGAAATTTCAAAGATAAGATAGTAAATTGAAAACATTCTCTCATACCACTTGATAAGTATGAACAATTATCAAAACAAAAGCAATCAATCCCCAATTAAGAATAACAAATTGTTTTCAATTAAGAAAACAAATGCAGATGATGTATTACAATGCAGGCATCGCCATCTATATTCTTACAATACGCATTATAAAAAAAAATATGAATTTAATACTTTCAACAAAACAAAAGAGTCTCTACACTTTGTAAATAAAACAGCTTCTCAACAAACTAGATTTATTGTTATTAAACTGCAGTCACATAAATTTGTAATATTTATATATAAAACTTTAAATTGTTAGAACAATTTTGAAACTATTGCACACTAAGATTAACTTAACAAGATAAATACCAAACACAATTATAGATACTTTCAAATAACACACAAAATAATATATTAGTATTTCTAATATTAGTATCATAATTTTTGAATTAGGGTCAGTTCGGGTAAGATCATCTGGAGGGTAAGATTGTCTAACACGAATAACTACTAATTCAGTAGAGCTACAAAAATGGGAAAAATTTAGGGGCACAATAAATCCATTTAAGTTCATATTAATTTACAAAGATATCGCTATACATAATAATATTGTGTTGTATTTTAATTATTGGTAAAAAAAATATATTATTTTATAAAAATATGAATTACTTAACAATTTTCAAATAATATTTTATTATCAATATTTGATTATGATATTTTGACAAGAAAATTTTAACAAATAGTTTTAATTTTTTAATACATTTTACAACAACACACTGAGTCATTATTGAAAATTTACAATATTATCTAAAATAACTTACCAATACAGGAAACATACTTGTTTTACTTACCTGCAAATAAAGAAAAAAACATTAATTTTTACATTTATCAAAGTATCAAATTCTGTAATAATGTCATATGGTATGGGATGTCAGACATTTATTTAATATTATTTAATACATAATGTATAAATATCAACATAACTTTAAAATTATATGTATACTAGCTCCTTCCGCCCGCAGCTTCGTCCGCGTGGAGTTCGGTTATATCGCGTTTCCAAGAGAACCTTTCAAAAGTCTGGGATAAAAACTATCCTATGTTCTTTCTCAAGGTCAACTCTATCTCTGTACCAAATTTCATTAAAATCAGTTCAGTCGTTTAGGCGTGAAAGCGTAACAGACAGAGTTATAATATAAGTAGGGATTTATAATGCCTATGTGTTATTCCTAGACGTCAGCTTCCTGTGTACAAAATTTTATCAAAATCGGTTCAGTTGTTTGAGCGTGAAGATCAACAACGTAACAAACATACACATACACAAACTTTCGCAATTATAATATTAGTAGGATAATTATGTGACAGTACAAGTGCCATGTGTTGACGGCATAAGAATACAAAGTGTCACCACTCCGTTGCTAGCCAACAATGTTGTACAAGGCAACTAATTGGTACTATGAACATAACCTGTGCAAAGGAAGGGTAACTCAAAGTAAAACTGTACAATAATCCTTCTGGCCAGTACGCAACAGTTAGGGCCATAACACTCATTTATGGGATACGATGATAATAATGTGCCATTGCAATGGAACTCGCACCCGCACAGTGAATCCAGGGAATGCTAAGAGGTTTTGTCTCTGCTCTGATTCAGAACAGCTGACAGTTGACACACATGGTATATATATATATATATATATATAATGTTTTCTATATAGGTAGTTCAATGATTATAAATTGTCATAAATATAATATTCTTACTAGGTAGTTTGAAAACGCAAAACTTGGAATAATCATACAGATTATCAATCCAGTAGTGTGAGTGAAAAGAAATTAAGCACTGAATATTAATTTGTATGTCTTCAATACACAATTATAAATTGTCAAAGGTAATTTTTAATAATGACAGTATTTACATACTTATATTATAAAAAATTATTATTATTATTCTTTCCCACTACTATACATAATATGTAGATCTTTTTAACCATCTTATATGATCGATCAAGCAAGTGAGTTTGTCACAAAAATGTACAATGAAATGTGGATTTAATTTTGGGATAAATTTAACCATGAGCTATATATGATACTGTAAGTTTAATTAAAATCCAATTATTAGATTTAGCTTGAAAGTTGAATATAAATAAATTTTCATTTTTATAAAATTAGCATAACATTAAAGTTCATTATTCTATATAAACGACTTAGCTTCCGATGTTTTTAAAATTGTATGTAAAACTTTTGCTTTTTAAACTAGATAAATATTTTTTTATGTCTATTTTTAATGAATTCGTAGTTTAAAGGTAACGGTATCTACAAAATTTATATATCCGGTATGAAAGAGTGAGAATTAAACAAAATTACCGATACATATGACGATAATAAACTGATAACGGTTTATTGGAGTTTCAATTTTGTTTTTGTTTATGGTTACTTAAGCCCTAATTATTTGTTGTCTCGTTAAAAGTGTACATCTTCAGATTTGGATTGGAATAAAGTTAAGAAATTACCAAGATTCATAAAAATGGATTCAATTCTTACTTTTACTATTTTTATTAGGTACTGTCTATCGTAGCGGCGACGTGACCTTGAAACTACATAAACACCACTTGACAATGAGTGACAGGATATGTATCAATTATCATTGCGCGATCTTCACCAATTATTTACTTTTCATTGCTACCTTATCACTAGTTCATTGATATTACGAAAAAGTGAAAATGTATATTTTATATGTTAACGACTTTAATGATCCTCGAAGAAGATTTCTGTATAAAACTTAGGAAGAATAGTTTAGGGGGCTTAAAAAGGCTTTTTAATTTTCCGTTCTCTTAAGATTCCATGTATACAAATATTTCAAGCTTAGTTACAGTTTAATATTTATGTGTCAAACATCAGATTGGAATCTTGCATGAAAAATTAAATTCATTATTTTTATAAGATTTAGAAGTGTATTGTTTTTAATTTTTTGTCTACACAAAGAATAAACATAAATTAACAAAGTAATGTATGTTTTCAATCATATTATTTCATGCTTCGTTTCAAAAGAAAACCATTCTTAAAATAAACTTTCACTCAAGTTAATCTCAGGACGCTCTATATATTGTAATGTTTTATCAAAAATATGTAAACATAAATTATGCATGTTTTATATCATAATATACCAGGTAAACTTAAGGGCCGTCTGATGTTAAGCGGTCACCATAGGGTATAAATATCTACAATAAAAGGTTTATCCCTTGATAATTACACCCAGTTCGATGTAAGAAAAATAACACACCTAGATATCCTTTTAGTTGATATTTACTTTTGCATATACTTACAAATGTACTTTTATTTTTAAGAACAAAATTAATCTTGTATGATAGATGAAAATTATGTCAAACATTATTTTAAGGCGATGAAAACACCTAATTCCACCGTAAACCAGTACAAATCTATACTAATATTATAAAGCTGAAGAGTTTGTTTGTTTGTTTGAAAGCGCTAATCTCCGAAACTACTGATTCGAATTGAATAATTCTTTTGGTGTTTGATAGTCCAGTTATCGAGGAAGGCTGTGGGCTATATAACATCACGCTACGACCAATAGGAGCAAAGATATAGTGGTAAATGTGTAAAAAACGGGAGAAATTATTTCATCTTTCAAGCCCTCCGTTGCGTACGCCGTGAAAACGGTTCAAGATACACAAAAAATATGTATTAAAGAATAATAGCTCTTTTACTGATCTAAAAAACAGTCCGGGACAGTATATGTCTATCTTTTAAGATTAACTCACAAAAACCGTTTTTATGGTACCTAATTTGGTCAAAATAATTTGTTTAAGTTGTATCAACATAATAATATTAATCTTTATTCAAATAAATAAATAAATATGTTGTTGGTTAAGAGTACTTCATTGTGAATGAAAAAAAGTAGGTTTTATCCTGGAAATTCTACGGGAACTCGACCATTCCGAAAACCCCGCAAGAACGGGAACTATGTGGGGAGAACCAAAAATCTATCGGAAGTCACTATTCTACGCAGACGAAGTCGCGGCAAAAGCTAGTAATTAATAATCTAAGTAAAAGATATTACAATAGCTTTAAAAATAATTAATAGCTTTAAAAATAAGTATGATAATGACACTAATAACCTAACAAGCAAGTAATCTACTAAGTAAGGATTGGACATTTAGATAATATAAGAAAAATATACAGTGTTTAGTTCATTATACCAATTTACAGTTCATCATACCTATCAAACATAAAATTTAAGCAACATTTTAAAAGAAAATCGTTTTTAGTGATTATGAGGTAAGCCGTAGGGCTGAGGTGCTATAGAAATCTTTATAAAACTGCAAAGTCATGTGTACGTCTCAACATTTTCCCCAGTTTCTATTTCCAAAAATAATAATAATGAATAGTCATATGTCGAATTTACATAACAAATAAAATACTTTTAACATAACATTCCAAAAAGAAACCTGGTGATAGATAACTGAATGTTATCTTCTCAATAAATTAAGGATGTTTTTTTCTTTACTTCAAATGCTTAAATAAAATAACTTTGTTCTTGTCTGAAACTATGGTTGCAAAAACTAGTACAGTGGCTTTTCTCTTGTGTAATCTCTTTATCTGTTGAACAATGATAATATTGAACAGAGGTTTATTTACATTGACACCTCTGAAAATTCAGATTTGCCTCACAGAAATTAGTATTGTTCAGATTTATTGTATAAAGCTTATTGTTTTTATACTATAAAGCAAAATCATACTATAATAAACTTGAAAACCTATTCTATGTCAAAAATATAAGACATAAGTACATTTTTAATGGTTGGATTAATATTAACCAGAATGTTTACAAAGGATGAAAAATTAAAATACATTATTTATTTACTTTTGTACTATGGCTGTTATATAACATAAAATATTCATATGTATTAATATTGGTAATTTTTGTAAAATTACCTTTCAGTAATTAGAAATAGAGTAATTAGTGTGTCACTGCTATGGTAGTTAGGTTAAGTAGAGTTGATATATTTTTATTATTGTTTAAGTTATTATAAATATATTATCATACTAACACTAGTAGACAATGTATTATACGTGATATGTTTATGTACAATCTTAAACAAACTATTTACGAACCTGAGCTTTCCTTCCAATGTTCTTCCCGCCATTACACTAGTATAACTTTAAGAATTAAGTTATTATACCATTTTTGTCATTGGTACACAAACACTACACAGAACACACAAAAACATTTCGGTTACCTAATTTATCATTTTTCCAAGGATAAAATTAAAATTTCACAACTTTTATATAAACTTTACATGGTTATGCCTACTAAGAACTGTAATTTTAATTTCTTTGAAAAACTCTTGTATGAATATGAACACCACTATTATTTTGCACTAGAACTGTTAAAAATTAAACCAAATAATTATTCTAATGAAAATAAACAATGTGAATAGGTTATTTAAAAGCATCGAAAATGTCAACGAATTGGCGGAATTGGTGATGTCACTTGAGATTATAAAACGTGATTTTACGGTTTACCGTGTGCCTTAGCACGTAACCTATTTTGAAACAATGTATGTATATTTAATATGCTATAATTTTTAAAAGAATCATAAAACATCAAAATAATCTCCTATTATTTATTGTGACATTCGTATGTATATTAATTGTAATGGAATACATGGACTAAAAAAATCACAGCACTTACATGAAATTTTAACATCAAATAATTAAAGTAGCTTTATTATTAACTTCATAAAGAGTATATTTTAAAACCTTTACGGTCAATCTTAATACATAACTTTAGAAATAGATGATCAAGAAACGATAAATATTGTTAAATGCTGCGTCACTAGTTGTTGTTTAAGTATTGTCAAATATACTGCGAAAAATTGTATTTATTAATATTTTCAACATAAATTTGAGTTTTTCGGAATTTATTTAATGGTGGTTATAACATTGAGGGATCTCAATAATTAATTTCACTATGTGATATTCAAAACCCATTAACTTTTTGTGTTGTGTTTTCTAACCTACATGGTTTCGTTTAAAATATTATTGTTGTGATTTCTGTGCTGTAATAAAATATTTGAAATGAGATTATATCATCTCAAAGTTCTAGTGATAATTTTGAAAGTGAATTAAGTGAGAGAACCGGCTGGCAGTTATTGGCGGTAAGTCTCTAGAAATAAGTTTTGCGGTCATTCTGATATTTTGCAAAATGTTTTTTGGTTTTATACGAGGAATTTATTGTTTTTGACAGTTTATAAATCATATTTAGAGTATGATGTTATATAAAACACAATTATTTGTAAAACAGTGTTTATTTTGTATTTATTGGTAAAGACATTACTTTTTACTTTAGTCTTTGTATTATCATTAGGTGTTGTAAATATTTAACTTTACATACATTTTACAATGTACCTACAACTATCTTATTGTAAGAATTATAAATAAATAAATAATATTTATATAAATAGAGTGTTATTGACCTTTTTTTAGTAAGCTTTTTTTTTCTTTCCTGAAGCAGTTTCTTGTACATAACTTGCAAATTTAATAACGTGACTACATGTAATCTGAAAAGGTAAGAATTTTTCCCATCACAGCAATCTCTAAAGTGTTTAAAGTAGATTTAAGTTTAAATAATGAATATTATATATCAACTATTTCAGATAGAATTGAATGTATACCGTCAAAAATAAAATTTGCTATTAACAGTTGACTACACTAATTTGAAATATGCATATAACAAATAAAAACCGTCAGGTATTTTATAAAATTTACAACAATCAGATCATGTTAAAAGATTCAACATATAACCTTGACACATTAATTGTCGGGATATATACTATAAACTGTATAAAATAATAATTTGTAAGCATTTGTAAAGCGATAACAAATTTTCAGAGCACATGGAATATCGATTTATTCCAACGAAAAGAGGTAAACACCTATTGATGCTAAACGGTTACACATATTCACAAATGAAGACCACTAATAATTATTACTGCTCAAAGAAACAGACTGGGAACTGTAAGGCCAGAGTGAAATTGAATGATGAAGGTGCAATTATTTGTGCCGATTTAAATCACACGCATACAAAACCGCACTACGTTCAGACTTCAACGGGGGAACTGTGGAAGGTGTAAATAAAAATGTTTTTCTGTATAACTGTTTTATTTATTTAATAAAGTTATTTAAATATCTTTTTTGTATATGCTATAGCTTCATTTGCACTGGAATTGTGGAATATTTTGCCAATAACAAAGTTTTTATTTGACGAATTATAATATTGAGTTTTGTGTGGAGAAAACATGAATGAGTTTGTAGATGAAAATTTTTTATACATTTTATTTTGATATATGGATTGTATTTGTCATATTTTTTTTTATAACAAATACTGTTTAGATTCTTTTAAAATTAGTCAATGTAATATTTTGTTCTTTTTTTCTTTTTCCAAGGAGTCTTATAGGTGTAATATCTCACTTTTTACAGGAAATCCTGAATATAAATTTATTCCGTCTTCAAAAGGACGTTACCTGATAATGCTTGATGGATACACGTATTTTCAAATGAATGCTAAATCTCGTAACTATCATTGCTCTAAGTCTTGGTCCGGTTGCAAGGCTCAAGTGAAATTTGATAAGAAGGGAGAGTTTATAAAAATAAATACGGAACACAAACACGAACGACCAAATTTCATAGTTACCAAGTCTGGTCAATATATTAAAGTGTGAAATTTTAATATCGCAAACGTTAAAAAGTCCAGTAGACAATTTTCAAAGTAATTAATTTCTTATTATGTTCAGAATGTTTCTTTCGTAGCCGGTTTGTAAGATTTAAGTTGAAATAATAATATGATAAATTCAATTAAATTGTATCCTTAATAAGATTTGTGAATGAAAAACTGAATTCGTTCCGTATGTAGTGTAATGACGAAATATTTTTGGTAAGGTTACTGGCTACTGCATACTTATTAATCTAATTGTACGTAGTGCGATCGTAGTATTAAATAATAAAGTAAATAATTAAATTTATATACGATGCTGTAAAATTGTTATCAGATGTCGTCGCAACTTAATAAAAAGAAATAGATTACTAAGTATGTAATAGGTATTTATAATATAATTTTGTTAGTTAGTTAGTCACTTAGGAATGTGAAAATGTCATACTTAGTCAAAGTTACAATAAGTTTTCCAGTTTTGTCAGTAAATATATGTACTTGTAAAAACCTATTTAGACAGAAAAATGTTTAACCATAAATCTGAAAATTGAACCATAAAGAGAATAGCATAAAGTTGAAAATTGTGTTTAACACTCTGGTAGTTCTTGCAGTATAAGATTCAACTTTTATATCAGCGTAAACCAAAGATAAGGATGTTTACCCTAAGTTTTTTTCGTATATTGAAGTAAACAAGAAAATAGGAAAAAATAGACTTCAGAATACAAATAATCACAAAATAATTGTAACGAAAGCCAGGTTTTGCAGTTATGTAGTACCTAGTAATTTTTTTGGGATACAATTTTTTGTATTACAGAATAAATTCTATATTATTTGAATAATGAAGATAAAGTTAAATATAATATTTTATACAGATTAATTATTTATGTTGTAATTTTTTTATCGTACTAATTTAATAAAAAAAAAATATTAATATTTTTGGAAGACGAGTAGCATTTGACCGGTTTTTAGTATTTCTTGTTATAGTGGCAAAAGATAAAGACTGTGTGTAAAAAAATCAATTTTCTATCTATTTCTAAAAATCGTTTTTGAGATGGAGGTACTCGATGACAAACAGACAAACCAACAGTCATACGTAACCGCGGATACAAATTTAAAACGGTCAAGCAACGCTATTATTAACATATACGAGTATTCATTTGACTGACTAAATCCCATATATTTGTATGTAGAGGGACAATAGTTTTAAGAATACTAAGTGATTTTAATACCTACATATCAAATAGTTCGCTGATCGTGTAACTGTAGTCAATCAGCCATAGATATAGATATTTATGTACAGAATCCTCGGTTTATAATTTAGCATGCCATTTAACAGTTTCTTCTAACGTTAATTGTTAATGATAAGCAAAAAAAATATCTTGCTTACGTAATTTAGTTATTAATAAATTATAATATAATATTATATCAATCAACAATAAATAATTGTGTTGTATTTTTCTTTTACCTTTTATTCTTAAAGAATCCTTTCAAATACATTGTTATGTGTTAATTTTAAATGTATATAATCATCAATATTTTCCTAACAAGTATGATAAATTTCAGATAATTACAAATTCATACAGATATCAAACGAAAAACGTCTGTTAATGTACAAAGGATACACATTCTCTAAAAACAATCACGCCAAAAATACGTATTACTGTTCAAAAAGATACTGTCATTGTAACGCGAAAATCAAACTGAATACAGAAGGAAGTATTGAGTCTGTTTTCGACGTACACAATCACCCTCCACCGAAATACGTTGTAGATTTAAAAGGGATGTATTTAAAAGTATGCTCGTAATTAAATATTTATACTAAAAGATTTTTATTAATATACAAAGTCCTGAAAGAATAAAATGAATGCGTACAAAGCACAAATGTCTGAGGTGAAACTTCTTTGGCGAACTAATTTATAAATGTTGTTTATATGTACAGTGTAAACTCTATATAACGACACTGAAGGGACCGTGCATTTTTGTGCGTTATAGAGAGTTGCCGTTAAATAGAGGGAAGAAAAATCAAAATTAGAAAAAGACAAAGTTTGTTTCAGACTAGTGTTAGTACTTATGTACATAAAAAAGAATGTTATAAAGTCTGTTGTTTTTGTTTGACGTGTTTTGCTGCACCAATAATGTTGTTGTATTTTTTACGTATTTTATTCATATCTTGCGATATGGAGGCATATTGGTGAAGAACGAATTTCTTAGAAAGTTTGGTATGCATGATTACGACAGTTTAGTTTATTGCGGGCTAGGATAACAAAGCGACAAAAAAACGTACACAGCTGCGCATTTTTTACTAATTTTAGCAACTTAAGGGTACTTTTTATTACTTAATTTTGTCGTTATTAAGAGTGGCTGTGACGCTATATAGAGTGTATCATTGTATGGTAGACAAGCTAAACCAACCAAAGTCAAATGATTTCGACGCTTTAGAGAGTTTGTCGTTAAATCGAGTGTCGTTATATGGAGTTTACACTGTATTTATATAAATCTAAAACGTTGTAGGATGTTCGCTCTGTCTCACTTTTTCTCTCAATCCTTCTCACTTGCTCTCTCCCTACTCTCACTCTACAGTTAGTTACTTCAAGTTACGTTCGCCCTGTCTCACTCTCTCTCAATCGGTCTTAATCGCTCTCTCTCTCTCTTTTTCGAAACTTCCGTTGCATACCGGCGTGACGTTACATCTGTAAAAATTTTAGCCTCACGCGCCTAAAGAAGTTTCACTTCAAAAATGATTAAAACTTAGTAATGTATGATAAATTTATTTGTGATAATCTCTGTATGTGAAATTTCTTTTATCAGATAATATCCTGGATTTTAAATTCATTCGGACGAGTCAAGGTAGTCTGCTGATGGTTAATGGTTATACGTTTTCAAAGAACAACCGTTCAAATAATTACTACTGTTCTAAGAAAGACCAGGGTTGCAAGGCTCGTCTGAAGATGGGGAGTAACGGTGTGATAATCAATCAAGACGTGAACCACCTACATCCACCTCCGAAATATGTTCGGACTTCAACTGGTATATATGTTAAAGTGTCGTCTTAAATATTATTTAATAAATCTTTTTCTAAATCATATTCGTGTTTTGCTACCTTATATTTAAGTTATATAATTGAGTTTTCTGTTTTAAGAGACCAAAGTAAATATCTATAAATATTTTTGGTTTTATGTGTTTATTCTCATAGTGTATAAATTTAACGATTCTTTTATTTACAGTTTTTATTTCAGAGCATTGTCTTAAATTTGATGTACCCAAAAATGTTTTGGTATGGTCACTCGATTATGTTCTTGGCGCGTGTTTAAATATTCTTTAAGTTTCTATTAATTTGTAGGGTTTTTAATATACTAAATGGTTGTTGCAATTATTTGAAGTGAAAGTGAAAAGAATAGGGATATTCATCCGTATATAATATCTATATGTCGTATCTCAAAACTTGATCAGTTTACATTGAGTGTATAGTAATAAACTTTGAAAGATAAGAATAATACACTTTATAAGATCACAGCTTGTAAGTAATTGTAGATTGGTGTTTTCTATCGGTCGATAATTCCAATATTACGATTTCCTAAGACACAAAATACAGGAATTTAAAGAAGACTGCTTTGGCTGATAAAACAATGTACCGTAATGGTTGAAAATACAATTTCTATGTGGCTTAGGAGTTTTATATATAAAATAATATGGTCTTTGTTTTAGACATGCCTAGCTACCGGTTCCTCGAGTCGGGGAGAGGAGGGCAACTTGTCATGCTAGATGGTTATACGTATTCGCGACGTACAAATTCTAGAAACTTCTATTGTTCCAAAAAAGACCGAGGCTGTAAAGCCGCTGTCAAAATAGATACTGATGGTGTGTTGACTATCAAGGAATCCTACCACCCTCACCCACGACCAAAGTACTTTATGAAGAAGAACGGATTGTATGTGAAGTTAAAGTCATAATATTAAGGAAAAATTGTTCTTGGAGGAGATTTACTATCGTTTTTTTTATTGTTATAGATGATTTAATAATAAAGTTTTTGTTTCCAAGCCGTTGTTTCAGTAACAGTACCCCGTTTTAAAGATTATTATCGGACGTTAAAAATTAAAGTGATGTATATTTGTTTTAGGAACTGTTGAACATAAATTTATTCGAACTCTGAACGCTTCATTGCTGATGGTGAATGGGTATACGTTCTCGAAACATTCTCATTCCGACAACTATTATTGTTCGAAAAAAAATTCCCACTGCAAGGCGAAGTTAAAGATGAACAAAAACGCTGATGCCATACTGAACAGTGATTATATTGTACACAATCATCCACCACCTAAATTTATGAAGACATCCTCAGGGATATATATTAAACTATAGATATAAAAACTAACAAAAACTACATAATTTTATGTTAAAAAAGTTTTATATATGTATAATTTTGTGGACTCCTGCTTTTCTGTTACCACTTAGGAAATGCAATTTTTTTTATATTTATATACAGGGTGACTGGTGAATTACTATCAATATTTAAGGAGAATACTCGGTGTGTGTGTATATCTAATCTGTAGGGTGTTCACACGATGCGTAATTAATTACATAACTTTTGGTTAACTTTACTTAGAAGTTTATTAATATTTATGTTATATTAATTTTTATTTTGTCATATATGATCGTCAAATATCACGTCCTCAAGTATCGATAGTAATTCACCAGTCATCCTGTATATGTACTTAAAGCAGAGTGAAAGAATAGAAATGTATTTTTTTTTTAATTAAATATTATAAGTTGATTAAATATTTTATTTACATGACCTTAATATTTAAATAATAATTTTTAAATAATTAAAATATCCACGATATTTTAATTATTGCGAAAAGGTTTCTAGCATGTTAATGTTTTATTAAATATAACACAAATTCATTTTTGGTTAGGCTTTTAAACATTTCATTTTAATTCGTTTTGAAATTCAAAACTAGTGGCTTACTTGAAAAAGAAAGAGACATGTATACATATATATATATATATATATTTTCTGTTTGTTAAACATAATTAGTTCAATATTTCATATATTTTATTAATTTCAGGCCATTATAAATACAACTTTATAACGACGAAAAAAACGAATCTGTTGCTGTTCAATGATTACACTTACACTAAAGACAACAAATCGAATAATTACTATTGTTCGAAGAGGAGGCTTAAAGGCTGCAGGGCGCGGCTGAAATTAGATAATGGGATAATTGTTATTAAACATAAATCAGATTTATATCACAATCACGAACGTCCACAATATTATCAGTCACCTACGGGCTTCTATTTAAAAATATCCTCATGAACATATATATGTATAGACATAAGAAGAGTTACTAAATTGTACTAGGAGAAATAATTTAAGTACTAAAATTTGTGTTGAGATTGCAATTAACTTGTCCTAAAATTGTGCTATTATCTTCATATTGTGGTGTATATTGAATGATTTTATGTTTATTTAGTAATAAAATTGATACTATTAAATTATAAGTGAGTATCTTGTCCGAACATGAGGCATATAAATATTTGGAGACGATAATGTATCAGTAACCATCATATATATATAAATTGAACCTATGTATTTATTTGCCTCTGTTTGTACTAGACTTATATATTTCGCTTTTATTACTTAATTTATTAATAATAATAATAAATTTAAATGAAACTAATATTTTTTCGGATATACTACGCGTGCTTTATTTATGTATAAAACTACATACTCCCGACGTGTTGGCTACTTTTCAGCAACCGTGATCACAAAGATGAGAAGCCGCTTCGTTTCATTTATTAGTTTCATTTAAATGAATAAAACTCTCGAAAGTCTTAGATCTAAATTATAATAAATCTTAAGAACAATTATCTTAGTATTAGTTTGAGTAAAATTGTTTGATTGTAACGTGAAATAAGTCTATGAATTCAAAATACTTCTCTTAAATAAAATAAATAACATCTTATTGTACTAATTTTAATGTTTTCTTTTTTAATTTTAATAGATTTGAAGTTGAATAAAGATTAGTTATAGAAGTTTGGAATGCGACTTGCCTCATGACACAGATATGGCTAGTTGAAACATATGTAATGTATTTTAATTATGCTTCTATAAATTGATTTAGTGTTTGATGTGATTAATATTTGATTAGAAATTAGAAGTCAAAATTGTGTTGGTTTAATAAATGTGTATAAGAAATCTAACGACGTATCTGTTTACCTTAATTTCCACTGTTTCGGAGTTCAGACCTTACCTACCTAAATAAAACAAAATTTTGTTTAACAGATACTCCATATTATAATTAAATTAGTTAATGTATGGCCCTAATAAATAAATATTATATAGGTATATGGAAAGTTTTTTCGTATAGCTATTATTAAAGATATCAATGTTGAATATAAACGATTGATTAAAATATACGAAAGATAAATATAGGACGATCTAAGTATTTCGTTGTTAGAAGCTACTTTAGAAATATGTATTTCTGTAAGTACATAATATGTGTCATTTTATTTATAATATCTTATAATAATTTGATGTACTTAAATACCAAAACAACTATTGACTCTAAAATTATCTTAACTCTTTATGTGCGATTCCTTCGATAACATTATTAATTTTTAATAACAATACACATGTGATCTTTTATCTTCTTTTATTTTATCCCGAAAAGCCTTGCCTAAGCTAAGACTTTTTCTGTTGGTATGTATATGTATGTACGTACATGAAGTCAGTGGTGGCCTAGTGGTTATAAGCCCTGCCTCTCATGCATGAGGGCGCGGGTTCGATCCTGGCAAGTACCAATATGATTTTTCCGAGTCATATGTACTTTCTAAGAGTATTTAGACATCACTGATTAATGCATTCCCAAAGAGGGTTGATGTCAGACCGGCGGCCGGTGGTAAAAAACAATTAACCAAAACTATTCACAACACGTAAGGCAGACCCTGGCTAAAGCTGGGAAATTGCCAGGTAGAAGAATATGTATGTACATATGAGACCGATAATATGTATAATAGTTAGTCTTCTCTACTACAGTTCCTTTTCTTTTACACTCATTATTAATTCTAAAAGATTATATTATTATTTTATGTGTTATACAATTTTATTGTATGTTTTACTAATGAAATTATGGTGTAATTGATCGATCCTGTAAATATAGAAGCTTTATCAAAAATGGTGTATTAATTTAATATCGCTTTCCTGTAATAAAAGATGTCTTTTTATTAGTCAATCATTAAACTAATTTATTACTATAAACATTAATTCCATTGCTATATATGTTTTGTTACAGATACTTTCAAATTCATAACTACCCACAACGCTACGCTGTTGATGTTAAACAAATACACGTACGCGAAGCATTGCAAGTCGGATAACTATTACTGTTCCAAAATAAAGAAAGGCTGTTCTGCTAGACTAAAGATAGTTCAAGGGGAGATGGTGGTTAGGAAGGATGTCCACAACCACCCGCCTCCAGTATTCTATTGTTCTTCTGAAGGCATTTATGTCAAAATGTCATCTTAGAAAATATGACATGGTTCTAGGATAAAACTGTCAATACAATAATTGTCTAGGATACGACTATTTTTAAGGATTATAAGGTAATTTATTCATTACAAGAGACTGGATGTCATGAAATTGAAATGAATTTGAATTTGAAAAATGTTTTTTTATAAATAAATAAAATACTTAATATAATTTAAAAATAATTTTCTTAAACTAAAATTTGTATAGAAAATAATGTTAAATGAATTTGATTATCGAATTAATAAATTACTGTTCTGTTTCTTTGTTCTGTTTATTTTCTGTATAACAAAATCATCTAAACGACTAGTAGTCAGATTTACGAGTAAATAGCTTTTTACTTAAACAAGCTTAAAAATTTGTACTGAATGTGTCTGACAAAATAAGTGACACTCAAATGTGTATCGATGCTTAAGTGATATCAAATAGAAGAAATTTATATGAACAAGACATTGTTTGAAAAATTAATGGATATATATTAGGAGTGCGGAATAGTTCTCTAAGATATAAATAAAGCATGTTTCACTGACACAGCATTGGTACGGTCAGAGAAATTGTAGTTATGACAGCCTCTTTCACCCTTCATTAGGTAGTAGAGGCATTTCATGAAGATTTTTCATCCCGATACCAAAAAAACGAGAAATTATAGTGAGCTCTGACCATTAATATGTTTTGATAACATGTTATTTGTCCTCGAGTCAGTTCCTTTCTCAAAGAATAACTAAAAAAACATCTGAAGCTTTGTGTTTAATAGAAAACAAGCTTGTTTGACACATATGTAAATATAATATTTGGCAAAAGTTAGTATGAACGCAGCGTTAAGTTTCCTTAAACTTGTTCTATCCTTATTCGTTATTTATCAATTAGATTTTTTCTGATCCGTTATTTCGCTTGAAACACGTTGAAAAAATCTATTTTTAATTACAGAATCATTCGGATATAAATTTATACCAACACGCAGCGGTAAATACCTCTTGATGTTAGACGGGTTTACGTACTCCCAAATGAGACAGACCAAAAACTTCTACTGCTCCAAGAAAGATGCTGGATGTAAAGCGAGGGTCAAGCTTTTGGAAGACGGAAATGTATCCTCTCAGTCTATCACAAATCATGCCCACCCTCCACCAAAGTACATGATAACATCTTCTGGACATTACGTCAAAATTTGTAGCTAATATTTTTTACGTTAAGATAAATTGAAAATAATGTGTTCCTTTTATATGAGTTTCGTTTTTATATATAGCTTTATAAATATGTAGTTTGGAATTATTATTACCTCTTGATGGTAAAATTTTTCTTAATTAAACAGTTCTTCTAAAACATGAATTTTATTCTGAAATTTCGTTCTTAAGTCAACATTTTCGTACATTTTAATAGATTTAAAGTATATTTTATCCCGGTATAAGTTTTATAACATTCTATTATTGATGTTATTTCAGAAAATATATATGAAAAATATGTACAAAAAATTCCAACGCAACGCGGGAAATATTTGATAATGGTAGACGGTTATACATATTCCCAAATGCGAGATACAAATAACTATTACTGTTCTAAGAAGAACGCGGGATGTAAAGCCCGGGTTAAAGTTAGTCGAGACGGAAGATTGATAAGTGATAGTGCTGCGGGTCATATTCACCCACCTCCAAATTATACTGTTACATCATCTGGCGCCTTTGTTAAGTTTTAAAATGTTAGCCACGATTTAGACTTAGCTAGAACATTTATTATAAAATCAATCCTTAAAAAATATCTGAATCTACTTGAAAAGGTTTAACAAAAATGAAACACATAAAATATAATTTACTTGTAAATAAAAGCGTATTAAATGACTATTGTTTTTCTTTACGTAGTTAGTATAAATTCAAATATATAGCGAATGTATAGCTTCTGTCTAGCTTACCAGTGACAGTGGTAATACAAATAGAGCAGTTCTTGGAGTTGGTTAATATTTTTATGATAACCTAATAGTTTTTTAATAACTTTTAGTTATAAAGAACTTGGCTGGTAATCATCGATACAAATTTAAACCTATGATTTGTTCAGTCGTGTGTCATGATACAAGCCGATCAAGCATGATAGGTCTCAACAAAATAAATACATATTTGAAAAGGATTGTGTCCAAGTTTGGAATGCTAAAATTATTTGAATAAAAAAAAATACTATCCTAGATTGTATATATTTGGATTAAATCGTGTAACAAAACCTTTATAAATTTAAACTTGATATTAAGAGTCGAAAAACTTTCGTGATCTTCGATTTGTTGGTAAGGCTTTGACATAAAAATCTCTTTATTAAGGGTAATATAAAGTATAAGTTCTGTTACCAGAAGGTGACCTATAATGACAATTTTTAGTTTCAGATACAGTTTTCTATGAATTCATCACATCAAGAAGGGGAAAGGATTTGATAATGATAAATGGATATACATTCTCCCAAAGTACAGCTCGTTTATGGATTTGTTCCAAGTATCCGAAATGTAAAGCGAAAATATCCAGGAATTTAGATGGCAGTGTGTCCATAATGTCTGAAGAACATAATCATAGGCCCGATAAGATTGTGAGAACCAAGGATGGGAAAGTCATTCGTGTGTAGATTGGAGTTTAGGGAATATTGCCTTCCTTTGTTTGAAGAATTTGACCGGTTTTCTATTATAGACAGTTTGAAAACAATAAAAGTTTATTAGTTTTTCTTATTTATGATTCACTTAAGGAACACGTTGAACCTGTCTGAAAGAATCTGTAGTTTCCTTTGCATTTATTTGTGGCCCGATCGTAGTGATGGCTTCTAGTTACAATTTTCAACATTATTCAATTTAATTTGACATTATACTCTTCTAGATGTAGTTTCTTATGAAATGGTGGTCTCGCAAAGGGGGAAGGAGTTAATTTTGTCTGACGGATTCACCTTCTCTCAAAACACGAATAATATTTGGTACTGCACAAAGTACCCGAAATGTAAAGGAAAAATCTATAAGTTTTCTGACGGCCGCATCCAGGAGATGTCTCAACATAATCATGGTGGTAGTAGATTTGTGACAGACCATAATAGAAGGATTTTTAAACTGTAAGCCAGTGTGTTTTCGTAAATAAAAGTCTCTTTTGTATATGGGATAGCTTAATAAGTTATCTGGTATGCCCAAACAAAGAGAAAAACCAAATAACTCGAAATTATTTATAATCGTGTTTTATTTTAACCTCGACAAACTCTTCCTTGGTTTACTTTACATTTTATTTTTCACTTTTAATTTATGTGTTTTTTTTATTAAATAGTGTTTTTTTTGTAGAAGTAATTTAATTTATTTAAATTAAGGTGTTGTCGTTATTATAAAACTTTTTAGACAGTGCTGTGAATACCTGTAATAGGTGTAGATATGACGACCTATACTTTTGTCTGTATTTTTGTGTAAATGTTGCATATGTGTACTGTTGGTGTTTCTAAGTTAATAAAAAAAAATTTATGTGATTAAACTTATAAGAAGATTATTGTGATTCATTAATTCTATAAATTCATTTATATGGTAAGAACAAATTATTCTCATTCAACTCCCATTTCTATTGGAAATTGTGCATATTAAGTTTATATTATTAGTGTTATATATATTTTATTTTTTTTCAGGACTCGTACAGTACGATGTAGTGAAATCCCAAAGGGGTAGGGATTTATTGCTTATAAAAGGTTACACTTACGCAAGAGGTGGTCAGTACCGTTGGATTTGTTCCACTCACCATCCTAGCTGCAAGGCCAAGATCAAATTGAACAAACTGGGCTATGTGGAGCAGTATTTCGATAATCATTACCATCCACCGAAGAAAATAATTAAGACTAGCTCCGGTGAATATTTGCGTGTTTGAAAGTTATAATGTAAAAAAAAAATTAAAATAGAATATATAAAATAGAATATATAAAATTTTATTATATATCTCTTGAATCTAGATCTTTCTTAAGGTGGCACTTGACTTGGCGTTGCGTATTCGAATAGCGTATTTGGTCCATTTATCCGAATATTTGTACGTAGTCCAAATAGCGCAAACACGACATCCACACTTGGCATGTCTGTAGTCTATACGCGTTTTCACTTATTAGTGTCTGTGTCTTATTTGTGCAAATATGTCAAATAAAGACGAATAAATCCTCTTCACATGGTCTTATTTGGCCGAACGTAACAAATAAACGCCAAGTGAAGCTTCACTTTATATGTGATATGTAAATAAAAATATGGTTTCTGTCATTGACGTTTAACTTTTATAATGATTTTCAATAGGTTTACGTAAAGTATAACGCAGTATTTTTATGTTAGTATTAAAATTAAATAGAAACATGAAATGTATTTAATAAAATCTCTAGTAGTATTATTGATGGCCTTATTTAAAATGTTTACTTAGTATAAATTTACTATATCCTAAGATTTTATTTACCATAAGTCAATATAGAGATTTTCAGACAATTGTTTCTTAATAGTTTAAATTTAATATATATAATATTTTACATATATATTTTCTAAATTAAAAATTTTGTACATTTGTTAGGTTAATGTAAAATTAAAGAAGTTGTTATTATGTTACGACGTTTTAAAGTAAATGAATTCATTATAAAAGTTATATAAATAAATATTTGTAATTAATTTCCTTAAAAAAGTATGTAATGTTTGTTCATATAATTACTGTTCATGTCAGGCAGACCCTGGCTAAAGCTGGGAAATTGCCAGGAAGAAGAAGATGATAAATACTCATAATTATTTAATAATAACGATTGTAACCATAGTTTACCTTACAAGATATATTTTTAGTTATAAAACGCACATGATGCCTTAGATTTCTTTCTATTAAAAATAAATATTTTCCTAAAATCCCTATATATTATTTATACCTAAATTTTTATAGGAACTAGTGGAATTATACGTGTAGGTATATTGTATGACGTAATGTCGCAGAACGGAAAGTCTTATTGCTTACTGCTATACTTTCTCGAAGACCAGTTTAATTCTTTTGGTCTGTTCCAAGAGGTCGCCGGACTGAAAAAGTGAATCAGAAGGATGCCATGAGAACAGAGATTAGCAAAATCTTACACGGACGTAGTTCAAAACGTGGAAGAAGAATAATTGACGTATAAGATTAATTCTCGTGCTCATTACATTTCTATACATAAAGAAACATAAAAGCAACATCTCTTATAGTATTTTTTATTATACTAAATTAATATATTTAAAATAATAGAAAAGATTCAGAAAATCTTAAGTAATAAAAAATATCATTTAAAACAGCCATACCCAGTTTTAATACAATAAATTTCATTTGTAGAAGATCTTAAGTTTATTGCTATCAATGGCAATAAAAGAGTGCTGATGGTAGGAGGTTATACATTCGCGAGGACAAGCAAACGACACTTTTATTGTTCTAAGAAGGCTAAAGGATGTAAAGCAAGGGTATATCTGAATAGAGATGAAACGGAGATTGTCTATTTAGATAATTACCATGAGCACGAACCACCCGTCTATATTAAGAGCTCACACGGCTGCTATGTCAAAGTCAGTGGATGAAAGAAAAAATTTTTATTTTTAATCTAATACTATATGGTTAGAATTAAGTTAAGACTTATAGGAACAGTTATACTATTATAATATTTTATTTATATGGTTTAATGTATAGGAATAAATTTAATTATTGTACTTTTTTTTTGATTATTTTCTGTATTATCATAGTCACAGTCTGTTTAATGTTTATTCTTGATGGATATCCTATGATAAAATTTCGTATTTAATACTTCGGTTAAAAGTCTTTAAGGTGTACATTGTCTGAATTACAGCCGGGATGAATTATATTTTTATTCATATATAGCTAATATAATGTACATAAAAGGAAGGACTTTTCTTATGTTGAAGAATAAAGATAAAATAAAATTATTGTCTCTTATTGAGAACGTCGCAAAAGAGATTTTTTGGTATAGATGCAACTTTTATAATCATCCGTCTCTAATAAAGGTGCATTTATTAAAAAATTCCTTTACGTTCACCATACGTACGTGTGACCTCATTTTTATTTACTTGCTTCATTACAGATGAATTCAATTTCATTACGATAGTTGGCAACAAACGTCTTCTGATGGTCCAGGGTTATACATTTGCTAAAACTAATAAACGACATTGGTACTGCTCCAAGAAAGCGAAAGGCTGCAAAGCCAGGGTTTTTCTCAACTCAGACGAAACAGAGCTTGAGTTCTGTGATAACACACATCAGCACCAGCCTCCCATCTATGCACAGAGTTCTGATGGCTTATATTTTAAACTTAGTGGCTGATTTTTTTAAATATTTTCTTATTAAAATTGTTGTTTCAGTAACACATTGAATGAATTTCTATTATATTGTTTTTATTTATTCCAATGAATTCATATTTACGTATTATACCTCAAAGAATTTAGTCAAATTTAATTTAATTTAATCAAAGACTTTATTTATATAATAACCTCACGATCGAGTATGATGAGATATCTTTATTAAATATTGGAAAAAATGAGATATTTGAGCTAGCAGTTAAAGTAATAATTCATGAGTAACCAATGCAATTTCTTTTTCGTAATTATTGTATCGAAGAATTATGGGTCATTGTCAAATATTATGCTCTTGTAAATGAGACTTAGGTATTGTTATTATATTATTGAAATTATTTTTAATTGCTTTTTAAATATTTTCTTAAAAATATATCTGTTATCGCGTTCATAAACAAGAACGTTGAAATTGAAAATGATAAGATCATTGAGATTGAATGATATTAGATTAGAAATCATTAAAGACTGTTTTGTTTGTAATGTTTTTTTTATTTAATATTTTGCTGACTAATGATTTTAAGTAAATTAATTTTCAAGTTTCAGTCAAAATATACATTTTCAGGAAATCACTCGTTTTCCTTAAGTGGAAAAACCTAAATATCACGTATTTTATAAAAAACTAAAACAATTTTTACATTGCAAGTACTCATTTTTTAGGAAATAGGAATTACCTGGCATTTAAATAAATATTTTGAATCATTATATCCTTAGGTTATATGTATATTCCATATTAAGTGTATTCCTGATAGAATACTTAATAATTTATATGGTGCTGGTACCTACACAATTTGTAACACAGACTTCTGTTTCTCTCCTATAATAATATTATTAATATGAATCAACATAACGCCACCAATAATTTCCCATTATATTATAAAAAAATATCTCATCTAAAATAAGACTAATATTTTTGGATTTACTACGCGTTTTTAATTATTTTTTTAAACGAGGGGAGTATGTATTTAAATTAAAGTCGCGAAAGTCTTACATCTAAATGCCTCCTAAATGTTTTTATATTGACTTTTAATAATTACAATCCCTTTGATTCCTGATTGCGAATATTTTTTTTATATACAATTTTCGTGTTTTTCAATTCGAATAAAAATCGTAATGTGACTTTCAGAAACATTTGAGATTGTACAAAATCATCGCACCAATGGTATGTTGTTGATCTACAATGGGCATACCTTCTATCACATGCACAACAAAACCCGCTGGTATTGTTCAAAGTGGCACAAAGGTTGCAGGGTGAAGGTCACATTTACGTCCAACGGGAAATTTCTGTCTTGCTTTGGCCAACATAATCATTTGCCACCAATGATTGTTCGAAGGTCAGACGGTAGAGTTTATCACTGTAAGGGTTTCGTTTAATTCAAACGAAACTATGAATAATATCAGTAAAACAGACTTTATATTCTTTTTTTGTTAGAATTTTAGAAAAAGCTTATATTTTATATTGTACTTAAATGAAAAGAAAGGTATCCTTATAAACTCTTTAAATTAGTCCACCTATTTTTTGTACAATAAATTGTACATAATCGTATAGAATTCTCAAAATAAATTATAAGTTTTTTCACTTCTTTTTATTAAATTTATTCCTTTTATTATTAAATCTTATTTGTAATATGTTTTAAATATTACATGTTTCTTGTTTGTACTCGTATCAATGGCTACTTTCAAAGTAAATTAATTTAGTGTAAATGTGCGCATACATATAAGTACTCGTTTATTCCCAAAGAGGGTTGATGTCAGGCAGGCGGCCGGTTGTAAAAACAATTAGCCAAAACTATTCACAACATGTAAGACAGGCCCTGGCTAAAGCTGGGAAATTGCCAGGAAGAAGATGGAGAAGAGATATATGTATAGAATTGTGAAACGGTCTATATTATTTTATCAGTTATATATAAAAATCGTATTCAGACATTAAATCATATAATTAAAATTTTATTACAGATGAACTAAAAAATGTTTTGGTAAACAGTAAATTAATCGTGATGATCAAACTATGGTATAGGAAGATGGAATGGAATTGGTTTTGTTATTAAAATGAAAAAAATTATGTAAAAGAAAATAACATGCTAAAATAAGTGTCCCTTTTTGTCAATAAAACTCAAATTGTCTCGTATATTTAATTCTAATGATTTTTTATATTGGACAAAATTATTTTATTTATCTTTCACAGATGTACTCGAATTCATTCCGACTAATCGGGGCAAAGGCACTACACTTATTTACAATGGTTACACTTATTGTCACATGACCCAGAAGACTAGATGGTATTGTTCTAAAAAGAAGATTGGTTGTAAAGCACGACTTATAACAACTATTGAAGGAGAGCTGGTGAAGGTGGTCGTAGAATTCCATAATCATCCACCTCCCAAATTATATCGAACTGCAGACGGGCAAATTTATAAAGTATGACAAGTGCTAAAATAAATACTTCTTTATTTTGATTAAAATAATTTTTAAATATAATACGCACTTTGTTTTTGAGAGGGGAAGTCTTCAAATTACCCTAGGAAGGGTCATTTGATGACTTCCACTGAGAAGAGAGTGTCAGACTCCTACTGACTAAAAACACCCATTACCTTCGTCTGCTTTGAGCTAGGCTGCGGTACATCATTGCGCTTGCACTCGCAACCCGGCTTGACATATGATCTAGGGCCCTATTTGTGGTAGTCGCGAGTGTCACAATACGCGCCGTATGCTCGAGGTATATATAATATTCAGTCTCCAGAATATATTTAGTCCATTCTATGACAGCTCTGTATTGGAATTTTCGCCTTTTACTTTGACTATACGTATTTTGAAATTACTGAAGCTGATGGTCGTAAGTATAAAATTGTAAGTTATTTTTAAAATTATGACCAAAAAAAACCAACTTAGTCTAAGGTTTTCGTTGACAAGAAATATCTTTTGATGTATACACACAAAAAAATTTACATGAATGTCGGTAATTTTTTCGTATCTGGTTACAGTTAAATTATAAAATATAATAATTCAATCGTTATATACAATGTTTTACAAACAATGTTATACTTGCAGATATTGTAGAGTATATGCCTACTAACCGTGGCAAAGGAGTTTTGTTAATTTACAATGGATTCACTTACGCTCATCGTGAGAACAGAACAAGATTTTACTGTTCCAAGAAAGCTATCGGCTGTAAAGCAAGACTTACAACGACTGAAGAAGGAAACTTGTTGGAAGTAGTGGAATCAAAACATAATCACGATCCACCCAAATTATACAGAACTAATGATGGAAAGGTTTATAAACTTTGAATTGGGTACATTACATGCGTTACTTTCATGTAAAAATATTCTAATAAATTATATTACAATGCACTGTTGTCTATAGTTTTACTTAGTTACAGACTAATTTACTTCTTTCAAGTTTGAAATATCCCATTTATTTTGCTTTAATAACAAATTCATGTTGATTCTATCGAAAATTAAACTAATATTTGATAAAATTTTGCAGAATATTTAGAATTTATGCCAAGTAGACGCGGCAAGGGAATCTTAGCTCTATATGATGGTTATACGTTTTCTCACATACACTCAAATAATAAAACTAGGTGGTATTGTTCGAAGAGAATGGGTGGGTGTAAGGCGCGACTTATTACAACTCCAGCGGGTAAATTTATAGGGATGATTGGTGAACATGAGCATAATCGACCCCACATACAGAGAGCGTCCAATGGACAAATTAGATTAAAATGATATAATTGTCAATTATTGTTATTCTAAATAATAAAAAAAAATTCCATCCATATAATTGTAAAAGTGAGATTACTTTATAACGTTTAGAATTTGAATAAAATAAAAGATAATTGGTAAATTAAAAGACATATAGTTATTTTTTTAAATTTTGATACCTATACAGGATGTACATAAAAATAAGTTAATTAGTTTTGCTATATAAGCCCAGGAAAATTAAACAGTTTTTCCGAATTTTATCAAAAACATTTCATACACCTTTCCATCGTTAGAAGAAAGCCTTCAAAGATATATGTTATATGTTAGGAATAAGAAGTTTTTATAAGATTCCTGCACAAGGTTCAAATATTTCTGTGTTTGCAAAAAAAATTACGTGTATATTTTGTATCAGGATTTAAAGTATAGCAACGTGAAAGTATTATAACATCCCGTAACTCATTTCTCATAGTTTTTGTCTGCTTCTCAATAGAGCCAAAGCGTGGACATGTAATTTTTGAAGCATTTTTTGGAACTATTACTTAAATTGCACAAAAATTTCAGATGTTTTAGAATACATACCATCGAACCGAGGGAAAGGTACAATTTTAATTTACCAGGGCTTTACATACGCTCATATGAAGAATAAAACGCGGTGGTACTGTTCTAAAAAGGCCATAGGTTGTAAAGCGAAGCTCATAACAACAGATGATGGGGATTTATTACAAGTGTTGGATTCTAAACATATCCATGGTCCCCCAACATTATTTAGGACGAATGATGGAAAGATATGGAAAGTTTGATCTCAAAACTCTGACCACTTAGAGTAATTTTAATACTATTAGTATAACTATTTTTTTCTAGTCATTATAGAACAATTATGATATTTCTGAATATATTTTTTTTCTATTCGTAATAAATTCTGTATACAGCTATAGAATTAGTATTTTTAATAGATTGTAGTTGTCCTGGTACTACTTATAATAAGGTATCTTTTATATTTTTCCAAAAAATTTTAAAATTTGAAGGAGAGAATTGATATGTTTTACGAAGATATCAATTAAATTTTTTCCTATTGTGTCCTTCCTAAAATGTAGAAGCATTTTAACCAGTTGTAAAATGCATGCCCTCAAACAGGATGAAATTTCTTATAAATTACAATGCAATATACTTATAAGGCGGATATAATTTTGCTACCATCCAAAAAAACAACTGTCTGTACTGCACTACTTCTTACGTAGCACACAAAGTACAGGCATTTTGAATAAAATAAACGAGCTATGACAAGCTTTGTATCAAACAGTGGTAATATTTAATATACTTCGCGTCTCTTTACACAGCAAATGTTTTTAATATATTTTTAATACTTTTAGATTTCGTGATCTTTCATTCACGTGGTTTAATTAAGGATTTCATATAATTAAACAGTTTCAGATTTATAACTTGGAATTTATGATTTTGAATATTAATGTTCGTAAAAAATTAAACAGAAATAATTGAGCCATCGTTGTTATATCACATATGAATGTTTTAATTCAGTAATTCTCAATCACAATCATAAATCATCATCTGATGTTTGTAAATTTTTTATCAAACTTTAAAATTGTGTGTCATTTTTATTTATTTAAATGTTTTAAATTTCGTATGATTAACAATGACATTTCTTTTTTGATTTAATTTGTATTAAATTTATATTTTTTGTTTTCTTCTTTATGTGAAATAGTATGAAGTGTAATAAATATGTTTTTTTGCAGATGCAATCGAATTTATTCCTAGCAATCGCAGTAACGGCCGTCTTCTAGTGCATAGAGACTACACATACGTGTCTATGAACACTAAGACTCGTTGGTATTGTTCTAAGAAAAAGATGGGATGTAAGACAAAGTTGGTGATAACGCCAGAGGGGCAATTCCTCGAACTATTGGGCCAGCACGATCACCCACCACCATTACTGTATCGAACCAAGGATGGACAAGTTATCAAAGTTAATTCAAAGTTCTGTTTAAATTTTGGTTAATATATAAAATCATTGACGAAAATTTTGGCTTTTTTTATGTAACACTATCCCATTCACTGATTCAAAAAATATCAAATGTTTGAAAAATATCTCATTTGTTTGTAGAACCACTCGAGTTTATACCTAGTAACCGCGGTAAGGGCCAGTTGCTTTTGTGCGAAGGATATTCATTCGTGAATGTATACAATAACACGAGATGGCACTGCTCAAAGAGACTCGCTGGCTGTAAGGTTAGACTGAGTACTAATATGGAGAGAAAATTGATAGAGATATCAGGAGAACATAATCACGAACCACCAAGTTTCTATCGCGCTTCGGACGGCAAGCTGTATAGGCGATAGATATATTAATACAATAGAAGATATATAAAATAATGTTATCTTTTCAATATACGTTTGTTTCTGGAATATTCTATATTTATTTAAGTATATTTCTGATAGATAATAAATTTTATTTTATGAGAATGTTAATTTAGTCTGTTATTTGCAATTTATAGGCTAAAACAAGTCTGTGGCTAGAAAGATGGTATACAGTAATTCCTATCGAGCCAAAATTTCAAGAAGATCATCTTTATAATAATAATTTCAGCTAAAAGTAGTTTATAATTTTCAGAATATAAAGAAATACAATTATTTGGAAATGGTGGTTCAGTAGTATTATATCAGGGTTACACATTCTCATACCAGGGTCCGAAGAATATCAAACGTTATTTATACTGTTCCAAAAGAACTCACAACAAATGCAGTGCTCGCATCAATTTGGATAAAAGCGGGAAGATATCGTATGCCCACACCGAACATAATCACTTACCACCAAGATTGGTGCAAAGTTCGAATGGAACTTATTGGAAATTCGGCTAATTATGACTTGAAATTATGACAGATTACTAATTTTTAGATATTTATATGTTACGAAATAATATAGCTTGTTTTATTAACCATAGTTTTAGCATTTGACGTGAATATTTTACTAATCATTTATTTTGTACTGTATGGTTTTTATATAAAAAAATCTACTGTCAGCTTTGTTTCATTTCTTAGGAATATTTTCTTTATTGTGTTTTATAAATATTATTATAAATTATAAAAAGTATGCAAATACATATTCATTTTATATTAAGTAACCTTACTGGAACATTATGTAATAAGTAAATTTTAACAAATTGTTTTTTCATCAGAAATATTGAATGATGATGCCGATTTCCTTCGATACTACAGACGGTACAGAGCTCAGAATCCCCAGAAGTTCCAAGTGAAGAGAGAAGAAGAAGAGGATACATCGGATCCTATTGGACGCGTCACTGATATTCTTAGCTCTTTAATACCGAGCAAAAATAAACAGTAATTGCTGATCGCGATTCGTAATTAAGAACTTCTCAATTAATTAGTGATATAAATGATGTAGATCAATAAATTAATTAATCTTAACCGTATATTTATTTACTTAAATGTTGAATAGAATTTTTATAATATTTTTATATCAAATGTCAAGTTTGTGACAAATATTTCAGAGTATGAGGTGATGAAGCTTGTGAATGGAAGAACAATAATAAGATATCAGAATCATACGTTCTCTTACAAAGGGGTAAAGGGCATAGGTCGTTCTAGGTATCTCTATTGTTCTAAAAAGGATACATTCAAATATTCCTCTCGTCTGAAAATGTCCAAGGATGGTGAGATTTTGAGGGCGATCATTGACCACAACCACGACCCACCAACTTATACTAAATGTTCTAATGGTTTTTATGTAAAAATATAAATGTATGCCTTCTCTAAGTTTACGTCATTACAATACGTAATCGTTTTCTGTTTCTATTTCAGTAAATTAAGTAAGTGTTATAGTCTTTGAGACCTTCTAAGAAAAAACTTTTAACGTTATATAGGTATGTAGTGTGACGACTGATGATGATTAATAGACTAAATATTGCCAAAATATAATCTTTTGTTTACGTCAAATTTAAATCTCTCTTTGTGATTTCATGAAAGCTATATTTTAAGTAGTATTTTTGTTATTTAATATGTATTCTTTAGTTCATCTCTTGTTACTAATTTTAGATTTTTTTTTTCAATACTTTCTGGATCTCCTGATCTAACTAGTTTCATTTCAACATTAAACGAATTATACAGGAGTGTTTAGGTGCTTCACACAGAACATTATACAAATGTAAGGTTCCATAAATAAAAGTAATGGTTAATTAAACCAATGTTGTGAATGTCTGTGTGAACAGTTTATTTTCAATATTATATACTTATTTTAACTTATTAGAATATAAAAATAAATCATAAATCAATATTGAAAGTTATGGAAAATCTATTTATTATATATTATCCTTTTCTAAATTGCATTGCAATTGCAGATTATTTGCTATTACTAATTTTTTGTTTTATTATAAACTAGCTTTCCGCCCGCAGCTTCGCCCGCGTTTCGAAATTCGAGTTTCTACGCCTTATGGTCCTAGAGATATCGTGATGAGTCAATATATAGGTGGAAATCTCTTTTCTAAAATATAGATATAAAAAATACTTGGTATCAAATATTTTAAGTAAGGTATACAGATTGTTTGCAAATTTGTACTATTTAATTAAAGTATTATGATAATTTTTATTAAAACAAAATGTATGTACATGTATTATGTATTTTACATAATGATTGTCAATTAATATTATATTTATGTTATCAGGTATAGAAGAAATTATAATGTACAACGGTAGAAAGTTGATCATGTACCAGGATTATACGTTCTCGTTCAGAGGTTCGAAGGGGAAAGGATTCAGTTACCTTTACTGTTCCAAGAAAGACAGGGATAAATGTTCAGCTCGACTGAAGATATCCATCGATGGAGAGATCCTCGCATCTTCAACTGGTCACAATCACCCACCACCGAAATTTACGAGGTGTTCAGACGGGACGTATGTTAAAATAGATTAGGAAGAATATCTCAGATATAATATATATAAATCTCTGCCATGTGTGAATATTATACGAAAAGTTTAGTACAATCACCAAAAATATATTAAGCGTCAGCAAAAAAATAATCATCACCAAAAAAAATTTGCATAAGTCATCTTGCCTGTCATATCTAGCTATTTTAATATTTTTATTTTATTCGGTTCTTTAGTATTTATGTAATTTTGGATTATAGAAATAAATTATGTATGACAATTTCAACTATTTAACTATGTATAATGGTTTTTGAGATATATCCTTGTATAAAACGAACAGACAGTAGTTTTAGTACTATAGTCATGTTTAGTACTACAGTCATGTTTAATTCGTTATGTATGGAACACTTAAAATGTAAATAAATAAAAATAATGTTATATGTACTCTATATTATCCATAAAGTTTATTTTGTTAATTCTGATTTTTGAGTTTACCTATTAAATGTACAACTATATTTAATTAAAAATGTATCACCTTATTTTAAATTGGGACGCAAAAAGAGCTCATAGGTGGTACGGAGTGGAGTGAAAAGTATGAAATGATGTATTTTTTTTGTATTTAATTGTAGTCTCTAAAGCTATAACATATCTAGATGTATTGCCGGTATGCAGAGTGACAAATATTATAATAAAAAGCATGATTATGATATGATACCCATAATAGTATATGTTTTTAATGAAGTTGGAAACCTGGATTTATAATTTCACAATTACAAGTTTGAAATCACCAACCCGTCTTGTGCAAGCGTGGTGATTAATGCTCCTTCTCCATGTGAGAAGAAGCTTTTGCTCATCATTCGGCTCTGATAGGCTGATGACAATAGTAACAGACACCGATAATTGTTTTTTATAAGATGTATGAGTTAAATCCTAAAGACTAAAGAACGTTAGTCGCTGTAAAATAATAATAATTTACGTATTTCATGTCCTATCTCAGATACATTTAATCTGAACTTTGCATGCTGTACTCGAAATAAGTTTATTTTAGAAGTCTTTAAATTTTAATTGTAGATAAAAAAGTATTAGGTATATAGTTTAAAATAGTAAAAAATGACACGAGAGGTCTTGACATCTGGCTATTAAGATTTTAAACAATATATTTTATACTTATGACACTATATTAAAAAACTTTATTTTGTAAAATCTATTTTTGAATAAGTTGTTTTAGGTATATTTTTTATTTATTTAAGAAACTCCTCTCTATTCTTAAGGATGTATTAAAATAATTTACTATCAAATTAGGTGTTACAAAGAAACCTTTTATTATAATAGGATTACACGATGCAAGCATGTTAATGAATTGTGAAACTATTCTATACTTAACCTACTATATAATAATAATATACCTACTATATAATATTAATAATACTAATACTACCTGGTGACTGGTGATGTTTGTCAATATTTCAGATTACAAAGTGATGAAGCTTCAAAATGGCAGAACAGTAGTAATGTACCAGGAACATACTTTCTCATATCAGGGAGTTAACAGTGGATCGTTCAGATATCTATATTGTTCGAGAAGACACAGCGTAAAATGTTTGGCCAGACTCAAAATGTCTAAGGATGGTGATATTTTGAATGCTGTCACAGAACACAATCATTTACCGCCGTACTATCAACGATGTTCCGATGGCACTTATATTAAAGTAACTTAAAACATTACAAGAGAAATGGTTTTCTAGTATTAATATATTGGCGGTTCTTAGAACTTTATCATATTAAGATTTGCTATATTCTTATTTGGCTCCTCCACATACATATTTTCATCCGAATCATTCCAACAATATACATAATAGTTGTAAGTGTAAATTCTATTGAACATAACTAGTTTTAGCAAATTTTTGCAAATTTTTGTCTTGTAAAAAAAATCAGTTGATTTATTAGAAATGTTTAAGTTAAGATATTCAATTAAATTCATGTTAAATGTTTTATTTATGTTTTCTTTTATCTAAATAAGTACTTATTATGTGTCTTTATTGTTATATAAATATATAATGAATTTAAAACTGAAGTTTAATGAAGTACTGACGTACTTTTTTTGCATTTCGATTTCAGTCAAACTAGAGTATTTGAAAACTGACAGAGGACTGTTGCCATACTTTAGACGACATACCTTCTCGTTCGTCGGTAATAAAAGGAGATATCTGTGCTGTTCAAAGAAGAAGAGAGGCGGTTGTAGCGCCAAGTTAACTATTGACGCAGAGGGTCGCTTCATCAAAGGTTTCCTGCAACACAACCACCAGCCTCCAGAGTACCATAAAACTAAAAGCGGTGTATACGTTAAGATTGGAACATTAAGTATACTTCAATAGCTTTGATTCATCATCATTATTTAGCCTATTGCAGTCCACTGCTGGACATAGGCCTCTCCCAACACGCGCCATAACACTCGGTCCTCTGCCTTCCGCATCCAGTGAGACCCAGCGACCTTTTTAAGGTCATCGGTCCACATAGCTAGGGGGCGTCCTACTATACGTTTGCTGAGACGCGGTCTCCACTCAAGGACACGCTTGCTAATAGCTTTGATTGTTTTAGTTAAATATTTCTCTGTCATTTCCTAATAAAGAGTAATTTATATTTTCTTGCTTTATTACTAACACTTGACGGAATCTATATACTAAATTCGTTTATACTTATCGTTATGCTGAAAATGCTTGGAAATAAATTTAATATTGTGTTTCAGAAAAAATACAATATTTAAGGACCGACAGAGGAATGAAGCCATTTTTCAGGAATTATTCATTTTCATTCAGTAATGGTAGAAATAGTTTGAGATGTTCGAGGAGGCTCAGGGGTCAGTGTAAAGCTAAGCTCTTTCTGGACAGTGAAGGTAGTGTAGTTCGCGGCCAGTTCGACCACAACCATCCACCGCCAGTTTATAAGAGAACCGAAAATGGAATTTATATAAAAATCTCTTGATAATTTTGTATATGTGAAATAAATCACAAGTTAGTTTTACCTATATGTTAATATTAACATTTTGTCAACGATCTATCGCTTATAGTGAATGAAGTATTACTGTGTTGTATTTTTATTTATTTCCAAATTAAATAATATATTTGCATATTGAGAAGGTTTTTTTTTTAAATATAGATTAAAAAATTACAATTATTATTTTGGTAAATTTTCGAGTTCTTTTATTTTTTTTTAAACAGAGTGCTATTATTTGAATTTAATTAATATAAGGAAAAAAGGCATGTCTTGTTGGTAAATGTTTCAATTTAGTATTAAAAAAAAAAATCAAACTTTTTGTGCATATTATGTATGTAATTTACATAATATTTTATGGTTGTTAAAACTGTTATTAAAATGTATATATAGATTCAACGAGTAATCAAAATTATTATATTATATCAAAGACTGAATCTTTATTATGTATTTCATGTATATATTTATTCTGAATAGTAATAATCAATGAATAGTACATTTAATTACTTTTCATCATATAGCCAAATTCGAATTTCAGACAAAATAACTTTCCTGCCAACCCTGAGAGGGGAAGTCGCGTTTTTCAGGAACTATTCCTACTCATTCGTGAATGGCAAGAAATATCTGCGTTGTTCAAAACGTAGCCAAGGTTTTTGTAAAGCAAGGATAACTTTGGACGATGATGGTAACGTAGTGAGTGGATACTTTGAACACAATCATCCACCCCCCGAGTTTATGAAGACTAGAGAAGGGTATTATATAAAGATTAAGTGATATAAGAATTATATGTGTATTAAGATAAATGTATAACGAATTTCAATATATTATTTTGAGTTGTAATTGTTAAATTTCTGAATATACTGATGGACTTTTTAATTCTCCTATTCCCGGTTCCTGACAAGATATATTTATAAATTCTACACCTTCCTTCATAAATGATGAGATTTGAATCATGTCTAATTTGAATCGAAGATATTTCTACTTTAATAACATGTTTTCTTATAAAATTGCTGATCAAGCTCCGTTGCATAGAATCAAGAAATATAAATTGTCAGTTAAATAATTTTTCAACGTCTTAATGTTTTATTTCAAATATTAATTTCTTTTATGACACATCTACATATATTATCTATATAAAAAAGAAAGTTATGTTAGTTATACTATTTACAACTCAAGAACGGCTATAGGGATATGGTTGAAAATTGGTGGGGATATAAATTAATAACAGGAGACGGACATAGGATATTTATATGTTTCATTAAACAAAAAAAAAGAATAAATTCCAATATCTAGTTATTTACGGCCTCTAGGGCGTAATAGATTTCGCCCAGTCAGCTATAAATATGTATTATATTACTAATTCCGAAATTAATGCGGACAAAATTCAGTTAGAAATAATATTATTATTATGCAATGAGCATTATGATAAAATTTGGATTTGATATTTATTTTAAAAAATTAATAAGAAGTTTTAGAACAATTGCACTATATTTTCTTGTTCATTAATTTATATTTGCTAATAACATGGTCATATATTCGGTATATTATTAGAAATAAAACTTGATACTGATTTTTTAAAATACTTTTTTTGGTATTGACGAAAGAGTAAAACTTAGTTCTAAGTAGGCCGATAAAAAAAGAAGTTCTTGTTCTAATAACGTGTTTAGTATAAACTCACTTATTGTAAATATGTTAAAATCAATTGGAATATATTTTTTCTTACAGTTTATTTGCTTTCAGCGTCAATCGAATATGAAATTCTACCTTCAAGTAAAGGTAGGAAGCAGCTGATACTAGTTCAAGGGTACTCATTTTCCATCCAAGGTGGGAACCAGAACTCCTACTATTGTTCAAGGAAGAGGATCGCTGGTTGCAAGGCTCGAGTTCGTCTCCAAGATGCCTTCATCATCAAATCCTATCTTCATCATAATCACCCCCCACCATCATTAGAGTTCGATAGAAATGGTTCACTGGTTAGAGTAAAGTCTACTTATATGTAAAATCGATTTTTATTTATTCATTGTCTATAAAAAGTTTTACATTTTACATTTTTTATCGAAGTTGTGAGATTTCTACATAAAGTTCTGACCTCGTTCGCATCGGAAAAGACAAAGTAAGCAGAAGGTTTTAATACAATGTTAAAAAACGTTTTAATTTAATGAATGGGTTAAGTATTTTTCATTAATGTTCTAAAAATTAATCATCATATTAATATAGGAATATCTGTTCCAGATTACAATTACACTATATTACCGATGTGCGGTAATAAATCGGCGATTATGTTTGAAAACTACACGTATTCATACCATGTAAGAGGTGGACGGACGCTGCAATGTTCAAAGAAACTGAGCATGCAGTGTGGGGCTTATCTTAAAGTTGACAAAAATAATAGAATTATTTACGCCAACACCAATCACACACACGAACCACCGGTGTATAGATTGTCCAGCAAAGGGTTTTATGTGAAAATTGCATAAATATTTTGTCTATAATACTAATAGACAATTGAGATTATATTTTTTGTGAATCTAAAACTGATTTTATTTTGTTATTGTTTTTATTTAGAACCTTTAGATTATGATTTGGATGAAAGATATAAATATCCAATTTAACAATTTTTTTTGACGTTTAAGATGATCAGTTAAAAATAAATGCTTTATAAGTATTGAAGATAAATATGTAAGAATAATAAATGAATTTAATTTTATGAACTTTTGCTATATTAAATATATAATAATAGCTTTTTATTCCAGTATTACAATTCAGATTTATTGAAACCGCTCGTGGTGGGCGTGTTCTTCACCTAAGAGGTCATACATTCTGTAAAATGAACAGATTTTCTAACTTCTGGTATTGCTCAAAGAGAGTGAGCAGCAAGTGTCGCGCGAAGGTGAAGATGGAACCGACGAATACGGAGATTATATTTTCGTTTTTAAAACACAATCACCCACCAAAGAACAATTATTTTGAACTACCAGTTTATTATCCTATACTTGGTGGTGAAATGTAGCATTAATGTTAATTTTATAACCTACCAAAGAATTAAAACTTTAGAAATCATGCCATTCTGTTTTATGTAGTTAAGAAAATGTTTTAGTGTTAAATAAAAAGCTTTTTGTTAGTTTTTGCGACTTTTTGTTGTGATAAATATTTAAAATATATTGTTATCTTACCTTGAAATCATCTTCTACCCAAAATTTGTTTGTTTGTGATAATAGATGTTCATTGTGAAATATTTAAATATTTTTTCTTACTCACATTTTCCATGATCAATAATTAATTTTGGACATCAAATGTTTTTCGACATTAAAACATAATAACTATATATAAATCGTAATTAATCTTCAGATTTCAGTTACGAGATATTAAAAACAAAATTCTTCAAGAGACCCTTAATACTTTTAAAGAATCACACATTTTCTCAGACAAACAGTGACCCTAGATATTGGAACTGCAGTAAAAAGTGGAAATTAAAATGTCAGGCTCGTTTACGTTTTGACGCTTTGAGAAACATAGTTTTCTCTCATTTAGAACATAATCATGAACCACCAAAATTATATAGATATCAAGATGGAACTTGTATTAAAATAGCGTGAATTTCTCAATAATCTTAAAATAAAATTATGTTTGTAAGACTTTGTTCGGCAATAAACTATTTAATAAGATTTCTTATTTTTTTATGGACACATTTCAATAGTTTAATGTAGGCTACCTATAAGAATATGTTTTTTTGAATAGTCATTAAATTATGGATTATTTATAGGACACAGCGGTTACAAGAGCGGCATATTTGGTTTGGTGCAAGATATTAAACGACATGAGAAATCTGACAGTGATTCAGAGCCAAGTGACACAAGCTATGGCGTGTTTCCACAGTATAGGAGAAGTAATTAAATCAATTATTTCGTATTATCAAATATTACGAAGAATTACTATAATAATATTTTTATTTAGGGCAATCAATGAACCGAAAACAGTATCCAGAAGTTATAGCAGCTATAAGAAAGAGGAAGAGAAATCCGATGTGTCACGTTATTCCTTCAGCCTTTGTTACAACAACCTTGGGAGGTATGTATTGTATAATATGTTTTACAATATTGGGTAATTTTATTAAAAGTTTTCATCAAAGAAGTATCTTGTAACAACAATAGCTTACTTAAGATGCTCTGTACATAATGAGATACGACTGTCTCGAGGAGTATTTATTTAAATGAAATTAATATTTATCGGATATACTAACCGTAATCACGGTTGCTAAAAGGTAGCCGAAACGTCGGTAGTATGTAGTTTTTCACAAAAATAAACCCCGAAGTATATTCGAAAAATATTAGTTTCATTTAAATGCTTTGAAGATATTTAGTTAAATAGTTTAAAAAAAAATATTAGCTGTTACAATAATTGTCTCTTTTACATAAGTTGGTTCTGTTTTTATTCAGGTATTAAAATTATTAGTTGAGTGATGTTTGTCTGTGTATAATATTATATATAATTTTAAGATGTTCTTCGACCACGCGAGGAATCCTCGTTGCTCATGGCTCGATCGGAGAGCGCGGAGTTAATTCCTCCTGCTTACAACAACCTGGATTTAGGAGGTGAGATATCGGAATCTTTATTTGGCACTGATAATATTTCATATACTTTTCAAATATTCGACCATAATTATGTTTTAAGAACACAATTTCAACGCCACAAAAATATGAACAGAATCATTGTCTGCAACTAAGAATAAAAATGGTATTAAATTTTATTAATTTTGTGATAAATAACGTTGATTGTTTTCCAGATCTGAAATTCGAAGTTATAAGAGTTTCAAAGGTGAAGCGGCCGTTACTGCTCGTACAAAACTATACATTCGCTCAGACAACCAGCGATTTCCGATACTGGAATTGCAGTCGAAAGTCACGGAAATGCGGTGCAAGACTGCGCTTTGACAACCACGGTCGCTTGGTTTTCTCATCATTGGACCACAACCACGTCGCCCCGTTGTATTTCAAGCAACCCAATGGTTTGCATGTTAGAGTGCGATAAATACCAAACATTTCAAGCATCAAGAAGTTATTGGCAATAATATTGGTGTAGCTTAAATTTGAATTTGGTCGAAAATTAGATCTTTTGTGGCAAGTTTAGGCTGCACTTGTTTTCAGATTCAAACTTGCAAGTTGCGTAGTTCTTGAAAATTCTTTATAAATCGCTTTAAATTTTGACGTTTGTTTTAAATTCTAAGATCTCGATCATTATATTTAAAAGAAAATATATCATTAGCCTTATCACAATAGTATGTAATTCATTATAGACTATATTAAGTTCATTTTATAATAATCAGTTAGATTATTCACGTAGAGTTCTCTCGCAATTCTTGTGTTTGTATCACATATTTTTTATTTAATCATTAAAATAATCACATATACTAGTGATTTATTTTGTCTTTTTTAATTTCTGTTAGAAACTATTTTATTACAATAGTAATAAGTCTTAATAGTATTGTTACAATAAGATACACTCATATAACTGTCGTTAGAAGTAAATTAATTTTAATAACATTTATTTTATTGTGTGATAGTATTTGGAGTAGATGTGATGTTAAGCCAAATAAACAATCATGAATGAAACAGTGTTTTAATATCCCAAAACATTAAGTGTTTGTTCATATAGTCATGAGATTAGATATATTTTTTCTTCAACAGATATAAAGTATAAGTTCATTGCTTCGACGCGCGGAGGTCAACTACTGATGATAAATAATTACACTTTCTCAAGAATAAACAAGACTTGTTACGTTTGGTCGTGTTCGGCCAAATCCAGTCTATGTAGAGCCCGGGTTCGGTTGAGTGCTGATAATGTTATAACAGATTTCATCCTACAACATAATCATCCACCACCAAAATATTATAAGACTAATAATGGTACCTATATAAAGTTTAAATGAGTATTTAACTTATAAGTGGATATTAATTTTATATAATTTTATAATGTGAATTTATCTGCATACGTTGCTATGTTTTCTATGTGATATATTAGTTGTTACCAATTAAATTATATGCTATGTTCAACCAAAGTCATACCGGTATAAATAAATTAATGTGTGCCCATTGTTTGGTTTTATTTCATGGAGTATTATTTTATTTTTTAATACGAATAATTTCATAATGAATTTCCATTGTAGACCGTCTTAAATACATAACCAAGCCGAACGGTACCGTTTTACTGATGCTGAATGGATACACGTACTTCAGGGCGAGCAAGCAGAGTTACGTATGGTTGTGTTCGAGATATAAAAATCAGTGCAAAGCGAAAGTTAGGTTGCATGCAAACGATGAGTTTACAGTCTGTAATGATTACCACAATCACGAGCCGCCTAAATATATCAAGAGGGGTGATACATATTTTAAGGTATAACATAATTGTAATGAGTATTTTTTTTATAACAATGTCTAATCTTTTCTCATATAGAATATATGTCAGCAGAGCAATTTGTTTGTAATAAAGTTAATAAATTCTTTTACCTCTATTTGTTTTTAAAATTATCGTAATAAGTAAATACTTTCTGGACTTTTCTTTTATAGCAAATCAATATAGCAACCCAAATAGTATACCTTGCATATATGTAGTTCATGTAGTCTGCCTTTCAGGTTACGATTACGAGATGTCGACTTCTAGACGTGGTAAAGACAAGATCGTTTACAAAGGTTTCACCTACAGCTCTAAGCAGAACACAAAATACTGGTACTGTTCCACTCTCAACACCTGCAAAGCTAAACTTCACCTGGACCAAACTCTGAAGATAATCGGGGCTTTTACTGATCACAATCATCCCCCACCTTCCTTAGTGAGATTAAGAAATGGTCAACTTATTTTGAGGTAGTTTGTTAAAGTTGATGACGTCATACTATATATGTATTAACGTACTTCAAAGAGGATTCTGTTAAATAAAAACAATATTTTACAATAATGTATTCATCCATGACAAAATTTCGTTCCGAATTATAGAATTTGAAATTAAAAATCATTGTATTACTAGTATTACTTTACAATATAGGAACAATATGTTGTTCCAAATCTAATACATGCATAATATTTAAGTTAATTCAATTGTCCATTGTCATTTTGCTAACCACAAGTTTGCATCGTCATACTTAATATGAAAATTACAGAAGCTCCGTACGTATTCTATTTAAACATGTGGTAAGCATACTGCACATTAAACGTAAGGTTTTAGAATTATGATTATGTAGTTTACGCTATTTTTAAGTATATTTATTTCCATTTTAATGTAATGACATCATTTATTATACATAGTTTTTGTACAAAATTTTAACTTTATTATTTATAATAATAGATTATTATGAGGTACTTTTGTATATAGACTGGATGTAGTCGTATCTAAAATATTCATGTGTACATACTAAATGAAACTAAGTTTTTCGGATACTACCCAGTTTTTGGATAGACATAACTCAGACGTTTCGGTTCCTTTACAGAAACTTTTTACTATGAGGCGAGATGAAAGTCTCACTGATACTTAGATATGAAGTAGTAGAAAACGCGTATTATCCGAAAAACTTAGTTTTATTTACACCGGGTATTTTGTCATCGCGATCTGTGTAAAAATAAGATTATAGTAAAGAAGTGATAGCCAATATTTTATATGTAGACGATACCCGAAACCATTACTTAGATTTTACGTTACAATATGACGCTATTTAGGTAAAAATACCTAAATAGTTTACATTTTAATAATTTATATCATAGAAGAGTTAAAAGTAATCAAAAGCAATTTGTATCGAATATATATTGAAAGGCTAGATTAATTTTAAAGTAGAGTACATCAAAAGAGTATTTTTAGATTCTATTGATAGATAACATAACTTAGATTTTTTAATAATAAAAGTATATAACGTATAATTGTATTATTATATGCCTATGTCTGAATAAAAAAAAAACAAATAACTAATCTTTTAAGTAATAATCGAAACTAACAAAAAATGCTTTCGCTGAACTAATCAAAACAGCGTACATAACACATTGATGCTGAAGTAAAACATACAAAGGGTAAACAAAACTAATTACTTACGCCTTATGATTCCAGAAATATCGTGATAAGTCAATATATAGGTTGAAATTACTCACATATATATAAAGATATACATATATTATTTCTTTTTCACAGACTACGACTATGAAATATCAAGATCAAGTCGGGGGAAAGATTTATTGATATTCAAAGGTTATACTTATAATAGTAAGTCAGATCGCAAGTACTGGTATTGTTCCTACGGCGTCGCCTGTAAGGCTAAAGTACATATGAACAAGGAAGGCCAGATTACATTCTCCTACACGGACCACGTGCATCCACCACCCACGTTGCACAGAATGGCGGATGGGAACATTATAAGAATAAAATGATGTAAAATACCCATTATTTGATTAAATAGTTCTATTATTAAAATTGATTGTCTTTGTTTTATGTTCATAAACTTTGAATTGTGTGGGTCGTAAGTCCCAGGCACTGTTAAAGCACCTCTCCCTGCCACGATTTACCCGGCATGCTATGTTAAGAGCTAAGAGGTTTCGTCTCTTAATAAAATATTAAATGTTTTATTCTTTATGATTCTAGGATACAATTACGAAGTTATTAGATCAAAGAAAGGGAAGGATCTATTGGTTTATAAAGGTTTTACCTACTATCTGCGACGAGCGACTAAGTTATGGTACTGCTCCATCCTCAAGAACTGTAAAGCGAGGGTCCGAATGGAAAATGCTAAGATAGTGGAAGCCAACGATCACCATTCACACCCACCACCGAGGTTATACCGAGCCCCGAGTGGCCTTCTTGTTAGAGTATAAATATTCTCATTAATAATAATTAATCACTTGTCATACTACAATATAGTACCTAATTAAAGATTACATTGTTACAATTATTATATTAAATTTTTAATGATTACAAATCTATAGTTTCCATGCTAACCGCGATATTAGTCATATATAAAAAAAGAAATACTTTTCAAACTAAATTTTAAACGAAACATCTTGGTTACAGAACTCCCAGCTTTATCTAAAAATTGTGTAATGCCGTTGAAAAACTAAGTTTTTCGGATACTACGCGTTTTTTTCTTTTACCTGGCAATTTCCCAGCTTTAGCCAGGGTCTGCCATACATGTTGTGAATAGTTTTGGCTAATTGTTTTTACGACCAGCCGCTTGCCTGACAGAAGCCCTCTTTGGGAATGCATTAATCAGTGATGTCTAAATACTCTTAGAAAGTACATATGACTCGGAAAAATCACATTGTTACTTGCCAGGATCGAACCCGCACCCTCATGCTTGAGGGGCGGGCCTTTTAACCACTAGACCACCACTGACTTTACGCGTTTTTTATTATTTTATGTACATAATCCAGACGTTTCGATTCTTTTACAGAAACTTTTTACTAGGAGGCGAGATGAAAGTGTCACTGATACTGAGGTAAGAAATAATAGAAAACGCTTATTATCCGAAAAACTTAGTTTTATTTACACCGGGTATTTTGTCATCTCGATCTGTGTAATAATAAGATTATAGTAAAGAAGTCATAGCCAATATTTTATATGTAGATGATACCCGAAACCAAAACTTATATTTTACGTTCCAATATGATGTTATGGTAAGATTATTAGGTAGAAATACCTAAATACACTTTTAAAAATTTATACCGTAGAAAAGTTAAAGTAATCAAAAGCAATTTGTATCGAATATATATTGAAAGGATAGATTAATTCTAAAGTAGAGAACATCAAAAGAGTATATTTAGATTCTATTGATAGATAACATAACTTAGATTTTTTAATAAAAAAATATATAAACATTATTGTATTTTATATGCATATATATGTATAAATATTCTGTTACTTGCGACTTCGTCTGACTAAAAAAAGAAATAAAAACTAATCTTTTAAGCAATAATAAAAACTAACAAAAAATGGTTTTGCTGAACTAATCAAAACAGCGTACATAACATAAACAAATAAAAGGTAAACAAAACTAATTACTTATGCCTTATGATCCCAGAAATATCATGATAATTCAATATATGTATAATAGGTTGGGGAAAAAGTTTCTTCGTATTTTTAAGAAAATTCAATACAATTTTTAATATAGTTTATTTAAATTTAACTAAAGTATGTATGTACCATTTCGTTCGATAACCTTTTGCCACCTTGCTGGTAGGGACATGATCCCATTGCTATAAAAATTTTGGTACTTCTCATCAAAATACCGCGACAAGTGGATTTGGCAGTCCTCTAGTGATGTTAACCTAACATTGCCTAAAGATTTCTTAAGTGACCGAAACCGGTGGAAATCTGAAGGTGCAAGGTCAGGACTATACGGCGGATGCATTAACACCTCCCAGCCAAACTCTCTTAATTTTTGCTGAGTGGCTATAGATGTGTGAGGTCTAGCGTTATCATGATGAAACACCACACCTCTTCTGTTGATCAATTCCGGCCGCTTTCTCTCAACTTCTTGCTTTAATCTCATCAGTTGTTCGCAGTAGAGTTCAGAATCGATAGTCCTGCCTGGTGGTAATAGCTCATAATGAATAATGCCCTTCCAATCCCACCACACACACATCATCACTTTATTGCGAGTTAACCCGGGTTTCGCCACAGTCTGTGAAGCCTGACCGGCCTTTGACCACGACCTTTTTCGCACGTTCTTATCGTACGTGATCCACTTTATAACACCAGTTATCAGCTTCTTCCAAAATGATTGGGTTTTATTCATCGTAATAAAGAATCACAAATGAGTACACGGTTCATTAGGTTTCTTTTAGTGAGCTCGTGAGGTACCCAAATATCGAGCTTTTTTTTGTACCCAGTTTTTTTCAAATGCGCCAAAACTGTTATGTGATCAATTCCCAGTTCTTCAGCTACGTCATAACTACTGATATGTCGATCTTGCTCCACTTTTTCAAAAATGGCATCCATTTTATCCGTAATAGGGCGACCAGAGGGAGGTGCATCTTTGACATCAAAATTTCCGGATTGAAAACGCCTAAACCAAATTTGCGCTACTCTCACAGAGACTGCACTAGGTCCATAAACATCGCAATTTTTTTTCGCGGCTTGCGTTGCATTTTTACCTGATTTTATTACAAGTTCATACATACTATGTATAATGCGAAAAGACTTTTTCCCCAACCTATTAGGTTGAAATTTCTCACACATATATATATATATATATATATAAAGTTATACATATATTATTTCTTTTTCACAGACTACGACTATGAAATATCAAGATCAGTCCGGGGGAAAGACTTATTGATATTCAAAGGTTATACTTATAATAGTAAGTCAGATCGCAAGTACTGGTATTGTACGGCGTTGCCTGTAAGGCTAAAGTACATATGAACAAGGAAGGCCAGATTACATTCTCCTACACGAACCACGTGCATCCACCAACCATAATGCACAGAATGGCGAATGGGAACGTCTATATATATAAAAGAAAGTCGTGTTATAAGAATGAAATGATGTAATATACCCCATTATTTGATTAAATAGTTGTATTATTAAATGTTCTTGTCTTTGTTTTATGTTCATAAACTTTGAATTGTGTGGGTCGTAAGTCCCAGGCACTGTTGAAGCACCTCTCCCTGCAACGATTTACCCGGCATGCTATGTTAAGAGCTAAGAGGTTTCGTCTCTTAAAAAAAAGATAAAATATTAAATGTTATGTTAAGTATTTACTTAGCTTATATCTTTTATTTAAAAGATATAAGCTAATTGGTTTAATTAGCTTATATCTTTTATTTAAAAGATATAAGCTAATTAAACCATCAGAAGATTCTTTTATGATGTTCTATGTAACGATTGATGAACTCTTTGGTGTGATAAACTCCACGCATGTGTTGTATTCACACGCAAATAAGGATCTATACGATAAAATTAAACGATATTATTGCAATGTATCTAAAGAGGCCGTAAGGATTTATTTATCATGTTGTGAGATTTGTAATTCAAAAGATAATTATAAGTATATTTATATGAAATATTGAGGTGTTAAAAAATATATTGATTTTATAATAAAGTGACTGAATGAATGGTTGTTTTAGTAGTTTTAACCCAATTGTATAATATAAGTGTGTGTCACAATAATTCCTAGTTATAATCACATTTTCTATTGCCTTCCAGTTAAGTTCATGTTGTCTCGTAATGGCGAGAGTCTCATGAAGTTGGGGGATTTTACTTTTACCAGAATGCTGTTCACGGGTGGAACGTGGTGTTGGTCTTGTTACACTCACAACAACCACGGCTGCAAGGCCAGGGTGTACACCGAGCGACACAAGTTGATATACACCAAGAATTACCACAACCATCCACCGACTGAATTTTTTGTATGACAATTTTTTTTTTCTATTGGCTGCACTGTATTTGAACTTGACGTAGAAGAATCTTATTTTCATATTTCTTTATTCATTTTCTCTTTCATCATAAAAACAGAAAAAATATTCTTCTTTTTTATAATGTCTAAGTAACAAAAGCAGCCAATTTGAACAATAAAGAGACGTAAGTAATACGTAATATTTACCATAATTATAGATAAATTATTACCTTTAGTGCTTAAGTCGAAATATATGCTTAAAACTTAATAATGAAAAAATAAAAAAAAATGCATGTTTATTGAGAAAAGTTATAAATGTACTATATTTATTTTTATAATAATTTTAATATATAAGGTGCTATTGTGTGATGAAACGAATGTAATGATCTCTAAAATCTCTTGCCTCTTGAATGTAAGTACAAATGTAGTGGCATAATCGTTTTATTTACAGTATTATCCATATTTTTATGCTCTCTAGTTTGTGAATGTAATGTTATAAATTTGTTTACCTACGATTTGATAATATACTTTGACAAAATTTTGCTTTTTATTAACAAACACTGAAATTTTGTTTATATTTATCGTTTTGGTATAAATTAAAGGTAATTTCACAATAACAGTTTTCGTAAGGCCTTGTTTTGAGTGTCGTATTATCGCGTGTGGCCTGCAGAAGCACTGTAGGCTCAAAATCTTCGTCTATTTCAGTTAATTTTGGGTAGCCTAACATAAAGTATTGCAATTTCAGGGAAAGCTTACATCATAACTTCAGTACGAGGTAAGCCACTGATAGTATACAATAGCTACACATTCTGTAAACATTCAACAAGAGGAGGAGTGATCAGATGGACCTGTTCCACTCATTCTTATAAAAGCTGTAAGGCTATAGTCAAAACACGTGGTACGGCCATCATAGAAATCAAAGGAATGCACAACCACGATGCCAGAAACCTTCAGATCAACAGACGGTCCTTCAATGCTTCTTCCAGGATACTTCTAATTGATGAAACCAAAAATTATGATATAAATTCTTATGGTTATGGAATATTAAAATAATTTACGTTAAAAATGTGATCTCACCAATTGGAATTACGATTGGTACTTTATGTTTTATTATTGTCTTCTTTTTTAAAGTTGTCATTGTTTATTACGTTTTAGTATTAAAATTGAAAGGTCGTGGTACAGTTTTTTATACTAAAGGATTTTAGCCTATGCTAGATTTCGCAATTTTTTTATTTAATATATGGAAGTTTTTGTTTTGGAAAATGTTTTCTTAGAGTGAATGTAACAAAGATTTTTATGTTTATTATATGTATCTGATAAAATTTTGTTAGAAAGTAATGTTACAGTACGTTATTCTTTCAAAGGATGTCAAAGCATTTCTGTGATTTAGTTACCACCATTGTGAAGCTTCAAAGTCGTTACAAATATCCCCAAAGTTATTTTAAATTGTTATAATATATATTATATTAATTTTATGATTATATATTTATCGATATATGCCATATTGGGTTGAGGTGATTTTTGTATTTTTTAATAAATAATATTTTTTATATTTAATTTTACTATCTGAATTTAAAACCCGTGTTATACAACATCACAGAATTCAATGTCTTGAAGCAAAATAAATGTTATGTCTTATCATTTAAATAAATAAAAAAAAAAGATTTTATATTTTTTTTAATATGACATTAGTTTTGTTATTTTAAATTATGTTCGTAATGTTTAATGTGTTAAATATTTTTCTTTTAGCATCTTTTATGGTGTCTAAAAACAAACGTGCAATGATGGTCGTGGGTGGCTACAGATATTCGCTGCATTACTCCAGAAATAATAGGGAGAGATGGATGTGCAGTAGACGGAGCTATTACGGCTGTAAGGCCGTGATACATACTTACTTAGGAAAATATAGAACTTCGAACACAGAGCACAACCACCCAAAGTCTAGATGTTAATATTGTTATTGAAATAAAGTGTTATTGTTGTACAATTTTTTATTAAGTTATCCTCTCTGGTTGTCATTAATTTTATTATCCATATTTTTATCGTTTTCCTATATTAATTGCGACTTGTAAATTAGTTCTACATTTATATTAATGTATTCACTTTAAACGATGTGTATTAAATTATTTTTTAGGATCGACAACATCATGTCCGATCTGCGGCGATGCGGTGAATGGGATTCATTACGGCATATTCACTTGTGAGTCGTGTAAGTCGTTCTTCAGGCGTACCTTACAGACGAATAAGCAGGAAGGTTATGTGTGCAGATATAAGAGGAGGAAGCGACCTTGTGATATAACCGTCCAAACGAGATCCTTCTGCAGATTCTGCAGGTTTAACAGATGTCTGGAGGCCGGCATGCAACCCGGTCTGGTCAAGATGATTAAAGCTAATAATGAAATGAGTTATGTTAATTGTAATTAAGAAATTTATATAATTAAAATATTATATTATTAGTATATTTTAGGTCAGGTGTGATTTGTAATATAATGTGGTGGTTTTTCTTCTGGTACTTGTACATATTTTTGTTCTAGAGGTCACGATATTGTTTAAAAATTTGATCTAACACAATGATTGAGTAGTTATCGTTTATATAAAGATTACTTTATATATATTTCTATGCATCCCATTAAGAATTAATGTTTTTTACTGTACTGTTAAAATAAATATATACAAATAAAAATCAGTTTTTGTTTTTCTTTCTTTTAAATTTCCAACAGTTTCTTATATAGCAATAAAGTTATTATTTTTTATAGTTTTTTTTCGATTTTTTTTTGTTTTATTATCAGTATTTTATTGAAATGACTTAAATAGTGTGTTGTTTGTACTAGATTGCGTGGTTCCGAGGTACAGTTGGTCGAGAGCCGGCAACGCAATCATCATTCTCGGAGAGTACAGGTTCAAGAAGCGATCTAAGCACATCAATCAGAAACAGGAGACGCATTGGGTATGTAACAAATGTGACAAAGGATGTAAAGCGAAGCTGACGACTCTTAATGATGCTATCATTAAAATGTATAATGTCCACAAACACGATGGGTCCAGGAAATTGAAGTGACCAATATTTTTACTATATCAAATAAACTTGGCTGTTTTGTAGGTATTATATTACTGTTCGGTATAATTGCTATCTAAATTATGTATTTTCGTAAAAATATTGGTCCAATTTTATGCTATGTTTAATATTTATATTTAGAGAGCGAAAATAACAACGATGATATTCAATAGAATTCGGATTTTACGAAATGTTGGTACATTTTTCTTTCCAAAAGATATATTTCTCTGTTTTTTTAGTATAACTATGAATATTTCAAAATGAATTCGATGTTTTCATTTCTTAAGACTTAGAGCTAAGTACAATTATTGTATCTAATACTTGAATCGTTATTATAATGTAATTTTATTGTTTTAGGCTAATTTTTTATACGTAGATAGTGTCTTAATGAAATAAACGCTTTGATGATGTATGTTTAGGTACATAATTTTTTTATGAAAAAATATTTTGATAAACAGAATCAGAGATGTTATTCGATTCAAGTAATTAAATAAAGTAAAGGGAGAAACACTCGAATCTTCATTGAAAAAGATGGAATTGAAATGTAAACTTTTACTAAATATTTAAAAGGTAATTTTATCATTTTAATAAACTTCATTTAGGTTTTTGTCCAAAATATTTAAATTATTTAATATTTTGTGAATTATTTCAATTTCTACCTCGATTTTTGTTTTTATTTGTAATATCATGTGTATGTGTAAATGTTGCAAGATTTTTTTGTGATAATTTTTTTAAATTAATTTTATCATTAAAGACCTTTTTGTTCTATGTTCGTTCATGTGTAATTTATTAGAATTTTTTTGCAGAATTGTCCAAAATTTGTGTTCTTATATGTAATCTAAAAGTAAAATAATGAAATTATGTACATAATTATTGAATTTACCATACCATAAAATATCATGAATTAATGAAACAAAATGTTTCTTTTAAGTTATGTATTTAAATCTAATAGATAGCTTTTAACAAAATGTTCTTGTATTAATTACAAGAGTGCTAAAAAAAGGGTTACCAAAAAATTATTTTTGATTCAGATTTGACGTAATGTATGTGAAATTTAAAAAAATACAAAATGTTATTATTGTTGAAAAACAATTCTAGTCTAGAAATCAAATTAACTAGACAAAATTTTAGATAAATAAATTACAAATACATGTGTAACATTTTAAATTCGATAATAAAATTGTAATGGTATAAAAATGAAGAAATTTCTTGATATGATCTTATATAAAATTAGAGAGTCAACATTGGAAACTGTTTAATGTTGATAACAACTTAGAAGAATTATATTGAACCGATATTTTTGTATATTTTTTCATGGAACGTCTTTGGGATAGCATTTTTCTCCTAAAACCTAAATCAAAAACTTATTATACATCGTTTTTCATATTACTTCATCCATGTTATACGACAAATGGCTATTTAGTAAACAGTGAAATTCATTATTAAAATTTATTATTTCCCTAAGCCATTTACTCCGAAACATATACTAAATACATAATATTATATAAAATATCGTTACAAAATAATTCTTCATGTAATATTTACAATAATTTTTATGAGATCTAAGATTTTCACGAGTTTTATTAATTTAAATGAAACTAATATTTTGCGGATTAAACTACGTGACTGTATTTTGACGACATGTCGTCCACCCGTGATCACGGTTGCTGCAAAGTAGCCGAAACGTCGCGAGTACGTAGTTTTTTACAAAAAATAAAGCACGCGTAGTATGTCCGAAAAATATTAGTTTCATTGACAATAATTATTTGGATTTACAATAAGGAAGATATTCTTACATTCCAAATGTACTAGAAGATTAATAAACAGCATTTCTATTTTTAAATAAAAACAGCCTTTTATTGAATCCCCACAAAGATTAAACGAAAAAAGTAGTTATTAGTCACAATGGAAAGAAAATGAATTGAAGAACTGCATCACATTGTATTATAAAGTATTTATTTTAGTCTAAAATAATAAATGATTAGTACAAAAGCTGATACAATTCCGATTCAGTTATAAAACGTTTCAAAATAATCTCTTTGTTTAGACAATTTTAGTAAAAAATATTTGAGAAAATGAATCGTTTGGATTGACGAAATGAATCAGCTGACTTAAAATTAAATTCCTTCTACTTAGGGTACGCTAGAAATATTAAAAAAAAATCTTCTTTTAAGGTCATACAAAGAAACAAAATGTAGTAACAGTAAAAACATTTCATAGTGATTCATTAGACATTTGTTCGATAGGCAAATACTTGCTTTTTAAGACCATTCCACGGGTCAATTAAAAGTCAGACAAATTTCAATGCCGTAAAACAGACAACAAACATTGTTTTCATTCATTCACCATTTCTAGTTTACTTGAATCCGTTAGATTTTTTCTTACAAAACAACAGATGTTGTAAAATTAAGAATAAATTCTAAAAATCTGTATAAATCATAAAGTAAAGTAGTTAATCATACGAAAAAAATTGTGCACAAAACTGAAATATTGACTTTCGAAACAAGTAATATTATAGATAAATAAAAAAATTGTAAGGCAAGTTCTTTAACATAGATAGCAATTATTTGAAATATGAATTTACAATGTATTCAGAAACATATTAAAGGTGTTACAAAATTAATATATTTTTAAATTATAAATAACTGACTGTCATAACTGTTATCCATCTGTATACTTTTTAATTTATTTAAACTTAATTTTTTTTTATTTGCTACATTCCTCTATATTCCACGGAGGCTCTTACAAACACGTGAATAATGAGGTAGGATCACGTAGCAATCTAAATGCACTAAAATAATAATTAAAGCTTATGAATATTATGATTCTTAATTTGTTACCATGAGATGACTGTAGGAAAATCCAAAAATACAGATATGACACTGTGTATATTTTAGTAAAATGAGTGTTGTAGTGCGTAAGTCAGTGGTGGCTCAGTGGTTAAAGGGCCCGCCTCTCGTCGCCGAGGGCGCGGGTTCGATCCTGGCCCGAGCAAGTACCAATGTGATTTTTCCGAATCATATGTACTTTCTAAGAGTATTTAGACATCACTGATTAGTGTTGATTCCCAAAAAGAGGGTTGATGTCAGGCAGGCGGGGCCAGTCGTAAAAACAAATAGCCAAAAACTATTCAAACATATAAGGCAGACCCTGGCTATAGCTGGGAAATTGCCAGGAAGAAGAAGAAGAAGAGAGTGTTGTAGTGCGTGCATTACTAGATACCTACTAATCATTGAGGAGTTTCTTCAACGGTTGGCTTATAATTTAATGTGTTCTTCAGTCGTCAATCCGAATCGTCTTCCCGAACCCTCCACCATAGAATATCTGGTATTTTCAGTATCTTTTAAAGCGAGAACGTAAGTAACTTGTTATTCGCTTGCAATCCCCTAATTTTCTCCAAATTTTTTTTTTAAGTCAAACGATAAATTTCTACAGGAAATACAGAAACTAGGATCATTCATTCGTTTTGTGTTGCTTGAGGAAAAATACGTTTAAAATAAGTAAACATGCTTTAGATATTTCTGAATATAATTTGTTTTCTGTGAGTAAGCGATTGATATACTGTTAAAATTCAACTATTGCCAGATCCCAGTCAGATTAACATTCTTATAAATATTACATTTTATTTTTTGAGATATCATGTTCTTAGATAGTAATTATTGAAAAACATTTATAATAAAAATTTTGAGTTCAATAAATATAAAGATATTTTCTAACATAATCATGTATATCAGGAACTGACTTGAATAAGTAATTGTTAAATTTTTTTTAAATATTTACTGTAAGTATTATAGAATCAAAAATATTGTTTTCAAGACGTCTGAAGCTGTTTTTAATTCATATCTCGCAACGAACTGAGCGAAAGTAAATTTTCAGTATTGGTAGTATGTGTAACAATCGACAGTTCAAATAAATTGTTCAATATATCCACCGTTCAGTCTTTTGAAAATATTTAAAGATATTTTTTTAATAAATTAAAATGTATAAAGGCTGTTGAAATAAAAACCATGCTAATATTCTGTCAATTTATTAATCTATGAGGACATCAAGCGATTATTACTATCTAAAAGCTGTAGGAAGTCAACATCGGTTTGACGCGATGCATTCAATAAAGGGGGGTGCGTGTGTTTGTTCTGTCTGTCTACTGTCATGCAACCGATGGTAACGACGATGGCGTGACACTGCTTGTGTCTACTCTCAGCGCAGAGCCACTTGACTCTAGAGGAACAGACAGAATGTCGAGTGTACCAATAACCTCGTAGCTTCATGATGCGAGCGCCGATTTTAGATGTGAAAAATGTTGGCCGATCTGTAAACAATACAGCCGATATATGTATTGGTGTTAAGATTCATCTTAATACATTAATAATAAGTCAACAGTGAAATTCGCCAGCAAGTTCAGGGATTGGAATATATTTTTAAGAAATAAAATCATTTTATTTTCAGAGTTTATTTAACTTTATCAAGTAGAAAATGTAGAAATTATTAATTATTATATTATTAATTATTATATGTACAAAAACAAAGTACTTACGAAAGACCGTACAAATTATCGGTAGTTTCTTTAGACTGTCAAACACAAACAACAAAGGTTATAATAATATTTATTAAATAAAACTAAATCATGTTCAAACAGATTTTTAAACAACGAAATTGAATAAATGTGAGCTATTTATACGTATGTAAATTACATATTCAACAAATTAGTAAAAATCTTAAAATAAATCAGATCAAAATATACATCAGATTTTAACTGGTGGTGGATGGTTTCGACCGTAATTACATTTGAGTATAATTCAAATTCAAACCAACTATAGGCCCGACATCCTTTGAGCTCGTCTCCACACCATCACCTAATTTCAACGACTGCTGTCCTATGTTTACGAAACTTAAATCGCTCATAAACCAGATTTATTGGACCTCTACTGCTAGTAGTGAGTATTGGACCTGAAAAATATAGGTTTTAAAACTATACCTCACAAGCAGAGCGTCAAAATATTTCGTAAAAATTATATATTTAAAACGAAATATATATGTATATATATATATATATTAGCTTTCATATACTGTAGTCTTCTTATTGAAATGATTCTTCATGATTTTTCATAATTTTCTTCATTATTCTCGATTCTGAAATAAAACATTAAATTGACAAGTGTTATCAAAAACAACATTAAATAACAATCGTGGTGCCATTGTAAATTTAAACTGTCTTATTTGGTTAAGACATTTCTAAATTATTTACAGTATTTCTAGTACATCTTGATTTCAATAAAACTTTTATGTATGTAATTTTTTCATCGACCACGTGAAGCCGCGTGGAATCCTTAGTCTATTTTGCGACTCGACTTTTCTTCTTTGAACTTATATCCGGATAAAGTCAGAATAGTACTGCCATGTGTGGACTTGCAGGTTGAAAATCTAAAAAAAAAATGCCACAACTTTGATTGAACTTCTGGAATATTAAGGATTTTGGTAAAGATTTTTCATTGATATTTTTGATAGCATCAGTATATTTATACTTCTTTCTTGTTACGATTTGGAATGCACATACTTTACCTGTGAATATTCTATCCAGTTCTAATGTGTAAATCTATAAAAAGTAGTACTAAAAATTTATAAATCAATTCTACATAAAAATCAACTTGTAATACAGATTATACAATATTTGGAAGAGTCGATTTTAATAATAATAATAATAATAAATCTTTTATTAGTGACTATTGCACTACATCAACAATCAATACCTACAAACTATAATGAAGAAAAAGAAAGCTAAACAAAAAAATAAAAGATAAAAACAACAATAATAATTACAAAAAATAAATAATAATAATAATAATTTTGCTGCAGTGCAATAAAACCAAATGGAGATCCGATCAGTAATGGAAGAGGCATCAGTGATGCTTCTATACTGATTTTCAGCGGTCTCCAGAAGGTGTACACTGACAGCTGTGACAATTTATCATTAACAGTTAGCAAAAACAATGTACAAATCACATATAAACACTAGTAAAAAGAAAAAAAAACATTACTAGGAAGTAACAATATAGAAAACATGTAAACCAAACAAACAATAAAAAATAAATAAACCAAAAATTTTAATACAAAAATAAGTGAAACAACATAGGTAATAAGACTATGAACTTTATAAATTCCTTATTACTTATGATCGCAATTCAGTCGTAATGCAACCTCTGGTGCAGAGACACGGTAGACTGTGCTCGTCAGGCAAATAATCCTAATAATTTTATTAATTAACAATGCCAATTTCAAAACACACAATAGGTGACCGTAAAATGGGCAAAAAAAGTTAAAGGTAAGTCGATAATTTTATATCACATCAGCTAAGAACATATTTAAATTATAATTATGTTATTTTATGTAACTAAAGTATAATTATTATGTAACTACTCACTCTTGTTTAAGCAACAGGTATTGTTTAAATTTTATTTTAAATGTTGATATCGATTTCAGGTCACTCATTTAATACAGAACCTATCACATACATAATGAAAACTTGAACGCAATAAACACTAACAAGCTTAACATTATAGTAAACAAAAAAATAATGTATTTTAATTTAATTTAAAACTCAAACAGATGTCTGTCCAAAAACCGTCATTAGTCATCTTGGGACCGTATCCTATGTGCTGATGTTTCTTTGTTACGCCTTGCATATATACGCCCCTCACGGGTCCATATATATTTATATTTTCATGGCTTTGCTTTCATATCTTTATACAGACAAAGGCCTTTCTTGTTAGACAAACTACATTAACACAATCGAAAGGCCTTAGAATGTTTTATCATACATATCATTATTACATTTTTTTATCAAAACTTATGTTTTAATTGTAGATTCTTCTTAGGTTTGTCGTGGTTGTGTAAGTTATTGCATTTAATTATCTCAGACTCCACAGTATAGATGTAGGCTTTACAGAGTGTGCTAGCGTGCATGGAACAATGCCAACGAGATTTTAGACCAGTTTTTAACTGATGACTGAATCTGTACCCGTCAATGACTATGATGGGACGGGCTCTGGATGATTTATCGAATTCAACTGAAAAATATAACATTATTAAGCAAAGTTCGGTAAAAATGCATTTACTATTAGAGCAACGAAAATATATATATATATATATATTTATTTAGCAATATAAATATTTTTATACTATAAATGATAAAAAGGATGGGAAGGTGTATAATCTTATATTTATTATAAATTTAATAATATAACAAGAAAATCAATTAAGTATCAATCTTTTCACTCACACGCTGAAGGACATAAATACATATATATGTAGGTACAATTTACAACATGTCCTAAATTGGTTTCTCATGAGTATGTTGATTGTTGAGGTAGATCACAATATTATCGTAAGTATACAGGACATCCTTTCATTGCATCTTATTATGCATGACGCAGCGCCATCTTATTTTGCCTCCTGAATTTCTATGACGGCTGAATCTGTATCCCTCCATTATAATGATAGAACCACCCTTCCTAGACCTATCAAAAACAGCTGCAACAAAAATTATGTGTTAAATTATTATCATACATTCTATATACGATATAAAGTGATAAAAAAAAATATACCTATGATAGGTGGAATTCTTTTATTTTTGATATGAAAAACGTATATTGCATAAAGTTGCTCAGAAGTAATTGATATGTAATAGTAATAAAATAATTTGTAATATAATCAAACTATGAAGAATGTATGTCAAAAATTTATTTAACGAAAAACAAAATACTCATTTAAATGGTCATTAAGTTGATTTTGAGAGTATTAAAAGTTGCTATACGTTTTTGGTGGATTATGATTGTGCTCGGTTTGATATTTGACTATAACATCATCTACTGTGTAGATGTGGGCCTTGCATTTCTTATGTCTGGCACTGCCGCAGCGCCAGCGGGTCTTCAAGCCGCGTTTTATGTGGAACCCGAATCTATAGCCATTGAAATTAAGGATGGGGGTACCACTGGACGATCTGTTAAACACCGCTGAAAAGAAAAATACGACATAATTACAATATATTCCTTATCTTCGTCAAGAAAATATATATTGGAACAGAGATGAACATAAGATAAAAGTTTTATTACTTAGTGTTTCATCCTTTTTTATAAATTTGTCTCAGACAAGGAGTATTATGTGATGATGGATATTAGTAGTTATTTTAGTAGTTATTTTAATGGTAATAAGAAAAGAAATTATTAGCATTTTTAATTATTTTTACATAGTTATTATTGTACAAATTAGATTAACCATAAAATACAAAGGGTGCAAGTTATTAATTATTATTAATAAGGTAAATTTGTTACTAGGTTTACTCGGAGTCCAGTCTATAACTGTACAATAGTTTTGTTTATTTTGTTTATTAATATATAATTTAAGTGTTTTGTGTAATATATAAAATATACACTTCGAGAATTGACTCCAAAAAGGAGAGATCCCTTTGAAACTTTGTGATAATAAGTGTCAGTTTTCAATCAGCATATTCACAAATTTATTTTTAATTTATAAATTATTAAAAATAATGAGAAATACATTGATTATCAAATTATTTATTAATATTAATGAACATTGTTGTGGAGGGCTATTGGAAAATATTTTTTAATACACTTACGATTCATTGAAATTATTTTATTGAAGTGCTGATTAAACTTCAAAATATCTTTGAACTTGTTTAGTTTTTATAACAGATTATTATTTAAAAAAAACATATTTTTCAATGTTTTTCATTAAAACATTTTAAACAAAAATATTTCTTACATTGAATACACTCAGTTATTATTTTCTTTACTTTCCTATCAGCTCCACGACTTGTTGAGAATCCTCTTAATTTTTCGTAACACCCGGTACATCTTCTCCTCTTGGATTTTTTTTTTTGCAGATAGTGTTTATTTAATTTTGATGTGATTTCTAAAAACATATATATATTTTTAACACAGCAGAATATATTATCGCTGAGTTAACTTTTAGTTTAGTTCGAGATAATGTTGAGCGTTTAGAGGAAGTTTTAAATTAGCTGAAATAAATTTCTAAGAAAGACAGGCAAATTAATATTTTTCTTAACAAACACTGTTTTAAATGCAACTAATATTTTCGGCTTTACTACGCGTTTTTTTTTACTACAAAACTATATATACTCCCGACGTTTCAGTTACTCTACAGCAACCGTGATCACGGGCACACGAGATGTGAGTGTCTGTCAGTCGGTCTTGTTATTTTATCACCTACCGACATCTATTTCTTAATAATACACTGTTTTAATTTTTTCTAAAATCTTATTGATGAAAATTTCACTTTTAATAAAGGTAAGGTTAGTTTAAACATTGAAAAAATTTATTTTGAGTCACATTCTCCAAATTCCCTTTCATTGAACACAATATTTTTAAATGACAATATTTATATTCAATATTTTGGTATAACTTTGTCAGAATAGGAATCAAGATATTTTTAAATAACAGCAATTTTTATGTATAAATTAATTATTTTATATTTAAAAAAACGTACATGACATGTCGTTGGTTTTTAAATAAAAATTCATTTATTTACTAAACATAAATAATTACAATTGTGTAAAATCATTTGTTACAATGTGCTTTCATTGATTTTTTTTAATTATCTAAGAAACAATTAAATTTTCTATACATAAAATTGATTAAGTTGGAATAATTTAATTTTCTACAAACTGTATGCAAAAAAATGTATCAATCATATATGCATGAATGCATAGGCAGTTTATGTTTATCATTATATTTACAATTGTATTTTTATATATGTATACAGGGTGACTGGTGAATTACTATCAATACTTGAGGACGTAATATTTGACGATCATATATGACAAAATAAACATTAATATAACATAAATATTAATAAACTTCTGAGTAAAGTTAACCAAAAGTTATGTAATTAAGTATGCATCGTATGAACACCCTACAGATTAGGTATACACACACACACACACGCGTGCGGCTGCGTGGTGTTGTATCAGCACGCCGCCGCACGCGTCCACACTTGGAACCCTTAAAACGTGTCTACACTTTATTTATTTATACGGAAATTTGGTCAAAAATTAAGTACCTATTTTTTTTTACATAATTTGAATGAGAATCATGTACCGAGTATGCTCCTTAAATATTGATAGTAATTCACCAGTCACCCTGTATATATATATATTTTTTTTTTCATAAAAGGTTAACATGGTGGTGGGTGATTATGTACATTATTACATATAACAGCTTTATTAAGGAACGTTACGATGTACGCCTTACATTTTTTTCTTCTCAAACAGCCGCAGGTCCATCGGACCTTGTTGCCGCCGTGGGATTCGTGGTGTTTGTAAAATTTAAACCCTTGTATGATAATCATTGGTGAACCCAATGACGTTATAGAGTACACTATATCTGAAATGTGAGTATATTCTTTAGGCATAGTCTACTTGGTTGCTTTAAGGCACTTCATTTATGAGTATCATAGACACTTTCTATTTCATTTAATTGACTATTTAATTCAATAACTATTTGCCCATTAATGATTGATATGTACTTTTGTCAACCTTCAATATTAAACTTTGATATCTCATAACGCAAACGTAACCAAATCAAGAAACTATTTATTACAAATTTAAAATAATATTTTATTGCAAATTGTACAGTAATTACGAAACATTAAAAAAATCCTTTTAACAAATACTTCATGGAAAATTTTATTATATTTTTGTCTTAGAATCTTATAAAATAGGTGGTGGAGGATGGTTGTGAGTATTATTGCATGACATGAGTTCATCGTTGTCGTTCAAATATAGATTTGCTCTACATCCTGTCCTGTTACGACTGCCACAGAACCAGCGAGTCTTGAGCCCCAGACGTTGTTGACGGACGAACTTGAAACCTGATATCACAACAATACGAGCCCCGCGACTGGATCGAGTGAAAATTGGACCTGAAAACAGTTAGCGGTACATTAATCAACCTTTCATCTATGAAAGGTCTGATATTTCAGAAGGATTAAAAAACGATGAAAGGACAAATAAAAACTTTCAAGATATTTAAAATATTTATTAAAAATTAAACGTCGGATGATGAGTATGAATATTATTGACTTTGATGATTGTATTTTCTAAGGTAAATAGAGAAGCCTTGCAGCCTCTGTTATTGTGAGTGCCGCAGTACCATCTAGTCTTCTTACCAGACTCACGATGTCTATGAAACTTGTACCCTTGGACCACAATTATACGAGCGCCGCGGGATGTTGTCACGAACATGGGATCTACAAATTAGTTCAAAATCAGATATTGATTTAGCTTAACACAAACTTATAACAGAAATAAAACGAGTAAATTTATGAGCACCGTTTATTTTGTTACAATTAAAAGTAATTATTATTAATTTTAAATGGAGAATAGATCATGAATGAAAGTAAAAGATAAATGTTTTCGTGGTAATATATTTTTATTATAACTTTTGTATGGGAGCTGCGTGATTATGATCGTTGTTACACTTAGTTATATTATTCTCGACCATATTAACTACAGCTTTGCAGCCTTTGTTGTGATGGCTGGAACAGAACCACCTCGCTCTATAGCCGTGTTGATAGTGACGACTGAATGTATACCCATCCAAAACCATGAGTACAGTACCCCGGTTGGATTTTACGTAGGTTATAACTGTAAATTATTTTTAATATTTATATGTATATTCAAATATAATGCAATATTATAACCAAATGTTTGAAAATTAATGAATAATTGCGATCCATTATTGGATATTAAGAAAAAACATGGTCATATCTTTTTAATGTCTATATTTGGCTCAAAAAGAAAGTCAGCAATAAAATTTTATATAAAAATATACGTACAAAGATTAAATGTTTATTAAGCATTAGAAAATAGGGAAAAAACACGGATATTTTTCAAGCTTTACTGAGGTTTCTTATTGTATAATTATAGAAAATTATTTTATCTTAAAATTAATACTTTATATTAATACTTATCAAACCAATTAAAAAATTATATAATATAAGATTACTGATGGAAGATTCTTTAAGGCCTTTTTTATTCTTACGAGTACATATACAATTGTTCGATGTATTTTGAAAAAAAAAATGTCAGTCTTAAAAGTTACATATGTAGGTATATGTAACGCTCAAAGATTGAGCGAAAAAATAGCTCACAACGCGTTCTGTTCAGAGTAAAACATCCATATCGTGAAATTCGTGTTATAGCTCTAATGACGCGTACGACGCGTTGTAGCAATCATAGAAAGACCAAATAGAGAAATTTGTGTCGTAGCTTACATGCTATTTGACCACAAAGTGTTCTGACAATGAAGAAAAGCCATGACGCTTTCTGAGCATTCATTTGTTTCACCAAATTATGACAGATAGGTTGTAACTTGTAGGTGTTTTTAACATCATTTTTCATATCTTTTCTGGTATTAAGAGTGTATCTAAAAGTCGGCGCTAATAATGACGAATAAAAAAAATGTTTTACTCTGACCAGATTGCATTGTGAGCAATTTTTTCGCTCACTGAGCGTTTTCGATCTTTGAGTGTAAAATAAAAGGTCAATAACTGAAAACAAATAAATTTGTTGACATGTGAGATTGCATATTTTATATCTATACTCTAATACCATCAAACTAATACGTTTTTTTATTATAAAAATAAAATATTAGTACATTTACATTTATTCGCTTACTTATAATAATACACATAAAAATGCCGACTATATACTTATATATAGGCCATGTCATTTATATTATTAAAAAAATAAACTATTGTTTTCGATTATTTATTATCATTATCATACTTTAGAGGTTATCGTGACGTCACAGCAATCGTGAATACTGATACACGATTCATTTAAATATTAGACTTAGGAATAATAAATTAAACTGTTTACACTCAGTTTAGGAAAAATTTGTAAGTCAATATTAAATTTGTAGGACATTTTACACCTATTATAGTCGTAGTACAGAGATCTTAGGTTAATTTTGGATATTCCTATATTACACGTTCGTTGGAGGCGGATGTGTGTGAAGATTTTTTACTTTTATAATGTAGTTACCGATGGTGTATACTACGGCCTTACAACCTCTATTATAGTGGGTTCCACACCACCATCTGGTTTTCTGACCGAGTTCACATTGACGTAGGAACTTGTAACCAGCTATACCGATCATTCTGGCGCCTCGAGACGACGTCGTGAAAACTGGAACTGAGATGAATATTGTATTAAAATTCGTATGTATATATATGAGAAATATTAAATAAGAGTGAAATTGCAAGGCTGGGACAGAAATAATAACTTCATTGTTATGTATGTATATTTTATTCATTGATAGGTATTACAGCTAAATCTTTTTTCAACCTACTAAAAGACTCAGGTCTGTCCAGAACTTATATTAATTCATTTTTCGAACGTACTTCGAAGGCAGCTCTAGTAAGTTCTTTTTTAAGTATAGTTAGGTAGAGAGAGGAGCTTGGACAGTGGAGGTGAGCGTTTAACGCGCGTTAGATAGGGCTCTCTTAAATCAACACCTGGGTCGCAAATCCCACACTGTTGAAGCTCCTCTCCCTGCAAAGCAATGGACTTGGCCCTCGCACCGAGAGATTTGGTCTTTTTATACATCAGGTGATGGTGGTAGATGGTTGTGTTCGTTTTTCATGAGTATCACCGCCTCACCATACGTAGTAACAGTTGATCGACATTTCATCTTATTGTATCTTGAACATCTCCAAATTTTCTTTTCGTTTTTCCGAAGTTTCATATGGTACGTGAATCCATTAAACATTAATAGTTTGTAGCCTTTTTTATTCCTTATGTATTGGGGAACGGGAAAATCTGCAAAAATATATCCGATTAGATTTATAGTTTATTGTAATCTAAATATTTATAAAACGTAAAATGTTTGAAATATTCAATAATGTTGGAAAATCTGAATTAATTTTATATAATTCTTACTCCTTAAAATATTCCAATTTATGATTATGCATATTAAATACAGGTTAAAATATTAAATATTATAGTTTTTGTAGATTTATGGCCATTGTTTTTATTGTACATTTAGCAACTTATAATTGTTTCAAAGTTTAAAAATGAACTTTCTTAATTTTTCGTTTCGTCTGTTATAAGATTTAAAAATCTGTGGTGAGAGCTACAGGTAGGGGCTTATGCATTATGCTTGTATTAATCACTTTCTAGATACTGAAGGTTAAACACGACTCTTGCGAGAGCAGTGATTTGATCAACTTCATATTTGTTTGTTGACAATGAGTGAATTTTTCATTATTAATGAGCAGGTCTATCATTATTAATGACGATGCCTATCATTATCAAGAGTAGGCCTATCACTATCAAGGAGTAGGCCTGTCATATCAATCCTAGCCTTAAATGTAGGTATTAGAGAGATGATTCTGAAATTTGAGTATAATAAGCTCATTAACTATTTATAAGATTATTAATTATAATGAATTCAATTGATACACCTTTAATTAACATAATAATTTTATTATAACTTTTTTAATAAGCGTAACAGACAAACAGTTACTTATAAATAAACAACAATAATTTGTTAACATATAAAAATCTTTTCGACTTCAGATATCACTTAAATGTTTTTTCTATTAGCGATTAAAACAAAAAAACAAACGTAAGAGTTGCTCCCTACATATGCACGAAATAAATATGTAATAAATAATTTTACAAATATATTATCATTTTTTTAATATCGTTAAGACTAATAATGCCCAAGCTTCAATATTAAAACTAAATATTATTCATATATTTGGTGTAGAAAAACTTAATATGATTAGTCAGTTTCATTAGGTGCAGCGTGATTATGGAAGTCTCTCAAGCCTATAATAACATCATTAAATGTGTACAAAATAGCATGACAGCCGTATGTAGCGTGTGTAGAACATTGCCACTTCGATTTCAGCCCGTTCTGTGACGATAAATTATAAGTAAAGTCGTTCAATTTAATCAACGTCCCGCCTTCCTTTGATTGCACGTATTCAGCTAAAAAGTATAATAACTTAAATAAAATAATATCATTCATAGACATCAAGCGTTTATTAATTTTAATTCATAGGGAAAAGTAAAAAGCCAGTTTTTTTGTGTATTTTATTTGTTTACATGCATTTACAAAATTTATTATACAGTGTGACTGGTGAATTACTATCGATACTTGAGGACGTGATATTTGACGATTATATATGACAAAATAAAAATTAATATAACATAAATATTAATAAACTTCTAAGTAAAGTTAACCAAAAGTTGTGTAATTAATTACGCATCGTGTGAACACCCTACAGATTAGGTATACACACACACTCACACATACGCGGCGGGGGCGTGGTGTTGTATCAGCACGCCGCCGCACGCGTCCACACTTGGAACACTTGGAACGTGTCCACACTTTATTTATTTATACGGAAATTTGGTCAAAAATTAAGTACCTATTTTTTTTTACATAATTCGAATGAGAATCATGTACCGAGTATACTACTTAAATATTGATAGTAATTCACCAGTCACCCTGTATATATGATTGTAATAATCATAATTTAGTTATTTTTAAGAGATCGGTGTTTGTGGTTGTCATTGATACAAATAATTTCATCTCCAATAGTAATAACGAATGCTCGGCAACCTTGAGGGTAGTGGGTGGAACAGCGCCATCTAGTTTTCACACCCTTAGCCGGCGTCGCATAATATGTGAATCCTTGTAGTTTTATTAACTTCTTTCCTTTCTGTGATATTATGTATTCAACTGAAAAGTATTAAGTATCAGTAAGAAAGTAAGAAATATTTGAGGGTTAAAAAACAACATTTTTTTAAGGTCAAAGTTATGAATTAAATGAAATGCAATTCAATTCACATCAACAATAGCAACAGATAATATTTTCCTATTTTTCCAGAGTAAATTTCTATTAAAATTGTATTAAAATTTAAAACCAAATTTATCAGAGAAATTTTCAATATATCAAGCACGTTAGTTTTTGGTGTTTAAAATTATAAGTTTAAGAAGTCAATATTAAATAAAACAACAGTCGGTTATAGTACAATGTTCATAAATTAATATGAAAAGTAACAGAACTTCAATATTTCATCTTTTCTGTGGAGGATGGTCGTGTATGTCGTTGACCTTCAGAATTTCTTCATTGACAGTGTGTATAGATCCCTTGCAGCCAAGGTGTTGATGGGTCGAACATTTCCAACGTTTTTTCAAGCCTACTCCTGGTGTTGATGAATATGTGTATCCATTGATTTTCAGCATCAGTTTCCCTCTTCTTGATCTTACGTATTCAACTGGAATTAAACACTCAATAAATGCTTTCAATTAATGCAACACATTTTAGACTAAAGACAGTTTTGTCTGATAACTGATGTCAAACATGTTAAATTTTTTTGGGTGAAAATTAAAACAATATTTAGGGTATGGGAGGGTGTATATGCTTGACGTTTTTAATGAACACATCAGTTCCTATAGTGTGAATGATTGCTTTACATCCCTGGGGCTGGTGTGTGGAACACTTCCATCTCCATTTGAAGCTCCCACCAGGCCTTCTGGAGTATGTGTATCCGTTTATTTTAATCAAATCTTTGCCTCTTCTGGATATCAACCATTGAACTGTAAAATAAAATATGTGAATATCGATTGAATAAAGTAGAGTAACGTTATAAAATTTACTAAGATAAATAACGAAACGCTGTGCTCATTTCTCTAACATGTATGTATATTATTTAAATATACTACTAAGTACAGACTACTCAAACTTTTTTAAATTATAGTATGGAGGTGGGTGGGTGTGAGTATCTCGCTGAAGTACAATTTCGTCTCCTACAGTATGAAGAATCGCGAGGCATCCACGATTATTATGAGTTGAACATTTCCATCTCATTTTAACACCAGAACTAGTGGTTGACGAATAAGTGTATCCATTCAATCTTATCAGACGTTTTCCTTTCTGAGACATCACGTATTCCACTGAAAACAAAACATAGTTAGTTTACGAGTATAGCTTTAATCATTTGTATCTAATAATAATGGAAGTTGAATTAAAATAACAGAAAAATACTGGAAATACCATTGGATGGTATTATTTTTTTTATTCTTTATATTTGGTGGATGCGTGTGTGTATCATTTGTATATACAATAACATCATTGATAGTATGAACTGTCGCGTTACACTTCCTATTGTTGTGTGTCGAACAGATCCAGCGGATTTTTTTTCCAAGGTTGGGTCTCGAATAGTAAGTGTAGTCGTTAAATCTTAGCAAGCGTCTTCCTTTTTGAGATATAATGTATTCAGCTGGAAAAGAAATGTTATATATTACAAGATCTTTTTTAAACATTAGTAATCGAATATATTGTTAGCAATAATAATAGCTAGTTAGAATAAGGGTTAAAAAGAGTTGACATTTTACTTGACAATGTGGCCACCTTCACCCTTAAATGTAGGGATAGAAAAGGGGAAGGAAAAATACTAAGATCAGGTTTGGAGTGGAGAAAAGGAGACTCGAGGATTACACCATTATTACTCCTTAAATTACGCAGCTGTAATCGCTACTTTACACTTTTCATTTGACTGAGTTGCAAGGACAGCTGCAAGGGCGACAGCTAAATGAGTCAAATATTTTCAAGGAGTTTAATATGAATATTTTATTGCTTGAAAACATACGACAAGAAATTAATATAACTATGTTTTAAGTTTAGGAGAAGTTACGAAAAATTTGTTGAAATTTTTTGTTATTGATAATAATTAAAATTCTAAGATTATTTATTGACAAAAATCTGGAAACTTGAAATTTTAAATAGTTTGTTTTCTTTCAACTAATTTAATCACTGTTATTAAGAAATCTTCTTACAAATAAAGTAAACACGTTTCTTGAAAATGTATTAAATATATTTTAATCAAAATTATAGTTCACAATCAACCTCTAAAAAAAAATTAAATAAATAAAACCTTTTGCTTCCATTATGTTTCTCATATGTTTGAATTCTATATTTTCACGTATATTTATTCACAAAAATATACTATGTATTTTAGTATATCTACAGAATTTAGCAATCACACTTGATTGTTAGAGTTGTACTGTTTTCAATTTAAAATACAATATTTTTTCTTTCTATTGTTGTCGAATATTCTAATTCGTGATACATTTCTGTATATTCTACATTCTCCTAGGGTGGTTATGTTCATATTTAACGCTAACTATGTCATTATGTACAGTTACTATCACCGCTCTGCATTTATGGTGTGTGTTCGTGGAACATCTCCACCTGGTCTTATGTCCGCTGATTGAGGCCGCGTAATACTTGAATCCTTCATATTTTAACAATCTCCGTCCCTTTTGAGACACTACGAACTCACCTGAAACATTTAATTCATTCAAATAATCGTATAGCCCGTTAGACTTAAGCTGAGCTTTGCATTTGTGTGAGTGAAAGTAAAAGTAGAGTTAGACAAAAAACTTTTAGAATTCAATTTTATTATATCTTAAATAGATACATGACATAAGTGTAAAGCTATTCTAGATTAAAACTAGAATAAGCAAGACTTGTAAAAGATCAGGTATAAATATTGTTAAAAAAATATAATGATTTATAAAAATTTGAAATAAATATACAAATTCTTCTTCAGTTGACATTGCGTTTTCAACATTTGATTTTGCTACCAATACAAAGGGTGAAGTGCGGAAGGTGTAGGGCGGAGTAAAAGCAGAATGAACCGGTTCAAACATAGAAAAGAACGTGGCATTCAAAAATTTGACATCACACCTACACTATCCGTGTACACTCACACTAATGCGAAGCTCAGCTTAAATCAAACGCACTATAACTGAATATTGAGAAGATTTATTAATAGGACGTTCCAAACTAGGTTTCAAATTTATTGCCTGCATGAATCAAACTTTTATCCTATCGGTGGATGATTGTGGTTTGACTTCAAGATGACTACTTCGTCGTCAATTGTGTATAGAGCAGCTCTGCACCCATGCCTCATGTGAGTTGAACAACGCCACCTTATTTTCGCATCAAATGCTGTTGTTTTATAATACGTGTATCCATTGAGTTTGATCAGTCTTTTACCCTTTTGTGAAGTTATGAATTGAGCTAGAATGAATATAATATGGATATAAAATCTTATCTATCAAATTTAAATAGAGTCATACGAAAAAATAATAGTTTATGAATAAATGAAAATATAAATAAATAAAACATAGTATACAATTTTTATTTTAATATAATTTAAATAAATTAATCACTCATGATATTTATATAAAGTTTTTCATAGTATATAAATAATAATAGTCATACGTAGGTTCGTTAAAGATAATAATTAGAATATGTATGTACTGATTACTGAATCATTATAAGTCGTAACGATCAGTGGCACTTGTACAATAGACTTTAGAAATTTTAAACATTTGATAAATAATTTTGTTTTATATTTAAAAAAAAATCAAATCTTAACAATGTGGCTTATCAGAAGTACATATAATTTAATGTTTTCAATATAAGAGAGATGTTGAGCTAAATAATAGGATTAATATTCAAATCGATTCGAACCCCTACCATCAAGATATCGCGTTACTATAACTTAGCTGATTAAGTCCTAGTATATGTATTTTTCATCCTGTTATTTATTTTTGTATTTTATTTGTAGGTGAGTGGTTGTGGTTTTCTTTCACAGCTATTAATTCATTCTCTATAGTGAAGGCAGTCGCCCTACAGCCTTTGTAAGCGTGTGTCGAACAGCGCCATCTAGTTTTCGGACCTTTACCGACGTTCTCATAGTACGTGTACTCATTTATCTTCAACAAACGCCTACCGCGCTTTGATGTTAGAAATTTTATTTCATAATCTGTAAAAATCATCATTTATAGTTTTGTATTTATTATTTTTTTTCATATAATATATCAGGTTATATAAAACATTGATTTAGATAAGCTACGCGTTTATTTACTTATAAACATAGCATTATCATTAGGTATCAACTTAAATTGGTTTAATTCTTATTTATCTTTTGTTTTCTCGTGGAAATATTATTTTATTTTCGGTGGATGGTTATGATCTTCTTCTATAAAGACTATTTTATCATCACATGTCTTTATAGTTGCTCTGCAGCCTTTGGATGTGTGTGTCGAGCATCTCCAGCGAGCCACGTGACTTACACCCAGGACTCGGTAATATGTGAATTTGTTCACTTTTAACAACTGCTTACCCTTCTTTGACGTAATCAACTGTATTGAGTAATCTGAAAATTAAATAGTTTTATCGAAGTCTTTGATCGTTTTGCTCATATAAAGAAATTTAAAATGAAAAATAAAACAACCATATACATCTTATTCTATATTTATCCATACAATAAAGTAAATGCAATCAGCTTAAATAAAAACTTCTTAAATATATCATTATTAAAAGATGCTAGCTTATCTAATTTTAACTCTATCTAGATTATTTTATGGTTCATAATATATAGGTATATTTTCATTACAATATTAAACCTAAACACTAAACAAAAATGCATTCAGCACATCTATCTTAGCCACGACTTTCGTACCACTGGATCATGGTTATGACTTCCAGTGACTTTGATGATGCTGTCTTCGGTGGTTAGTAGTGATGCCTTGCATCCTCTCGCGTGGTGAGAAGAACAGTACCACCTTATTAAAGGCTTTCCTTCACACCGAGGCCATGATGAGAACGTGTACCCGTTAAGTTTTATTTGACGCTTGCCTCGCGCTGATTGTACGAATTCTGGCTCTGAGGAATGAAATGACTATGTTAATAATAATAGGAAAAAATGTTTTGAATCAAAATTAAGATTTTTTTATAGTAGGAAATAGGAATATAGTTAATTAAAAATATATATTTTACGGATTCAAGATTAGATGTTAGTTTGTAATGACATAAATTGTTTTTTTTCAAATCTTCGAAAGCATACTTCATTGACAGAAAGTAATTTTTCTATAATAAGTTTAACAATTTCAAATTAATGTTTTTTTGGATGTTCCTTAATACTTGTTTCATTATAAAACTTTAAATAACTATTTTTACTTTTATTCTTCTTTCCTTATTATGTCAGGAAAAAGTTTTGGAATTAGAGTTTTCTTTTCCTTTTATTTTTTAAAAATTTATGAGTTAACCCATAAATTATAAAATTATCGTTAACATATGTTCGTTTTAAATATACATAAAGATGATTTTAAGACATAAAATTCGATGAAAACGGTATGTGTAGTAAAAGGTAACACATTAAAACACATGTGAGAAATATTTTATTTTTAATTATTTGAGGTAAAATTTATTCATTTTTAATAAAGAACAATAATTCATCAAATTATTATCTCTATACGTGACGTAACCTCATATCTCTGCTTGTACATAGGTTTACAGTTAAAACGCGCTGTTTCCTTATTAGGATTTTTTTTTTCAAAAACACTCATAATACAAAAAAATCATTTCTTATTGATTGTAATCATATCTAATATAAATAAATTTGAGTTTATTTATGTACGTGATTATTATTAGCTGCGACTACCACGTCATCGATTGTCAGTATGTACGCGAGGCAGCCTTTGGAGTGGTGTGTTGAACAGTACCATCGCCTTTTTGACATCGGATGTTTATCAATCAGGTTTCTGGTGGAGAATGTGAAGCCTCTAAGAGTTATCTGGCGGTTACCACGTCTTGATAATGTGAATGATGCATCTGCGATATAAAATATTTAAGTTCTGGTCAATGTAACTTATAAAATATTAAGGAAACAACAGCTTTTTGCCTCTTTAAACGTATAGACAGTAACTGTTGTAAATAGATCGTTAAAACAAGGTAATAAAAATGACAAATAAATTTATTAATAAATCACAATGAGCTGAACAAATAATAAATCAAATACATATTATACGTTCTAAATATTACCTCACTTATCGTAAATACAAAATTAAGATTTATTTTATCGATAAAAAAATTTTACTATTATTTTTATGACATCGTTCAATGATTGTGACCGTCGTTATAAGAATATATGACGTCGTTCAAAGTGTAAGCGGATGCCTTACATCCTCTTGTCCTTCCTCGGCAATACCACCTGATCTTGGTGGCAGTATCACTCAACTTCTTCTCAAACTGCACTGTATATATGTAGTCATTTAGTTTCATGTATCTACTGCCACGCTTTCCGAAGAAGAATTGTACTGAAATTATTTTTATTTGGATTTGAATTTAATAAAGTTTATAAAAATATTTTTCATTACTTTCAAAATTCATGCTGAAACAATATTTTTTGCAGAAAAACAGGAGGAAATTTATTTTTATATAAATACAAAACAAATAAATACGTTGGATTTTTTTATATGTTCTCTTAATTATATGAAAAATGTTAAATACATAATATCAATCATATATTACTATTTAGGAACAAAAAATAATGTAAGAAGCAATACATTATTAATTGTTAGGTAGTCTTATAAAATGCTATACTATACATATATTCTATAATCTTTCGAATTTCAGTATTATAAACAACTAGCTTTCCGCCCGCAGCTTCGCCGCGTGGAGTTCGGTTATATCGCGTTTCCAAGAGAACCTTTCAAAAGTCTGGGATAAAAACTATCCTATGTTCTTTCTCAAGGTCAACTCTATCTCTGTACCGAATTTCATTAAAATCAGTTCAGTGGTTTAGGCGTGAAAGCGTAGCAGACAGACAGACAGACAGAGTTACTTTCGCATTTATAATATTAGTAGGGATGACAACTATGTCAATTAATATTCAGTACAGTAATTGATTACACAGCAGCCTGTTGATAAAAATGTATAGTGAAAATTAAAAAATTGTTAAAAAAATCAAAACCTATCTTCATATTGGTTAAATAAGATGAAATAAATCAAATTTTGCTCTCTTTATTTTTCCTTGTATCTACGAGTAATTATCAAAGCTATTTTAACTTGCTTACCGTGTTTTTCATGGGCAATGTTAGACACATTTTCATAGCCAGTAGCCAAGTAAGAAAATACTAATGAACAATTTAGTATTCTTGGTATATCTAGTTTAAAATTATCATAATTTATTCTATTCCTTTAACCCGTTTACGGCCATAATGAAACATATTATATATTTATGAATTTTACTTAAATTATCTAGTAATAAAAATTGAATTAGAAAGATCTGATATAATAACGAAAAAAACATTTTTATGTCTAACTTACATAGATGTACCTTAGCGAGTGCAATGGACAGATTAAGTGTGAAATTGTCCGAAACAAGTTTTCTCTACACAGAGAGTTGATGAGCACTTTTGACAACGCCAACGGACTCTGCTGTGACAAATAACACATCTTAAAGGATTTGTGATCCGCTCAGGAGTGTGGCCGTTATTGTTACGGTTTACGTCGGCTATAACACTTGATGTCTGACGGTTTTTTGTGGGTTTTGAATCACGCAAACAAGCCCCACCAATGCTTCTCCTACTTACCAATCGGTCCATACATTCGGCATTAGTTTTCTTCTTAGCAATAACTGGTAGACGCCAAGCTTTTGATACAGCGATATCTACGAGATAAATTAAAGTTAAACAACCATTTTTATAGCCAAACGGTAGGTATAGATTGATTGATCCCTTTGATCCACATCCCCGTTCCTCTATTATAATTCTGAAATACTTTTGGCATATCGAACCCTACCATTGGTATTTTTTATATTAATTTTTCATTTATTGTAAACATTTCAAAAACTTTCGCGATTCATTTAAATAAAACTCATATATTCGGATGGTCTACGTGTTTTTTTTATTATTTAAAAGTACATATTTCCGATGTTCCGTTTATTTTGCAGAAAACGTTATCACGGGAAGACGAGATCATAGTTTTTCCTATCCACAGAAATCAGCTTAAATAATATGTACCAACTTTTTGGCACTAACCCAGTTACAGATTTTTTATAGAATGCTAAGTAATAAATAACAGGCACTTGCAACTTCGTTAATAGTCAGGTGAATGGTTGTGATAGGGATTTCCACAGACAAAAACATCGTTTAAAGTGTATATAGCCGCTTTACATCCCCGGGAATTCCTCGTCGAACAGCGCCATCTAGTTTTTTCACCAGCGCCACAGTTTCTTGAAATGTGACTACAGTAAAAATATCCTCCCATTTTGATTATACGGTTCCCTTTCTTGCCTCTTATAAATTCGAAACATACTGTAAATGACAATGTTATTATAATGGGTGTAACTTAAGGCTAGAGTTATAAGATAATATATTTTAGTTATTATACAGTAGATATATGTATATTATACAAATTCATAAAGTCAAAAACTTTATATCATAAACTATTTATTTTTTATAAAAATTGCTAAAAAATATATGTATAAAACTATTAGTAACAATATTGTTACAAGATAACCACAACTTTAAAGCGCATTATTTATATACATATGAACTTTTCGTGTTTACATAAGACACTTCTGATGATAAAGCATTTTATAACAAATATATTCTTTTGTATTTTATACTGATAAAATTTTTAATTATAACTAATTCAACTTATCTTAAAAATATTCTTCAAAAAATATATCAATTTCTTATGAGTATATACTTAAGGCTCGCGCCACACAGCTCGACATCAATCGTGGTTGTGATTAATACGAAACGATAAGTTTTGATCGTCGAGAGTGTGTACGGCAGCCTTACAATATGTTTTATGTCTTGTGCATCGCCACCTTATTTTAGTGGATCCTCCCATACTACGGATGGCGTGAGTTGTAAAAAGATTCGAGCCTACTTTAAGCATTCGGGTTCCTATCTTACTCAGAATATATTTAGGCGCGTCTGAAAAGAGAATAAGATTACAAATAAGTTGTTACCAGATGACTTCGTATCGAATATTAATTACAATGTGTATTCTTTTTGGATTTTTTTTTTATATAACTTTATTATTTTTTCAAACCATTTAATACAGTGATTCTGAAATTCTTTTGAAAAGCAGTTGGAATACGTCTAAGCCAAATCCTCATACCACATTTATTAAATATTTCTTACTAAAATATCAATGTATTATTAATTTATTATTAAATAAGTTACACAATAATGAGTGAATTTATCGACAAACAATACATAATATTTTTTATATTTTATCGCAGAAGGCGTAATAGGACCACCAACATCTGAATGTATATTAAATAGTGGTCTTTATATATAGGCATTATTTTTAATTTTATTAAATGTTAGTCGCGCTCTCCTGTATTGCTCGTCAAAACGATGGTTTCCATCTTAGTTGCAGTAATAAAGGCTACATTCTTGTTTTGTGTCACCTTCTAATTTAAATTAAATAATTTCTTTCAAGCTCCTAGTTCTTTTGCTACTCTTTTTACATAAAAGATATTATCTAGAACAGTCAAAATCTGTTTTATCGACGATTCCGGTTTCATATAATTTAAATACGATCCGAAAAATATTCAATTAACACATTTTCCGCGGATCATTCCAATTTCTTCCATTCGTTGTCAGGATTCTCCGGTTTCGATTTATCTATCACATGAATCATTTCGAGTTTACTCAAAAGACTACGGATTCTAAACTTCCATATATTATAATTTTCACAATTAAAAGGGTGAATGTTTCTTTTTTAATTAAAATTTTTCGCTTTAAATTACTTAGAAATATTAAGGATCACAGAGAAGTGAATGCTTACAACCATATTTCTATAGTTGTCCTTTTTACATTGTGTAACACTTAGTGTTTTTTTATACAGTCTATACAATACTTGAATTGTGCCTTTTTTATGGCTCGTAGTGTAAGTAGTTTAAACTATCATTTTTCTAAGTAATAAAACCTATTTCAAGAGTAAAAATGTGTTCACGCAATATTACTTAAGAAGGATAAATTTTACTTTAAAAACATTTAAAAATATATCTTAAAAGATAATGATTTTGAAGACGAACTCAATATTTCAAAAGTTGAATATAATGTATGTCGTTAATTTTAATTACCATTTGTATTAATGAATTCATATATTTGCAAAATTCCTCTCGTGTAAGAAAAAATAAAATTAAAGCTAAGAAAGTTTTCTTACATTGTGATTTCATGAAATCATAACTACTATTTATCAAAAATACATGTTTTATATAATCATACATGTTTTTTAAATATTAAAATAATTTATAATAGAACTTATCAAACAAAAAATACTATCAATAATTTATGACAAATCTGAATAAACATTATTTTTAAGACCCTGTTTATTCTCTAAACAACCAGAAACCTTCGCAAACTACAGTTTTTTTTCTTTCACTCTACATAAGAGGCTATAAGAATAAAATAAAAACTCCTTTAATTTTAACAATTCATTTATTATATTTAATGATTATGTGTCAATTTATATGACACAATGGTATCGTTCAGCGTGTAGATGATAGCTTTGCAATTAAAGGTGCTGTGATGAGAGCACCGCCATCTTGTTTTGAGAGCGTCACCAACTGGGCGGGAAAAATGTGTTGAAAACGAATGACATCCATATTTAATAAGACGAGTGCCAACCCTACTTCGGACGAACACGAAATCTGAAAAAAAATATATAAAATTTTGACAAACGATAAGCTAATGGATTCATAACTTTTGAACACCAATATTTTGTCTTAAATTATGTTCAATATTTCTATATAGTAATATTCAAATTCGTTTTTTTCAGTTTAAATTATATATTAGTGGTTATGATATAAATGTGTTTTTATAATATCCCCGTCAAGTGTATGCACGGTGGCCTTGCAGTTCCTAAACTTTGAACAACGCCATCTTATCTTAGTTTTTCCAGCGAAATCAAGTTGTGTATGAACGCAGAATTTGAAACCTCCCATTATGAGAATTGTGCTGCCCTTCTTACTTTTTATAAAAAATGGTTCTGAAATATAATTTTTTTACGTGTTAGTTACAATGCAGGACGGTTAGGGGTTTATGGTAAAAATTAAAATCATAAGATTATATACTATTTATAGTGTATATACAAACTAAGAAATTTTGTTACTGGTAACACTACTCTTCTATAATGCGAGTGACACCAGACATTTAAATTTCAATATAAACAAAATAACACAACATTCATTAAACGCATCTTTATATTAAATTTCAATAAATATTTCATACAAATATATTAAACTTAATGATTATGTAGTAAGCAGGTTTTGGTAAGGACATCGTCAATTGTATGTATATAAGCTTTGCAATATTTGTATTTTGAACAGCGCCATCTCTTTTTAATCGATTCACCCAGGTATTGGACTGTGTGTACAGAATACGTGTGACCTTTGACCTTTAGAATGGCCCGACCTCGCTTGTTCTTTGCGAATGTTACATCTGGAAAGAGAATACATTTGAAATTCTATTTTTATTTTTTACTAGAAAACCTGGCGAACTTCGTATCGCCCTATAATCAAGAAATATGTATTACGTTTTTTTATTTATATTTTTGTAGTTTACCTGTAAGCCATAAATCTCCGTGTTTTGAAGTGCGACAGAATGATTGACATATTAGCTAGTTTTCAAATCTAATGTCAAAAAAAAAACGTTTGTATGGGAAATAGAAAAGGGCTGTTTTTATGGTTTTCCCAGTAATGAATCAATTTTTTTCAGCTTTTATACCTTCCCTGAACCTCCACGAACATTTCAAGACTAAGATAAGATAAATCCGTTCAGCTGTTCTCGAGTTTTAGCGAAACTAAGGAACAGCAATCCATTTATATGTATATAGAAGATATGTAGAAGATAGATTATGTTAATCATAAAATTCAAAATCATGGCCATAAATGAAGTACATATAAGATTAATTTAAAATATTTTATTTATTAATGTATTATGGTTAATAAAATACAGTATTACATAATTTGCTGATATAAAAAAATGGAATTAGATTTAAATAGAGCATACATTTTTTCATTTTTTAAATTATATTATCTTAAAAAGAATCCTAGTGAGACAATTTAATGAAAACTTGTAATTTATGTGGGAAGCCTTAGCCATACGGCATCGTCGACCAATCGTCGCAATCGTATGAAAACAATATTAATAACATTAGTAGGTATTGGGTTTATCTATTCCGATCTTTTTTTTGAAAAAGCAATCTAATTTTTTATATTTGAAATGTCTTATAAATTAAAATTAATTATTTCAAAACAATTATTAAGGAAGTTATCTAAAAATATACACCAGTTAAGATGTAAAGACCTTCTATTTAGGAATATAATATATCAAAACTAATGATTGTGAAAGACTTTTGCTGACAGAATCTCATCATCTATAGTATATAACACCGCCTTGCATCCTCTACAGCAATGTGTTAAGCAGCGCCATCTAGATTTTATGATATTACCAATTTGTTTTTGTAGGTGCAAAGTATACACGTAGCCACCGTATTGTATCAATTTTCTGCCTTTCTTGCTTTTCAAAAATGTAACACCTACAAAAAATATATTGCGTTATATATTTACATTTTCTTTTAATTTAAAAGTGGTATGTAATGAAAGTTTTAAAAGTAATGAACTCAAAAGGTTATTTTATCACTTTATTCTTACCCAATAATAAATTAAAATCACATTACATTGCTTTATTATATTTAAATAAAATAAATAATAGACATATATTTTATTAAATAAAACATATTTATCTAAAATAAATTAGGTACTTATAAAAATTGTATTTTTAACGACATAGGTAGGTTACAAGCCTCAATTATTTTTTAAATGGGCGCTGGGTTTATAGTGTTGGGCTTGGTTTTAAATGACAGCTGTGTGGTTAGGCTTGGTTTTACAATAACGGTAGCTTGGTTTGTGGTTGTGTTCTGACTTTATACTGACGATGGTCTCGTCCACAGTAACCAGTACAACATGACACCCGCGACTGGCGTGTGTTGAACAACGCCACAGTCTACGTCGAGAATCGTTAGTGGTCCTGTACTTCTTCAAAGAGAAGGTATAACCAGCGAACAACATTAAAGGATTACCACGCTTAGAGTACACGTATTGTAAACTGTGGTTTAATCCTTCGTTATCTGAAATTTTAATTTATTAAAGATTTAGATCTTGGAAAGATATATATTTCAAAACATAGGACGCACGTCATATGTTTTGAATTAAGCATATGTAAAAAAATAATAAAATTCATTTCATTAAATGAAATATTACGATTCTACAATTTGGTAAATTTTATTAAAATAAAAACGAAATTCATATGTTATATAATAAAAAAATCGTTATTTAACTCACAATAAAATATAATGAAATAAATATGTATAAATAATAATTTATCAATTTTCAATCACATCAGATGTCTCAAAAATATGTTTAGAAATGTAAACAAGATGTTTTTAAATGAAATTAAAGTTTTTGGATACTACAGTTTTTTTTTGTTTAATGAATTGCATATTCCCGACTTGATCATGCAGACGAAATTACTTGTTAATTACTTCATAAAATTATATAAAACGCTAGTCATTCGAAAGCCTTAGTTTCATTTGTATGAGTTCTTGCGAATATTTTAACATGTGATGAGATCTAAGATTTATATTCATTTAAATGAAACTAATATTTTTCGGCACACGAGATGAGCCCGTGATCACGGTTGCTGTAAAGTGGCCGAAACGTAGTATGTAGATTTTTATCAATCATAAAATCGCGTAGTACATCCGAAATATATTAGTTTCATTTAAATATCTCAACATTTTTTATATGAAAGCATGTACGGGAGCGTGATTATGTACATTCTTAAGTCTTATAATAGCGTTATCTAGTGTGATAAGAGTACCACAACAACCTCTGTTTGTGTGAGTTGAACATTGCCATCTCTTCTGCATAGAATTACCTATAGGTTTACAATTCTTCATAGAGTACCTGTAACCAGCTAATAGAATCAATGGATTCCCTTTCTTTGATTGTATGAAGATTGGTAGATCTGTAACAATAAACATTATTATATAAATAGAAGATATTTCTTAGTTTATATAGGGTCGAATATTATTTTTACTGTTTTTTTTCTGACGTTCTATTAATTTTTTAACAAAACTTTATATTATACCATGATTAAATTAAATTTTGTTTTTAATTTAAACCCATTCGTATCAATGTGCCTAATTAAAAGTACTTTAGTTTATCGTCGATACTAGATACCTAGATTTGTTGTATTTTCAGATAACAGCTATAGGTTTATTTATTTTAACAAAAAAAAACGAAATATTTTCAAACTAGGAAATATATTTTGATTATTATTTATATTGAATTAGTTATAAATGTTTAAAAATACAATATTATTAAAAATCTACGTACTATCAGAACTTATTTTACAAAATATAATACTTTTTATGTTATAAGTATATTAATAAGGTTTTTTAGCAGGTACATGATTATGTGTGTTTGTTATTTGAATGATTCTGTCGTCAATTGTAACAATAGTGCCACGACAGCCTCTGTTAGTGTGAGTGGAACACTGCCACCTCTTTTGGATCGATGAACCAATATTTTTAACCTTCTTCACCGAGTACCTGTAGCCGGAGAAGAATATTAACGTGTTACCCTTTTGAGATTTAATAAATTGCGGCATATCTGAAACAACAACAAAACATATTGAGATTTCATTTACATATGATAATTTTAAGTTATGTTAAAGTTACGAGAAACACGTTATACTAAGAAATAGTTAAAATAAAAGTAGTGATAAAAGATTAAAAATATAATTGCGCAATAATTATCTCAATTATAAACAATACATTTGTTTTCGGTTTATAAGAAAAATACTAAAACATGTCATGTGTTTTATTATTTTAACTTGTCATGATTATGATTTGCCATTATTTTAATAATCACGTTATCCATCGTTGTAATTCTTCCACAGCATCCCCACCTTGTGTGTGTAGAACATTGCCAAACCCTCTGCAATGAATCACCTATTCTTCTACTCTGTTTCATAGAGTATTTGTACCCAGAGAATGATATCAATGGATTGCCTCTTTTGGAGGTTAAGAACTTTGGTTCGTCTATAAAAAGTAAAGAGAGAATACGTTTTAATAACATTATTTGTCGCGGAGAGATTTTATTGAGAGAGAAAGAGAGAGCGAGAGAGAGAGAGAGAGATTAACTTATACTAAGTTTGGGAGCAAGTTGTACGTGGAGACGTTGTGTTTGTGTGTGTGAACTGTTTGAGGGCTATCGGTTGACTGGTTATAATTTTGTCAGAGTTTAATTTCGTTGCTTACTGTCTAAGTCACTGCATTTAAAAGGGATGTTTTTACGTTTCTTGATTGCTTAAGAAAGTTGGAATGTCAATATGACGTTAATAAAGGTGACATAGATAGAGAAATATGCTTTGACAGAGTGAGATAGCGTTAGGGGGCCCATAAGGGACATCTAGCGTGGGACTTATTTATATATCTCATACTCTTTACTGGGGTCATAAACGATGTTTATGAGGGTTCCAAATATGAAACAATAGACGTCTATTTAGACGAAAAGTATAATATTTATGGAAACAAAAATAAAATATTTGTAAAATCGTAAATTTCAGGGCGTAAGAGATTTGTATTGTGGTTATGCAGATGTTTTGAATGTTATAAAAACTTTATATTTAACAAACTTTTCATTTTACCCTAGGTACGTCTATTAGTTATTTGTTTCTTTTCCAAACATTATTAATTTAATCATACATTATTTGTATGAAAAAACTTTAAATTGAGTTTTTTGTCAACTTTTTTACTTTACAATAGATACACTAAATTATTAATTGCTTTTTTAGTTCGTTTTTTATATTCCTTCCTCGTAAGAATACTGACTTATATTCTTAATATAATGTGAAATAATTACAAAGTTTTCATTCTACTTTCATAAATTAATCTTTCGGAATTGGGATTTTGAAAAAAAAAAAAGTATTGATTTTTTTTATGTATTTTAAAACTTTATTATTAATTATATTGATTTTTAATGCAAAAAACTTTGAAAAACTTTTTTTTAAATTAATTATAAACGATTAAAAATTTATAAAATTCAAGAAAAAATCACGTGACTGTAAACGCGCCATGATTGGTCGGCATACTTGTGACGTCATAATGTTAAAGCAATTTCATAATAGTACAGTGTTTATGGCTATTATTTTTGACTTGATAAAAATATCTCAAATTTATTAGTGAAAAACGATTTCAAAAGTTTATTTCGACTAACTATGTTTGATAAAGGATTTATAAAAGCAAAATCGGATAATATTCCTGATGTGGATATATTTATAACAAATTTTTTTAAAAATGACGTTCGATTTAATTCTGCTGAAGTTCGAGGTGCTAAGGCATCAAGGTAAATCTGTTAAAAAATACTATTCTAAATGAAAATAAGTATTTATTCTCTATTAAATATAATTAATAATTATTTCATTAATTGTAGAGCATCACGTGAGAGTTACGGTGATAAAGTTATAGGTTACGGTCAACTTAATCGTAAGAATGGTATTTGTGTTTTAAAAGGACGTGTGTGTCCAGAACACCGAGTTCGGAGTAAAGCTTACTCAGTTACTCTAACTATCAATGAAAAATTAAGAAGAAGAATAATAAAAGTAGAATTAATAAAATGTTATTATAACATTATAAAAAAACCAAAATAACATATACTTTAAAAATTTAAATGTAGTCTGATACAGAACCTAGAATGTTATAAAATTATGAAAATATCTATTAATTGAATTCCAATTATTAGACAAACATACATATAGATTTACTATTTAATCGCTTTGAATTATCAATTAAAAATTTTTTAATGCTACAATTCTAAAGGTTATGATCTGGAGCCCAGGTGAAAAAATTAATTCCTGAACTATACTTATTCGATTTATACACTTAGATAAATAATAATTAATAACAATATTATTATGAATACTTACAACGAAATGATCTTCACAACAAAAAAAATTGATTTTGTTTTTGAATAATCTCGGTGCACTGCTTGAAACCATTTCTTTCGACGTTTTTCGTCTTGTGGAACATTTAAAAACATTTTTTCAGGAGTTTTTTTTGTAGTATTTGTACATAATGGTACAAAACAAGAGCGATAACTTTTGAGTTTTAACATTTTTGATTATTTAACAATGCCAACAGAATTTACTAGATAAAAACTCAAAACACTGTACTAATTATTATATCTCTGTATGCTACAATGAGCAAAAACTAACATTGTGACGTCACACGCGCTCGGGTTTATTCGGGAGCTGTCGGCGGATCTTCGGTACTGAATTTAAAATTTAATTTTTATTTTGAAATAACTTTTTAATTATTGCAAAGAAAAAATAAATAAAAATAGTTTTGTTATAAAACTTATATATGATCTTTCCATTTATCACAAAAAAAAATATATTCAAAAACCCAATTAATTATATTTTATAATTATGTCAACTTTATTTTAAATTTGTAAATGGTAAGGTTTAGAAATTATGATAAAAACTACATTAACTTTAAGAAGCATTTGTATTCAGGTTGAAATATAAATCAGATAAAAGTTATTTTTAAATTTAAAAAAATAAGGCTTTTTTTCTGTCAAAGGAAATTGTTACAAATTTTCAATTTCGTTTTATAAACCAGCACGATTCTATTTGAGCTCACATGAAATCTTTTGTTTTTTCTTATTATAATCTCTAGTTTATAAATATATAGGAAAAAAGATATTAACCGACAATTACCACATCATAAATAATCCTTAGCAGGAAAGGTTGTGTGTAGAATACTGTTCAGGGTTATCAAATACGAAAATTTACCAAAGAAACTTATCCTTTTGTATAAATAAAACTATAAACAATTTAAATTAATTTTATTTAACGTAACAACATAAATATTTAATTCATCACTGGCTGATGGTTGTGCACGGCATTTATTTTTATGATCTTGTCATTCAAAGTGGTCAGCTTCCCAAGACATCCTTTGCTGGTATGAGTGGAACATCTCCACCTTCTCCTCAGACACGACGAGTCCATCTTAAGGGAATGCAACGAATACGTATATCTGGACAGCAATATTAATGTGTTGCCTCTTTTAGATTTGATAAATCGAACTTCGTCTGGAAAATGTAAAAAATGTTTTTTGTTAACAATAACTCAGATTTGATTTACGAAATGAATGTAAGTATTAAAATTAGAATAAATTGGAACATATAATAATAAAAAACTATATAAATTTTTGTCTAAAACGATATACATCTGGAAGTAATAAAAGAAATATAACCAACGAAGTAAACTTTATTATCTTCCCATTTTTCATACTGACACCATTAAAATAGCAAAAAATTAAATTATATTCTTTATATACATACAAATGTATAATTCGATAACATTGTTAATATCGTATACGTGAAAAATATTTATATAAAATTAACAATATATTAATTTAATTATACTTAATTATCTACAGGCTGGTGATTGTGTACAGAGTTTATGCTAATAATTTCATCTCCAAACGTGTATAAAGTCGCCCTGCATCCTTTGCCATTGTGAGTCGAACATCGCCACAATCTCTTCCTCTCGTGGATCTCTAAACTCTGGTTCAAACCTTTATGCTCTTTGAGATGATATCGGTAGCCAAGATATGATATCAACTTGTTACCTCGCCTCGAATCCATGAGGAAAGGTTTTGCTTCTGAAAAATATACACATTATAAGCAATACATCGGTTCGTAATGTTAGTGGATTTTAGACATTATATTTGATGATAATTATTTATACTTATTAATTATAATCGGTACCTGAGTCGCTTATTTTATGATATGAAATAGGGTGCCATAAAAACATACAATACATAAAGCAACACATACTATATTTGTATTACTATGAATATGTTAAAAAAAAAAACAAAACTGTTTTTTGAAAACGTTATATTTTTAACATAAACTTTTGATTAGTATTGATTAAACAATCGAATGTTTTTGTTAAAAGTCAAACTGTTGGAGATGAAAAAAATAAATACGAAAACAGTATGAAATTCGTTTTGCAAAATAATGATTTTATTTATATTAAAATGCTTCCAGATATCATTTTGGTTTGATCATCTCAGTACATAGTGATATGGGATGCTTTGTGATTATGTTGTGAATTAATCTTGATTATAAATTTTTCATCACTCGTGGTAATGATCAGCGCTCTACAGGACTTCGTGTGATGAGTGGAACAGTGCCACCTCTTGCTAACTTTATTTGATTCCTTCAATGAATACTTGTACCCTTCGAATAGTATAAGGGGTCGGCCGCGTTGAGATTTTATGAATTTCAGACATTCTGTTGAATTGAATAAGATTATGATTACAAGTTTGTTAAGATTAGAAATTATGATAGTTGATTAAAATGTTTAAATCAGAAAAATATTAAAGAGGTTAAAAGTATATCAATAAAAAGATTTGGTGATAATTTGGTGTATTTTATTTTTATCTGTAATATAATAGTTCTTATCCATAATATCTTTGAGTTACACAGCAGTTATTATGCTTATCATGGCATTTGATTATATCATCATCAAAAGCAATTAGACTTGCTCTGCATATTTTTCTGGTGTGAATGGGGAGAAGTAGGTAATGTCTTCATATGGCCATCAATGTGTTGTTTATTCTTTATGTAAGAGAATCGCCGAGTTTAAAGGTAATAAATGTCAGCGTATAATCTGAGGAAGAAAAAATATAAAAATACTATACGAAGAAATCAAGGATGGATGCGTATGTATAATAGATGTTTTGGATAATGAAAAAAACGGCGCTTTACTGAAAGGAATTGGACCTTACATAAAAATTAATTAACTTATGCAACAATTTAATATAATTTATTTTATCTTGATTCTCATGGTCTTACTTTTATGTTATTGCCTTTATTCAACTTTTTTGTCAAAATTACGTACACAATACATTGTGAAAACATCTATTAAACGTATTTAAATGGATGATGGAAATTCTGAGATTTCAAAGAAATAAGAATTAGATACTTAAGTATGTCATAGAATGTAATATTGGATCTTAAGAAAATCTTAATAGAATTCATTCAATAATGTTACCTTTCATGAAAACATAATTTTTCAATGGAATATGAATGACCGAAATCAAATCGAATGATAAATAGAAAATGTTTATATAAAATATTTAAAATTTTTAATCACCTTCTAGTAAGTAGGTTGAGAAAAATTAAGAAATATACAGAATACAGAATTACTTTTCAATGGTTTATAGGGCGTAGATATTTTAATGTATGGAATATTCTTGAAGTAACTCGACGGCCTCCAGTTGTATGATACTGACGTGTCCTTGACCCTGATCTTTAGGTTGACCTTGAGTCCAAGGCTATTCACTGCTCTTGCTAAAGTACGGTAGTACTGCTTTTGTTGTCTTTAAATCGATAATGAATTGGCTATTACTGGGATAATGCGTATACCACCTTTACCAGGTGGAATTATAGACTACCGCAATCCTATTTATATTAAAAAAAACTTCTAGGATCTTTGATTCAGAGTTCTTATAAAACTTAATACGTAATTACTCTGAAATATCACCTACCTGGATTGATATTACCTGCGGATGAAACAAAACCATAATTAAATTATAAACAAAACTGCAAAAACACATATTTGTATATCAAAAATAAGTCAGTAGTGCCATTACCTTATCGTATGATAGAAAAATAAAAATATTAACAGTAGGTACATATGAATAATTTATTACATATTTCAACATATGTATATAATTGAACTTTAATACAATTTATTTAAGTTGTAAATATTGGTTTGTGGTTATGTTCATTTCTGATAAATATAACAATGTCCTCGAATGTCCGTACGAGTGCTTTGCATCCTTGCCAGCTGTGTGTAGCGCAGAGCCATCGTTTCCTTGGATTGTCAACCCGACGTGATGGCTGGGGTCGGAAGGAGAAACCGGCGACCCTCAACCTCTGACTGCCGGTCGACGAACGGTAATACGTTACTGAAATTGAGAATACTTGTAAATTATTTGCAAGTTCGTTAGACTTAAGCTGAGCTTTGCATTTGTGTGAGTGGTAAAAGTAGAGTTAGACAAAAAACTTTTAGAATTCAATTTTATTATATCTTAAATAGATACATGACATTAGTGCTATAAAATAAGCAAAACTTGTAAAAGGCTAGATGGTAATATTATGAATATTATAGAAAAAAAATTATTAATTAATAAAAATTTTAAAACTATACAAGTTCTTCTTCATTTGACATTGCGTTTTCAACATTTGATTTTGCTATCAGTACAAAGGGTGAAGTGAGGAAGGTGCGGGGCGGAGTAAAAGCAGTATAAACCGGTTCAAAACTAGAAAAGAACGTGGCATTCAAAAATTTGACATCACACCTACACTATCCGTGTGCACTCACACTAATGCAAAGCTCAGCTTAAATGAAACACACTATACTGGGTTTAAATGTTTTTTTTTAATTTGCAATAAGTTATATAAACAGCCAGTTACAAAGTAACTTTTTGGTTCATTTTTAAAATAAAACCTCCTTGTGATTAATTAATTGAAGTATATATGTTTAAAATTGTTATTTTTATTTTATTGTAATGCAGAGGCGGACCTCACAATACAGTTATTGGGATATTAAGATGAAAGGATGAACTATTATCATAATTTCAGATTTTTTAATTTGAGTCGAAACTGTTTTGTTTATCAGCGTGATAAGAAACAAAATCTCTTCCACCATTAGCAGATTCTTTTTTGAACTATGGAACAACAAATGCTTATAATTTCAAAGGTAGCATAAAAAAAACACACACACACACACAAAAAAGGTGTTTCGGATTGTGGTAAGGGAAAAATAAATTTTTATTTCATTAATTTAAAACATACTAATTTATTTTATTATTGAATCAAATCATTACACAGTAATCTATTTTCGTTGTATCAGCATTATAATTAAAATATGTACATACATATAATATGTTTTCTACAAACAGTGCTAGATAATAATTCTACAAATTATAAATAATTACATTACATATTTCTACATTGTTTAATACGTGATACATTCCAATTTAATTATCAATGGGTGTGTGATTATGATTATTATTGACAAACACTACTTCTCCCTTCACTGTGAACACAACAGCTCTGCATTTCAGGCTGTGGTGTGTGGAACATCGCCAGCGAACCTTTGCTTTGTTCTGGTTAACATATCTCCTGGAAAAACGATATCCATCTATAGATATTATCGGATTTCCTCGTAACGACTTCTTAATTGTATACTGGTATTGGCCGAACACTGAAAAAAAAATATCAAGATATATTTTGATCATCTTAAATAGAACAAAAGAGTTTTGGGTATGTACAATTCTATATATGTAGTTCTAATCATTTATTAGAATCTCGATTTCAATAAATTTGATACTTGTAATACATAACATAAAGGTTTCAAGAATTATAATTTTAGTATAACGTATTTATTCAGGTTTGATTTATACAGGGTGACTGGTGAATTACTATCGATAGTTGAGGACGTGATATTTGACTATTATATATGACAAAATAAAAATTAATATAACATAAATATTAATAAACTTCTAAGTAAAGTTAACCAAAAGTTATGTAATTAAATACGCATCGTGTGAACACCCTACAGATTAGGTATACACACACACACATACGAGTGCGGCGGCGTGGTGTTGTATCAGCACGCCGCCGCACGCGTCCACACTTGGAATACTTGGAACGTGTCAACACTTTATTTATTTATACGGAAATTGTGTCAAAAATTAAGTGCCTATTATTTTTACATAATTCGAATGAGAATCATGTACCGAGTATTCTCTTTAAATATTGATAGTAATTCACCAGTCACCCTGTATATTAACATATTCGTATTATGAGAAAAATTATAGTACATTTTCTATACATATTATTATTTTCCGTAATATTTATGGTTCGTAGTTGGGACATGGTTATGGTCATTCTTCACAGTGACTATTGTGTCATCTATAGTATATATAACTGCCCTACATCCTCGGCAGAAGTGGGTGGAACAGACCCATCTCTTCTTTATATCTGGACCTCCGTCTTTCTTTTTGTTGTAGAATGTGTACCCATCTAAGTATATCAGTGAGTTACCGCGTTGTGAGGTCACGAAAGTTGCTGTAAAATTAAATCATTGAATACTAGAAATATTTTTAATTATGTCTAATTTGAAAGCATTAAGTGGATACATTAAATAATAAAAAATCGTGTTTGTTTTTGATATTTATTAATATAATTACATCTATTACTAACAACAACATAAATTTCTTACGTTCGAAGCTTATTTAACTAATAAAATAAAAATAAATATTCTTACCAGTTCATTAACTAATTAAAACATTTTATTTTCAATTTTTATTATAAGTCCATTTAAAAATTATAGTAAACTAGCTTTCCACCCGCAGCTTCGCCCGCTTGGAGTTCGATTATATCGCGCTTCCAAGAGAACCTTTCAAAAGTCTGGGATAAAAACTATACTATGTTCTTTCTCAAGGTCAACTCTATGTCTGTACCAAATTTCATTAAAATCATTGCAGTAGTTTAGGCGTGAAAGCGTAACAGACAGACAGACAGAGTTAATTTCGCATTTATAATATTAGTAGGGATGAATTAAAATCTAATGTCTTTTTTTATTTGCTGGGTGGATGATTATGTATATTGTCACATTTAACGATGACGTCATCTATCGTGTATAATTTAGCTGTACATCGTGACTGAGATCTGATGGAGCACACCCATCTCGACTTAACGCCTCTGGATCTCCTTCTATCCATCATACGAGTACGTGTGAACTTATAGCCATCCACAGAAACCATTTTATTACCTCTATTCGATGTTAGGATGACCACTGTAAGAAAACATTAGGGATAATTTCATTTAAATAATCATTAAAAATTAATTCGCTAAAATATAATGTAATATTACATTTATAAAATTTAAATGTATTTGATCATTGTGATTTTTATTTTATATTAGAATTTATATATATATATATTTTTTATTTTATGTTTATATTTCAAGAAATACGAGATTTTATAACAATATATTTTATTAAAATTTAAATATACATAATTGTATTTAAATTATTTCATATATCTTATAGTATAATACAACATATAGACTTTCATATATTAATAAAAATATGTGGTAAAATTTCAAACAATTCTATCATTATATAATTTATCGTGGTTATGAACATTATATATGGTCACTATATTATCGCCCACGCTATGTAGACAAGCTTTACAGTATTTGTTTTGGGTGCAGCCCCACCTAATCTTTTGCGAATTTCCCCTCCCTGGCTTCCTGTAAAACGTGTAATCTCCTATTTTAATATTAGTTTTTCCTTTTTTCGTTTTGAACACGACTATTTCTGAAATAAAACAAAAGTTATTCTCAGTAATATTCAGTAAGGTTTTATATTGTACCAAGGAGGTAAGCATGTTGGTTAGTGCTACCTTTTTGGCTGCCTCATTGATGAGACAAAAGGACAATATTTCTGATAATCTTCTGCAGATGAGACTTTAGTTCTTAAATACGAAGTAGAAGAAGTCATTAATACTTTTAATAAATTTATTTTTTGTCATGATTGTGTTCATTGTATATAGAAACTATTTTGTTGTCTACCACAAAAAGACAGGCTTTGCAATATTTGTTCTGTGTACAACACCATCTTTTCTTATTTGATTTATGGTTTCCCGGTTTCCTATAAAATGTGTGTTCCCCTACTTTGAGATTGAGCTTTCCTTTCTTCGTTCTTATAAGGCATACTGGAATAAGAAGAAAAATTCTATATGTATTTGATAAAAGTACTGTCTATTTAAGCAAAACCTATACATGAGGCCATGTTGAGTTAATAACACAACATTATTGACTGTTGTTAAAAAATAAATATAGAAAATATGTTTGAACATTTATTTGATATTTTTAAACATTTAATACTTGATTAACAACCATACCACAAATACTACGTAGGTTTCTAAGAAGAATTACAATATTGTTTTAAATATAAATCCGTAAATTATCCCTATTCGGGGATTTACAATAAATACAGTTCTATCTCTTTTTATTACTAATTTCTCTACATTAACATTTATATAAGATATTTAAATATATATATACATACATTTATATAATCATATCTAAGATTTTCACGTTTACACATTTAAAAAAAAAGTAAGTTTTTCGAATGCTAGGCGTTTTCTATTATTTTATATACATTTCGGTTCCTTCACAGTAATCATGATCACGGATAGACGAGATGAAAATGTCGGGATTATGTAGATACAAAATAATAAATGTACGCGTAATATCCGATAGTTTCATTTGTACATTTACTTATATAATTCCTACATTTAGAAATATTGGTAACTCAATTATACTGACATTCATTAGGTATACATATAATAAGATGAAATAAACTATTAAACATACACATGACTTAATAACTAACCTATACTTTGGTATAACGAAAGGTACAATTTTATCACAATATTGAAAACTACACATTTAAAACATCTATAAACTACTTACAAAGAACTTTATACATTAAATTTTATATATATGAAAAAGGTATATGACCTAACTAGGTCAATGTCGAAAATATGCTTATAATAACTGAAACATGACTGACGAAACCATGCCAGTGAAAACATATTCATTCACAATATTTCAAAAAGATCGACAATGTTATTAAGAATAAATATTAGTATATTTAATGATTATGAAAGTTCTTTAGAGAGACAATCTCATCGTCTATAGTGTAAATACTGGCCTTGCAGCCTCTGTAAACGTGTGTAGCGCAAATCCACCTCTTCTTATAACTTGTACGTGAACTACGTTGACTGAAGACATATCCATCTGCTTTTATCATCATTTTTCCAGTCCGTTTGGATTCGATAAATTCAAAGGAAACTGAAAAATATAATCTATTAGAAAAGTTACTATTTACGGACCCTTAAACTAAATGAGCGTAGGTATTAAATATAAAGAAACTTTAGACAAACTATTCTTTAATAATATATAAATGCATTAAAATTAACACACACTATATTATACTACAGATCAGTAGGTATATTAAACAAGTATTTTTTTTGCAAGCTGTTTATGCAAAGAAAAGAGAGAAAACTCTGTCACCTCTTTCCTTTACTTTGGTATTAGCAATAGTAGAAACTCGTAGGATAGAATTATTTTAAATCCTTATATTAATATAGACTCAATACAACAAAGGGGAAACATAAAATGTGGATAAGATATTACGATACGTTTGAGAAACACTACAAATTCCTGGAGATATTTTTGCATTGGCCTCAAGATCAAACACATTTATATATTCGCGTATTCTAAAGCGTGTCGTGATAATAGAGCTTACGATTTATTGGGAACCAACATCCACAAAGACCATGCTATCAAGGTCAATAATAATTACGAGCACTGATGCGTTCACAAGGAATAGATTCGTCGTGGATTTGTACGCGGTAGAAGTGGGAGCGATACGTTTTACAGCTAAATCTCTTTACAACCTATTAAAACACTTGGGCCTGTCCAGAACTAATATCATTCAACCTAAACCTGGGTCGCAAGTCCTATTCGCTATTGAAGCTCCTGTCTCTGAGAAGTTTTCGTCTATGTTTAATTACGGCCGTATCATCTTATCCACATAGTATATCTTCTATCATATATACTGGAGGTTATATATTATTTGATCAATAAATATTAGTTATTAAATGTCACTTTTTAATTTTTAATATTGTGTTTTTAGCCTAAATTATGCATTTATATTAACAATAACAAAACTAAGCAATCACTCTCTGCTTCTAGAATCGTAACTATAACTCAAATCCGAATATTTCAAGGGGGTGCTGTTGATTTAATATAAAAGTCGTGACAATGATTGTTATTGATCCTGAGTATCTGGTTGTTGTAGGTGTGAACAACAGCTCTGCAGTGCCTGTGGTTGTGGGTTGAACAAATCCACCTTGTCTTCAGACCCGATGCACTTTGAGCACAGAACGTGAAACCATTTATGCTCAGTAGTGTCTTGCCACGGCGAGATGTCACAAATTTAACTGTTGATAAACACACAATTTTGTTTTATTAATACTAATTTTTATGTCCAACTATTTTGCGTAAAGTATATATTATAAATATGGTTTTGTTGTTAAAAAATGCTGTACAATTTTCAATTAATTTATTACACTATAACAAAAATCATTTACAGCGTTAATATGATTGAAATAATTTTCTTTTAATTGATGATTGTGTTCATTTTTCAGTTTCACAATTTGATCGTGTATGGTATGCACTAGCGCCCGACACCCTCTATGATTATGGGTAGAACAAACCCATCGAATTTTACCAGTGGAGTACTCCTGCCTTTTACAGAACGTAAAACCGCCAACTTTTATAAGTGTCCTCCCCCGCTGTGATTTTATTAGTTTAAAACCTTAAAATAACATTTTTATAAATTTAATGCGGAATCAAATAATATTTTTTAACGTATATAATGTTTACTACACTTCAACTCAATACGTAACAAAACTAAAAAATAAAAGGTCAATCTACAATCGTTGATCTCATATGACTTCAACCAAAATTTAAGACAAATATAAATATACAATGTTTTTTAAATTGTTTTAAATTTTAACTATAATCAATTTGTTCTCGGCTCATGATTATGGTCGTTATTCAGTTTTAATATGTGGTCTTCGAGAGTGTGAACTATTGCGCGGCAGCCTTTGTGATTGTGGGTCGAACAAACCCAGCGAATCTTCCCATGTAAGTATTCCTGTTTTTTGCAGAACGTGTAGCCTCTAATCACTAACATCATCCTTCCCTTTTGAGACATTATCAATTTGAAATCTGTAAAAATATCTTTTAATATTAACAAAAACTTCGGTTGACAAAACACTCACACTTTTATAATTGTAAATTAATTATGTGTGGAATTTGCTCGCACACTCGTATTATTTCTAATTTGTAATTTGTAAAATAAGTGATGGAAAGTAAAATGTTTTATAATCTTGGTAAAATATTGACTTCTAGACCCTCTGAGCTTTCTATGACTATGGTATGTAGAGATTTTGCTAACACTTTGTTAAGGCTTATTTAATATTTGATAAAAATTGTTATTGTTGTCGTTACGTTTTTCAGTTTGTGTTATATTTAAAGATATAAATATACTATGAAGGAAAAGTTTATATCAATTTGATTCCCAGCATTAGTATTGAGACAGTAAAATTTAGTAGGTATATTCTTTTCTTATACTTTTGTGGTATCTAAAAGTTTGAAAATTCCACTGTATAATTTAAATTGTTTTTGATATTATGTCTACTTTTATTTATTAAAAGCTGGGATTCATCTTTCTTAAAAAGATAGTTTCTATTAAAAAAAGTTCTTATAAGGAACTGTTTCAATCAATTTTGTTTTAATCACCTTTTTAATAATGACTTTTCTGTGAAAACGATTACAAATATGAAAATATATTTATTATCTGATTTATATAAATTACACTATAAACCACAATTTATTTATATATGAAAATTATAAAAGCATTAAATACACATAATAATTTTAATATATAATAAAACTACAGTACCGTGCTTATATGAAATTAAATAAATCTCAAGCTAAAATTAAAACTATAGAAACTTAATTAACAATCACAAAATGTAACAAATAAAAAATATTTTGATTGATAACAATGTAACATTTTGTAATTTCGAAAATTTTTATTCGTATCGAACATATAAAGAAGATTAATTAAAGAAAATTTGGCCTTGTCTACTTGTCTTACTCCCCACACTCTCAGTGTCAAAAATCGTTTTGTCTTCATACATCGTATGATTATCAACAATATATACAATTTCACTATCAAGAGTATGAATTATGGCTTTGCAGCGGAATCTCTCGTGGCTGGCACAACGCCACCTTACTTTGGACCCTAGAGAGCCGTTCACTCTGAATTTGAACCCATTGTATATAAGGTGTTTTGGAGAGCCGGTCTTGGAAGAAAAAATGACAGCGCCTCCATCTATAATAATTAATCATATTGTTTAGTAAATGTAAGTAAAAGGATAAAAAAAGAAAGGTTTCGTTTGAGTAAAACAAAAAAATATATAAGTAACAAAATTTTTATATATATATTACAAGATATATGATTTTATTATAATACAAATGCTTTTTTGATTCTGTTAGTAACTAAATTAAAGATTTTATAAGATACCACTTGAAACACTTGAATCTTTTTAATTTGTTTTTAAATAGGGTGATATCTAATATTGAAATTGTTAATTTCTCATTTTGTTTATAATCCTTCTATCATTTTATATATTCTAATTCAACTTCTAAAATAATTGGAAAAGACGAAACCATCAACACCCAGGCCAAATTGTAGACCTAAAAGAATTATATGTATATATTTTTTAGCTTTGGATTGTATGAAAGTACGGGGTATTTGTAAATTTTAATTACGAAAATCATTCAAAGAAAGCAGTATGTAGTTGTTGTTAGGACGGAATTATTTTTAGAATTTCGTATTAAATTAGTCAGATATATTATGTTTTAAGACGTCATTGTTCTTTAAAAGTCGAGTATAACACGTGTATATGAAAAAACTGGAAAGGGAAAAAAATATTTTGTTTAGTTTTGTATAATTCGATAATAATCACGATTAATAATAATCACATATCCGATGCTTCATTGTATGTCCGATCGATTTGTCTTGGGGAATGGTTGTGGTTTTCCACAGCGCGGACAATGGTGCCTTCAATGGTGTGAATTCTGGCTGAACATGTCCTAACAGAACACCGCCACCTGGTTTTCCTCTTGGTAACACAATGCCTTGTAAACGTGTAGTCGTTTAACAGAAGAAGTTGATATCCACGTGCTGTACGAACTAGTTTCCCTAAAAATGTATTATGTGAATCAAACAGTATCGATATTGTAACATTAATAAGATTTATCTGAATAAAAAAGATTAAACAAAAGAGATCGCGATGAGGTTATCATAATATTGTATGATTGTTTTGTAATAAATTATTTTTATTTAATAAAACAATTTCTACTTATTCGTCGTTCGAATAATAACAGTTTACTTATTAACTAAATGGTAATCTCATAGTACAACTATGTATTATCTATTAAATTGCATATAATATTTCTAAAACGGATAATCAGCGTATATTGTTTTTGAAAGCTTTCTTTTCGGTTTGATTCTTAGGGTCTTCGTGATTGTGTCTTTCTTGCGACCTCACTATGATGCCTGCAATAGTAAAATAAAATGCTCTGCATCCTCTTTTAGTGCATCTCCACCTTATCCTATCCTGACCCTCCGGCTGCTGGTAGAACTTCATATCTTTGTAAATCATTTGCGTCCGCCCGTTTGAGGCCATGAAGAAATATGCTGCAATTAAATAAAAGTCATCACGCTATTTACAACAAATAACGAACACGTAACTAGAAATTCATAAAATAAACTTATGTTTGTAAGTTTTTTTTAAATAACAAATAATACAACCATTTTTAGATATACTTTTAATATAATATAGTATAAAATCTAACAAACGAGATAAAATTTTGCTATTGTCACACAAATTTTCACCTAACACATAATATATCTATGTTTTAGATATTTCATTATACCAACATTGATAATAACTCTGGTCAACAGAACAGTAATAACTAAAAATACTCTTAAAATTTCTCTACACGTAACTGAATTATATGTGACATAGTCTTTGAAAGGCTGAAGATTTCATCTCAATATATTTAAAAATGGCGAGCTGTGTGTATGTTCGTCTCTCATCTTGACAATCTGTGATCCCAAGGTGTAACAGATAGCGTTGCACCATCTTTTGGTACAGCACCATCTTATCTTACCACCGACGTAGCCACGGTTATAGTATTTATAGCCGTTGTATAGAAGTTGCTCCTTGCCCTTACTGCCAATTACGATTTCAGCTGGAAAAATATTACACATCAGACAATATCTATATAATATTATGTTACATAATAGTTTAATTTATATTAAATTTTTGGTATGAGTGATTGTATGAGCTTATGACCTTTGTCAGCTCACATTCATCTGAGGAGCATTTTCATACAAAATGTCAAACATTTCCAAAATTTATCATAATTATAAGTATAAAGAATATATCAAGAAAATGCAATTTATCAAACTCCTAGAACCTCATTAGTGTGAGGAAGTTATTTTTTTAAACCTTTCACAATATATTTTTGATATTAATTAGGTTTTTCTTTGTGGTTATAAAACAAGATACTCTATAGAATAAAGTCTTTTTATTATAAATACATTATTTAATGGTTACAAATAATAATTTAATAATTTCATTAGTCATGGCTATGACTGTATAGAAAAGCCACCAACTGGGAGTCCAAGGTTCTGACGATAGCTGGACACCTTCTACTCTTCTTCTTAGAACAGTACCATCTACATGGCTTGCCTTGAAACAGTGTGAATCTATCACACCAAAAGGTATGCCCGTTGTAAAGCAACTTGTAATTGCCTTGTTTTGTTGGCAGAAACTCCACTGCGAACAATATTATATTCTTTATATGCGTATGATATGATATCAAATTGATAGGAATGTTATAAAAATTAGAAATTTTGTTAAAGTGAAAGGCAAGATAGTTTTTGTAGGTTTTTAATGGTTATGTTTTCCTATAATGATATCTATTGTATTATTTGTTGTTTTCACTAACACTTTACATCCACTCTTAGATCGTTTCGAACAGTACCAATTCCTGAATGGCTTGTCTTTTGGTTCATGTTTGTACCAATTCGACCAGAACGTGTATTCACCGCAACGTAGAATGTAATTACCTCCTTTTGTCGGTATAAAATACACTGCATCTGTAAAATTTGCTTCATAATTATAAAGACATTTCAAATTTAGTCAAAATTTAATTCACATCAAATAATCAATTTGCAATTGAAATACCGTATTAAATAAATTCGTTTATTTATTAACATTTTATTTAAAAACATAAAATTCAATTTGAATTAAGTAGTATTTGAGTCTTTAATTATTCTATTTTGATAAAACGTTTGTGAAATTCTAATAAAATTCTAAATGTACTATGAGAATAAATTACTTAATGTAAAAATTCAACTACGAAGTTCATTCATGGGTGTGTTTTCCACATATACTGATTATAGATCTGTTTATCATTTTTATAGAAGCTTTACAATTCTTTCGTCTTCGTCTCGAACAGTACCACACGCTTCTTCCTGTCGTGCTCTTGTAATTACTGGAGTAAGTAAAGTTGCCCAGACGGAGCAAGTGACCTCCCTGGATCAGTGGAATTAGTTCGTAACCTTGAACAAGAAATATGAAATTTAATACTAATAAAATATTTTTTATTAAGTAAAAAACAACTTAATTATAATAAAGCCAGTGGTTTGTGATTTTCAATACATTTTTTTCATTAATTAAAGTGAGGACTTTTTTTTGTTTTTACATAGTTGGGTTCCTAGATTTTTGTTTGTGAACGAAACCAAATAACAGTCATTACAGAGGTAGACTTTACTTAATAAAATATACATTTAATTTTATTCATATGGTTTAATCATGTATTCATACATATATGTGTATACATATTATACATTGTCTATATACCCTGAGTACGCGTGGTAATGTAGAATAATTAAAATAATAAAATTTCATTATGTAACATATTATATGCAAATAAAACTTAAAATAATTGAATTTTGTCTATTTAGTTACTGCCCATGCGTGTGTTTATTAACTATACAATGCATATTAGTGTTCAATGTTCTCACTTTAACCGGACATCGTTTGCTCAGTCGTTTTGAGCAGTACCAGGTCGTGAAACCGTTTATATTCTTACTATTAGTAGAATATGTATCATCGCCAATACGTAGCAAGCATCTACCGCTAGGTAACGGCAGCAATTGGAAATCTGTTAACAATAATATTTATTAATTCGTAAAAATTCAATACTTTTCCTTTTATCATTGTTACCTGAATTTCCTTTGTTAACTATAACAGACAGAAAAGTCTAAGATTTTCGCGAGTAATCATTTAAATGAAACTAATATTTTCGGATTTATTCGCGTTTATATTTCTAACGTGATCACGGTCGCTGAAAAGTAACCGAAACTTCGGGAGTATGTAGTTTAAAGTTAAAAATAAAAACTCGAATAAATCCGAAAATATTAGTTTCATTTAGACAGAAAAGTCGAAAATATAAAATCAATAGAATTTATTTCTCATAATAAACATTTAAAATTTACAATACAGTCCGTTGTGTATGCGGTATCTGGCCGGTGGATGGGTATGCTGTTTCGACATTTCAATGATGCCGAAATTCTCGTCAAGCTTTAACTTGGCATTGCATCCTTTCCAATTGTTCGTTGAACAGTACCAGTGTGAGCAGTTTGTCTTTTTGCACAGCTTTTTGCAATAATACGTATAGTTATCGAGTATCACGATCTGTTTGCCCGTGTAACGTGATTTGGCGAGCGTTAGTACTGAAACGTTTACACTTATATAGTATCAGATATTTTAAAATAAGAAATACAATAGTCCGGTTAAAAGAAAATGGACAAGAATTTTTTAAATTTATATGTATTTCTTTATTTGTGTACATGTACATAAACTTTTATAAACTGTACAGTATTTTGACATCAAAGAACAATAGTGAAGATTGATCTTTTTCTCTTAGAATAACAACTATTGTGACTTGAAACATTTAATATTTTTTTTGTAATATTGAAACTTTAATTTGACATAAAAATATTTGGCATTATATCTTTGTTATATGTACACATGTATATTACTGAATTTAATTAAAAAAAACAGATGATTTTACAAAATAGATATATCGATTTTATAAATAACAAAATATTTATAACACACTATCAGCGATAAAATGGTGTTGACAAAAAAAACCTAAATTTTATTATCCCAAAAAGTTGAGAATATCAAACTAAAATATGAATACATTTGAAACACTTGGATTATCCAGAGATAGATGTTTTTTTTTTTGCATCATTAGTTTAATAAACGAAATAATTTCAATATTTGAAAATACTATTGTTCTCAAAATAAAGTCTACTTTTTTTACATCCATACATTGTTGGTACATCAAATAACTATAAATACGTATAGTTATTAAGTATCACGATAACGTTAACCGTTTAGAGAGTTCGTTCAAACGTTAATACCTACAACTTAACAGTAAAAGAAGCAATACTTTCCACTCAAAGACAATGGTAACGAAAAATACACTTTTACTAATCACTAATTTCTAGTATGACTCGATTTTTTAAAAATTACATTAGGTTAGGATATTTAAAAAATATTTTCTTTCTTCATCCTATTTTATATCCATCTCTACTTATTAGTTTATTTAAAATATTTGGGTCTTTCCTGCCCAACTATTTGTATAGATATAAGAAAATATAACATCTAAACATAATATGTATAAACCAAAATATGCAGAATGTGTACATTTATAATAAAATAGTATTATATATGAGATCAAAATACACCCGTAAACAATATATATATAATATATATACTTATTATTCAATCACAGTTGTATCTTAACAAATGTAAGCGAGATCATATTTACAATAATTCAATTATATGAAAAAATAAATTATTAATGATATTATACAGAAGGTAGGATATATGATTTGAAAAAGCAATTGTAGCTGGTGGTTTATCATTAAAATTTTAATCAATGCTTGTCATTTTTACACTCGAAAATATATGCCGTCTTCAATAATGAATTTTGGTGGGTGATGGTTGTGGATAGTATTACATTTAACCAATGTTCTATAGTGATCATTAGTGAAGCTGACTCGTGCTGTGCAAGGAGATCCGTGTGTACAACTGTATACATCCGTCTTCACCAGTCTCTTGTGGAGGTAGAAGGTGAAACCGTTGATGATAGCCAACTCCTTGCCAGAAGATTTAAGAACCCACATCACTGAAAGCATTTGTATCTTGTAGAACTAATATTATAATTTGATATGGTAGTGTTATTGTGTTACGTTTAGTCTTTATAAGCACGTTCTGAAGTATTTTATCATAGGAAATGAGACAAATGCTGAACTTCTTCATGAGTCTACTACATGCTTTACACAGAAAAAGTTGTATGGCTTCAATATCTTTATTACACAAAAAAGAAAAAAATTAGGGTTAACGTAATATGTATTACAATTTCTACTTCAGTTCTAAGGTATAAACATAAGGATTCTATTATTTAGAAAATTATCAGAATTTTCATCTTACCATCTAGCAGTATCAAAAACTTTTCAATCATAATTGAAAATTTACTAAGAAAACTTGAATAAAGGTTACCGTTTATAAAATTGATTCACAAATACGAAAACTATGATAATTTTTATCAAATATTATTAGTATTATATTATTAGTAACAAAATACATTTTAATATTTTTATACATAAAAGAAAGTCGTGTTAGTTACACTTTTTATAACTCAAAAACCGCTTTACTGGTTAAGCAGAAAATTGGTAGAGAGATAGTTTAGAATCAGAAAAGGACATAGGATACATCATCGAAAAAAAAAGTGGATTACCAAAATCTTATTTACTACCTTTAAGAAGAACTAGAGTTCGCCCGGTCAGCTATACATTCTAATTCTAAAACTAAGTTGTCTTCGTTTTCACTCCGTAACCTAAGTTAATATAATAGTATAATGTGCTTAGATTTATGAATGAAATACTGTTAACGTCCGGTATATAGTGTAACAATGCAAGCTTGAACTAAGCATACGGTTGTCATTTATCGTAACGAGAGTTTAAAAAACTAAATTAACCAACATTAGTATTTTATAAAAGTTGGTTTAGTATCCAGTCTTAATTAAATAACTTAGTCCTTGTTGGACATCAGATTTATGACGCCTTTTAGAATATAAGTCAAATATAAGAAAGAATACAGTGCCTTGTTTCGATTTAAAACAAGAAGCTTTAATTAAAGATATAACTTAAAACATTTTTATTTACTATCCTTATATTATTTTATTATTATCAGCTTTCTCCCGTCTTCTCGGACAAATCATTGCTTTACTTTAATCATTGCTTTACTTAATAACATAGGAAACACAATTAATTTGCGGAACAAAAACGGTCAGTTGTTTAGTTTATACATTAATATCTAAACTATACTTAAACAGTTTTCGCACAGCTGTTAAATTAAACTAAGAACATAAATTAGATAAGATATTTTATAATAATTTGTGTTATGTATTCTAGTAGTATACTACATGTATTCTAAAAAAGTATATAAGTTTGTAAATCTTAAAACTAATTAGATTAGATTTTCAAGTAAACTCCGTCTTTAATGATGAAGGTGGGGGGAGAGTGATCATGACGTAGGTCTGGTCTCATGATGTCCTGAGTGTCTGTGTGTAGGGTGAACTTTGCCTTACAATTACCACCTTTAGTGCATCTCCAGGCGCTTGTCATTTTATTCTTTATAGCACAATAGAATGTAAAACCTTCAATCACCGCCAATTTAGTTCCAGAACTTTTATAGACCCAATGTACTGTAAAAAATACATATTTCTACATTAAACAATAATAAGATTTTTTTTATAAAACATATTAATAAAATAAAAAATCATTGTTGTCTTTTTGTTATATTTAATCAAAGAAAAATGTGTTCCATAGTAATCATAAATAAAAAATAATTCAAAATCACAGATTTAATATAAATCTTATTAACTAATAAAGCTTAATCACCAAGACTAAAATTATTCACTAAAAGTTTCCTACGTTCTACACAATTCTAAAGGAGTCCCTTCACTTGGCGTTTATTTGTTGTGTTCGGCCAAATAAGACAATGTGTGGAGGATTTATTCGTCTTTATGTGAAATATATGCACAAATAAGACACATAAACAAATAAGCGAAAACGCATAAAGACGTGTTGTTGGCATGTCAAATGTGGATATCGTGTTTGCGCTATTTGGACTACGTACAAATATTTGGACAAATGCGGCGAATAGGCTACGCGAATACGCAACGCAAAGTGAAGTGCCACCTTAAAGAAATAAATCAAAGTTAATTTATCTAACTTTTATTAAATATATGACGACCAGGTAACTTTAAAAATAAAGACACACCTTAAAGCCTTGACTCTAATAATGCTACTGATAAATTAATAAGTAAAACACGACCAGTCATAAGAACTAAGTATCATATGGAAAATCTCTGAAATAAAACCTAAACAATATATTTGGTCAAGCTATTCCATTTCCATGAATTTTTGGAATTTTTAGACTTTAAAATAGACTCCGTCATGTACAACGTAATTCGATGCCATATGTTGATGTGATAGGTTATGCCTCACTATCCTGGAATCTGGTGTAGATGTGAACCGAGCTTTACAAATGGGACCCCTTGTACACCTCCATATAATAGTTCTGTTGTTACGAGTCGCTGGATAGAATGTGAATCCATCTATCAACGCCAATTCCCTTCCGGATTTGTTCTTTAAAAATTGTACTGCAAGAAATCGATCGGTTAGTTTCGATATATTTGACGATTTAGAAAGTTATATTCGTGTTTGAATAGAAAAAACATTGTATGTATGTACTATCTTTATTTATCGTTATGCTACATAACATCTAAACTAAGCAATTACACTAGTTTAAAAAATTTTACTTTTTATTTATACCCCGAACCGAATGTATGTCAATATGTTAATCTAGCTTCCCTAAACCTAAAAGTGTTAGCAGAAATTATATTATTATTATTATTATTAAATTATTATTATTTTATGACGTCGGAATTTTTTCAATAATTATTATTAGACATTAAACGGTAACAGAGATTTGATAAATTTAATTGTATATTTTGCTTAGATCTACACTTGGGACATTCTTAATTTATGTACCACTTTATTTTAGATATGAGAAATTTTAATTTATTCATATTGCAATCTTCAAATAGAGTCCGTTGCGTATCATATATTTGCAGGGACTGTGGTTGTGAATGAGGTTTCGTCTTTGCATAACATTGTTCAGATCAACTATAAAGCGAGCCTTGCACGTCGTGCCACGGGTGCAACGATAAGAAGCAGTGGAGTTACTTCGTTTGTCGTTATAGAAGGTGTAATCATTGATAATAGCTAGCTGCTTGCCCCATCTGTTTTTGACCCATGTCACTGAAATAATTGATATATGGTAGAACGTATATTCTTATCATAAATTCTTACAAACTAGTTGTATGCTGCACTTTATCTAAATTACTAATCATAAGAAATTGAAATGAAACTATTTTTCGGATATAGTACGCGATTTTTATTTTTATCAAAAACTACATACTCCCGACGTTTCGGTTACTTTACAGCAACCGTGATCACGGGCAGATGAAATGATCACGGTCATATCCGAAAAATATTAGTTTCATTTAAATGAATACTCGCGAAAATCTTAGATCTCATCATAAGAAATTGGATTAGGTTTTTTTTAATAAAAAAAATAATTTATTTTTTAATGTTTAATTATCATTAAAATTTAAAATAGACACCATCCCTAACAAAGTAACGAGGTGCTACATGATCGTGTTCCAAGTTTATTTTGATAACTTTTCCAGTATTGTCGATTATAAAGCGTGATCTACACGTTCGTCCCCTGGTGCAGCGCCAAGTAGTAGTGGATTTGCTCTTGAAATCGTTATAGTATGTAAAGTCATTGATTATAGCCAATTCCTTGCCGCTTCTGTTTCTTACCCACTCCACTGGAATAAATCGTTATAGTAATGTAAGTTACTATGATTCTTAATTAATAATTAATTTGATAAATTTAGGTTACATTGTAAAAAATAAAAAGAAATAGTCGAATTGCAACATTTTTTGTTTTTTTTTTTATGTTAAAAGGGGCAACCGAGCAGACGGCCTACATGATGGAGGTAGTATCGTCGCCCATGGACATCCGCAACATAAGACATGTTGCGGATGTGTCACCACCCTTGACTTGGGAAGACGGGGAGGAAAAATGGGAAGGGAGGAAAAGGGAAGGGGTAGGAAAGGATGGGAAAAGAGAAAGGGCAACCGGCTCTCTCACTCATCGAACGAAACGCAGCCACTAAGGCTACTTTACGCCGATCTTCTGTGAGAGGGTGGTACTTCCCCGGTCGAGCCAGCACATGTTCGAGCTGCAATCACTTGACCACAGCTGGGCTCTACCACACAGTAAAAAATGATGAAAATGATAAAAACATGTTAAAATAGTCGTTTGTTATTCCTATTTTTCCTCCGCTTAATTTTCACTTATAAACCAATCACGCTTAAGCTAAGAATCTCTTCTTATTCTACCTGGCAATTTCCCAGCTTTAGCCAGGGTCTGCCTTACATGTGTGAATAGTTTTGGCTAATTGTTTTTACGACCAGCCGCTTGCCTGACATCAACCCTTTTTTGGGAATGCATTAATCAGTGATGTCTAAATACTCTTAGCAAGTACATATGACCCGGACAAATCACATTGGTACTTGCCCGGACCAGGATCGAACCCGCGCCCTCGAGCCTGAGAGGCAGGCCTTTTAACCATTAGGCCACCACTGACTAACTTAAGAATCTATAGGATAAAAATGATGTAAATAATGTCTGCTATTTATTAAGAAATTAAATAATTGACAAGACTATATTTATTGTAAATTTTTATTATAATAAAATATTTCTTTTGTTCAACGATTAGGCAAAGTGCATGGTGGTTGAAACGTACCACGTGTTATTTAGTACTTATGTCATTACATTTCAGACATTTCATAAGAATTGAAAGTGTTTATTAAAATTTAACGCGAACGAACATAAATTGATATGTAAACAAATCCCTGATAAGTATGTACATACAACGATATTATTAAAATAAATGACACAGCCTTTCCTTCAACATACTTTCATGGGTAAATGGCTAAATTCCATCTATAGTACTATGTAATTTCCAACATCAACTCGTAACTGAAATCATTAGGTCTCGCTATTCATCAATGATCGTACCTGAGATTCAAATCTGCTTTATATTTGTTTGATGAGAAAGGAAATTAGCATCATGCTTTATTAATACCAAATAATATTTATGAAAATATATTTTTTATTCATGCAACAAAAATAGATGTGATGTTATATCTTATGCAGTATTCCGTTCTTTATTATGAACCTGGGTGGATAGTGGCCGTGTGTTAAGTGTGATCTGATGACTAAATCGCACCCTCGTGCTGTTACGAATCGAGCCTTGCAGGTCTTCCCTCGGGTACACCTCCAGGCGACTGTGGACGTACCCATAGCAGCACAGTAGTATGTAAAACCATTTAGGATAGCTATTTGCTTGCCAGCTTTGTTCAGTATCTGCGTCACTGGAAAGGTCACATATTATTTTAATATTATCTTTATCAATTTTAATAAATCCTTTCATTCTTTGTCAGATGTTTCAAATAAATGAAAGTTTGAATGTCGTATATTATTGCAAAGATTTTATTCCAAGCTCGTGTTTTCGCTGTTCAAACCTTTCCAAAGTAATGGGGTTGTGAATTTTCTTTTATCGAAAATATCAAGGCATTCGTTTTGTAGGTTGACAACAGAAACTAGTTCTTTATGCGTATTGAATGACTTAATTGCAGGTTAGTCAAACTTGATATAGACGACGAAAAACTAAAGAGGATTTTCCAAGACTAGTATCATTATTGACTCTTGCATTTTCCACTTGGACAATATGAATAATTGTTTTTTATGTCACTGTGATAAGGGAATCCTTTCAATATGCCACTAGTCATCCTCAGCGTTGCTTAACCAATGCAGCGGAAATGTATCTATCACATATTCACCTTTACGTAAAATAACTAAGCGATGGGTCCTAAAAATTTGGTTCTTTTTGAGTATCTTTAACATAACATAAAATTAAAAAAATTATAGCACACTTAAGATATATAAAAATTATAAAATTAAAATTCCATGTGATTAACTCTTCATATATAAATTTTATTCAGCAAATACCATAGAAAAAAATTAAAAGGGACAATAAAAAACATTTTTTTTAAATTAGATTTAAAAAAAAAAAACTTTATTTAAATTCATCTTTTTGGAATATAACACATCATTAGGACGCTTCCTAGAATTTAATAAGCATTTTATAATACCGCAAATTCAATAAAAATTAATTAATTAATTTAACATTTTAAAAATAATGGACACATTTCCTAAGTTTAAATCTTCCATAACTAAGCATACAAGTGAATCATTAAGATTTATAATACTATATATAATATTATAATTTATAACCATTCGATAACATTTTATATAATATTTTTATGTAAGATTAAGAAAGAAAGGTATTAAAAAAATACGCTGAAATATCACGAATCCAATGCGTTCTTATTGCCTTCTTTCTATTGATTTACCTATTAAGAGCAGTTTGCTTTCAAATCTTAAAGAAATACGAAGCAATACATATTTATTTCTAGTATATTCATTTTTTTTTACTTATGCAGTTATAACTATAAATAACAACTTTCTCTGGAATCGGATAAGTCGGTTTAATTTGTTTTTTATTTTCTTCGTAAAACTCCAAATTTCACGATCATAATGATCAAAATCAATAAAAATAAACATAATTAAAATGCAATTAAAATTCCTAAATTTACAGAAAAATGAATGCGAACATATACATTTGAATACTTATGGTGAAAAACTGATAGTTCTTAAGAAGAAAATAATTTCCTAATTCTCATTAAAACTCCTCCCTTTATAAAGAACCGTGGCGGATCGTGTTTATGCTCGAAGGTTCCTCTAAGCATCTGGTGGTCATACGTCATCAGGAACCTCGATCTACATTTAGAGTAACTGCATCGCCACGACACTGTGTTCTCGCTGCGACTCCCACAATAATATGTGAAATTATCCACCACTGCGACATCTTTACCCATATTATTCTTAAAAATTGATACTGAAATACAAAGAAACTCATTAGACATCGGTAGGTCAAGAAAACGGTTTTTTTACTTCATATGTTTCTTTAATAAAAACTGCTAGTGAAAATTGTATTGGTTGCAATAATAGGAGTACAATATTTGAACAGTTCCAAATAGGTAAAACTTTATAAATATTAAGTCAAAAACAGTTCTTTATATATATATTTAATTCATGACTAGATTACATTACAGCGTCAATGAATTAAAATAATAATAAAATAAAGGAATGGTTATATGTATATATTAACACCAGCTGAATAGACCTAAGAGCTATCTTTGTCAATGTCTCGTTAAAACGATATTTTGTACTATTTTGTGTACTACGGAGTTAATCCGAACTTAAGAGAAACGATTTACAACAAGAGAAGCTAATTCAAGAACATGACTTTCTTCGAAGCGAATTCACTAAATACAGCTGTCTTTGCCAGCGTTAGTTTTAACTAGATACAAAGAAATTTTTCTTATTTATTATTTTGTATTAGATACAAATGTGAAGTACGATATGATTTTAATAAAATAAAAAAAAACCTAAAACGATAGATGCAAAAGAAAAAAAAACAACTTAAAAACTAATTAATAATATTTGATATGTCACAAAACACTTTTACGTTAAAATAATAAATTATAAGATTAAAGTCGCTATCGGAAACAATTAGGAGAATGAACTTAGCGATACGCAGATTTTTGCTTTATTGAAATAAAATATTATTTAATAACTTAAATAAAAACCAGACACACATGTTAAAATCTTTACTGACCACAAAGAGACAGATAATACTGACAAGAAAATAATACACATACGCTCAAAACACAAACATACTTAATAATTAATATACAAAGATCTATTACAAGTTATTTATAAAGATCATACTGCTATATCCCTTATATAGCAATCTATCTACGACATACCAGGTTTGTTATTCAACCGAACCAATTATTACAACGTTTCACAAATTTCAAATATTTACAATAATACAATTAAAAAAACATATTTATTTTCTTTTATACATACAAACATCGTAATAACTATCTTATGTAAAATAAATTTGATCATTAGTTTTGGTTACCGTTTTTGGAGATCGGACTAGAAAATTGGAGTTAAGAAAACTTATCGCATAAAATAAATCCGAAAAATACATACGTATAGTAGGTACATATGTATATAAAAATTACAATATTTTATAATAATAGCCACCACTTATGATATATTTCATTGGAGCGTGATTGTGTTTCACATTAGCCTTCACGATTTCCTTTCCCTTGGAGACCACGACTTTGGAAGTGCATTTATTTCCTTTAGCACACCAGTAGTAGTCCGTGGCAATGTGTCTCCTCATCAGTCGGAACGCATATCCATCTATTATAAGAACCTCTCTACCTGAACGAGTTTTTGACCAAATCACTGGAAACATTCGCTCAAATTACTTTCAAACAAAATTATAGTTGCCTTGTGTAACTACTTTAAAATATGCTATCATATAAATTTATATCTTAATGTAACAACCAGAACTTTTTAGAATTCTTACTTTTTTTCTCGTAATTGTACCAATTTTATAAAAAAAAATGGAAAAAATTAAGCTATTACGTAATTTTGTAGCGAACCATTCTATCAAATTCGTAAGAGGATATAAAAGATTTTTCGGAAATTATCGTATAAATTAATTTAATAAAATGGGAGACACACATTTTTATAAAAAGTCAGACAGATATTAAATCTTATTAAGTACAGATAAAACCTATTGGTATCACAAAATACAAGCGTAAATTTCATATTCTAATGCATGAACATTGTATTTTATATTATTTCTTTGTGTATTTAAATAACATTACCTAATTACAACACACAACATATTTTCAGAGTAGCGTATTTTCACAGAATCTAAGCTACATTTCTGTCAGAATTCTATAAACGAAATACAATTATCCAATTAAAGTTTATGTATAACTCCTTCGTGTATAATAAAACGTGGAGGTCCGTGGATATGTTTGTCAAAACCTCTGATGATTTTGTACTCCGGGGTGGTGGATATTCTAGCTTTACACGGAGAACCGCGAGTACAACGCCAGGATAACACCAACTTGCTGCGGAACGAACTGTAATATGTGAAGCCATTGAATATAGCCACTGGCTTCCCGAGGGGATTCTGGACACACGTCACTAGAACAGGAAAAAATATTTGGAAAATCGAAAAACTTACTAACAATGTTGTGACAAAAGTCGTTATTTCTCCTTTACAAAAAATAAGGTAATAAATTTTCAGAACATCACATTAAAAAGGTTTGTATTGTATGGTCAATAAAAATTATTTATCTTTAAAATAAATATTTTATTGGTTGACAAATATATATAAAAAGATCATTATAATGTGGTTTGTTACAAAAACACGAAATAAATTTATCAAAGATCTTCAAATCTTTAATATTCGCTGTAAATTGGTTAAATAAAATACAAAATTATTTTATTATAACCCTCAATATTTGTAACAAAAAAATATTAATTTAAAATACATGTGTAATATATACAAAAGATAGAAAAGAAAACAGTCGACCAATCAATATATATGTTTCTATGAAATGTAGAACCACATCCTATATCTTGTAATAAATACCTTCGCGTATAACAAACATGGGAGGCCTATGGTTGTGTTCCAGGTGTGACGTCACCACTTTTCCTTGGACGTTCATGATGAACCTGGCTCTGCACTGGCCCCACCTCGTACACCTCCATATAGCGGTCTTAGCACCACGGCTACCACAATAAAAGGAGTGCCCGCGAACTATAGCCAGCTCCTTCCCGTTTATATTATGTACGAAGTATGCTGAAACGACCAACATAATTAGAACCCCAAAACAATGAATTAGCATTAAATTTAAGAAAGGAACTTTATATAAAAATTCATTAACAGTTTTTTATAATTATTTTATTAATATAATTTACATTGTACGTTTTAATATATAAATTTTATGGTGAATGACCCAAGCAAAGCTCAGTGTCTTTACAACACGTTTCTTTTGAAGTGAATTATGACTAAAGTAGCATAAAATTACACTTAAATAGTAACAAAATAATAAATTTATTCTGTTAGTATACAATTCAATCATATAATTTTCTTCATCTTTGGTAAATTAGGTATTCTTTTAAGATGATAACAAACGGTCTTTAAATAAGGACGGATTTAAGTAATTACTCCTCTTCTAAATATGAAGATATATAAAATATATATATACATATTAGGGTGGTCCTTATTTTTATGTTAAAAAAAATTGTCTTTAATTTCGTAGGCATCATATGCATAATAAATAACTATTAAAGGATAAAAATAAAGATTTCCCTAAGGTACATATGTATGTTTATAAGAAATCGCTGTACTCAAAGAAAAGGTTTTTTTGGATTCTTTTTTTATACATATTAACTTATACATAGTTCACCTGAAAACAATTAAATTTTATATCCCTATTACCATTTAAATATTAAAAATATCTTTATTAAAATACAAACATTCATCTGTTATTTGTTTTATGTTATTTTTCTAAAACTTTTCTCATTTTTCATTCAGACTGAAACTATAAGAACATAAATATATGTAGTTCAATATGTGTGCTTGAATGTTATGATAATAATTAATCTATAGTTTTATATAAACACCATCACATATAGTATAGTCGACTGGTGGGTGTGTGTGACCTATGTTCCACCTCAATATCTTCCTATCCTTTGTGGTGACGAAGCTCGCACTGCATTTGGAAGTCTTCGTGCATCTCCATACATCAGTTTTCTTTCTGTTTCCATTGTAATAATAACTGTATCCGTAGAGAAGTGCTGTCGGTCTACCAGCTTGGTTGTACAGATATAGAACTGTAGAAAGATTTGATTGTTGAAATAACTTTTATAACAAGTAACAAGCATTTATAAGCATCATAAAGAAAACAGACAGTTATGACATTTATATCTTTATATTTGGAAAAAAAAAATGCAGCAGTAGAATTCGGTGCCTATAATTTATGCTAAATATAAATTATACATTAAAAAATAAAGTATTTATACAATCACAAAAGAAAGATCTGAATTATGCATAACTTTCAACATAACTCATAAATAAATTTGGAAGTTGAATCACTATAATGTTTTCATTTTATTTGGTGTACAATATATTATTTAAACAAAGAAATTTCATATTCATAATTAATTTTTACTATATACAAGTAAAACTTTTTAATGGCCCGTTATGAATTAATTAACTCATTCTTTGCTAAGTGAGGAATGAATCAGACGGCATAAATTTTTGTTTTTTTTTATGGGTACATAATACTAATCTTAATTACACTTGAGATTAAACCTATATATTTACTTCAATAAATCAGTAATTATTTTCGTTTTTTGTACATATTTATTCCAATACATTCATGACTGTATTACTTTATTTACAAATATAAGGAGAAACTATATGCACTACCTACTATAGTACTACTGATAGTTTAAAAGACGTGTATCTTTGGGGACCTTTAATAAGACCCCGTTATTTATGATGATTGAAGGTGGTGGGTGCGTGTGCTGGAATGTAGTGACCCTGATGACTTCGCCGGTGTAAGCGGCTTTGAAGCGAGCCTTGCAAGGGTAACCCTTAGTACATCTCCACATCTTGGCGTAGTCACATCGATCTGATGAATAGTACGTATACCCTTGGTACAATGCGAGGCTTTTACCGTACTTGTTCCGAAAAAATGTAACTGTAACAAAGGCTTCCTTTAAAATAAGCGGGAACAACTATTCCGTGAAAAATAATTACATATTGATATTTTAGTCAAAGAATTCATAGGAAATACATTATAAATTCTATAATATACATATATTCTATAATATTATTCTAAATAAAGATTTGGCTGAAACTATATATTAAACATTTTCATTTCATTGATATTTTTTATTCCATTTAAATCATGTACTTTTGTTTCCATATCTAGCTATAGTAATTAATTTATATTCTTGACGAGGATTCAATCCACCGTGGTGACGGCTGCTTTACACTCATGGCAGCGAAGGAAACAGCGCCATCTGGACTTACCGATAGATTAATTCGCTAGGAAAAAGTTGTTGCTCAAAAAATAAATCGCCTACTTCCCACGAGATGTCACTGTAAATGTTACTTAAAAAGTTAACATTAAAATTTTAAATACTATATTATTGAGAACAAGATACCTGTAACACGTTACTTATATTTATTGATAATTTAAATAAAATTAAAAAACTACGAACTCCAAGTTTACAAAAATTTTCTATAATAAAGTTAAAACAGAATAAAAAAGAAAGAAATAACAATGTGCTTGTCATTGGGTTTAAATCAATCTTTTTGTTATACGACAAACCAAAAAAGTCTGATCAATTTATATCAATATCAAATATGATAGCAAATGAAATAATTAATTTTTAATATAAAGTAATTTTTTGCCTGAAATAAATACATATATGTATATATTTATATTTGATGTAAAATGTTTTGACTCAAGGAGATCTATCTTACAAATACTTGATTGCCTATCACGCATTGATGCATATGCATGCACGGACATATGGATGTAGGAATGTATAGGATTTTGATGACACCTTACATAACTGTTGTTTAAACATCACGATAAGACTTACGTTATAATAGATTGATATAATTAATGAACAGGTATCATGAAGTCGGCTAGTTGTTGATAAGCATATTTATTGTTTTAACAGAAAGAAGATTAGAGAAAAAAGTATAAATGATTTTTCTCTAAGCAATTCAGAAGTCCAAGCGGACGAAGTCGCAAGCAAAAACTAGTAAACAATATGAATAATCTTAAATACAATAACGTTAGCAATTCACTTTAAACATATCTTTTTTTAAGGCGAAATTTTTGGTTAACCGACCTCTATCAAAATAATTATAGAGGCCCCACTATTAAAAAGTCTAAATTAGAACCCGAAAAGAACTGACAATAGTTTAATATTGTTAACGTTTTTTGGGGTGACTGCTATTGTACAAGCGACAGCTGCAGTAACCTTACTATAAGTGCATCGTCACACTACACAACCAGAGTTTCCAGTTCACTCACGTATGGGAGTATAAACGTCGCTTTATGAATGATATACTTCGAACGTATAGTATATAGTCTGATGATGCAAAACTTGTAGTAAGATATAAGATCACAGTCAATTATACACTAATTAATAATTTAATAACAGATAAAATTCTTACCAGTATTCCTCAAAATACTCATTTTAATAACTTATAACACAAATTATATTTAAATGTCATATAATACGATATTTAAAAACACATTCACTATTGCACACACTGACACGAGAAATTCTGGTACCGCGTTTGGTCGTGTGTTCAATATTAGGGTAGGAACAGGAGTAGGGGTGGCTAGCCAGGTGGTAGAAAAGAAACATAGAATTGGGTATTTGAAATGGAATTTCATTAAAACAATTGATATCATACAAAAAACGATCGAATTCATAAATAGTGCTTTTAAAATATAATATAAATAAACAAAAAAAATAATTAAAAAAATCACTACAAAGTCAAGTTGTTAAAGAAAAAGCGGACTTGTCAAAGAAAAATTCTAAATTATTCAATATTACATATATTCAAGTAACAAGTTATAAGTTAGACTAACATAAACAGTCTCAATAGTCTTTTGATATTAATATTAATACATTTATATAAGTGAGTGCGTTATCCAGCAGAGTCGATTCAATGGTTCATGTTCTTATAAATCTCGTGGTTGGTCCTGTCTCAGTAGATTTCTTTTCTAGATGTTCGCAGTATTCTTATCCTTACAAAAAATCGTTTGCCCAAGCAGGTGTTCCATTTATGTACTAATAAATACTATAGTAGTATTTACCAATGAAGTATCAGTGATTATGACTCGAAACCATTTTTACAATTTCATTTTCTATTGTCGTGATTGACGCCCGACAAAAACGTTTCGTGCAACGCCATCTCTTCTTCATACCGTGTTCTTTGTCTTTGAAAAATCTCTGTCCTTCATATTCTAAGACTGGCCCGCCACGGATCGAACGGGTTATTATAGCTGCAAATTTTAAATTAGATATATTATTTATCAACTAAATTACCTTTAAATAAAGATTATATTTTTATATGGAAATTAATAAAAATGCGAACCAATTTCAATCTATTTTTAATAGTTGTGTACTCTGGAAGACCTCTGGAAAATACCTCTTTTATAAAGTTTACACAAAATTTACATTAAACTACTAAAAGTAAAAAAATAATAATAGAAAGAACATTTTCAAAACGATGTCAAGTGTCATTTCATTAAATGGGGCATGATTATTTTATCCAAAAATTGGACTGTAAGAAAGAAACTTATATTTTTTCTTAACCATTTGAAATAAGAGATTTTTACGTACAGAACACATAACAAATATTTGAAAAAAACTCATATTTTGACGGGTGATTTTTCGATTGAAAATGAGGCTGATTTTTTGAAGTTTATTCAAAATAAGCTGAAAAAATTAATATTTGTAATCAAATAAATTACAGTATATTTAGGACATCAAAAGGCGTGTTTTCGCCAAATTTCGTGACAAAATATTGTTTTTTGGAAGAGATAAAAATAAAAAACAAAAATCTTGGTTTTTTGAATTTTTCACATAAATTTTGAGGTTACGTAATAAAAATATAAAGACAAAAGTTTTAGATCTTTTTATTACCTACAATTTTTCCATATAACATTTTTCATTTGGACTTTTAGTTTTGCCGGAAATCGAGAAAACCCATTTTTTACCCTTAAATACCCACCCCCATCATACCCTTCCCGACCTCAAATCGAACGTAAATTATTTTTCCCTTAACTTTTATAATATTACCCTCCTTTTCTAATAGGTTTCCGCCTACTATAATTTAATTATGTTTTAAAAGCTATCGGTACTGGTCTATAACTAATAGAAGAATCCACGGCCTTTGAAAGATTATTATTATATAATAAAAAAATATTTTACTAATGACAAAGAAAACAAAATGTATGGAAATAAATAAAATGGTTTTTATTTAAACGCTATAATGTATTAAAATAGTATAAAATTAAATTTATTTTACTAAGTGTATTAAGAAATATGTAATTAAAAATAATAAGGATTATTATTACAATGGTCTAAATGGAAGATAAGCCTTATATATCAATTTATAACAATATGTACCTTTTTCTAATTAAAAAAATATTGTTTAGTTTGTAGTAAATAATTATGGCTTGATGTTATGATATCTAGTTTACATAGATATATACTTTTACTCAAAAAGGGGATACGAACAACGAATAAACTTAAATACAATATCCTTATGAGTTTTGTATGCTCAAACTACGTAAAGCGTTTCGAGTTTTCCATCAATAAAACTATGCTGATACTATTAAAACTATCAAAATTTACTAAAGAGAAACAATATAGTATTAACAACAAATATCGCATCGAAAGGGAAAACGCGTGTTTCGTCTTTATAATGTTACTTAACAAAACATAATTGTGTCTTTTCTATGACTTAGTATTCAATTAAATACATACAGTTTTACATTCATAAATCATAGCGCTAGTAATGATTCTTGTAAATGTCTGAAGATATAAAAATCCTTAGGATACAGTTATACCAGTAATCACTTATCCTATTTCTATACAGAACTCACTTGAACTCCATATTACAAAATCAGATTAATAATAGTTATGTAGTATTTTTTAATTGGGTGGTATTAATTTGACAGAGAAATATTTATTTACCATACAAACTTTTAATTATATATTTTAAATGTTAGGCTTTGCCAGTAAGAAAAAATACCTTATCAAAAGATCATATCAATAAAGTTTTGGTTTAAATTAACAAAGTGAAGTTATTCATGATTATGGTTTATCTGTGTTCTAATGATGACAGCACCCATAGTAGTGAGAGAGGCGCGACAAGATCTCTTACTGCATCTCCACCTCACTCTACCGTTGTTCTCATTCTCATAGTCCTTCACAAATCTATGCTCACCGAATTGAACAACCGGATTCCCTCTTTGAGAGATAGTGAATCTGACATCTAAAAACAATAATACTACTGATATTATCACTATATATACAACTAAAACGACTGTCTTCTCTTTGATATAAGACTAGGAATAATATAAAATAGTAATCATTATTATTAACTCACCTAAACAATATCATTGTCTGTTTAAATAAAAAATACAAGTTAAAATGTACTATAAATTACTATTAATTAATAAAAACAAAAGCCTATCAGTGCAATTACAAGAAATTAATTAATTTATATTAATGGATAACATATGAGCTGTGTATTCAATGGTTGTGTGATGCTTTGTGTCTAACAATAGTATTGTCGATCATCGTGATAGCGGCGCGACAGCCGTAGGATCGTTTGAAACACCTCCACCTCGTCTTGCAGTTTATCTCGTAGTCTTTAATGAATCTGTGACCACCGAACTTAACCACGGGATGTCCTCGTTGAGACACAGTGAATACGACATCTGAAATACCATGTATATTTTAAAAAGGATAACGCACATACCTGCTTTACATTAACTTTTCAAATTTAGTTAGGTAGGGAGAGGTGCTTGGACAGTGGATTTGATCGTTTAACGCGCGTTAGATAGGTGCCCCTTAAACCTACACCTGGGTCGCAAGTCCCAGGCACTGTTGAAGCTTCTCTCCCTGCAACGATGGACCCGGCACCCGCACGGTGAATCCATGGAATGCTAAGGGGTTTCGTCTCATATGGTTTTCCACACATATAGATGTTATTGAAAGTTGTTTGTTTATTAGGAAATTTAAATTAAATACGAATTACTTGTCAATCAAAATTATATATAAGTAATAACTGATATAATAATGTCAAATTTATAATATAAAAGATTTAATCTCTTAGTAGACTTTTATGGCTAGGTAAATCTTCTACCATTATCACGTCACTTTTGGTACTTCCAGCAGTACCATTAATATTTTCTATTCCTGGATATCATCCGTAAATTGTACATATAAATAAAAATTGAAACTCATCACGACCTCGAATCATTTATTCGGATACATCAATTTCAAATTCCTAAGCAAGTCTAAACATATGTACTCATAATTCTATAAGAATCAATTAACAGTTTAAATTGTATTGATGATAAAAAGATAAGATAATGTCAAGAAAAATTGGTAAAAGATAATAGAGTATGGTATCCAAAGAAAACAGTTGAAAAAATTACAATTCAGAAATGCTTAGTGACGATATTACAAGCAGAAATTTAGAGGATACAATTTAAAAATATTATAACATAAAAATATACCTCTTATGAATATAAGATTAACTCAAAACTTAAAAAAATAACTTCTTTCTATAATAAAACTGTTTTTTTATACAAAGTTTAAGTAATATAAACATATAATCCACTGCTCGCTTTGTATAATCTTGGTGGAGTGTGAGTATGCGTACCAATGTCATGGACGACTTCCAATTCTGAATTAGTGATGACGGACGCCTTACAGCCTCGGTGGTACAAGGAACAGTACCATTTAAAATTTTCATGAGATTTCTTTTTACGATTGTAAGTGAAATTCCCAAACATCAGTAGTTTCCTGCCTCCAGACGTTGTAATTATTTCTCCTGGAATATTTAATTTTTGTATAAATATGTTAAATGCCATTAAAAAGAGAAAATTGAGTATATTATAAAGCATCAATAAGATGTACAAGTATAATATTTTACATCGAACTATATTATATATGAAAAAAACTGTATCACTCGCATTTTTTTTATTTAATCATAATTTTTTGCTTGGTTTATTTTATAATTAACAATACTCAGTTTAAATAAAACACAAAAATGACGATGTTTTAACACACGTTTACATATGTATATTACTTACACTTAAAATATTTTGTTCGTTGATTTTGGTTCAAACGATTTATTATTATAAATTATTCAATATTTATTTACAATAGACAACAGATTAAATGAAACTGATAATAATTTACAACATTTTCTACTTTAATTTTTCAGATTAAATTCAAATTGTTTATTGATTACATTTTACCTTCATCATTTTAATGTAATAGTAAAATTCTTTCTTAGTATATTTTTATAATTGACACAAGATTTTAATAAGTTCTCTTGAGGCTTGAGGCTTATGCTTATGTTATGATTAAACCAACAAGATCACACACAAATATATGTATTTATATCGGATTTATTACAAATTCGATGTTTTTAAAGAGAGTGACGCCATCTTCGCTGACGTTACTAATGTCACTTCTTTCAGTACGTTCCATGATATTTTAAAATGAAACTTCAATAATTCTTAATTCTCCTGTATTTCTCGAAGATTCTTCATAATCACATACTTTAATGATACGCACTCACTGAACTCTGAACTCTGCCGTCGTGCGTCCAAACGTCATATTTATACCAAGATTCAAATATAGTTCTATTCTTTTTTTAAACAATCTTTGATTTCGTTTTACTTTTAATAATAATCATGAATACTAATGAGTTTTAATACTTATTGATGACAGCCTCAAATTATTTTCATGTTGCATCCGTTATTAAAGCTAATAGCGCCGATATATATTATAGAGACAAAACCTTAGCATTCAATGGGTTCACGGTCTGGGTGCCGAGTCCATCGCGTTATACCCTGATGGAACTTTGAAAGTCATTCTTTGGACACACCATTGTAAGTAAACAAAAGAGGCGAACGGATTGATGTAAAAACTCTAAATAAAGAACAACTGAATTATACTTTATTCCAAACAAGTCAATGCTAATCAATATTTCCTTTAATACATAATTCAGACTTTAAGAAAAAGCTTTATTAATACATATAATAAAATAAAAAAAAGTTTTCTTTTTTACTTAAACAACTAATATATGTATACTTAATATATATGTGTGCATATAAGTGAATGAGTATTATATCGAAATAAAATATGTATATGTATTAAAAGGTTTTAATCGCAATATTTTTAGAAGAAATATAGTACAATAAAATTATAAGAACTAAGATCATTGTGTATGGACGACGGTTGTCATGCTGTAAAGTGGAAGAACACAATTATTTCATTACACCTGAACTCTTCTCATAAGAATTCATTCCGGAGTTAGAAGTGCTAGTTGATTTCTTAAAATATATTGTCCTCAAGTTTAATATCTAAGTAATAATTTGTTTTCACGTTTATAGAGAACAAATATACAAACATTTATTTTTATTAATCTACACAAATAAAATTTATTTTCCAAAAATGTACTTGAATGTAGGTATTTAAAGTTAATTTAAAATTTTCTTGTATCAGTCAATTTATTCACAATATCTCAAATTTTTGAATTCTGGCGTCAGTTTAATTGGCAAATAACTGATTTAATACTGTAAACTTAAGCTATTTCTTATACACGATCACAAATAATATGTAATAACGTTCAGTTACACTTAAGTTATATTTGAGTGTTGTTTTGAAATATTTTAATAAGTAGTATGTTGACGTCCTCTTCTTTCCCGACATATAAAATAATCCCCATTCCTACTCCTATATATCTGTGGTGGTTGGTGGTTGTGGTTCTCCTTACACTCTACAATATTCAGATCCGTGGTAGTGACCACAGCCGACTTGCAGCCACGGTGGTACATGTGGCAATACCACGCCCAACCCTTGCCACAGCTACGCTGACGGTTGAACAGGTGACCGTAAACTTTCAAGTAACGTTTGTTGCATATTACTATTATTTTACAGTCTGAAAACATACGTACTCATATTAGAACCTTATTAAAAAATAATAACTTATTGAAACAGAATCAAACATAACTAAGAAAATTATTTATTAATAAGATAAATTTATAACTGAAGCATCCGTTTTTTTTGTTCACACACTTAACAAGCATCAAATATGTATAGAAGATTAAAATACTCTTGTTAGAAACTTATTTTATTTAATTTATTTTCACATAGAATCCTTCAGAAGTCTGCATTAATTTCGGTGGATCGTGTACATGTTGTCCCTTGACCAGCAGAAGTTCAGCATCTTCACCAATACGAGCTGAAGTCTTGCATCCTCTATGAAACATGGAGCAGTACCAGATACTGCTTTGAAGGGCTTTACGCTGATATCGAAAAGTATACCCATCTATATACAGCGTCTTCTTCTTCCCCAGCGTAATGAACTTGCAGACTAAAATTAAGACATACAAAGTAAATAATAAGTTCAAATAACTCGTATTACATATTTTAGTTAATATCTTTGTTGATAGTTAAATATAAATATCGTTTAAATACAGATTACATGGATTGAAGTTCTCAATAAGAAAGAAAATAAATGTTCAACATCTACAAAACTTAATACGGGTGTCGGTCGATTAAAAGTAAAAAAAATTAAGAAATAAATAAACATTTCTATCATAATAATAATTAACAAATAAGGAATTAATAAGGCAGTAGATATAACTTTAATATCATACTTTATAATGAGTCGGACAACTATGCATTTTTTAAGCAAAGTTTGATGAAATAATAAAATAGATTTTATGCTTTAGTTAAACCCACACAAGCTAGCCAAATTTTAATTTAGAAAATTATGGACGTCTATATGTATATTGAGTCTCTCCGCAAGAAACAAGTAATGTTTGAATGAAAACAGTAAGGGGTAGGAATTGATTTAGAAGGAAATTTTTAGTGTTTCTTTAAGACTCTATTAACATTACTTTCAAGTCACAATTGATTGCCGCCTGCTTTTACATTTGGCCGCCTTCCCTAGAGGGTAAAACGTTTAAAGCAACCTTCTTGGAAGTCGCATAAATGTTTCATTTAAAAAAAAAAATTATAAATGTATTAGGTAAACTTCCGTGACATAATAAAAAAACCTTTGATATTAAACACAAATTTTAATAAAACAATGTGTTAATTAAGTATATAAATTACACACGATGTGTATTTAAAACTACATTTAAATATATTACATAAATTAATTAAACAAAAGTTAAATAATAATTTACAAAATACACATAACACAACATAATATGTTAGAATCGATTATTATCAATATTTTAGAATTTTGGTCGCATTTTTGTTATAAACAATAAAACATCGAATATCATTAAAAGCTCCTTTGGTAACACGTCTAATACCTAATTAATTATAATATTTTAATCAATATATTATAAAAAATATTGTACGTAAACTATTCTGGAATGTTTAATTCTAATCTTATTCATATATAAAAAATATATGGGCTCTCTAACTATGAACAACAACAGAAAAATATCTAACATTGTACCAAATACTACAGATTTTATATCAACTAAAAGCAGATCTAAAACTATTCATAAACAAGAAATAATCCTTCATAAGAATACAATAAGTTGGTTAAATCAATTTTTTTGTTTACTCACAAATAACAGTTAATTAACAATTTCTTAAAAGAAGTTTTCTAAGTTGAACACTCGACGTAATGTCTATAGCAATATATGTATTAAACTTATAAATTTATTTATCATTAAAACATTACTTGGTACGTAAAGAAGATTTTATGCAATAATTTAATTGTCTCCAATACGAACTCAAAGGAAAACTATCAAAAAGTATGTTTTAATCGCGTATGTAATGAACTAAGTTGAATGCATTTAATTCAAAGATATGAAAATTATCATTATCTTTCGATAATTCGTCTAAAATAATTCATCTTCACGTCAATACTAATGCTCTGATTTATCTTTGATTAGTATATATAGTTATAGAATATGCTCAATTTCATGATTTCCACGCATCTGAGCTTTTTTTACAGATATAATTTAGCCATTCATACCACATATGGGCTGTGTATATCTTACAATTATAAAAACTGTAATACTTCTAAACTCATTTCACTATTGGGCGTGGATTGTGGTAATGGAAATATATTGTATATTGCGTGCCGTGAAACATTAATAACTATGTTAATAAGTTAATTGACTACAATCAAATTGTTTAATTCAAAGTATCCCATCAAAGCGGTCCAGTATTGTATGACGATTAAACTGCTTAGCAGTAGTTAAGGCACTAACTATGGTCCAAATCGAATATACCTACACTTACATTTTTGATAAATTTATTAAAAATATTAACTTGAACAAAATATTTAACATCAAATATTAATGAATTTATTATTGTAATTCATTTTAAATATTTACCAGATTTTATTATAAATAAAAGAAAAACAACTTTATTCTCGTACAATGTTTAGAAAAAAATGTGTATATGATTTTTATATGGGATATAATCAATGTTTTTGATTAATAAATTACAATCAAACAAAATAATTACTTCTCTACCGGACCGCTGTAAAATGGTATTTAAATAGTTACTACGCGTGAGAATGTAGGCCGGTCGTTGATATGACCACACCGTCAATGGTTACTGCGGACGCTTTGCACTTCAACTTGTGTTTCTTAGCGCAAGTCCAACGAATACGATTCCCGATCAAGGAGCGGGAGTGACGAAAGAACTTGTGTCCGCCAATGTAAATATTTGTAGACTCCCTACAGAGCCTCGCCCGTAAAATCGCACGCACCAAATCTGAAATGCATCACCGATAGTTAGTAACCCCGTATATTATATTAACTTATTGAAATCTTTAATATATTATTTTCAGAAAGAATTGTTCATATTTTATTGAAAACCACATTCATTTCTTCTTTTTATTTAATAAACACAATAAATTTTAACATTTTTCACCGCTTGTTCTATTAACTACTCCTTAATAGTAAATGTAATCATAAAAGTAGAACAAGATACTCTAAATATGTATATAAAGAATTTTAAATCGAAAATACTGTAATATTTTTGGCTTATAAATAAAGTGTGAACTAAAACGATCAACGTTTCACAAAATTTGCAAATAGCTACTACTAATATAAATATGGCATTATAAGTAAGCAAAAGTGTAAGCCACCGCTTACTATAAAAGTAAAAAGTGACTTAAATCTGTAAAATTGCTATGATATAAAAACATTAAAGCCCGATAATACTTTAAATATTTAACATAAGGTATTCCTCCGGTTAGCCGAAATTAATGACAAAAAATTATTATTTTTTTGGCAAAATTTATAGTTATGTTATTTATTTATAAATTGTTCGTCATCGCAGTTACAAAAACTATTTTTTTACATTAAAAAATGGTAAGAGGATGATAAACATATGACTTTGATTTTTTTTCCTTACATGTTAACATTAAATTATATGTGTAAAACCATCAGCAATCTTTTAAATATCTGATTAAGAAAATAGCGAAGAAAAAATATATACAAAGGGAATCAAGACTCCAAATATTTCAGTATATAATCATAAACGTGTATGAAAACCTATGAAAGACATATATCTACATTTTAACGTAATGCCCGGAGGCCGTGACGTGGTACTCGGGAGGTTCGTGGGTGTGATTCTCCTGCAGGAACCTCAGATTCCCTACACCATCAGTCCGAGCCTTCGCCTGGCAATTCCTGCTCTTCTTCCTCGTACAATACCAGAACATTGGACTGTACTCCGAGAAGGTATACCCATTTATCATCAGCATGCCTTTCTTAGTACGACTCGGTATTCTAACCACTGCAATATAACTTCCATTTAATACAAGTTACTCTTGTTTAAAGATATTTAGGAAATCATTTGATAACATTTGTTTTTTAATATTCTTTGACAAGGCACATAGTTTTTAACAGTTCTATAATAAAATACCTTACACAATGTAACTCTATAATATAAGAAACGATTTTTATAATATTTCTAATACATTTAATGTCATATAATTTGGATAACATATTATATCGTCATTTAACTTAATTACAAGTTGTTTAAAACATTCAGAATTCATTGAGCAACCGGTGGTTATGTTGATTGGTTATCTTCATAACCACGTCGTCTATAGTCAGAAGCCGGCACTTGCAACCCTTGTTCCGTCTAGTACACCTCCATATAATCTTGGTACCAAAACCACCCTGAGAATTAAATCTATGGCCATTTACAATCAACGCTCGTTTACCACGCTTCGTCTTCTCGAAATATGCTGAAATACATCAATATATCAAGAAACTATTGAGAATTAAATTTATATTTCTGTATAATATATATGTACAAAAAGGGGAAGAAAAATTTAATTTCACTAAACTTTATTTATGTTTAGCTTAGGAATCCTAAAGGAAAAAAATTAAAAATTATGTGAATATTAATAATATTTTATTCATATATATGTACATTTATATATAATCTAATCTCTTAAAAGTGTCCAGCCTCCTCTCCTGCAGCATCATGTTTATTATATCTCCCTTTAGCTCTTTCATCTCACACGAGATGACATTTCGATGGTCCCTAAGTATAGTATCGAAATTGAAATGAGGTAAATTAGAGGAGAACTGTTTAAAGTTTATTTTTTGTATAACTTTGTCATCTATACTTACTGGTTGTTAATACTGAGACATTACATTTAAGTTAGATTTACCCACCATCACGTATCGAGAATAAAAAATAATTTTGGACAGTTTTCCAGAAAAGTTAGTTTCCTTAGTATACTTAGTAAGTAGACAACCTCCATAAATCGAAACTACCACTTTCGATTATTTAAATGGAACCGTGTACAAAAATAATTATTGTATGTGCCTATTTCGATACTTTACCATTGGTTTACGTAAAAATATTTTATCGAAACTACCCAATTCAATGATATACCGAGTTAAATATTTGTAGTTACGATATTTTTTAATGAAATAATGATAAAATTATTAACACAACAAAATCTTTATTAAGTCTTATTACAGATGAAACATAAATTAATCCCTAACCTAAATGTGGCTCCTGGTAATTAGAATGTCTTAATCTTTTAAAATAATATTCTTTAACTGGATTCTTATAATGAGATCACAATAACAATCATATGTTCAAATTAAAAATAAAATATAAGGCAAACATCTGTTCTTATGGTAAAAGTAAACTTAAAATAGGGGCCTTTATTATTAAAAACAATCCACAAAAAAATTAACGCGAAACTATTTCTGCCAAAAGATACAAATATTATGTATAGTGTATATTAGGATAAAAAAAAAACCTAAGCAAACAAACATTACACGTCTGACTTATTACAATCATCTGCACCTGTACAACATTTTAAGTTTTCATAAAACCTATGATATTCTTTTGGTATTGCTCCAGAATGGCACAAAGAAATCAAATCTTGATACTTTGCACTCGACAAAGTAAGTGAATCCGAATAAAGGTTTTTCAATTCAGTAGGTTGACATTTTCTCCTTTTGTAACTTCTGGTTTCTACAATAGTATTAATACTAAGGTGATCACCCTTCAAATAAATATTTTTAAAACAAACAATGTGGTTCGTCTTTTCTTATGCTGACTTCTTTAATGCTGTTCCACTTTTTTTTTATTACTTTTATCCCTTTCCAATTTTTTTCATTTAATAAGAACTTAAAATCAAAAAGATCACTCTGAGTTAATTCAATAACGTTGTAGGGTCTACCTTCAACCTTGGCCCATCGCACTAATGCATATTGATCAGGCGTGTAAATAAATTTTCTTTTCGATTCCCGTTCTATGAGGGCGTGGACACTATCATCTTCGTTCTGAGTATGGTCTTGTTCCAGGAACCGATGGGTAATGTCAATACCAACATTTTTACACATATACATGCAAAAAGAGTATACGACCCTATTCCTATTTTGCCCAGAACAATTGTCAGACCAAAATAAAAATTTCTTTGCACTTTTACTTATTTTAACTTTTATAAAATTCATCAAGCAACTACTCACTTCATTAGCTCCCCTTTTACCAGTGCATTCTGGCCGCGTGTAGCATGTTCTTTCCTTAACAGCTAGATCGAAAACGGTAAAATTGAAAATAGAAAGTTTACGCTTGTAATAAAACAAACCAACGTCTCCATGGGGACAATTCAAAATTTTGTGAAAATCAAATGTTGCACACAACATCTGCTGATTTTTTTGCTTGATCTTTATCAATATTTTTTTTGCTCTCTAGCAATCGTTTTATTTTGTACGTGTTTATTATAAGTTTCTATTTACTGTTCTGTCGGTGAAACATCATTGGAATAGCTGTGGCATTTATCGCGCATATCCTTTTTTGGAACAAAAAATGTAACGTTCATATTGCTATTAATAACGTCTCGGTACTGACGAAGTGTGTGTGCTTGATTGCTGTACTTTAATAATTGGTCCCATCTTTTATATAACGCAAACATTCTACTCATATTAAGATTGCTATCTAAATAAAGTTTACTGTTATCTTTCCGTGTGTAATGAGATTCTATAGGTTGTAAAGACGCCACGTGATCACAGACACTTTTAATCATTTCAGAGTCTACAACAGTTGGATGGTGAGCATGTTTACCCCTATTATCTGTTAAGGTAATCCCTTCTTGATTTAGTTTACTATGTGCTGTACGAACAAATTGGTCAGTGATAGAAAATGTATTCAAAAACATCTTCATACAAACTTGTTCTGTCTTAAATGTGTCATCTTTCGGTGCTGGTAAAAAATACTTAGTTGTAAATTGTCTTCTTGATGGTCCCTCCGTTGTCATTCGTTTTTTCAAAATTTTCTTAGTAAACTTGTTTATGAACTCCCATTGCTTAGTATGATCAGCAAGTTGCCAAAAATTACTATGAATGTTTTGTCGAACATCTGTATCAAATTTGTCAAAACATTTTAATTTACATGAAGTTGAACAAGCGGGGCGCAATTCTTTTTTATTTTTAAGTTTTCCACCTCGAGATACATATTGCTGACCTGAATTTAGTAAGCTTTTTCTTTTATTATCGATCCAATTTTCTGGACACTTTAATCTTTTTTTACCGGGGTTAGTTTTAAAAGTTGATTTTCTCTTGTTTTCTACACTAGTACTTGGAGAGTCACATTCTGATAAGGTTGTACATGAGTTGACACTTGGTAAAGATGATCCAGATACATATTCGAGAGCACCCCCACCTAACTTTTCAGAAAGTTCAGTTTCTTGTGCTTTATTACTAGAATTTATAACGGTAACTTTCAAATCCGAGGGTTGTACAGGTGAACCAGAGTCTAAATTAGGAGTAGGTATTGGAGTTGTTTCTCTGCTAACCATGATGATAGAACTCGTATCACTATCTTCAATAATAACAGACTTTGTATTACATTCTCTTACTGAAGGAATGTTAAAACTATGTAGCTTTTCCTGAGCTACATTCCTGTCCGAAGATAGTTCATCATCAACTAATTCTTCTAAAATATTCCAGTCCGAATCGTTAAAGGTGCAGCTTGTAGGTAGTGGTGATTCTAAAATTGTTTTTAAATAAATAAGTTTAAATTCATAATTAATATAACATTGGGTAAAATTCATAGTAATACATAAATAAATAAAATAAATAAAATTAGATTATTCCAATTTTTTTTATATTTTCATGGAAACTTTTCACAAAATATTCAAAGATCCATCTTTAACTATCGAAATTACCACTTTCAATAATGATTTGTCAAAAAGCTAAATGACATTACCAAGTAAATTATTGAAAATGGCACATTCAATACTCTTTCATATAAGTCACCCGTCATAAATAATCGAATCTACCGGATTCGATACCTTACTTCGGAGACCCATTCAATATAAGCAAAACTAGAGATACGATTATTAATTTGTTCTCAAAAGTAGAAAAAATATAAATATAATATATTCTATATATTATTTATTTGCGTCACAGTTACGTGTAAGTAAAAATAAGAGTACCACATATATTTTAAAATTTACCGGCTTCAAAAATACCTGATTCTGTTCTCTCTGTCACTAATTCCACAATTCTTCTTGATCTTTAATACATTTTTAAGGGTAACCGATTCATCACAGGAGAATTACAGTCTAAATTAACAAAATTAACACAAATAGAACCTATTGTACGACGGGTAGACTATCAAAACAGTGAGCGCATCCACATTCCCGCTTACAATAGCGATAGTGGCAGTTCTGTCCTTGTCACAAACTCGCGAAAGTCATCTTTCGACGTTATACGCCGCGTAAACTATATATTTTCGATTTTATACGTTTCGGTAAAGGGTATAAGCAATGTATTTAAAATATTTCTGAAAAAGACATTGCAAAGATGTATTAATTATTATGAGTCGAAAACAACAATAAAAAAATCTCCATTTTGCAGATTCAATACTTTACTTGGGGACCATCGATTTGTGCCTCTCACCGATACAGACAAACACTCTCACTGATTTTGTCGTATCATAATACTATAACAGTATATGCAGAACTTTAAACAAATATTACATAATCCAATAAGAATATGTAAATAAAACTTTATGGACCGATTACTATGTAAGCTTTAGAAAAACTAATATTTATTAGGATTGTCGCAAATAAAACGTTTTCTATGAACAACTTTAATTTTTAATAGTATGACAATAAACATAAACTATATTTATTAACAATTTCTTTAAGAAATGTATATAATATTTTCAACATTTATCTATATAATTAATTTCAATATCAACATGATTGTGAACATTTTTCTCATATATGACTTGATCTTTATATGTTTTTATATAAGCTTTACACCCGCTGTTCTTTTTGATGCAGCGCCACGTCGTACTCTTATCTTTGTTCGTGTAAGCCCTTGTGTAATGATTGCCTTCAAATTCTAGCTTGTACGTAAAACACGAAAGGCTACCTGTAAGAATATTGGCTTTAGAACACTTATAAAAAATACGAAAATTAAATGTGAATTAAAAGACAATTTAAGTAAAATATTATACATATGTTTATGAAACATAATCCTAATTACCACGCAACTATAATAGTACTTATAATACCAATACCAATAAGTTAATTAATCAGTGATGTCTAAATACTCTTAGAAAGTACATATGACTCTGAAAAATCACATTGGAACTTGCCAGGGCCAGGATCGAACCCGCGTCCTCATGCATGAGAGGCGGGCCTTTTAACCACTAGGCCGCCACTAAGTTGAAGTTAATACAACCTATATGTTGTGGTAAGATTTACCAATGACAAACTATTGAAACTCCGTATGCAATGTGACAATGAAAACATAAAATAAGCAATTACATTCTTTACATGTACGTTTATACAACACGTTCCTAGCACAAAAAGAAACTACATTGTGGCATGTTTTTTTTTTATTTCCACTGTTAAATATTTCTTGGTGTGATAGTTGGTTTTCATTCCCTTTATCAGTGATTATGTTCCGTCACAAGTAGAACTTCATCTTCTATGGTGACAGCGTACCCTTTACAGCCTCCATTCCGTTTGACACATTGCCATGTTGTTTTAATATTATTGACTCTCTTCTTATTATACCGCTTGCCGTCCACAACGAGAACCCTGTTTCCGTATGATGTCCATAGAAATTCAGCACCTAAAAAGATATTAGTTACAAACGGAGGTCTTGTGTTTTTGACGAAAGTATCGATTAATTTGTATACCCATATCAGTCTGCAGAATTCTAGAAAAGTCTTATCTGTTAGGTCAAGTCCAATCTAGAAAAGTTATTTGAACTGACCTAATAGATAAAACTATTAACATGCGTAAGAAAGAAACATATCTGATGAATTGAATTTATTCAATGATTGTGCTCATGTGATATTTTGATGATTTCGTCAAAAAATGTATGCACAGTGGCTCGGCAGCCGCGGTTTTTCCTGCTGCAGCGCCACAGGAACTTGTTCGAAGGCGATTGTAGGTTATGACAATAGAACTTGGCGCTGTTCATTAACAGCAAACGCTTGCCTTTAGCCGTCCAAACGAATTCGTAACTAGGACCTGTAATTTAAACGCATTAAAAACTACTTTCGTAATATATAGTTTGTCAAATATACATAGAAACCATGAAATAAAATAAGAAAAATAACAGTGAAGGTGTAATTTATTTGCTTACAATTATAATAAAATCTTAAAATATCTTAGGAATTAAATTCGTGAAATAAATTATTAATATGTACTAACTATATTCAAATATTATTTTTAATTTATAATGTCATAAATAAGTTTCTATCAATTAGGTACATTCTAACTGAATATTTATCGGAAAATAAAAATTTACATGATTCTGTAGCGTTTCATGAATTTTTTTGCCATCGACGAAAAAGCTCTTCAACAACTACATTCTATCTACACAAAAATATTATTTTTTCCTACAACATACTTACACTTGTTTACATACAGAATAAATAAGTATACAATTTTCCTTTGTAACCTAATCTACGTTAACATTTAAAGACAAAAATATTTTTCTTTCAATATTATTCCCGTGAACATCTAAAAACTAAACTTACATGTATGTATAAATTAATTACCCGTGTGCATCACACAATGTGCAATTCAATAAATATATTATTAGACATAAAATATGCTAGAGATTGTTGGCATCGAACAAAAAAATTCAAAAGGAATTATAATCCGTATATGATAGAAAAAATATATCATATTTAAAAGTATACAGTTTGTTTAATTGTGGTTATGAAACTGCCTGACTCGTATGATGACGTTGTCGATGGTCGTGACGAAAGCACCGCAACCAGAAGTCTTCTTCACGCATCGCCACCTTATCTTCGCACCCTCATTCTGATGCACAGTAAACCTCTGTTCTCCCATATCCAAGCAACGCTTCCCACTCTGAGTGAATCCGAAAAATGCTGAAACATATCATCATTGTTAATATATGCATAAATTCAAAATATAACTACATATTTAAGCGGTACATTACATTTCAAACAAAAATATTTATTTTTTCATGTGAAACTTTATTAAGCGATAACAATCCGTATATAAATAGTTTTAAAATTCAAATTTCTGTAATTTATTCCTAGTTAAAATCAATAGGGATGATTCTTGTGATCGTCGTTTATTTTCACAATAATTTCATCAAAAGTCCTCAGGGAAGCATTACAGCCATATTTTCGTTTGTGACGACAAACCCAATGTACTTTTTTGTCCCAGGATTTATTTTTTATAAACACATTGTCCTTCAACAACAATCTCAATTGTCCATTGTGGTTTTTTATAATTTTAACGTCTAAAATAAAATACAATAAATTATGACTGTATTAAAGAATAGGTTTCACAAATATTCAAATCTAGAATCTCTACCGTATAATGTCTACCGTAATATTATATTACGACAAAAAACAAAAAAAAAGAATTTAATATTTTAAATCAATCAGAAATATATAAAATGTTTTAAAACAACGATGCGCCTGAAACGTATCTTTACCATGGTATTTGAAATCTTATAATTATTCATTTATTTTTGTCATCATCTTGGAAACAACGACCAAGATCTTTCACAGACAGACATAAAAAGAACATTTAAATTTGTTAATGATTATGTAAGTCGACATATTTCATCACAGTCTTATCTACAGTTACTACTTTGGCGCGACATCGCTTGCCTTTTTTGAAACAAACCCAACTAATCTTCGGACCTCGACTGTCGCTGCGTTTATTAAAACGGTGACGACCTATCATCATAAGAGGATTTCCTAATCCACTAGTAAAAAAGACCGGTTCCAAACCTAAAAATAATAATTTAGAAATTGTATTTCAACTAATTCGCTCACAATCTTAATCAAAAATAAACTGAATAATTTGCAGTGTAGTGTAGTAAGCAATTTTTAAAAAGTATTTGTCGACATACCAACGTATGTATTGCATTTTAAATAATATAATAAACAAAAATAGTTATGTACGTATGTACAACATAATAAAAAATAAATGAACATCGACGGGGCAACATCGTTGTATAGATAAAATATCATAAAGTGAATGACGCCGCTGACTCCGCGGAACAAGAAGGTTCCTGATACCACACAAGCTATGGAATGGAATTGCTATCTTAAGTGTAGATTATAAGTTTGTTAGTTTTCCTGCAACCTCTGGTTGCTACCCTATATAATTTTTAAGAAAACATTTATAGACTAAAAAGATAAATAACATATTTTAATTTCACAAACATATTATATTAAATTTATAATTAAAATAAAATTAAAATGTCTCTCTCTAGACAAAAATATTAATAATAAGGATTTTTTTAAGGTATTATTAGTTCTGCAGTAACTTCTTTCATATTTTATTTCAATGGTTATGATTATTATGGAATTTCAATACATGGTTGTCTATTGTGACAACTTTCGCTCGACATTGGCTGTCTTTTTTGACACACTGCCAACTTAACTTAGGGCCCTTGCTGTCGCTACGCTTATTGAAGCGGTAGGGACCTATTATCATAAGAGGGTTGCCATAACGTGTTGTTGAGAAAGTTACAATGTCTGAAAATAAACGTCAATTGTAAGAATACAAACTAATAAATGTATCTAATATGTTGAAACTTTAAAATAGTTATGTTATTAAAAGAATATTTCATAATAAACATATATAATTCATATTAACAACAAAACAATAAACATTTTAAAAGGCACTCGAAATTACATTGTTATATAGAAATTACATACATTGAAAAATATACGTATATATATGCATTATTCTTCTTCTAACTAACATGTTGTGAATAGTTTCGGCTTATTATTTTTACGACCGGCCGCATGCCTGACATCAACCATCTTTGGAAATGCATTAATCAGTGATGTCTAAATACTCTTAGAAAGTACATAATGACTCGGAAAAATCACATTGGTACTTGCCAGGGCCAGGATCTAACCCGCGCCCTCGTGCATGATAGGCGGGCCTTTTAACCACTAGGTCACCACTGACTATGATATATATTATTGTTCCACAGTAACTTTATAAAAGTTTTTAATGATGATTTCTTCTGTACAAAACATATAAACAAAATCATCACTTCAATAATAAAATATAAATTGTGACTCATTAATTATTTATATGTGGTTGTGTAAAAGGTTTATTTTGGATATCCTGTCGTTGACAAGACTGACGCTGGCAGAGCAGCCACTGGCAGACCTCTTCACACAGTGCCACCAGGTCTTAAAGCCGTATGAGGACGTCCGTTTGAATCTGTGGGTCCCGATCAATAATACTGGATTACCTCTGTTTGAGACACCGAATATAACTGTGAACAAAGCATCAATGGAGTCATATTCATTACAAGAGTTTATTTAAATATATGAAAAAATTAAAAAAAGAGTATTGAATTTATAGAGTCTTTTATTGTATACGAAAAAAATGTAGACTATCATTATAAGTCAGTAACACCTAATTATATTTAAATATTACTTTTACATTTAATATATGTAGCAAGAAGATACGCGTGAAACTATCTCATTGCATTTCATAATTTATTCCTAGTTTGATAAGGTTGAAAATTGAAATACAGTAATACTCCGCTTTACGCGAGGGATACGTTCCGAAGAAAATCGCGTTAACTGAAATACGCGTATATCGAGGTTTATGATTAAACACAGTCAAAATTTAATACACTAATATAAAAATCATTTTAATCAATCACTTTAATTCTAAGAACACTATACAATACATGGGTACTTCTATTTTTTACAAAAAAATACATGTATTGTCTTTTGGGTAGCGTTTTGTTTACGTTCTTGTAAAATACGTTCATAACACCAAACACTGTTTTTAATCGTTTGACACACGTTCAAGACACGGTCATCATTATTGTCTATACTCTGCAATTTCCCGACCTGAATAAATTTTTGAAAATCGCGTTATAGTGAAACCGCGCAAAACGGGGTCGCGTTAAGCGGGGTATACTGTACTTGTACAGCTGCAGTTGATATGAGAAGAATTAATAATCATAATAAATCTTAACTATGATTATGTTCATTCCTTATCGTAATGATTTCGTTCTCAATAGTTATGATAGACATTTTACATCCCAGAGGAGCTTTATTACATGACCAGTAAGTTTTCGGACCAGTCTTGTGTTTGCAATTGAATCTGAAGCCTTGGATTTGTAGCAAAGGTTTTCCACGCTTCGTCGTGAGAATGCGAGCTGCAAAGAATAAAACCATTAATATAAAGATTTTGGAACAAAAAAGATATAAAAGATATAATAAATGTATATCTATCAACATTACACTTTTTGTAAGTGACACCCACATCAATCTTTGGTATTTTATATGGTGTATACAGCTTCGATAAAACACAATAAGTACCGTATAGTAAAGGTCATCATCATGTATTTATTTCAAAAAGTAAATATGAAAATGTACACACAAGCTCAAACAAAATCAAACAAGCTTTCAGTATAATTTACATAAATATTATCAAACGTTAATACTTAAAATATGAGTTTATACGTTTAATAATACAAAATTAAGTTCGTAAAATAAAGTGAAGGAAACTAATGATTATGGACCGACTTTTCTCGGACGATGACGTCATCGATGGTTGTGATCGAGGCCCGGCAACCCGTGCTGACCCTGCAGCAGACCCACAGGGACCTAGGCCCGGAGCTGCGGTTGTTCTTATTGAACCTATATTTACCGACTTGTATAGCCGGTTTGCCGAAACGAGAGGTCGTGAATCGGTGAACTGTAATAATATTGATTAATTGGTTTAAACTGTGACGTAACGATATTTTGAAGCAAATTTTTACATATGTTCTAAATCATCGATTTATTTTAAGGGAGACTTTATTTTGATGTTTTCGATACTTGACGGCGGACTAGGATATATGAATAATTTCAAAGGAAATAAAAATAAGATAAAATAATACATTTATTATTAATGATTGTGTTCGTTTTTTACATCAACTATTATACCATCAATGACGATGACCGAGGCCTTGCAGGCTGGTTTATTACCGTTCTTATAGCAGAACCAAGTAGCCTTTCTGCCGTGAGATCGGTTGTTCCTGTAATACCGATAGCAACCGATTTGAAGTACAGGCCTCCCGTTCATAGTAGTTGTAAACAGCGGCTCTGAAAGAAATTAAAGTTTCACTTGTAATAACTTAGATAACCTCTTCGTTTCAAACAAAACAATTGTCATTCAAACAGTTAATTTATCATTAAAACTTTAAATTAGTTATTTTTATCATTAGGTTATAAATAACTGCTGACCGAAAAATAAATTACATACTCGTACATACCTATATAAACATATGTAGGTACATAGTCACCTTCAATTCGAATGGTATGGTATTAGAAATAATATAGTCTATAAAACTTGATAAACGCGTTAAACGATTCATCGCGTTGCAGCGAGAGGAGCTTGACCAGGGCCCGGGACTTGCGACCCAGATGTAGAGTTAAAGGGGCCACGCTAAACGCTCACCTCCACCGTCCAAGCTCCTTTCTCTACCTAACCAAATTTGAAAAGAACCTATTAGGGCTGCCTTCCAAGTACGTTCTCAAAATAAATTGATGTTAGTTCTAGATAGAACCAAGTAGGTTGTAAAGAGATTTAGCTGTTATACTTCTCGCTCGCACTTCAACCGATTACAAATCTACGACGAACGTATTTTAGTGAGTTCGTAATACTTGTTGACCATAATAGCATGGTCTTTCGGGATGTTTATTTCCAATGGAATCGTAAGTTCTATTAGGACAACGCGCTTTAAAATTCGCGAATACAGAAATATGTCTGATCTGGACGCCGACATACAAACTTTCATTTTGTCTCCCTGTAATCACGGTTGCTATAAAGGAACCGAAACGTCGGGATTATGTGCATACAAAATAATAAAAGACACATTATCCGAAAAACTTATATTCATTTAACTCTAACACGTGGTATTAAAACACCAATTCCTTATTGAAATTATTGATTAAACTTAGTAATGATTTTTTTATTTATGATTGTGTTCATTCTTCGTCTTAACCACAGCATTGTCACATGTGACTACAGACATCTTGCATTTTTGTTTAACTTTGTTGCAGAACCAGTAGGTCGTCACGCCTGTGGTGTATTTGAAATTGAACGTGAACCCGCGAAACTTAAGGATCGGCTTGCCGCCAGCTCTAGTCATGATATGAGCTGAAATATAAGTTTTTTTTTAATAAAATTTGACAACCAAATTAAGACTTAACTATTTATTTCTATTTAACTATTTCTTGACTATTTTATTTACGTCTATTTCAGTTTTATAAAAAAAAGCAGTTTAATAATTTTAATAACAAAATTAAAAAATATGAGAGTCATTGTTTAAAAATCAGTCGCTCCTTATATGTTTATTAAAATTGTCTTTGAAGAAAGTTCAAATTTAAATACAAATGAAAAATATTCAGTTTTATATTTCAGAAAGTTTTTCAATATTAAATGAATAATTATAAGAATTTTAAAAAGCCATTTGCCAATTGTCATAAAAAATATATCGCATTTAACAAATATTATTAATAATGCTTTATTTGAAATATTCTCAAAGAAAATTCTCTATGACTAGCATAGTAACAATAATTGTAATATGAATACTAAAAATATAATTATTTCGTTTGCGTTGACTCATAAACTTACCTCACTATCGAAATTTTATCTTAACAATTTATATTTAACTAGAAGACCCGGAGAACTTCGTATCGCCCTATGATTAAGAAATTTCTGTTACGTTTTTTTATATATAAGGTTGGTGCGTATGAAATGTCGGATTCTTTTACATGCGGACGTTTGTCTCCCTGTTTTCGTTATACTTTTGTCTTTGGCATAATCTCACTCACAGTCGTGTTGTCCATTGCCAGAGATTCATTTCAGCAAAATAGGTTTTCTCGAAGGTCTTCCCTTTTGTTTTTTCTTTTGAGTTTATTACCGATATGTATTCTGCCGACATTCGCGTCATTTTCTTATATAAGTACAAACTTGGTTATAGTGCTGCAAAAGCTGCACGCAACATAAACCAAGCCTTTGAGGAGAATACGATTAACGATCGGAAAGTGCAGCGTTGATTAAAAAAAATTTCGGACTGGCTATTTTTCACTCCAAAATGAGCCGCGCGGAAGACCCCAAACGTCTGTGAAGAATGATGACCTGAAGGCTCTAGTGGAAGCGGATCCAGCCGTATGCACGAGGGAACTTGCTATCAGAATGAAAGTTGACCATACAACGATATTGAGACACCTTTCTGAGATTGGTAAGGTTAACAAGATGGACAAGTGGGTACAACGCTCGGCCGCATACATCGCACAAAACAATTGCGAAACTGAACGAACTGGAATATGAAGTTTTGCAGCATCCACCATATTCACCGGATCTCTCGCCGACCAATTCTCATTTTTTCAAGCATTTAGAGCTGTTTTTAAGGGGCAAATACTATGAAAATGAAGACAGTCTAAAAAACTCGATATCAGAGTTTTTTAATTCTAAAAACCAAATTTTTTTTAAGACAGGCATCTAGGCTTTAAAATCTCGTTGGAAGAAGTGTATTGAAGCGAATGGAGCATACTTTGATTGAATAAACAGCTTTTGAAGAAAGATATAAAGTTTTATACAATCACTTAAGAATCCGACATTTCATACGCACCAACCTAATATATATTTTTGGAGTTTACCTATTAAAGCCATAAATCTCCGTGTTTTGAAGTGTGACAGAATGATTGACATATTAGTTAGTTGTCAAATCTAATGTCAAAAAAGAACGTTTGTATCAACAACTACTAATAAATTAAAAATAAGGTAAATAAAACATTGTCTAGCGGACAAAATTGTGAATCTAAACAATTCACAGATCCCCTTGAACACACACAAAAAATTTAATAAAAATCGGTCCAGTCGTTTGAGAGAAGTTCAGTGACATAAACAAGCACAAAAAAAAATATATATAAAGAATTATTACGTACATTTTACTTTGAAATTTAGAATTAAATCACTTGATTATTTATTATTTTCTAGAAGACCTGGCGAACTTCGTATCGCCCTATAATCAAGAAATATCTATTACGTTTTTTTATTTATATTTTTGGAGTTTACCTGTGTTTTGAAGTGCGACAGAATGATTGACATATTAGTTAGTTGTCAAATCTAATGTCAAAAAAAAACGTTTGTATGGGAAATAGAAATGGGCTGTTTTTATGGTTTTCCCAGTTATGAATCAATTTTTTTCAGTTTTTATACCTTCCCTGAGCCTCCACGAACATTTCAAGACTAAGATAAGATAAATCCGTTCAGCTGTTCTCGAGTTTTAGCGAGACTAAGGAACAGCAATCCATTTTTATATATATAGAAGATAGAAGATATAGAAGATAATATGAAAAAGTCAAAAAACCGCACAGAACACTTTTAAATAATACAAAAGTTCGTCGGACATTTTCAAAAATATAACAATCTTTGCTCAAATATTTTTTTAAAACAAATGATGTCCTAAGAATAAATATTGAATTGAAAATTATATTAAACTATTATGTGTATCAGCGATAAAGCGGGCATTCGAAAGACTTCACAATCGGTAAAAACAATGATTAATTATAGAAAACAATTACATTAATTTATAGCATCACATAACGCTTTTTCTTTTCAAGAATTCAGATATGTAAATTTATACCTCTATATTTTAAAGCAAACATAACACTACTGTGATGTATAGGATTTTCATGAACTTCCTTGAAAAACAAGTTTAGTGATTGTGAGTATCCTTCATCCTAATAACAGTATCCCCATACGTGATGACTGACGCCTTGCATCCATTATTCTTCTTTTTGCAAAACCATGTCGCTTTAATCCATCTGCCAGTTTTCGATGAAGAAAAAACTGGAACTTAAAAATATACATATACGGGGTGACTGGTGAATTACTATCGATATTTGAGGACGTGATATTTGACGATCATATATGACAAAATAAAAATTAATATAACATAAATATTAATAAACTTCTAAGTAAAGTTAACCAAAAGTTATGCAATTAATTACGCATCGTATGAACACCCTACAGATTAGGTATACACACACACACACACACTCGCGCGCGGCGGCGTGTTGTTGTATCAGCACGCCGCCGCACGCGTCCACACTTGGAACACTTGGAACGTGTACTTTATTTATTTATACGGGAATTTGGTAAAAAATTAAGTACCTATTTTTTTTACATAATTAGAATGAGAATCATGTACCGAGTATGCTCCTTAAATATTGATAGTAATTCACCAGTCACCCTGTATATCTGATTAAAATGTGTTTTTAGTTTATAAATAAATAATAACTCAATTCCATCTGTGAACGAGAAAGTAAATACAATTGCAGAAGTTTTTTATTCATAAAATATATCATATAAAAAAACGGTACTTCTTAACATCCTTTATTATTGATATTAAGAAAAAACGATTTAGGGATTCTAAATATTAATTTTTTTTCATAAAATTTTAAATTGTTTCAACTACTCTTTTTTAATATTTACCTTAACCTTTTCCTGTCTAGTATAAATATACATAATATACGCTTGTAACGTACAAATAAGAAACTAAATAACGTAAAATATTTATTGCTCTATTGAGATGTATTCAATTATATCCATTATTTACACCTAACATATAAACAATACAACTTAACAAATAAGACAAACCTTTAAAGGTCTTAAAACTTTGTGATTAATTATTATGAGATTACTTCATGGTATTAAATTTAAATCACAAACAAAAATATAAACTATATAAACATTGTGCTTTTAACTGAATTTTAAAACCGTTGCAGACATTTAAATGAAAATTTCCACGGAGATAGACTAGTCCGGTGAGGAATATGGTCTCTATTTTGGATTATCAATATCCATAGAAAAAAAATGCGGACAAATGCTAGGGATAATGCAATTATTGGATTATTATGTATCGAGACAATTGTCACACAGCTTGCTAGTATTCGCATGGATTCCACACACGTATTTCTCACATTTATCGCATTTGGCTGTTGTCTTTCTATCCAAATTCCTCGGACACATATGACACCGACCTCGCTTTAACCTTAAGTGACGAACCAGATACTTCTTGGACTCAGGATCACAGGATTTTTTAACACGACGCTTAAAACATATCCTCGTTGATTCAATGTTCTCTTTTTTATATGTTCTTAAATATTCTATTGGTAATGTATCCACGAAAAGTTGTTTGTTATCTGCAAAAACATTCGGCATATTTAAATAGTGTACATACATATCTTGTTTACAGGGTTACCTTACAATAAACTTCAATATTAAGTTTTAATATAATAACACGTCATTCTCACCGATTCAATTCTTATTCTAAACAATTGCATTAAATTATAATTACTCTTCTATAGATACAAATATTACAACTTACTGAATTTATATAAAGCTTTGATTCAAATAAACTTAATTAGTAATTGTACTGCATCATAATAAGCCGAGTAAAATCTTTTGTTTATTCTTCATTTTAATGCGTGTGTTCATTTCTGGTGATCAAAATTTCATCACCGATGGTGATGACTGATGCTCGACATCCGAGTGACCACTTGGTACATAACCACTGTGCCCGTGGTCCCTTGCTGCCGCTACGACGATTGAATCTATACTGACCTATCTGTATCACTGGCTTCCCATATTTTGATACTGTGTAAACGGGGTCATCTGCAATATTAATATGGTTAGTAGAATTTTAGTATAAAAAAACACCCCAAATAATAAATAAATATAAATGTAGAACAACCACCACATATCTTTTCTAATCTTTTACTAATTTTACATAAATAATTAATGTGTATAAATATTTATTTTTGAATATAAAAGATAAGATGGAAGTCTGATTATTATTATAAAAGTAAAAAAATATGGAACATAAAAATCTTAATAAGTACATACACTACAGAAAAAAACGATTGCATTACTTAAATTTTATCTATACATATAACTAGTTAAAACCTTATCAAACGATTGATTTCATTCTGATTCATTATCATACAGAAATCTTTAAAATAAACACATCAGCTGCATTTTAAAATATTTTATTATAAAGAAAAACAAACAAATATATTTTAAATGAAATCAAGAACAAAAACAAGGCTAATGATTATGATTATAACAAGTGACTACAATCTGCTGGTTCACTGTTATCACGGACGCCTTACAGCCGGTCGTCCTTCGTTTATTACAGAGCCATTTAACCCTCCCACCTCTTGAACTGAACTGTTGGTTGTATCTATATCTGTCAATCTCCAACGCAGGCTTTCCGTACCTCGTGTACGTATAGACAGCTGTTAAAAAGAAACATTTCAATAATATAACACAAAAATACGCGAAATAAGACGAAAATAAGGAATTAAATAAAACAATATAATGACATAATCATATCATTAATTAATAATTTTTACAAGCAGTTCAGTGATTGTGTCTTAAATCTTTCCTGACGATATCATTCTCGACGGTAATCAAAGTTGAACGGCAGCCGTTGCACCACCGCCAACATCTCCACTGCATTCGTGGTCCCTTGTAACTCTTCCTGGAATAAAATCTATTCCCACCAAGCGTTATGATTGGATTACCTCTGTTTGATATCCTAATTATTGCGCCTGAAAACATAAAGTATTACTGTCTTCTGAACTCTATGAAAGTAATTCTACGTCACACAAAGAGCCCTTTAAAAGTAAGAAATACTTTAGTGAAGTTCAGATATACAAATGCTACCTTATAACTTTTCAATTCCATAAAATGTGAACCTTGTCGCCTATTAGAACAAAATCTTTTATATAAATTATAACAAAAACAAAATCTTAGAAGGTCAAAAATAATCTTTTTCAGGAAATCAACATCAGTATAGTCTACAAGCAAAAACAATCGTAAACTCATAATTTAATAAATAAATTAATAAAAATTATGTCAAAACACAGCCTTTCACAGTATGAATCACATTTCAATGATTGTGTTCGTTGGTTATTTTAACGATCTGATCTTCAAGAGTCGTGACTGACGCTCTGCAGCAGGTGGTGGTCTTTTTGCAGCATAACCACTGAATCCTGGGTCCCTTACTGTTAGCGCGTTGATTGTACCGGTATAGTCCTATTTGGATGACCGGTCTTCCATATCTAGATACTGTGAACAGTGGGTCTATAACAAAAACGGAATGATAATTAAATCTGCACACGTGAACTTACATTTGGATTAAATATTATACAATAGCCTCGAAAATTATGCTGTATTACAAAGTAAATAAAAATAAAACAATAATTATTATTTGTAAGTTATATTCTCGTGTCTGACTTATCACTAGATGGGCTAGTGGTTATGTAAATTTGTAGTTTGTACGATAAAGTCATCAACAGTAGTGACGGAAGCCCTGCATGACCTGCTGGACCACTTACAACAGCGCCACTGGGCCTTGGGCCCGCTGGATTGACTGACACGATTGTATCGATAACCCTCCAACAACATCACTGGCTTCCCGTATTTGGACTTACAAAAAGTCGGCTCTGAAACCAAAGTTTGCGTTAACTAACACAAAACTCGTATAATAGAATGTGTAATAGTAATTATTTAATGATAAATTAAAAGCATAATACAATTTCATTATTCCTTTTATTGTTTTAACATAGAGATTTTGACTTATACATATATTAAAATTTAAAAATATTAAAAATTAAAGCTTAAAATTTATTTATATTTGAATTGTATAGTAATTAAATTAAATAATACAAATTAAATTGAATTGTTTATTAATTAGATAATAGTTTAATTGTAAATGTAATTACATAGTTAATTAATAATAAATTAAGTTGTTACTAACATAGGTATAAAGTAAATGTGTACTAAAAAAGATGGTTCAAAGATGCCTAAATAAATAAAAATTATGTTTATTATATCCATACATATGTATACCTAACTTAAAAATTAGTTTTAATTATTGGCATATGTTGATCGTTTAATGTTTGTGGGTAGAATTAACTTTAATAATCTCATCATCTATAGTAGTGATGGACGCCCTGCATCCTCGGCTCCATTTGGTGCAGACCCATTGGGCCTTCGGGCCCTTAGCACGACAGCATCTATTGTAACGGTACTCTCCTAATACGATCACTGGCTTGCCAAACTTTGACAACGCAAATCTTGGACCTGAAAAAACATTACCTTAATAAAAAATATATAGGGAGAAGTTCCCTAGTGGCGCACACTTAAGGTTTTTTGTGTAAATTTACAAAACAGTTTAAAAAAAATATCTTTATTGGTAATTTAACTACTTTACTAAATATTAAAATCAAAATATAACAACAAATTTGCAACTTTTGGTTAAACATATTTAAAATCTCAAATTCAACTTCGGTGAGAATAATCGCAGCATCTGCAAGTGGCGTCTAGTAACAGACAGTTTTAAAATATGTGACTACGACCACATAGGTAGGTGTCTGAACATTCTGGAACGTCGGCACAAGCTTCATGAGCCCACTCACGGCAAGTGGAACATTGTATCCAGTTCTCGTTGTTATCTTCTAGGCATACTAAAATCCCACGGCCTGCATCAAGCTTATTCACTCAGGAGTTCGCAACGATAGCTCAGGATGCCTTTTCATAAAGTCATAGTAGAATTGTTTACCTGCTACTCCTTTTTTCTTGTTAAAGCGATGACGAATCTTCATAGATTCGGCCAAGTCGAAAGCCAATTTCAAAAACTTTTTTTTCATTAATGGCAAACGTCTAGCGGCTAAACCTTTAACGTGGTCTACTAAACATTGTTCATACTTTGGTGAAAATGTTGGTCGCAATGACACTGCTTCCCCACGGGTCAATGCTGACGTTTTATCATACAAAGTACTTTTTGATATATTGTACCGTAACGAAGCTTCTCCTAAAGAAAGTTCTTTAGTCAAAACCTTAGTAATTGCAGTATGTAAATTTGTCTCGTCCCAGTTCCCTATCTTTTTCTTCTCTTTCATTTTTATTAATTTCGTTCCTCTGCCGTCTGGAAAAAAATAAGGCAATTATAATAAAAAGCATAAATACTGTCAAGAAAAAATCACATGTTCACTGTCTGGTGCTAAGGGACCACTTTGTGTCCGGTACCAGAGGGAAAATAATCATTAAAATTATTAGATTGGATTTTAAAACTATATTATAAATCTTCAAAAGCGTTAGTTGATTGTAAACAACATTAGAGCACTACCTTTATTAAGAATGAACATAAGCAACTGATCATATTACATATATGTACATATTGTTATAACACTTACCTGAATATTAGGTGACTCAGTGTCTTCTCTCCAAAACAGCAACCAACCGCTACCACTGTTTTGAATCACTCATGTCATTAGTTATCGAGATACTATAAGTGTCGGGCACTAGGTGCCTTCCGGCGTTAAAGGACTTAAAAGCTGAGCCGATTTCGAACAAATTTCCTTTAAAATGAAAGGTAACATTTTCAAATTACTACATTATTTGATTAAATAACAAGATCAACTGACATACATCTCGTCTGCCCGTGATCAATGTTGGTGCAAAGTAACCGAAACGTCGGAAACATGTAGTTTTTTTAAATTATAAAATAAGCATAGTTATCCGAAAATATTAGTTTCATTTAAATGAATACTCGCGAAAGTCTTAGATCACATTTAATAAAGTTGTAAATTAAGATAACTGTTATTATTTTGCACACACATGTAAAGAAAAGTGGTGAATTTTTTTCTATACCTTTTAAATATGTATAATATATGGAATAAAATACTATATATATCGGATTTATTACACATTCGTTGTTTTACAAGAGAGGGACGCCAGCCTCGCTGACCACCGTTACAAACCGTTACAAATGTCACTTCTTCTAGAACGGTCCATGATATTTTAAAATGAAACTTCAATTGTTCTTAATGCTCCTGTATTTCTCGAAGGTTCTTCATAATAAGTAATAACATACTTCAATGATACGCACTCACTGAACTCTGAATTCTGAATTCCCAATTCTCAAATCTGCCGTCGTGCCTCCAGACGTCATATTTATAACAAGATTCAAACATAGTTCTATTCTCCTTTGATTTCGTTTTATTTTTAACAATAATCGTAAATACTAATGAGGTTTAATAAGAATTGTTGACAGCCTCAAATTATTTTCATGTCGCATCCGTTATTAAAGCTGATAGCGCCGATATATATAAATAAAAACGTTTATTTGTCACTAACTTAACTATTCGATGACATTAAATGCTTTAACATGTTTTGGAATTATTTTTTTAATAAATAAATATTAGTTTAGCTGCTTCAAGTGACCTACGATCAGTATCGTTGTGATAAAATAAATATATAAGGAATGAAAAACCAAGAGCCGGTTAAATTTTTATTCATAGCCAGTTTGATAAGTTGTTTAAAATAACACGTTTCATTGATGATTGTGATCATTCTTGATTTTAACTATCTGGTTAGCAAAAGTGACTAATGAAGCCCTACAGCCAGTGACCGCCCATTTAACGCACGGCCAGAGAACTTTAATACCTTTGTATCTAGTGTGTCTACTGTAACGATAACTACCCATCTGAATCACGGGATTCCCGCGGCGAGATGTTGTGTACACAGCCTCTGAAATTATAATCACTTTTGATATGGAAAATTACTTCGAAAATATAACTGTTATGAATATAAATAAATTATATGAAAAGCATATTATTCTTATTAGTTTGAAGTGTATCGAATATAATGGATAAAATAAAAGTCTTATAATTTTTAATGATTGTGTTCATTTTTGGCGCTAACGATAATGTTATCATATGTTACAAGTTTGGCTCTGCACTTAGCTGACGTCCATTTTGTACAATGCCAATAAATCTTGGGACCCGATGAGCGAGCGTTCTTGAAATATCTATAGGAGCCAAATTGTATTACTGGCTTTCCATGAACCGATGTTGTAAAATAACCTGGAAATTTATTATATTTGTGATATCCTAGGTTTTTGTAATATAATTAATAAGATCCATATTCCTGTATAAAAGTGAAATAAAAAAATGTTAAACAGACATCTTCATTAGTATGTTTAATAATTAACCATCGTACTAAAAAACTTTTCGTGCTATGCAATAACAAAATAACCCATGATAGTAAACAAGATTGTTATTTAACAGAACTAAATCAGCAACTAATAGTTCTTCTGAACTAAATAATAAACTGTGATTTCTTTTATTCATAAAAATAAATTAGTTACTTTATTGAGAGTTTTTAAAATCCTTCTCTAATGTAGGCCGACTCGAAAAATGCAAAAAGCTTATCTTACTTCAAGTTTTATTAATAGTTGCTATTTCTTAATAATTATGCACATTACCCTTCTTGACCATAGTCGGACACATAGTTTGTACATTCTTACTCATGCCCATGTATCTCCTGTGCTGTTTCAAAGCCATTTTCAACTGTTTCTTTCATAGACACCGTACTTGTAAAAGCCATAACCCGCGACTTGTAATATTGGCTCGAAATATTAGGATTCCGTCTTTTTAACCTTTGTAAATAACATCTGAATTTAACTCAAATCTTTTTCATTAAATTTAGGTATACATCTGTTATGTGTATATTGTATATATAAGCAAATGATGATCTGCTCCTATAAATTTAAGGTGAAGCTTAACACTATGTTAGATAGATTTTTGCACCTATAATTTACTTTCAAATGATTATAAATATATCTTACCACTTTTGTACAGACATTAAACGACACTGATTTTTAAAATAAACAAATTTTATTTATCTTAGTTAAACAAAATGTATTAAAATATATGGAAGCATAGTTTTAGCATCTTAATGTCATTTTTTTTTGTAAATTACCTAAAAGAAGGACTATCTGGAGAACGTCCAGAGAACACAACTATCTTCTATATATGTATATAAAAATGGATTGCTGTTCCTTAGTCTCGCTAAAACTCGAGAACAGCTGAACCGATTTGGCTAATTTTAGTCATGAAATACTTCTGGAAGTCCAGGGAAGGTTTAAAAGTTGGGGAAAATTGCAAGAATTGCCGGGAAAACCCTAAAAACAGCCCTTTTCTATTTCCCATACAAACGTTTTTTTGACATTAGATTTGACAACTAACTAATATGTCAATCATTGTATTTGATTGAGTTCGCCTGGTCAGCTATACCTACATATATTACTCTTGACCAAACTAACGCGGACGAAGTCGCGGGCAAAAACTAGTTAAAAATAAATTAGAAAGAGATTTTCAAAACGATGTCGAGTATTATTTCATTAAAAGAGATATGATTATTTTATCCAAAATGGTACTGTAAGTAAGAAACTTATATTTTTTTCTTCACCATCGGCTAATAGGGATTTCAAAGAACAGAAAATATACCAATTTTTTGAAAAAAGCTGATATTTTGACGGGTGATTTTTCGATTGAAAATGAAGCTGATTTTTCGGTATTTATTCAAAATAAACTGAAAAAATTAAGATTTCTATTCAAATAAATAACAGTGCATTTGGAACATCAAAAGGAAAGTTTTCACCAAATAACGTGATAAAAAATTGGTTTTTAGAAGAGATAAAAATAAAAAACAACAAACTAGGTTTTTTGAATTTTTCACATGAATTTGAGGTTATATGAAAAAAATGTAAATACAAAAGTTTTTGACCTTTTATTACCTACAACTTTGTCATATAACTTTTTTTTGTAGGACTTTCAGTTTTGCCGGAAATCGAGAAACCCCATTTTTTATCCTTAAATACCCATCCCCATACCCTTCCCGACCTCAGATCGCCCGTCAATTATTTTTCCTTTATTTTTATAATATCCCCCTCCTTTTCTAATGAGTTTCATTCTACTATAATTTATTTTCACTTTTCATTAATTTTAAAGGCTTCTGCACTGGCCTAATATAGTAGAAAGACGATTTTATTAAACAATGAAATATTTTATTTACATGTAAGTACATTTCAATTAATATATTATAAACTTTTATATGGCCAAGCCTTTAACACTTTATACCCATTAACATAAGGCATTTTATATTATAATAAATTTTACAAAATATATATATATATATATATAAATATATATATATTTTGTAAAATTATATATATATATATATATATATATATAATTAAATATATATATATATATATATATATATATATATATATATATATATATATATATATATATATATATATAATACATACTGTAAGTAAATTTACAGGTCAATGATTATGATAATTATTAAATTTAACTATTTGATCTAATATGGAGTATGCAGTGGCTTTACAGCCAGAATTAGATCTCTTACAACAAATCCAGTAATATCTACCATTACATCTCTTATAACTGCTATGTCTATAGTATCTGTAGTCTCCTATAGTCAGTAATGGATTTCCATTCTTCGATTTTATTATCACAACATCTGTAAGAAACATTTCAATTAACCTAAATAAGTGTTATTGTACGAAAATGTTCGTGGATAAATTTGTTTCAGCAAACAAACCATGATGTAGTAGGAATATTTCATTTATGTTATAGGTGACATTTTTGGAAATAAATCGAGTAATTTATGATTTTTGCAGTTTTAATTGGCAAATAAAATGTTGGAATTTTGTTTTCCAAACTAAAGTCATCCTGAGACAAATTTCACTTTAGACAAATGCAATAAGAATGTTGAAAAAATAAATTATTGCAATAGTATATTTGGGAACGATTTTCACTTTTAAACCTTTCCCCAAACGACGCGTGTTAGTCATTAAAATTTATTTAGTATAGAAAAAAAATATAAGAAGATGAATAAGTTTTTCTTTCAATCGATTTTTAAAGTTTATTGAAATCTTTCTACAAATAGACATGTCAAACTCAGGCCTCGGCCTCGAATTTTGCGGGCAGCGGAGCGGCAGGATCTTACGCGTATAATCAAATGGACCGACCCTCGAATACAGCGGTGCCCGCTGCCCGCTAGTTTGAAGAATAGTATGCGTTTCCGTGCCGCCGCCGCCGCCGCTCCGCTGCCCGCGGGAGCGGCAGCGGGAGCGGCAGCGGGAGCGGCAGCGGGAGCGGCAGCGGGAGCGGCAGCGGCAGCGGGAGCGGGAGCGGGAGCGGCAGCGGGAGCGGCAGCGTGAGCGGCAGCAGGAGCGGCAGCGGGAGCGGCAGCGGGAGCGGCAGCGGGAGCGGCAGCGGCAGCGGGAGCGGCAGCGGGAGCGGCAGCGGGAGCGGCAGCGGGAGCGGCAGCGGGAGCGGCAGCGGCAGCGGGAGCGGGAGCGGGAGCGGCAGCGGGAGCGGGAGCGGGAGCGGCAGCGGGAGCGGCAGCGTGAGCGGCAGCGTGAGCGGCAGCAGGAGCGGCAGCGGGAGCGGCAGCGGCAGCGGGAGCGGGAGCGGGAGCGGGAGCGGGAGCGGGAGCGGGAGCGGGAGCGGCAGCGGCAGCGGGAGCGGGAGCGGGAGCGGCAGCGGGAGCGGGAGCGGGAGCGGCAGGATCTTACGCGTATAATCAAATGGACCGACCCTCGAATACAGCGGTGCCCGCTACCCGCTATTTTGGAGAAATGTATGCGTTTCCGTGCCGGCGCCGCCGCCGCCCCGCTGCCCGCAAAATTCGAGGCCGAGGCCTTATAGGTAACTGGCGGCTCAAATCTTTTTTATTTAAATACTTAAACCACTGTTCAAGTAGTTAAATAAAAAAGATTTGAGCCGCCAGTTACCTATAAGGCCTCGGCCTCGAATTTTGCGGGCAGCGGGGCGGCGGCGGCGCCGGCACGGAAACGCATACATTTCTCGAAAATAGCGGGTAGCGGGCACCGCTGTATTCGAGGGTCGGTCCATTTGATTATACGCGTAAGATCCTGCCGCTCCCGCTGCCGCTCCCGCTGCCGCTCCCGCTGCCGCTCCCGCTGCCGCTCCCGCTCCCGCTCCCGCTGCCGCTGCCGCTCCCGCTGCCGCTCCCGCTGCCGCTCCCGCTGCCGCTCCCGCTGCCGCTCACGATGCCGCTCCCGCTCCCGCTCACGCTCCCGCTCCCGCTGCCGCTCCCGCGGGCAGCGGAGCGGCGGCGGCGGCGGCACGGAAACGCATACTATTCTTCAAACTAGCGGGCAGCGGGCACCGCTGTATTCGTGGGTCGGTCCATTTGATTATACGCGTAAGATCCTGCCGCTCCGCTGCCCGCAAAATTCGAGGCCGAGGCCTGAGTTTGACATGTCTATTTGTAGAAAGATTTCAATAAACTTTAAAAATTGATTGAAAGAAAAACTTATTCATCTTCTTATATTTTTTTTCTATACTAAATAAATTTTAATGACTAACACGCGTCGTTTGGGGAAAGGTTTAAAAGTGAAAATCGTTCCCAAATATACTATTGCAATAATTTATTTTTTCAACATTCTTATTGCATTTGTCTAAAGTGAAATTTGTCTCAGGATGACTTTAGTTTGGAAAACAAAATTCCAACATTTTATTTGCCAATTAAAACTGCAAAAATCATAAATTACTCGATTTATTTCCAAAAATGTCACCTATATTTTTTAAAAATGTAGTATTTTTTTTATAACATAAATGAAATATTCCTACTACATCATGGTTTGTTTGCTGAAACAAATTTATCCACGAACATTTTCGTACAATAACACTTATTTAGGTTAATTGAAATGTTTCTTACAGATGTTGTGATAATAAAATCGAAGAATGGAAATCCATTACTGACTATAGGAGACTACAGATACTATAGACATAGCAGTTATAAGAGATGTAATGGTAGATATTACTGGATTTGTTGTAAGAGATCTAATTCTGGCTGTAAAGCCACTGCATACTCCATATTAGATCAAATAGTTAAATTTAATAATTATCATAATCATTGACCTGTAAATTTACTTACAGTATGTATTATATATATATATATATATATATATATATATATATAATTTTACAAAATATATATATATTTATATATATATATATTTTGTAAAATTTATTATAATATAAAATGCCTTATGTTAATGGGTATAAAGTGTTAAAGGCTTGGCCATATAAAAGTTTATAATATATTAATTGAAATGTACTTACATGTAAATAAAATATTTCATTGTTTAATAAAATCGTCTTTCTACTATATTAGGCCAGTGCAGAAGCCTTTAAAATTAATGAAAAGTGAAAATAAATTATAGTAGAATGAAACTCATTATAAAAGGAGGGGGATATTATAAAAATAAAGGAAAAATAATTGACGGGCGATCTGAGGTCGGGAAGGGTATGGGGATGGGTATTTAAGAATAAAAAATGGGGTTTCTCGATTTCCGGCAAAACTGAAAGTCCTACAAAAAAAAGTTATATGACAAAGTTGTAGGTAATAAAAGGTCAAAAACTTTTGTATTTACATTTTTTCATATAACCTCAAATTCATGTGAAAAATTCAAAAAACCTAGTTTGTTGTTTTTTATTTTTATCTCTTCTAAAAACCAATTTTTTATCACGTTATTTGGTGAAAACTTTCCTTTTGATGTTCCAAATGCACTGTTATTTATTTGAATAGAAATCTTAATTTTTTCAGTTTATTTTGAATAAATACCGAAAAATCAGCTTCATTTTCAATCGAAAAATCACCCGTCAAAATATCAGCTTTTTTCAAAAAATTGGTATATTTTCTGTTCTTTGAAATCCCTATTAGCCGATGGTGAAGAAAAAAATATAAGTTTCTTACTTACAGTACCATTTTGGATAAAATAATCATATCTCTTTTAATGAAATAATACTCGACATCGTTTTGAAAATCTCTTTCTAATTTATTTTTAACTAGTTTTTGCCCGCGACTTCGTCCGCGTTAGTTTGGTCAAGAGTAATATATGTAGGTATAGCTGACCAGGCGAACTCAATCAAATACAATGATTGACATATTAGTTAGTTGTCAAATCTAATGTCAAAAAAACGTTTGTATGGGAAATAGAAAAGGGCTGTTTTTAGGGTTTTCCCGGCAATTCTTGCAATTTTCCCCAACTTTTAAACCTTCCCTGGACTTCCAGAAGTATTTCAAGACTAAAATTAGCCAAATCGGTTCAGAACTTTTAACAGAACTAAATCAGCAAGTAATAGTTCTTCTCAACTAAATAATAAACTGTGATTTCTTTTTTTTCATAAAAATAAATTAGTTACTTTATTGAGAGTTTTTAAAATCCTTCTCTAATGTAGGCCGACTCGAAAAATGCGAAAAGCTTATCTTACTTCAAGTTTTATTAATAGTTGCTATTTCTTAATAATTATGCACATTACCCTTCTTGACCATAGTCGGACACATAGTTTGTACATTCTTACTCATGCCCATGTATCTCCTGTGCTGTTTCAAAGCCATTTTCAACTGTTTCTTTCATAGACACCGTACTTGTAAAAGCCATAACCCGCGACTTGTAATATTGGCTCGAAATATTAGGATTCCGTCTTTTTAACCCTTGTAAATTGTAAATAACATCTGAATTATAAAGCTCAAATTTAAGGTGAAGCTTTTTAAGATAGATTTTTGCACCTAAATTTAGGATATACATCTGTTTACCATTTTGTGTATATTGTATATATTAAGCAAATGATGATCTGCTCCTATAAACTATTAAACGTCCAGAGAAGCTTAACACTATGTTAAGATAGATTTTCTGCACCTATAATTTACTTTCAAATGATTATAAATATATCTTACCACTTTTGTACAGACATTAAACGACACTGATTTTTAAAATAAACAAATTTTATTTATCTTAGTTAAACAAAAATGTATTAAAATATATGGAAGCATAGTTTTAGCATCTTAATGTCATTTTTTTTTGTAAATTACCTAAAGAGAAGGACTATCTGGAGAACGTCCAGAGAACACAACTATCTTCTATATATGTATATAAAAATGGATTGCTGTTCCTTAGTCTCGCTAAAACTCGAGAACAGCTGAACCGATTTGGCTAATTTTAGTCTTGAAATACTTCTGGAAGTCCAGGGAATTTAAAAGTTGGGGAAAATTGCAAGAATTGCCGGGAAAACCCTAAAAACAGCCCTTTTCTATTTCCCATACAAAAACGTTTTTTTGACATTAGATTTGACAACTAACTAATATGTCAATCATTGTATTTGATTGAGTTCGCCTGGTCAGCTATACCTACATATATTACTCTTGACCAAACTAACGCGGACGAAGTCGCGGGCAAAAACTAGTTAAAAATAAATTAGAAAGAGATTTTCAAAACGATGTCGAGTATTATTTCATTAAAAGAGATATGATTATTTTATCCAAAATGGTACTGTAAGTAAGAAACTTATATTTTTTTCTTCACCATCGGCTAATAGGGATTTCAAAGAACAGAAAATATACCAATTTTTTGAAAAAAGCTGATATTTTGACGGGTGATTTTTCGATTGAAAATGAAGCTGATTTTTCGGTATTTATTCAAAATAAACTGAAAAAATTAAGATTTCTATTCAAATAAATAACAGTGCATTTGGAACATCAAAAGGAAAGTTTTCACCAAATAACGTGATAAAAAATTGGTTTCTAGAAGAGATAAAAATAAAAAACAACAAACTAGGTTTTTTGAATTTTTCACATGAATTTGAGGTTATATGAAAAAAATGTAAATACAAAAGTTTTTGACCTTTTATTACCTACAACTTTGTCATATAACTTTTTTTTGTAGGACTTTCAGTTTTGCCGGAAATCGAGAAACCCCATTTTTTATCCTTAAATACCCATCCCCATACCCTTCCCGACCTCAGATCGCCCGTCAATTATTTTTCCTTTATTTTTATAATATCCCCCTCCTTTTCTAATGAGTTTCATTCTACTATAATTTATTTTCACTTTTCATTAATTTTAAAAGGCTTCTGCACTGGCCTAATATAGTAGAAAGACGATTTTATTAAACAATGAAATATTTTATTTACATGTAAGTACATTTCAATTAATATATTATAAACTTTTATATGGCCAAGCCTTTAACACTTTATACCCATTAACATAAGGCATTTTATATTATAATAAATTTTACAAAATATATATATATATAAATATATATATATTTTGTAAAATTATATATATATATATATATATATATATATATATATATATATATATATATATATATATATATATATATAATTACTTACAGTATGTATTATATATATATATAATACATACTGTAAGTAAATTTACAGGTCAATGATTATGATAATTATTAAATTTAACTATTTGATCTAATATGGAGTATGCAGTGGCTTTACAGCCAGAATTAGATCTCTTACAACAAATCCAGTAATATCTACCATTACATCTCTTATAACTGCTATGTCTATAGTATCTGTAGTCTCCTATAGTCAGTAATGGATTTCCATTCTTCGATTTTATTATCACAACATCTGTAAGAAACATTTCAATTAACCTAAATAAGTGTTATTGTACGAAAATGTTCGTGGATAAATTTGTTTCAGCAAACAAACCATGATGTAGTAGGAATATTTCATTTATGTTATAAAAAAAATACTACATTTTTAAAAAATATAGGTGACATTTTTGGAAATAAATCGAGTAATTTATGATTTTTGCAGTTTTAATTGGCAAATAAAATGTTGGAATTTTGTTTTCCAAACTAAAGTCATCCTGAGACAAATTTCACTTTAGACAAATGCAATAAGAATGTTGAAAAAATAAATTATTGCAATAGTATATTTGGGAACGATTTTCACTTTTAAACCTTTCCCCAAACGACGCGTGTTAGTCATTAAAATTTATTTAGTATAGAAAAAAAATATAAGAAGATGAATAAGTTTTTCTTTCAATCAATTTTTAAAGTTTATTGAAATCTTTCTACAAATAGACATGTCAAACTCAGGCCTCGGCCTCGAATTTTGCGGGCAGCGGAGCGGCAGGATCTTACGCGTATAATCAAATGGACCGACCCTCGAATACAGCGGTGCCCGCTGCCCGCTAGTTTGAAGAATAGTATGCGTTTCCGTGCCGCCGCCGCCGCTCCGCTGCCCGCGGGAGCGGCAGCGGGAGCGGCAGCGGAAGCGGCAGCGGGAGCGGCAGCGGGAGCGGCAGCGGGGCGGGAGCGGGAGCGGCAGCGGGAGCGGCAGCGGGAGCGGCAGCGGGAGCGGCAGCGGGAGCGGCAGCGGCAGCGGCAGCGGCAGCGGCAGCGGCAGCGGGAGCGGGAGCGGGAGCGGCAGCGGGAGCGGCAGCGGGAGCGGCAGCGGGAGCGGCAGCGGGAGCGGCAGCGGGAGCGGCAGCGTGAGCGGCAGCAGGAGCGGCAGCGGGAGCGGCAGCGGGAGCGGCAGCGGGAGCGGCAGCGGCAGCGGGAGCGGGAGCGGGAGCGGGAGCGGGAGCGGGAGCGGCAGCGGGAGCGGGAGCGGGAGCGGCAGCGGGAGCGGGAGCGGGAGCGGGAGCGGGAGCGGCAGCGGGAGCGGCAGCGGGAGCGGCAGCAGGAGCGGCAGCGGGAGCGGCAGCGGGAGCGGCAGGATCTTACGCGTATAATCAAATGGACCGACCCTCGAATACAGCGGTGCCCGCTACCCGCTATTTTGGAGAAATGTATGCGTTTCCGTGCCGGCGCCGCCGCCGCCCCGCTGCCCGCAAAATTCGAGGCCGAGGCCTTATAGGTAACTGCCGGCTCAAATCTTTTTTATTTAACTACTTGAACAGTGGTTTAAGCATACTCAATAGTAAAAACTTCACGTTGTTCACTTAAAGTTGTAAACAAAGTGTACATAAAACAAAATTATCTATCACTACAGAAATAGTGTCATTACCTTAATTTGGAAAAAAATATATATATATCGAGGAAATAAATTGCTCTTAATCAATTTTATATTCAAATTCAAACAATGAAAACATAATACTATCTACTTTTAATTTACAAAAAAAACGAGTTTCAATGTTGTTAACATAATAATTAATTTACAAAATTTTGAATTAACCAACACAAGGGTCCAAAAAATTTTAAGTTTTTTGAAATTTTATAGTAACCCTATACATTACAATACAATGTACTTACATGTACATGTACATATACAGGGTGACTGGTGAATTACTATCGATATTTGAGGACGTGATATTTGACGATCATATATGACAAAATAAAAATTAATATAACATAAATATTAATAAACTTCTAAGTAAAGTTAACCAAAAGTTATGTAATTAATTACGCATCGTATGAACACCCTACAGATTAGGTATACGCACACACTCACACATACGCGCGCGGCGGCGTGTTTTTGTATCAGCACGCCGCCGCACGCGTCCACACTTGGAACACTTGGAACGTGTACACACTTTATTTATTTATACGGAAATTTTGTCAAAAATTAAGTACCTATTTTTTTTACATAATTCGAATGAGAATCATGTACCGACTATGCTCCTTAAATATTGATAGTAATTCACCAGTCACCCTGTATACTATTTATTGTACCCAATATGTTTTATCTTATAACTAATCATGGTTGTGATTGTTGATCTTGATGATTTCATCTTCGAACGAGGTCAATGACCCCCTGCAGCCGCTGCACCACTTGATACACACCCACAGACATTTCGGACTGCCCTCCCGATAACTGCTATGCCTGTAGTATCTAAACTTACCCATTTGTATTATTGGCTTACCGTTCCTCGACTTCGTTACGATTAGATCTAAAATATAAAAATATACTCAATAAGAAAAAATAATAACGATTACTATTAAACATCATTCAGAATTCAAGAATTGGATAAATAAGAGGAGTATGAAATTTGTAATATTTATTTTCAATATAAATTTAGTTATAAAATATACATAATTGTAAACATGAAACAAGTTACAAACAACAGCGAGTGATATATTTCAATAAGTCAATAATTCCATCTCAATCTGTATTTTACTTTCTTTAAAACTGTTTCTTTATATATGAAGCAAAATAATTCATTTTAATATAACGTTCATTATAACAGTACATGATCACAGCTTTGATAAAACTGAGAGCTGGTTTTCAAATTGCTTTAAATACATTAGTGATTATGTTTTCTTTTATTTGCTATCATAACCACATCTCCCCCCATGGTCGTGATCGTCGCTACCCCAGCGCGACATAAACCTTTCCTCCACTTCTGACATCTCCATATAGATTTAAAATCTCTCTCCTGATGGATGTTGTACTTGTATTTACCTAGCAACAGCAACGGCCGACCTGTTCTCGACTTTCCGATTGAAACTGAAAGAAATAATATTGATAAACACTTTATCGAGTTATTGTCAAAATTTAAAGTTATAAATTATTGTTATAAATAAA